TATCTTAGCTACGATCAAGTCAACCACCATTGCTCAGCAGCGCCCATCACTTACTGCTTACATAAACCCACACGCTTCCGATCCTACGAAGTAGTCTTGCCTCTTGGGATCAAGGATCGTCACACTAAAATTAGTCTTAGACTTTTTAATCTCTTAACTATAGTTCAGCCTATAGCTAGCTAATAAGTCAACTTATTTAGATATCTATATATATAAGTTTATAAGTCTAGATATATAAGTTATTTAATAATAGATATAACTAAATTATTATAATAAATAGTCTCTTAATAATAAGTAATCTATCCTATAAACTATAATATAATAATAATATACTTTAAGACTACTATTAAGAGATTATCTTAAATATATATAAAATAATCTATTCTTCTATTCTCTTAAATCTATCTCTTATACTTATCTATATTAAGACTTTTAATTATATTCTCTATTAAACAATCTAATATAATATCAATATATATATCTAAAACTAAAGAGATATTATCCTTTCTTATTTCTATAGTATTTAATAAGAAGAATAAATAACTCTTTAATAAAGTTAAGAAGTTTATCTTCTTTAAGTCTAATCTAAACAAACTATATAAGACTACTAAGATAATTAATTATACTAATAATTATAGCCTTTTATAATTTAGATATAACCTATTAAAGACTATTAATATTATAGAGCTACTTAAGAATATAATTATTCTTATAGATATAGAACCTAATAATCTAAATCTTAACTAACTCTTTAATATTAAGAAATACTAGCTATAGCTAGAATATTTAAGAAAGACAGTTAAGCATCTTTAGAAAAGAAAGGAGGAATAGAACTAGTAATGATTTCACTATATTAATAGTTATCCTAGCAGGATTATAAATTAAATAAAGTTAACAGAAGCCACTTAAATGACTTGTACATAAGATCCCAATCAATCAATCAATCTAACACTATAGATTCACACCATAGTTATAAACCCTCTAAGAGGGAAAATAATAGCTATTAGACTTAGAGGCCTTTATAATTAGAGGACTATACTTAATCAATCTATAATAATAATTATGTTCTTATTATTAAGAACTGTTATAATATCTCTTTTAACTATATCATATTAATAGTATAACTTAGCTTATACCTAATAGATATATTAAAAACAAACAAAATAGATATATATATATATATATATATGTATAGATATATACATACAAACACACACCTGCTGTCAAAGCTAAGTTTTTACCCTTTACCATTTCTTAAGCCCTCCTCTTTCGGTCCCTGGGTTCCCTTCTATGTGAACTGGGAGAAGAACTCCCATGTGTTGGTGGCCGAGAAGGTCGTGGCGGCGCCCTTGTCCTTGGGCTGCGGGGTGTGGTCGCCGTCGAAGGCGACCCAAGTCACGGGATGACCGGCTGAGCAGCCGTCGTAGACGGTCTTGATGTGTGTGCCGCTGCCCTGGGCTGGCTCAGGCGCCTCCTTGGCGGCGCAGCCATTGTTCTTGAGGAAGCGATCGCGCATCTGGCGGCCGCCGGCGATGGGGAGGACCGAGTCATGGACACCGTGCTGGCCGTAGTAGGCGACGGGCTCAGTGCCGCCGGGGCAGGAGCCACTGATCTGCGGGTTGCCAGATAGCACGGCGACGGCGCGCAGGTCCTTACCCAGGGCGCAGGCCAGGATGAAGGACATGGCGGCGCCGTGGCTGAAGCCGGTCGAGAAGCGCAGGTTCTGGTCGACGCAGAGGTCGTCCTCGACGGCCTTGAGCACATCCTTGATAAATGTGACGTCGGAACCGCCTGTGTTCCACCAGCCGCTGTTCAGCCCCGTCGGCGAGATGTAGATGGCGCCAATGGTGTCGTTGACAAGCGGCGGCAGGCCGTACCAGGGCAGGTAGCCGCCCTGGCCGACGGTGACCTGCTGGCCATTGCCCCCGAGTGCGTGCAGCGTGAAGATAAGCCGGTACTGGTGCGCGTTGTCGTAGTTGTCGGGCAGCTTGACGAAGAATTGACGTGTCTTGCCGCCCGATGTCAACGTCAAAGGCGTGCTCGCCGCCGCGGGCGTCACTAGCTTTGGCGCCTTGCCGCAGCCCGCCGACGGCGTGCCGGCGACGGCATGCCTGATGGCCCCCGTGAGGAGGACGGCGATATTGAGGAGGCTATTCGGTCGGAGCATGTCTATTCTGCCCAGAGAAGCTGGAGTGTGTGGACACGCGTGTGTATCTTATGTTGTGTGCTTGATGCCACGATGCTTTGCCCTATTCTCTCTCACTCTTCACTTCTAACAACCTCGTTCCTTTGTAGTTGTTTTTCTTGGGAAGAGAATGGGGGACGCTGGGAACGGAGTTTCTCAAGAAGGACACCCAGCAGGATGGATTTGCCTTACACATACCCGTTCTTATATAGATTGCAGCGCCTTGCCATCTCCCTGCCCAGCCTGGCTCGATTTGGCAGACTGTACAGAGGGCATAGCCCAGCGCAGGACCAAGACCTCTTTCCACGTGAAGAATCTAGGTATACAATGCGAGAACGGGGAAAAGAGCGCATATTGACCACCGTAGAGTCCTAGATTGTTCGTCCACGCAACTCGGCGGGCCGCCTAAAATGAATCACAATCTATCTCTAGTTTCCAAGCGGTCTCTCGATGCTGGACTGGAAGCCTTTCCGCAGATCGAATGGGGCATTGCTGTCCGTCGTTTGCCTAGGTCGGCGGACTCGGATTGCCGCTCCAAGCTGCCGGTGCTTCTCGGTAATCGTCTCCGGGCTCGTGGTGAAGCGAGGATTGTTCATGCGAAGTGGAGTCCTGGGATACTCAGGTACCAAGGGCGGGTGTTTAAGCTGGTACTGCGACTTCGATTGCATACAGGCAGAATGCGCCCTCCACTCGCCTCGCCTGCCGTAGGGACTACATGGTGGAAGTCCGGACAGAACGCATATGGGAGGTGGGGCGAGGGATCCAGGTTGGATAAAGCAAAGGAAATCAGGGTAAATTCACAGCCACGACAAGAAAGCCAGGAGCGAGGGAGAGAGAGATTGTGAGAGGGCCACATATCTTCCGAGTTAAGACCACCCTTGCGTTTATCTGCATTGGTACCAGGACCGCACAGGATACCAGTGACAGTCCTGTGCGAATACTTCTCGATTCCATGAGGCCCCAAGGGAGAGAGACAAGGCCTAGACAGTGAGTCATGAGATGCACCCCGGATTTTCTCTCGACCCTTTTCCGTTCGTTTCGTCAGAGTGGAGCTCACACACACGAGCCTCGTCTGAGAAGAACGACAGGGCGTTCGATGTATGGCGACGACAAGCAAGAGGGAGGCAGGCTATGAAACTAGTCGCAGCAGCAGTATCTATCATGGAGAAAACCTCACCACGGAAGAGCAAATAGTAAAGTCAAAGGTGAGCAGGGGCCATAGGGGTCACGGTAGGCACATCAACGAAGCCTACCCAACTTGTCTCATCGATCTGTTCCTATCATATCAACCTCATACTAATACCATCCAACAGTGTAGGGTCCGCATATTCTGGCCCTTTTCTCCTGCACTCCAGTCCGTACAGAGGTAGTTTCTGGTGATATCTGGTGGTTTGTCTCCCCCCCTCGGGAGACGTGCCATGGTTGGCATATGCGTGCTGAATTGCTGGATGTTGCCTATCGTTGACGACATTGGGAGAGTAGGTAGGATAAAAGGAGAAGAGAATAGGAGAACAGAGACAGCGCCGCGTTGCCCATATAGACCGATACCCTTTAATCAAAGTTTACATCAGTACCTCAATCACATCTATGCAAGAATATAGCTGCATGAACCCCCAGCCGTGACAAACACTTGCAACATAACCTGTCACCCCATTCGTTCTCTTTCTCTGCAGCGATGCGATCAAACCCCCGAACCCTGGTGCAGGCCCTTGTTGGGATAGAAGTGGCATAAGCGTCGTTGAAACCCGGACTTTGAGTCGCCTTGTCCGAGAAAAGAGCCAATCAACAAGAATGCCGATGAGTGAACACAAGACAAATATGCATATTCGTCTGAGGTGCGATTTGCTGTCTGCTTCTTCCAACTCCCGCTGATTCCTGTACGCAGGTGAGATGAGAGGTAGCCGCCCCTGTTGAGATGATACCCACTGGTACGTCCCGACCCCCCGAGCGATGGTTAGATTACCGACTTGACGAGCTCGTGATACCTTACCTAACGGAAGATGGATTGGTCTTAGTCTAGGTTGTGGGATAAGCCGTGCGACGCTTGGAGAGAAATCTCTCGATGAGACCCCCAAGCCCGTACCCTGCCTAGGAGGTCAGGATCTAACTACATGTAAAAGCCAATCAATTGCCTTTCGTTCACTGCCTGGAATCTCTCGCTCGGTAGAGTACTAGAAGGTACCCTGCCGGGACTTGCAGATGTACTGCAACCAACGAGATGCACGCCTTTGCGCTAGAAAACCCCAAGGTACCACAAAGGTAGGGCAAAGGCGGTGTGAGAGCGATGACTCCCACTACACAACGACCCCACCACCATTTGGCCCCGACACCCGGAATCGGGTGTGCCAACTGTCAACCCGACCTACTGACTGTTCCTCCACTGTGGGTTTTTTTTTCTGCCTCATGTTCATCCCCGAATCACCAAGACAAAGCGGCCGATGAGCAAGCCGGGAGCACCCAATTGACCACCCCAAAGGCCCTCAGGCCTGTCACTATCCTCACCCGCGGTTTCTTGCCCCAGAGCATCACCCTCCGGCTTCCGCGAAAACACCATGGCAGACGTCAATGGCTCTGGGCCGACCAGAATCCCCATTCTGGGCCAGGAGTCCATCATTATCGACCATGGCCTCTGGCTCTCCTACGTGACTCACGATCTGCTCAACAACATCAAGTCGTCCACCTACGTCCTCATCACCGACACCAACCTCTCCCCCATCTACGTCCCGCCTTTCCAAGCCGTCTTTGAGCAGGCTGTTGACAATGCCTCGAAGTCGGGCCAAGCCAGCTCCGCAGCGGCTTCGGGTCCCCCCCGCCTGCTCACCTACGCCATCCCGCCCGGCGAGTCGTCCAAGGGTCGCGAGACCAAGGCCGAGATCGAGGACTGGATGCTGCTGAACCAGTGCACCCGCGACACCGTTGTCATTGCTCTCGGCGGCGGCGTCATTGGGGACATGATTGGCTATGTCGCCGCGACCTTTATGCGCGGTGTGCGCTTCGTCCAGGTGCCTACGACCCTGCTCGCCATGGTGGACTCGTCCATTGGTGGCAAGACGGCCATCGATACCCCGATGGGCAAGAACCTCATAGGCGCCTTCTGGCAGCCTCGCCGCGTCTACATCGACCTGGCCTTCCTCGACACCCTTCCCGTCCGCGAGTTCATCAACGGCATGGCCGAGGTGATCAAGACTGCCGCCATCTGGGATGAGGCCGAATTCTGTGCCCTCGAAGACAATGCTGCCCTGATACTGGCCACGATACGTCGTGACGCTGCCAACGCCCAGGAGCGGCTGAAACCGATCCGCCATATACTGAAGCGCATCGTCCTCGGCTCCGCACGAGTCAAGGCTCATGTCGTCTCGTCCGACGAGAAGGAGGGTGGTTTGCGCAACCTCTTGAACTTTGGACACTCCATTGGACACGCCTTCGAGGCAATCTTGACCCCGCAGGTCTTGCACGGCGAGGCTGTTGCAATCGGTATGGTCAAGGAAGCCGAGCTTGCCAGATTTCTCGGGGTCCTGCGCCCAGGTGCCGTTGCTCGCTTGGTCAAGTGCATTGCGAGCTATGACCTACCTACTTCCCTGCTCGATAAGCGCATCGTCCAGCTCACTGCCGGCAAGTCTTGCCCCGTAGATGTACTGCTTGACAAGATGGCCGTCGACAAGAAGAATGATGGCAAGAAGAAGAAGATCGTCCTACTCTCGGCCATAGGAAAGACGCATGAACCCAAGGCCACCGTCGTGGATGACCGTGCAATCCGGGTGGTCTTGTCCCCTGCTGTACGCGTCACTCCCGGCCTGCCCGCCGACCTCTCCGTGAGCATCACACCTCCGGGTTCAAAGAGCATTTCCAATCGAGCCCTGGTCCTCGCCGCCCTCGGCAACGGCCCCTGCCGCATCAAGAACCTGCTCCACTCGGACGATACCGAGTATATGCTGTCCGCCGTCAGCGCACTGGGCGGTGCTGCCTACTCGTGGGAGGACGCCGGGGAGGTTCTCGTGGTCGAAGGCACCAGCGGCCGCTTGCGAGCGAGCAGGGACGAGCTCTATCTGGGTAACGCTGGCACGGCCTCTCGATTTTTGACCACCGTTGCTGCCCTCTGTGCGCCATCCGATGTCTCTTCGACCGTACTGACAGGAAACGCACGCATGAAGGTGCGTCCAATCGGGCCTCTCGTGGATGCCCTCCGCGGCAACGGCGTGGAAGTCGAGTATCTTGGCAACGAGAAAAGCCTGCCCATTCGCGTCGGGGCAGCTGGCGGTCTCCAAGGCGGTGTGATCGAACTGGCCGCCACCGTGTCATCTCAGTACGTGTCTTCCATCCTGATGGCGGCGCCCTACGCCAAGAACCCCGTAACCCTCCGACTCGTGGGAGGCAAGCCCATCTCCCAGCCCTACATTGACATGACCATTGCCATGATGGGTGCTTTCGGTGTCCACGTCAGGCGGTCTGCGGACGAGCCCGATACATACCTCATCCCGTGCGCTACCTACCAGAATCCGGCCGAATACGTCGTTGAAAGCGATGCGAGCTCGGCCACGTACCCACTTGCTGTTGCTGCCATCACCGGCACTACCTGCACTGTTCCCAACATCGGCGCCAAATCTCTCCAGGGCGATGCTCGTTTTGCTGTGGAAGTGCTGCGGCCTATGGGATGCCTGGTCGAGCAAACCGATTTCTCCACAACCGTCACGGGTCCCAAGCCTGGGTCGCTTAAGGCACTAGATGTCGATATGGAGCCAATGACTGACGCCTTCCTAACGGCGTCGGTCCTGGCCGCTGTAGCCAGCGGCACCACACGTATCACTGGCATCGCAAATCAGCGTGTCAAGGAATGCAACCGCATTGCGGCAATGAAGGATCAACTGGCCAAGTTCGGCGTCGAATGTTCGGAGCTCGAAGACGGCATTGTAGTCCACGGTAAGCCGTACCAGGCCCTACAAGAACCTGCTGGCGGGGTCTACTGTTACGACGATCACCGTGTCGCCATGAGCTTCAGCGTGCTTTCCGTCATCGCGCCCACTCCTGTACTCATCCTTGAACGCGAATGTGTGGGCAAGACTTGGCCTGGCTGGTGGGATGTTCTATCCCAGTCCTTCAAGGTTGTCCTCGACGGAGAGGAGCCCAAGGGCGTGCACGAGACCATTGCCGCGCGCTCTCCAGCCGCGCGCTCCATCTTCATTATAGGTATGCGGGGAGCTGGAAAGACCACCGCTGGAGGCTGGCTGGCAGAAGTCCTAGGACGGCCGTTTGTCGACCTGGACGATGAGCTGGAGCGAAGACAAGGCGTCACTATTCCTGAGATGATCAGAGGCCCGGCCGGTTGGGAGGGTTTCCGAGATGCCGAGGTCGAGCTCCTAGCGGACATGATCAAGAACCGTGCCCATGGCTACGTTTTCTCGTGCGGGGGCGGTATTGTCGAAACCCCCAAGGCGCGAGACTTGCTGATCTCCTACCACCGGGCTGGCGGGTGCGTTCTGCTCGTCCATCGAGACACGGATCAGGTAGTCGAGTTCCTGATGCGCGACAAAACCAGGCCGGCATACTCGGAAAACATTCGAGAGGTCTATGTCCGGCGCCGACCGTGGTTTGCTGCGTGCAGCAATTATCAGTATCATAGTCCCCACCGAGATGGTTCCGAGGTGCTCAGCTCCCCTCCGTCAGACTTCTCCCGCTTCGTGTCCGTGATGTGTGGCCGGAGTACACACCTCGAGGATGCTATGAGGAAGGCCCACTCGTTTTTTGTCTCCCTCACGGTCCGCAATGTTTCCGCAGCACTTCATATCATCCCCAGGGTCATTGTGGGGTCCGATGCTGTCGAATTGCGTGTTGACCTGCTCGAGGACCACACCCCTGAGTTCATCGCCAGCCAGGTCTGTTCGCTTCGCTCTGTTGCAGAGGTGCCCATCATCTTCACGGTTCGCACGCAAAGCCAGGGAGGCCGCTTCCCAGATGCGGACCACGAAGGCGCCCTCAAGCTGTACCAGACAGCTATCCGCTACGGCGTAGAGTACATCGACCTCGAGATGACCATGCCGGATTACGTCTTGCAGGCGGTGGCGGCAGGGAAGGGCGGCTCGTCCATCATCGCCTCCCATCACGATCCCCGAGGCGAATTGTCGTGGAAGAACGGAGCCTGGATGCCTCACTACAACAAGGCTCTGCAATATGGCGACGTGATCAAGCTGGTGAGCTTCACTGAGGATATGCAAGACAACTTTGCCTTGGCTGCCTTCAAGGCGAGGATGCAAGCGGCGCACAACACTCCTCTCATCGCCTTGAACATGGGCCTCAAGGGTAAACTCAGCCGCGTGCTGAACGGGTTCTTGACGCCCGTGTCTCATCCCGAGTTGCCATTCAAGGCGGCTCCAGGCCAGCTGTCGGCCAAGGAAATTCGACAGGCGCTGGCCTTGACGGGTGAGATCGAGGCGCGCTCTTTCGTGTTGTTCGGAAAACCAATCGCGAAATCTAGGTCCCCGGCGCTGCACAACTCACTGTTTGCTGCGACTGGCCTTCCGCATCGCTATTCCCTAGTGGAGACAGATAACACAGAAGAGATGCAAGCAGTCATTCGGGCCCCTGATTTTGGCGGTGCCTCGGTCACCATCCCCTTGAAGTTGGATGTCATGGGCCTCCTTGACGAGATCTCGGATGCTGCCAAGGTTATCGGGGCCGTCAACACCGTCATCCCTCTCAACAAAGAGAAAGCCGGTCAGACCTGCCTCCGCGGCGACAACACGGACTGGATGGGCATGGTGCACTCGCTCCGCAATGCCGGGCTTCGGCGCCCAACCCACGGTTCCTCGAAAGCTGGGCTCGTCATTGGCTCAGGAGGCACCACACGAGCTGCGGTGTTCGCTCTACATTCACTCGGCTTGAGCCCCATTTACCTCGTGGCTCGAAACAAGGACAAAGTTGGGACCCTGGCTGCCTCCTTCCCCGACGACTACGACGTGCAGCATTTGGACGCCACCGATGATGCCACCGCAGCGAAGGTATCCGTCGCCATCAGTACCGTGCCGGCGGATAAGCCGGTTGACGAGGGCATTGGTCGCATCGTCTCGGCAGTTCTGCACCAGCCATCGGTCGCTCATGATGCCCGGATTCTGATGGAGATGGCCTACACGCCTCGCCACACCCCTCTCATGCAGCTGGCCGAGAAGGCTGGTTGGGAGACAATCCCTGGCTTGGAAGTTCTTGCCGCACAGGGATGGTACCAGGTAAGATATTGGCAGACTGTTCCCCCAACCTGCTCTGTCCACGCTTTTGCTAATTTCGAGACATAGTTCCAACTCTGGACTGGCATTGTTCCACTCTACGAGGACGCAAGAGACGCTGTCATGGGGAAAGAGTTTTAGATGAAAAGTAGAAGTGCCAAATAGAGACCAAGCTTGATAGATATAGAGTGCAAGGCTTCTTTTGTTCGAGGCCGTCAGCATACAGTCTGTTCCATCTCAATGCGCGTATCAACCTGAGAAACACGAGCCCCGTATGGCTTGGCAGAAGGCGTATGAGGGTGATGTCCTGGAGTGTGCGTGTGTTGTACTGCCAATGCACTCTACAACGACTGCGACACCCGATTCGGTGTTTCGCCAATTTGACTTGGTCACCAGTCAGGAGGTGGCCAGTCAGGGACAGGATGCAAAAAGTCGCTTAGTATATGTAATCACTGCAAGTTTGCCAGGTTTTGGTGGGTATGATAATGACATTAGATTAATCCCGTCTTGCGTCGGCTTTCGATACCAGTCTCCAATCTATGAACTAAGCCGGTTACTAATACTACATTCATTTGGTGATTCTATACGTCAAAAGGCTCATCATTCGCTTCGGCGGTCCGCCCGCCCGCTCGTTATAGTCGTGTCCGCTCGTGAAGGCGCAATTAAAACAAAATTAAGTCCAAAAAAGTGAGGTGCCGAGAGTCAAGATGTCGTGAGACAAGAAAGACACGACCAACCCGAGAGCACACATGATGATTGATACAGGCAGCGGACCGAAACCACTGATACTCGTTGGCAACGGCCACATAAAAATGTCAATACAAGAACAAGGCCTTTCCCTAGACCATGACAGGCCCGAAAGCAGAACAGAACAGTCGAGGGAAAAAAGAAACCAAATCAACGCTTTCTGTTTTTGTGTTTTGTCTAACCCATGACCAACCGAGGTCTGATCGCAAGAACGCCCATGAAATCCGCCGTATTGACGTGGTCGGCAATTAATAACACATTGCTGTTGGTGTTGATGTTGATGATGATGATGTTGTTGTTGTACAGGAAGGAAAAAACCAAGGGGGTGGTTTGGTTGGTGTGCATCGGTACTCTCGGGATGTTTGGGATGTGGGACAAGAGTGTTGACGATGACCATAGAAAGGTGTCACTCGTCATAGGATGCTTCCTTTCCAGGCCAGCCTTTTGGCTGGAGGTATCTCGAAGTACCGGGCTGCCTGCTTGTGCGCGGGCTGTCGTCGCCTCGAGCACCTTCTGGAAGACGCACTGCTCTGGCTGACGTCATGGGCGGACGTGTGTGGACGGGAAGGAGGGGGGTGTGGGTCGGAATTCCTGTGACGCAAGCCCGAACCAGTCGTGGCCGGGGAAAAGAGAGGGTGGATCCGCAGCGGCGCAGGCCATTGGTGGGGGGATAGGGACATGGCGGCCGGGATTCGAGCCCAAAAGCATCCGGTCAAGCCCCACGACCCTGACTTTTCCCATACGGGCGATCGCCTGGACCCTGCATATCCTAGACCGTGGAGGACTGGGATTGGGCACCGAAAGGACCCGCCGACGCCATCATGACGAGGGGGAGCCCAAGACCCTGAACTCTCTTGCGTCCCACTCCCACCCCACCACCACCACGACTTTCGCATGGGCAGCCGGGCATGCAGTGAAGTTGCACGGCCGGACAGAGCACAGTCACCCGCAATTAGTAATTGCAGGGTTCTGCTCAGCCACTGCTCCCAGTGCGCCGTCGGTGCTTGCCAGGGAGGTCGACTTCGGGGTGGCAAACACGGTAGTGTCGCGTCAACGCATCCGCGCGGCTGAAGGTCTTCTCCTCGGTGCACAGGTCGCACCGCACCTTCTTCTTGCGCGCGTTGTGAATAGTATCCTCGTGCCTGGTCAGGTCGTATGGGCGCGAAAATACCGTGTTGCAAGGCTTGCCCGTGCTCGGGTTGATGCGGTCGCAGCGGTGAGGACCAGCCTGGCTGTTGAGGAGGCCGGACGTCATGCCCCCCGTCGTCGGCGACACGGCTGACGGCTCAACACGGCGGGTGGCTCCCAGGCTGTGAGCCTGTCGGTGGCCTTCCCTCTTGTGCTTCTGTAGGAGGGCTGGCGTCTCGAAGCGCAGGGTGCAGCCGTGGTACGTGCAGGTATACGTCCCGCCGTCGGCTTGCGTTCCAGAAGGTCGCTGGAGCGGCTGCCCCAGGCCGGGCGAACCGGCCGACGAGCCTGACGACTCGGTGGAACTGACCCTGGGCGGAATCGAACTGGTGGGAGCCTGCCGCATGGGAAGGCTCGCACCATTCTGCTGGCGCGAGTTTGCCACAAAGGGGTACTGCTGCGTGATGGGGATGCCGGACGAGAGCTGTGGGAGGTAGTCAAAGTGGGCCGATGCGCCATTCAGATCGCCGGCGTCGAACTGGTGAGCGGCAGCAGCGTTGGCCATGGCCTTGCTCGCTTGCTCTTGGCCAAAGGTCGCCGTATTGTGGTCGGGGAATAGCGAATAGTTGGCTCCTTCGCCGTCGCCGTCGTGGAACTCGAGCAGAGCGTCCTTGGGCGAGATGGTCTGGGGCGTCGACGTGTCCGAGTTGCGCGACATCTGCTGCCGTAGGGCCTGGGCGTCCTGCTCGGCCTTTCTCTGTTCCCGCAGCTGCTGCGCAGAGCCAAAGCGGACCTGAGGGGGCAGCCCTGACCCGAAATCGTGGCCCGGGGCCGGCGCCAAGGGAGATCCGTGGCGGAAGGGCGACTTGTCCCTCGAGCCAGACGAGGCCGGCGAGTGCGCCGCGCTGAGGTGCTGGCTGTTGATGGCGTGGAGGCGTTGGGCAAACATGTCGTTGTTTGGCGAGAGGGGGATCTGGGCCTGCGACGGGGAAGCAGACGTCAGGGTGAAGTTGGGGTTGTAGAGTTCGTCGCTGTAGATGTCGGTCATGGTGCGGTCCAGCTTGGGGACGGTATGGATGCCTGCGTCGTCATCAAAGGGAGGAGGTGAGTAAGCGGACAGGTAGTAGTCAAGTAGCGCGGAAGCCTCACCATGTTTTCGCCTCCTCTCGTCCTCGGCAGTCTCGTGCAGCGTTGGGGTGGCAGGTGAGTCACTCGCAATCGAACTCGCCACCGAGACCGGACGGGACCGGCTGGCCGCGGTCCTCTGCTTGCTGCTGTGCGAGCCAACCAAGCCCGGGTAGGCGGCAGTGGAGAGGGCCTCGGGGTTGTAGGCGGCGTAGTTGGCGTAGAAGCTGTCGTGGCCATTCGGGTTGAGCGACTTGGAGAAGTTCTGGTAGAAGGTGTCATCGTGCGATGAAGGCTGCATGCCGTGCTGGAAGCCGTCTGTAGCCGAATCGGTGACGGCGATGTGCGGATTCGACGTGTTGTGAGAGTAGGGCGAGGCCGGGCCTGCAGACCCGAGCGACGACAGCGACGACTCGCGCTGGTGCGAGATGCGGTTGCTGGCGACGGCCTTTTGTGCAAACTGCTGCCCGGCGGGGAGCCAGGAGTCGCCCGACGGCATGAGATCGACTGTGTTCAGCATGGGGCGGTTGTGGAGTGCGAACTGCTGCTGGCCAGAGACCGGCACTCTGTGGTAGAGAGCGCTCTCTTGCGGTTCCAGCCTGCGTGGAACGGCAGCGGCGCCGGATACGCACTGGGAGAGCAGGCTTTGCGTCGACAGAGGCGACGAGGGCAGACTGGCTTGCTGGTGGTTGATCAGGTGGCTGCTGTTGCTGTCGTCGTCGAAAGGAAGCGGCGCGGTGCTTTCGGCAGTGGCGATGCTGGTGATGCTGGACGGGTGGTGGTAGGGATAGTAGTAGGACTCGAGTGATCGTTGCAGATGCTGCTGGCTGTCGTCGTGGAATAGTGGTTGTGGATGATTTGGGACGACCAACATCATCGGCTTTGCTCGACTATGGTCTGTTGTTTATTTTCTTCTTCTCTCTGATATGAAGCTGTTTGCAACTTGTGCTTTGGAGTTGTGGGGATAGGGAAAGATCGAGGATCAGGGTGGCAAATCTCGACGTGTGATGTCGAGGACGACGACTTATATACGGGATCTCTCTAGCTTCGATGTGGGCGTGGGTACATCCCATCTTCAGGTTGGGTGGGGTGCTTTTTTCCCCCCTTTGGCTTGACGGCGTCACCTTTTTTTCAGGCTTTTCCCTTGGGGAGGCCCACTGAAGTGGGTGGTGGGCTTTAGTGCTCGAGGTGCTCGACTGGGCCGTTAGATTCCTCTGTGGGTTCCCAACAGGTACCGCGCTAGCGTGGAGTCCCGGGTGCTTCTGCTGGGGAGGGAGGGCGGCTTGGGCGGAGCAGGGGTCATCCTTGGTGATCGGGGTGGAACCAGCCAGAAGAACCGGATCTGGTCCTCGTCACTGCTGTCGCTCTGTCTGCAAAGCATGTGTGGCATGGTAGGTAATGCTTGTGTAATCACTGCAAAGAGTTCCTGCGCTGCCGCTTCAATGTTGCATCTCGAGAGGGACGATTATTTCCCGAAAAAGAACAGAGACCCCGAAATACGGCAGACCCCGAATTGAATTCCTTGTACAAGCAAGTTGCAGGTGCAAGTACCAAGTTTACAAGTACACACACACTCGACACCCTGAGACCCTCCAGCCCGACTGGCACCTGGGGGGCGTGCTGGGATTGTGACAACAAGGAAAAGCCATTTGCCAATCATGGTCGGGGATGCACGCTGGCCTGGCCATGCAGGGTTCAATGTTCCCTTTTTTTCTTTTCTTTTACTACTTGTACTACCTTTTTTTTTTCTCACTGTGCTTGCTCTTTCCCTTTACCTAGCACTGCCCGCCCGGTGCCAGCCCAACAGGGGCTCCCTCGTCGCTTGTTTTTCTTTCTGGCTTCCAGGTTGCTTCAACGTTGCTTGCTTGCCGAAGCATCGCCAATGTATAGGTAGGTAGTTAGATGGTCACCTGCCATGACCCCAGACAAACGAGCGAGGTGCATACGGAGGTACGATCGAGTCATGTGGACCGCTGGTCTCTTCAATGCCGCTCGTTGCTCGCTCCTCGTCCCTCTTGCTGCTTAGCACGCACCTCCGCAGCCCCCATGGGCCCTTCATTCGGCCGGCTCCCGGCCGCAACATCCAGATCGATAGGTACCCCTTGGATGAGGTGCCAGGATGGGATCATTACAGCTAGCCTGGGGAATGAGACGATCGAAGAACGAGGAGTCGGCCGAGGCCAACCCCAGCAAGCCTTGTGTGTACGGAGTATGAGTGTGTATGACGGAGAGGGAGGGACCGTTGGTCGATGACGGCGTCTGGCTCGTTGGGTTTGACGCAAAAGATGCCAGTGTTGCCGTCACCCTACGTCAGGAGGGCCCCCGATCACCCACCGTTTTCCCGCCCACCGCCCACCGCCCATACTTGTCAAGTCATGAAACGGCCGACCATGCAGAGACGAGACGCCATGTTCGTCAAGCCACTCGCTGCAAGGGTGCTTTGCATCGACCTTTGCATCACAACCTTTGCATCAGACTTTTTGTGTCTCTCCCCAGGCGGACCCAATGCGCCGGGTTTTGGGATGGGCTCTCGTCACCCTCGTCTTCTGAAAAGGCGCTGCGGCTTGCCCTGCCGCCTCGGGGCCAATGACTGCATCATTTTTCTTCCTCTTTCCTTGCCCTTCCTTAACCTTTCGTTTCCCTGACTCTTCTTTATTTACCCGTTACGTCCCAGCAAAAAAAAAAAAAAGGTGTGGGAAAAGGAAAAACAAAAAAAGAGGCAGCGACGGGCCCAGGTGCCAAGTCGGACGAGGCCCGGCATGCCAGCGATTGGTCTAGGCCTCGGAGCAGTGGGACCGTATGTTCTGTCATTTGCATGCCTCTGCAATGCGCGGTGACGTCGTTTTCCAAAACCGGCCAAGGGTGCGAGGGGCCCTGACTGCCCAAAAGCGTAACTGGAGGGGTACATCGGCCGAGTCCTCTCCAAGTACAAGTATGCACCCGCGCCTCGTATCTTGTGTCTGCGAAAATCCTGAACCAGTGATTGCCTCGCGTCGCATCGCCATGCCATGCCATGCCATGCTTTTTACTATTTGCTATGCCATGCCTCCATGCCTCCATGCCCTGCCCAACAAACAAGAAACATACCCTTTGGAGGCCGGAAGGAAAAAGGGAGGAAAAAGGAAGGAAGAAAAGGATAAAACGAAGAAGAAAAACACACCAGGCGATTGACAAATTATCGTCCGAGGCCCAGTCCCGTCATGCATCTCCCAAACCAATGCAGCCCTGGAGGTGCTGCTGGTTGGTGCTGGGCGGATACTTGGCTGGTACTTGTGCTCCGTCCTTGTCCACCGGACCTGGGTGGTGGGGTGACTCTGGCAGCACCACACAGGCCAGACGGGCTGGGTGGCTCCACCGACGCTCTCCTTCAGGGAATCAAGTGTCATCAGTCGCCGTCACCTGCCAGGCCCTGGTCCAGCTGGGTGGAAAAGTCGGAACACTGTACGAAAAGGACAAGATTGGCACCACAAGGCCAGATCCAGGTAACGTTGTCCCCGCATGCACCACTTCAACCTTCAATACATCGCTGCATGTTCGAAATGGAGCGGGCCACGGCGCACAGCCACACAGCCACACCAATGCAAGCTGGACCACCAGCATACCGAGTATGCAACCGCGGGCTGCTGGCTGGCTGGCTCAACCGTACCCGCGGATTCTCTGTGTATGACTAAAAACAGATGCCGAGGCCTCTCTCCTCCGCGGCCAAGTCTCATCCCAGCCACTCTCGTGTCGTCCTTGTCCTTCCTCCTCCTGGTTGGTCCTCGGCCTCGTTCCCGTACCTATTCCAGATCTATGGATCTCACCTCCCCGTGTCCCCCGTACAAGCACATTACCTAGCTCAGCTGGATCCCTCACCCCCCTGCGCTTCTGACCTACGAGCAGTGTTTTGATTTGCCGTTCTTTGTCCCGCCTCCAAGCGCGATCGCTGTGTCCAGTCTCTGTGCCAAGCAGGCCGCGCGGGAGACTCTCGATTTGCCAGGCAGGCTGGAGTTGGTCGCGTGACCAACGAGTGACTCGGCCTCGCCCGTTTGCTTGCGACGACCGAGAAGGTTCTACCAGAAAGAAAAAAAAAAGAAAAAAAAAGGGGGTGTGGCATCTAGGTACCGCACATGAACTTCGTCCATGGCAGAGGAGTCATTCATCAATGGAGTCCGAGTGACTCGGCCTTTTCGCAGGCCCTTTCTTCAAGCCCTACGCCAGTCCCCAGTGGGCCGGGTCAGCCGGGTTTTCAGGGCTGAATAGTTCGCCAGCTGGATCGAGCGCAGGTGGATCGACTGGGATAAACTACGGAGTAGGTCTCTGGGGGTGGCTGCTCCCGTAACTAGGAACTCAAGTCAAGTCCTTTAGACCCTACCGTCAGTTCTCCAACTCTATGCATGGTGCAACGAGCATTTCAAATCACGCATGTGTGTGCATCACTCCCAAGGACAACTCCTCTTGATGAGCTGAGCTGACAAAGAACCATGCATAGCGGGTGAAAACGGCTCCTCGCCCCTTGAAATAGCTTTCGTTCGTTCGGGCTTGCCAATGCAGCGTATCTCCGACACATCGGGCTTGAGTCGGGGTTGATGCCGGGTCTACTTGTAGGTGGTTTGGTGCGGTGTCGCCGATGGGGCCGAGATCTAGAGACCCCCTTTTTAGGTTCCCTTTTTTTCCCCCTTCCCGATTTTCTCTTCTTTTCCTTCCCCCACGGACGGTCCCCCCCCCCAGGAAGCGGGAGGCCGCACCAACCCACACGCAACATTGAAAGTTTTTATTGTGGATCAACCTTCTAGAACTCCCGCCTGAGCTCCGAAACCCCATCGTGTGGTTGGCCAGAAAAGCCTGAACCCGCATCACCCGCATTAGCTTGCGTCCCCTTCGCATCCCGGCCGCCCCGCAACTCCGTCTCCATCCATCGACTTCGTTGCTTCGTCGGATTGCTAAGCCAGCCCGTTTTGCAATACCAGTGGTCGCGGTCCTGGCCCCGGCTGTCCTGCCGTGCTTTTCGACCTCATCGAGGCAATTGGATCGTCTGGCAAGCCCTGGATTGCACTCTGCCCGTCCTCGCCAGCGTACAAGGTTTGCAATTTCAGTCTCGGGGCCAACATTCATCATTCATGGCTGTCGTATTTTCATCCTCGTCGCACTCTATGATCGACATATATACTCCTTTCCTTCTTCTCTGCGACAGACTGAGCCGACTTCTGATATCGCTTTTCGAGCCGCCATGACCATTCTTGATAGAGCATGTTCATTACACTCATACTGCGTGCCATGCATGCCTGCTGCCACCTTTGTCCAACCCTCTCAATATATCCGGCGTGACCCACCCTCCTTTCTCAGATGATGATCAACTGCGGGATTTGCATGTTAGTCTTCTTCCTTTCCCGAGTTCGAGGCTGGGACTGTGTGCGCCCGAACGTGGGGTATGCTCATACCTCGATGAGCTTCTCTGTCAGGGCGAAGCATTGGCGGTCTTGCTCTTGAGAACTGCTTGACGAGCACGACCTCCACAGACCCCCAAACCCCATGTCGTCCAGTATATCGCTCAGTACGCCGGGGTTCTCAAGAGCGGTCGAGAACTTGGGAGTTGAACTCAATGTCTGCAGCAACACATGCGCCGATTGTAACGTGGCCGTGTTCTGGCAATGTAATAGGATGTCATCCAGGATCGATATGATGGGACCGCATCTAAACGAGCGGCAAAAAAGACCCCCGGATGGTTAGCTGCTGATACCATGCTCAACCTTCCAGAGGTAGAGAGAGGCCCATGCTAACTAGCTGCGCTCGAGGGCATGGATGGGACGGACGACTTACAGATGCAGGATCACCGCCGGCCTCGCCGCTGCCAACACGTTGAGCCACTGGAGGTTTCTATTTGCCACAGCCTCCTCCAGATACTGGAAGTCAACCAGACTCATCGCCGTATTCAGCAGGAGGTCCTTATCTTTCATCAGGCTCAAGTCTTGTGCCCCTCGAATCTCGGATATGCTGGTGGTCCCGGGAGCATCGACGCCAGCCAGCCAAAGGCTCTCCTTCAGTTCTTCCGGGTCGCCAGCTCGAGCCAGAATGAGGGCCATGTAAGGCGAGCCAGCCAAAGACTTGGTGTCCTGCTGTGTGCTTGCCGGCGCCCAGCTCGACATCTCGAAGAACATGGACAGCACTCTCAAAGCGGTAGCTTTACTGGCCGGTTCCGACAGGCCCCGTAGGAGGCACGCACAGGCAGCGAAATGGAAACTCTCCGCGTTAAAATGCACCCCATACACGTCGTCAAGCAAGAGGGCGGCGTCTTCTAGTTGGGCTCTCCCCTGGAGGAGTAGGGGCACCATCTTGTCGCCCTTCAGGTCCGTAGTGGTGTTGATGTTGGTTAGGACAGACTCCAGAAACATGGCGGTACAGCTGAACAATTCTGACGGCACAAGCCGCAGGAGAGATACTGCAAGCCAGAATAGCTGTAATCCGTACCTCGAGGCCGATGGAAGCTTTGCCATCATTCTCGACAGAGACGTCACAATCGCCACGAGCATGTCACTGTTGTTGTCCTCGCCGAAGCGGCCAACACTCTGGCGCAGAGCGACGAGCACCTGGTACAGCAGGTCGTCGTCGACCTCTTCTCGCGCTAAGCAACCCATCACGGTGAAAGCTCTGGGCTGGATGGCCGGGTTGTTTTGGAAAGCTGTGCTTGCTACCAAGCTCATCCAGCGCGACCGCCATGCGTTTGCCATGTCCACAGAGGGAGCAGCCACCGAACAGATCTCGAACAAGATACCCGCGAGGCTTTCGGTCGCTGCAAGGGTTGGGCCAGCGTCGTGATGTGTCGATATCGATGCCCCATCCCGAATGATGATGCTGTGTGAGCTCGAGAGCATGTCGCTCCTCGACTCGGATAACGAGTCGAGCGTGCCCCGGAGCTTGCCGAGGCGGGTCTCGTCCAGAGCAAAGGACGTGCAGGCGGCGTGGATCGAGTTGATCAACAGTCGATGAACCAAGAATCGCACATCAGGTGTGCCCGTGTTGGCCAGCATGGTGACTATGTGGAATATTTCTGGCAGGTAGAGTTGTGACTGGATGCCACTGTCGAAGGAGAAGGAGACGCAAAATTGCAGGAGGACGCATATCTCTGGCCAGACTGCATTGTCCGGGAGGAACTTGGTTGGGCGTAGCGAAGACCGGTTGAGGGCCTTGCGCAGCCGCGATATCACCCTGCCTCGTAAAGTGACGGTCCCAATGGCCGTCATGATCGAGGTCAAGACTTCGGTGTGCTCGTCGTGCAGACCTAGACTCAGGGCCGTCTTGAAAATCTCCTCTGACAGGATGTCAAGCAGCACCTCATCGTGGTGGATGGCCGGCCAGACGGTCTGCTCCAGTGTGAAGTTGAGTGATGGGTCAGACAGGGCAACATCGATGAGTTTCCTGAACAAGGCCGCAATCTTCTCCCTTGCTTTGTCGGCCTCAACTTCCGCTGCTAGCATGTACGTTCGTAAGCCAGGCAACCAGGGAGCCATGTAGGCCAAGCTCAACGGCTTTTGCTCCTCCGAAAAACTGTCCCATCCCACGAAGAACTCATTCAAAAAGTCCAACGTCAGCTGCGGTTCCGTCTGGGCTAGCCTTTTGCTCGTATTGATGATGAATTGAGATGGGTCGAGTGGTACAGAGATATCTGTCAGAGTGTCAGCTTCGAATCTTCGCATCTGGCGTTGGGCGGGCGCCCGAGGCAGGTGGATAGATACCCTTGGTGCTCATCACACTCGAGGCCGCGCTGAATTTGAATGCCCGGCAAAGAGCTCCAAGAAGGTTGTACGAAGACAGCCTCAAGGTGTGATCTTGGCTACCCAAATTGGTCAATGCTAGATTCAGAAGAGTCCCAGGCACGTCTTGCGGTCGAATGAGTCGTTCGAATGACTTCAGAGCCCTTGTGTCCTTTCCGTGCTTCACCTTGGCACCACGTATGGCCTGGAGGACGTCGGCCTTCTTTGGGCTGGTGAAGTACATTACGATCTTGCCATTGTCTGCTCTCAGGCCAAATGCAGAGTCATCTTCGGTCTGTATAGACGTCGGCGCTTCATCAACATCGCCCAATCTGAAAATATCATTGACAGTCGTACTGAGCCGGAAACCTTGGTAAACCTCCTGCTTCTTCGTTGTTGTGACTTGAACAAATTGACTTCCGACCTTGATGAGGACTTCAATTTTGCCCTTGGTCTTGGAGAGTCGCGTGATGGGCTGGAACACGTATCTGGTATCCGTCACCACACTGATCGTCTCCTTTGGAAGATGGAGCTGGCTGAGATGGAAATGGGTCTGCAGGTCTTGTAGACTGCCTATGAGGTGATACTCAACATTGCGCGGATTGAACACACTACTGTCATTCTTAGCGGATGCGCGCAGGATTCTCCGGAAGCATTTACTGTCTCTGGGTTAGTCTGTTGTTCTCGGTAACGAAAAGAGCATATGGGGATTCAGCCAGCGCCTTACCGGAAAGCAGTGTTCATGTTGTATACGTAGACTCGAGATAGTTGCCGGGACAGTTCTGTCGGGGTCAAGAGCTCGAGTCGCTGGAGAAGTTCATCCTGTGGCTCATGCTGGCCGTTGTAGCATGTGGCATCGATAAGAAGTCCGAATGGCCGGTGCCACAGCCGGCTTGCGATCTAGAGCAAAGTAAGTCACTGATGCGCAGTCTAGCCACGGACCCGACTGCCAGAGCCGAGAAATTGTCTGCTTACCTTCAGATAGCAGTATATGAGCGTGTCGTAGTCGATTGTCTCGGCATCTATATTCCGCAGTATCACACAGATGATAGACAGACCATCCTAGGGGCAAACTCCATGTTAGCACGCAGACGTATCGGGATCTTTCTCACGGCTGCCTACCTTACTCTCGCCACCGTCATAGACAGAACGGGCGGTGACAAAAGACTCTGTGCTCCGGAATGCGTTGCGGAGCATGAAGTTTTGGAATCGCGAATAAGATGGCGGGCTGTTTGCCGATATCTGAGGTCGGTTCCACGTCACAGCCAGAGGCGGCGGGCCTAAGTTCGTGATGAGATTCCTGAGGGGCTCGAGAACGGGCGACTTCCCACGTGTAAGTTCGTTGGGGGAGCGGACAAGGCCTCGTCGCTGCTGTGCCGCAAGACGTTGTCGGACGGGATCCCAATGGTCATACAGAAACCGGTGAAGGGCAACACACGACCCGAAATCGAAAGACTCCTCCACACCAGCCGAGTCAACGGACTCCGGAGCGACCTGCAGGGCGTCCAGAGAGGTTAGCGTCGGTGAATAAATGGTAGAGCGGGTTGGGACAAATGCCATACCGAGATCTCGCGCAAAAACGTCGTGACACGATAGATGTTCTGTGTCAGAAAATCATTCAAGGGAAACATGTACGGTTCTTTGGCCCCAAAGAGGACATTGTTTGCCAAGTTCTGAATGACTTTGGCTATTAAGAGCAAGCCTCGCCGCATTTCCTTGGTGGGCGGCGAGGTGACCAGCCCTTCGACCTCGGGCGCCACTATGGCAGGGCAAAAGAACCGCAGAAAGATGAACGCACCGACGGCTGTGTATTTGGCTTCTTGGAATCGTGGCATGACGGCTGCAGATATCTGCGAAGTAGGCATGTTAGTGCGATTTCTGGAAGACCTAGAGGATTCACTGACAATGCTGCAGATCTTTCGAAACTGCGAGGGAATGCTGGCAGAGGATGCGCAGATGTCGTCAATGAACACCTTCGCAACAATTCGCAGCTGAAGAGCGTTTTTCTGGAGTTCCTCCGTGGATGATACCCTCGTCGGGTCGAGTTCAAGGTCCAGATCATTTGCCGTCATCATCAACCTTTCGACCACTTTCTGCAGAGTAGCCCGGAGGTATGCTGCACCTTTCCACTTGGCATAGACGGAGAGCATCTTTGTTGCTACACAGGTCCGCCGGAGCAGTTCTGCTTCATTTTCTGCCAGGGGGCGAGTTAGGTACCTCAATCTTGGACAGGGGCAGCTCGGGCGGCACTCACCGGTATCCTCGACTTCTTGCTTGATCAGGGCTTCGAGCAGTATGAAGCTGAGACCCCGAGTCTCAAAGATATTGAGAAGCGAAATGGTCAGTTCGTCGACTTCGGAACTGGGGCAGATTGCGCTCATTGCGGTCGCCAATGTCGTGTCGCTTGTCAGGAGCTGGAGACAGGATTCAGTAAGGTACTCTTCCGCATCTGGTATGGACTCTCCACCTACATCAATCAGCTCGTCGTATTTTTCGTTGACTGCCGTATCAGACAAATTGTTGAATTCGGTGCCTTGTATGAGGATATTATACAGAACCTTCACAAATGCTGTCCTGATCTCGGGGTTCTCATGATAGCCAATGCTCAGCGAGTGTTTCAAGCCAACGTCGATGTTGGCACTGAGCAGGTTTGACAGAACCGTGATGGCAAGGTCGGACATGGAGCTTGATTCGTCTCGGCTCGATATGATACCGGCGTGGTCTGCTCTGCTGGCTTCAGAGGTCTCCAGGTTCAAGAGGGAGAGGAAACGGTTGAAATAGGTGTGAAACATCTGAGACTTGAGCTCGCTGGCCCCTGCATCTGATTGCCCATCCCCGGGCTGCAAAGGCAACCGGTATGTCAGCTCGGCCAACGATTTCAAGCAAGCCTTATCTAGATCACGTTGCATCCGAGCTGCCTCATCTAAGCGTCCAGGACCATTTGTAGTATTGTCGACACGGGGTGAGCGTGGACGGGCAATCCAGCTGAAAATATATTCGAGCAATTGGTTTCGAACGCGCACATCGTCTCGTAGATTCAGATGTTCTTTGCGTTTCGTGACAGCCTCGGACAATTGGCACACCCGAATCTTGACCTTGAGACTGCTGGACGTGTCGGGAGCGCCATCGAGAAATCTGGCGAAATTCAGGGTTAAAGAGCCAAGATGTACTGATGACGCAGCGCTCAGGTCCGAGGGTGTGTCAAGCTTTTCTATAAGCGCTCGCAGCAGTGAGGCAGATTGCTCTGCAAAGATGATCTCGCTGTCTTGTTCCTTGGTTGACTGCTCGAGTGCTCCGGTAAACAGCACATCAAGTTCTGACTCCAGAGCTCTGAACAAGGGCTGATACAGACTTGGGGAAACTTCGCTCGACAAAACTTCCCTCATTGTTTCCCGAACTCGAACATTGCTGCAAGCGAGCAGCTGGACACTAAGCCTCAAGTATCTGCCCAGAAGCGGTTCTTCGTGATTCTCGGAAGAGAGCCTGTCAATCCACCTCAGACCACTGATGGCAGGCTCATCGAGCACCGAACCCTGATCAGCTGTACAAGTACCACCCAGCGATGCCAAAAAGCCCGAATAATTCCTCCACTGCACCACCGTCTTTTCCGAGACGGATTCTGGGGCGATGGTGGAGACGTCCTTGGACAGGTGAAGCCACTTCTCGAACACGGCCTCCCATGCGTTAAGAATTCCGCTGCTAGGGTACTGCATGCGTCGCAAGAGGCCATTGATCCGTCGCTGAAATGCAACCAGGCCCGTGAAACGGAAACCTGGAGAAGCAATCTCCCGGAAAGTTTCGCCATTCCGCAATAATGTGGAAGATGACTTCGCGCCGCCAGAGGCCGTGTCTATGATCCTGCATTCTTCCAGAAAGAGCGATATGCAGGATGTTACTAATTGACACGTTTCGATACTTGCTGAGCAGAGTGATACCAAGAAGAGGGTTTCAAGTTTTGAGGATGCGGCCGTTCGGTCAGGGACCTCCTCAGAGAGTTGTGATAGTCCCTAATAAGCGAGTTATTAATACTGATTCATGAAAACTGTGCTGTGACTAGCTGATACGCACGCGAACAGAAGACAAGAGGAGCACTCTAGCTTCGAGGTAGCTGTGAATGGCTTTCAACCCGGCGCTCAATGATCCATGGACACCGCCTCTTTCACACATGCTCATGAGAACGAGGGAACTGCTCGAGTCTTTGAGTCAGCGGTCAGAGTCATATTGGCAAGTCGAGGAGGGGATGCGCACGTCAGCCTCCAAAAGTCGGTCTTGAACCTCTGAGAACCTAGTCGAGTAGAGTCTTTGATGGATTTCGAGATCATGTCGTCAGCAAATAGACGTTTCGCAACCCCCACAGCTAACCGCCGGATCGATTCATCGGAAGCAATGATACACGAGATGAACGACTCGAAGTTCTCCTCGAAGAAACGATCGCGTTCCTCGAGGCCCTCGGGTGGGCCCAGGAACAATGTCCTGGGCGAAGCATCGAGAAAATCGAGGATGTTGCAAATCATGACACTGGAAGAGATGGAGTCGGAGCTCTTGCGCTGGGAAGGCGAGTCATTGGTGTACATGTCTACAAAGAATGCAGACGTGGCCTGCCATGGAAAAGAACATCAGTCTGACAACTTTTCGATGCGCCACCCCTGGGACTTTGACGGCTTACCTTTAACTGACCCTGTACGAAGGCCGAAGCCGTGACAAAGAGCGGCTGATACTGTTGCGGGCTCTCCAATCTAGCAAAATGAGAACAGGCCTGAATAACTGCGACCTTGAATGCCTGAGGGGCAGAAGGGACGAGGCAACTCTGGGCGAGAGAACCGGCGCACACTTCAAAATTGAGGTGGGTTAGACTGACAAACGCCGCAGTCAGGATATCCTGCTCGAATAGGGAGCCGTCGGAGCCCGCAGGATACCGACGAAACACAGCCTCCTTGACCTCGTCCTGCACATCCATGGCGTAGCTCACAAGGGATGAATCGCTGTCGATCTCAAAATGACGAGCAGCGCGAAGCAGTGAGACTAGACAGTATGCCGCATGCTCGTTCTTATTCCGCATGGCTTTCCTCAGACTGTCTAGAAAGGCAACCTTCTTGGACATGCTGCTGCTCCTAGCTTCCCGTAAGTCACTGGCTACTTCGAAGACGTCCGGAAGCAATAAAAGAAGGCTCATCTGCAGCGGATATAGGAGAACCCTTCTCCTTCCGTTGTCAGTCACTGTCTGCGACATATCGAAAAGGGTGTCTGGGCCAGTGTCGACTCTCTTCTGCACCGTATGAAGTTCCACGAACTCATCAGGATAACGGTCGACCCAGCGGGTGATGAGCAGTGGTGTTACAACAGCAATGGTATTCTGGAAGGTCCTCCGGAAGTGCAAGAAACTGGAGCAGAGTTCCTGAATGACCAGCCCGAGTTTCTGTCTGTCTACCCAGAAGAAGGAGATGAGCCGCATGATGATGAGTGCTAACCGCTCCTCTTCTGTGGCAGTCGCTTGCACCGTCACCACGGGCCCTTGTGAGACGCTGGTCGCCCGCACCGCATAGATAGTTGCTCTGAAGTAATCAAAAGCCGACGGCCAGCTCGAGGCCGTCACATACTCGACAATGGATTTGACATTTGCCTCTATCTCCTGGGTGTGGACCTCGAGGATGGTGTATGTGTCTTGCCCTTCGTCAGACATCCTGGACAGCGGTGTCTGAGGGGTCTCGCGGGAGGACTGCGCCGTCTCGGGCCGGCGCGAGGTGTGGTCGTCGAGAATGGTTCGAGCTGGCAGGGAGTAGTTGTCGGAGATGGGAACAAGGAACAGCCTCACTGATTGGAACAACCTTTTGACGAGGTCGTCGTCCAAGGCCCGGGGTAACGGAAGCTGGGCCCTCTGGGCGCTGGTCAGCGGCGGACCACCCGAACGGGCGGACCGCACTGTGACCGCATTCCAATGGCTCTCGCAGCAGTCTGCCACGAGAGCCAGGATATACAGTTCCGAGAGGAGAATATGGGAGGGGTGCCCGCCGACGTTTTTGTACGGTTTCGCAAGGTCGGCGAGCAGGGAGAGGAGGGCGTCGAGGACAGCAGCAATCGAGGTGGCGCTGACCTTCACAATCGTAGAGCGTGTGATGTTTACAATCTCATCTTGATCAAGGTCTTCACTCTGGGTGCCAGTGCGGTGTGGTAACTAGAACAGGAGCAGACACACCGAAGTCAGCGGGTCCGCACAGAAGAGAGCGAGGAGAAAGGACGAGAGCTCAAGACAAATTACCCTGGTGCTCAGCCTCTCCACGAGACAAGCGACAAGACCCGCGTCGCCATTCATTTTGATCAATCCAGCCCAAATTGTGCTGTATAGGTTTTCATGACGACTCTGTAGATAGCTGGAGCTGGCTAGAGAGACATGAGGTGCGGCCGTTACCGTAGCCCTGCGCCTTGCGGCTTCGAGATATAGATGATGGGGGCGGAGCAATGTGTTGTTGCCAGTAGGCTCGATGAGTGATGCGCCTCTGCGACTGCTTCACAACGTGGGGGGTGGGTGAGGGGGAGGATTGGCGGGGTCCAAGGAGAGTGACCGCCTCGAACAGCTCAGGATCAGGATGGGAGAAAAGGATAGTCCTGCCTCCAAAGGGAATTGGCCGGCAATGACGAGGTGCTTTAGTCGGGAAACCGTTTCAGCAGGTTGAGATTCGCACTTATCGGTAGCACTGCGGTTGACCGTGGGCGCGCACCTCCTTTACCAGAGCGGGACGGGGTTAGTGAGTGAGTGGCTCGTCGAGGAAGCGCGGGCGGGAGCGCCGTTGGGCGAGTTTCAGCAAGGATGGGAGTCTCGGGCGCTGTCACACAGAGGCAACGGGTCAACTGGTCAACTCGAATGTGAAGTCACAAGCGATATTGCAAGCTTGCAAGACGTTTGTCGCAGAATATGGTGCGGAAATAATGAGGAGCAAGCTTGCTGGGATGTGTGTGCGGAAGGAGGGGCTATTTCCTCCAGCTTTCTCAGTAAGTAGATGGGGAGTACCTGGAGGTCGTTTTATGCATTGGGTTGGTACCTATCTGACTAGGCTCTCAGGGTCGGCAGTTTAGGGCGCGATGTTGAGCACGACAGGTCCATAGGTGTATTTTAGGTGCTTGATAGGGGGGGTCAAGCGGCATGCACAACCTTAAGCACCTGAAGAACCAACATTAGGATCGGGTAGTTCCCCACATCATCGTGGCCCCGAGACAAGGGACGGGGGCTCGCGCCAACAGCATCGCCAACGGTGTGCTAGGTACTTAGATAGAATTTAGGTTAGGGAGGGAGTCAAGGAGTGCGGCGTAACTTCGCAAGACATCATTGAGAAAGGTGAACCAGATCCAGAAAGCTCAACAGACGGAGGCGCAACAGATTCTTATAGTAAACTACCTACCTATCTCGCCGATGCTTTCACGGCTCAAGGAGGGAAAGCTACTCAGTACCTAGGTAGGCCCATAGGGACTCCTTGTGCAGATAGGCCCATGAGAACCAAATTGAACGCGAAGGCAAAGCACCTAACAAGTCTATGTAGATAGCAGATATAATTCACCACAATACACACCTAGGTAGCACCAGCTACCCCTCCTTGGCGGTGCAAGGAACCCCTTTCGGTAAGTAGACATTTGTAGCATATAAGTAACGGTTCTGAACCCCACTATATCATTGTGACGGGTGGGCCGCCAGTACCTATGTGGCCTGTGCTGTTCCAGCCTCAGGTCCAGTCAGTGATGGGACCTAAGGCACTCCAAGGAGTACCAACGATCTTTAAAACTGTACCAACGTACACACACGACTTCGTCATTTTTCCAACGGTCCTCCAAGTCCTCGAGCATGGATCTGCATGCCCGTGTCTACCTCAGGCAGTAACATCACCCCATCAGTAGCCCCCTGAACCGCGATAGTTGCGATTGCGATCGCGGTTGTCGTAAGGTCGAGAGCCCCGACCATCATAGCCCGAAGGCGCACGAGAACCGCGACCGTATCCTTGTTGGTATCCGGTCTGAGGGTAACGATGAGGAGGAGGTGGAGGAGGATATGCGCCGGCGTAGCCCTGATTCCAACTCTGGTTGTGACCACGCCCATCGCTGCCTCCTGACAAGTGCGCCGGAGGCGGTGGCGGAGGGTGGCCCATGCCAAAGCCGGGATACCCAGGCGGAGGGGGCGCCCATCCCGAGCCAGGGGGCGGTGGAGGCGGCAGTCCACTGTACTGATCGCGTGAGTTATAGTCGTTCCTCCCACCATACGAAGGCTGCGGCCGGGCATACGAGCCGCTCGAACCATAGTAGCCTGGTTCGTTACGGCCCTCATTGCGTCCACCTCCGTGATAGCCACCCCGATTATTGAAGGGAGCGCCGCCATGGTTGCGGCCCGACCGAGAAGTCTTGCTCTTCAACTGCTCCTTGTCGTTCCGATCAAGGACCACATCGGGCAGCTTTACCCCTCGGAGAAGCATTGATTTATGGCCGTGAGACTGTGAGGGTATTTCATAGTGAACACTAATGCGGCATAACCGACTCGTTAGTATGGCATAAAGTAACAACCGATAGTGACACCCAAACTCACCTCAAAGACCGGTCGTATTCGATATCGGGCATCGCACTGCGCTCCAACGGGTAGACCAGCGAGCCGTGTGGCAAGTACTCGTCCACTTTTTCGACTCTACCCGCGAGGCCGTCGCTCGTCCTTGGGTCGAGCTTGAACTTCGGGGCTCCCTGACGCTTGGAATAGAAGTTGGTCGTGATTTCGTCGTACAGACCTGGGTGCGCATCGGACAACATCAAGAGAACCTTCCCGACGCCGTTGCGGACTTGGTCTTCACGGCTGAGCAGTGGGTATTTCTTTTCCACCGCCTCTAGAAGACGGGACATGTCGATGAAAGGGAGTAAGGCCACACCCTGCCAGGCCATCTTCTTCCCGTTCAGGTCAACCTCGAAATCCTCGGGATAAAAGTCGATGATTTCACTGTCCTGGTTAAGCATCAAGTCGTGGAAGACCTCCGGGAGTGCATGCCGTGAGGCAGCTGGAAGGACGCTCATGAGCTGCTCGAACGGCTTCGAGATGCGGCCCTTCTCGAATGATATCTTCATCTTGCTCAAGTCCACAAAGTCTGCAGCAAACGGTGCGTAGTGATATGGGTAATACCAATCCCACGAAGGACAGCCCTGAAAGTAGTACAAAAGTACCCAAGCGAGTCCCTCAACGTAAGAGCGGGCCACCTTGTGACGGAACTCGATATCCTTGGGGTCGACGTGAAACTTCTGTGCGTAATACCGATCGCCGTAGCCTTCTTCCCAGAGCCTCACGGTATCAACGGGTCCGTCCGCAGTGCTGACGCTCGGTGTCCCTGGAGTTGCTGCGCCCGGGGTGCTGGAAGCATCGTCGTCATTTGTCTCGATAGCGGCCTTACGCTTTCCTAGTACCGTAGGCGGCGTCGTGAGAGCATCGCTGGCATCATTCTGAGGGGCATCGTCGGTTTTCTTCGGGGTGTCCGGGGCTGCCTGGGAAGCGTGGCCTTGCATCCGACTCTTGAGAACACTGGCGGCGCTCTTGTTTGCAAGATTCGCCTGTTGGACAGCTCCTCGGTTTACAACCATATCGTGTGTCATGTTTCTGGGGAGATCGGCAGGAATGTCGGATATGGCGCGTAGACTGATGGAGTCAGAATTGTTGATGTAAGCCTGATCTCTATTCTTGCTGTTGGACAAAGGCGCCTCTTGCTGATATCCACGTCGGCTGCTTTGGTCCTGGAGCTTGCGTCGCTTTGCGTTCTCCTCTCGACGATCCTCCTGCTGCTTCCTACGCCTAAAAATCGCATCTTCCTGCTTTGCCAGCCCGGACATGATAACTTGGGCTCTCTCCAGGTCGATATGGCCGTCCTTGGTCACATAACCGCCCATGTATGGGAGATTCTCCTTCCAGATTGACGTGAGGGTATTGATGCCGTTTTCCCGGATTTCCAGAGCCGGTAGATGTGGGAGGAAGTCGTTTCCGACGAAGCAACACAGGAAGACCCAATCGTCGATTGCCCGCTCCAAATCCCAGCGGAAGGGAAGGCCAGGAACGTCAAGTTCGACAGCGAGATACTCGCGGAGCACAGAGACATGAAGCCAGATGAACGGCTTCAGCGGATGAGCCTTGTCCTTCTCGTCAAAGTCACCAGCCTTCTCTTTAGCTTCGCCCTGGCATGCCCTCGCTTCATGGCCTTTTTGTCCACAAAGCTTGCACATCCTAGCCTTGGACTCTTGAAAGAAAACATCCTCACGAAGGACCCTGAAATGGGGTTCATGAGTAGCCAGGCTGAGCATGATCAAGTCAGCATCCAAACCATAGATGACATGGCGTGTGTTGGGGTCATGGTCGGGCGAGGATCTCTGAGAGCGCACAAAGTCCATGATTTTGTGCTCGCCTTCGCCCGGCACGGTTGCATCAGAGATGATTATTTTGAGGCTGGCCCAGGCAGGGTCCGTGTTGAGCTTGTAAGCACACCAGTACCTCAAGCTGGCCGCCAAGATGTCCATGAAGGGGGTTCCGGGAGTAATGGAGTTGGAGTCGAAAGCCTTTTTGGTCACCGTCTCGAGCGATTCTGCAGCAAGAACACCGCCGTTCTGCTGCTTGAGCAGCTTCAGAAGCTCTTGCTTGTCTTCCTCCTTCTGTTTCGCGTCTTGCGCTGTCCGGAAGCGCCTGGATCTTTGCTGATTCATCTTGGCGCGGGGAGCGACTCCATCGACAGCAATCATGAGGACTTTTCGGGGCCGTACCATGTTAACGACACGATCGGTATACTTGAACACCTCCATCATCATCTCCTCTTCATCCTTGGGGGGGGGACGGTCTTCGGGATGCGAGCATGGGTGAACGATGCCATTCATGTCGAGGTACAGGTTGTCGAATTCTTCTCCGTTGGGGTTGGATCTCGTGTAGTCGACTGGGATGACCGTGCCGTCGTCCATGGTGACGGGCTGCTCTTCGACGACCGAAGATATAATCTTCGGGTACTTGCTTGAGAGCCATCGGAAGGCAGCTGGAATACCCATCACGACTGATGCGCAGAGGCAGAATGCCGAGGGAAAGCGAAGCCCTGGGAAAGGCTGTCGATTCTGCGGTGCTGGTCGCCAATCCGAGACAGGCGCGCAAGGCTCTTGGGCGACTTTGGCGCAGAATAAAGGATGGATTTGACGGGGAAGTGGGAAAGGTCGAGGCCGTCAATGTCCAGTTCAGGCCATGCACGTAAGTCTGCGTGCTTGGTGTCTGGAATGTCGAGATACCTCGTGGTGTATCACGGAAAGGGCGGTCCAAATAGCTAGAGTCGCGCTCTAGGCGTCGTGATGAGGATGGATTGAAAAAGACGTGAGAATTCTTCGACGACAAGATCTGGTAAGTACATGTACCAACCTACCTAAGTTTGCAAGGCCCAGACTTACCAAATTAGTTACGTACGCTCTACGGAGGAGGATGAATGCCTTGGACGATGGCGGCCAAGGGATCTTATCGGGGCGCTAAGATGAGTGATAAGAGACTAGGTACTTGCTAAAGGTGACGGGCACCAAGGAGTCCTGGGTACCTACCTGCCTGGGTGCCTGCTTATGCGGAGTGAGATCTACTTGTAGGTACAAGCCGTAGACCCCTTCCCCCCCAGTCAGTGCTCACTTCGGGGCTGTTTGTGCTTGGTAGAAACCCTTTTCAGCTGAATTGCCCAAGTACCGGTTAGTACCTCTCTACACCAGCAATCTGTCCCCTAACTAATACATTAACATTCTTTTTTTTTCTTGGGACGTGGTCACTGGTCAGGGGATCAGTGTATTGGAAGTCTCCAGAGTTGTAGCCAACCTTACCTACAGGTATCTAGATACCTTAGCTTTGGATCATAACTTGATATCACGCATACCTCAACTTTGCCATTGAGTCAGCGAAATGGACAGATTATTGTTGTGCCTTTCCTTGATCTAGGGTCAAAAATTGAGCGGTCGCGTTTTACACTCGTCTCTTGAATGCCAGGAGAGCAGAACACGCACACCGAAGACTGAGCTCCAGTCCCCCTTCAGCCCTCGAGCCGTATTTCGCATCCTCGACTTTCTCTCTCTAATCGGGCTTGACTGCCTCATTTGCCGCCAGCGTTCAATGGCCTCTCGACGCCGACCAAGCCTACATCAACAATGTTCTCCATTGCCTCTGCGCCGGCTAAACAGTCGGTGAGCGAGACCATCTCCGTCTTGAGCGGGCGTCTCACTGCCACCTTACTCGAAGATCGTCGAGCTGCCATCCTCGGCCTGCGAAGTTTCGCCAAGGAGTACCCGGCCTCCGTGGCTTCTGGAGCCCTGCGCAGCCTCATTGGCAGTCTCAGCAAGGACGGAGAAGATGTGGACACTGTCAAGGTGGTCCTCGAGACCTTGCTCATGCTTCTGAACCCAAACGAGGACAGTCCCGAAGCATCGGAAGACATTGCGCTATGGCTCGCCGACGAATTCACGCAGAGGCAGGAAAACATCACCTTGCTACTTGATCTGCTCGAGACAAACGACTTTTATTCCCGGCTCTACTCGCTACAATTGCTGACAGCTATCCTCGATGCTCGGACCGAGAGGACGGAGGAGTGTGTCTTTACCGCGCCCCTGGGCATTTCACGCCTAGTTGCCATCCTCGACGACCACAGAGAAGCGATACGAAACGAAGCTATAAATTTCCTGACTTCCCTTACTCCAACTTCGCCCGATATACAGAAGCTTGTCGCGTTCGAAAACGCCTTTGAGAGGACGTTCAAGATCATCGAGTTGGAGGGCTCCCTGTCCCAGGGTGGGCGTGTCGTGGAGGACTGTTTGATCCTGCTAGCAAACCTTTTGCAGCTGAACGCCTCGAACCAATCGCTTTTTCGCGAATCTGGGTGTATATCCTCCCTATCGAAATTGCTCAAGAGTACATACGAATCGAGTCCAGACGGAGAAGAGGTCGCTGTGTGGGCGGCGGCGCAACGGAACCGGAATACATATGCTCTCTTGGCGGTACTACGCCTGTTTCTCGTCCCCGGCGCCTTGGGAACGGTCCAGAACCAGGATGCCTTCTGGCACCATGGTTTGTTGTACCACGCTTTACAGTTAGCGTTCGGCCACGACACGGAGATCCAGATCAAGGCGCAGGTTAGACCCGACACGAATTCTTTGCACACTGCGGTGAATTGCTAATGCATAGCAGGCACTCACTGTGTGCGCCGATATCATCCGAGGCAACGCTCGTTTACAAGAGAGCTTTGCGCAGCTCCAGGTTCTCACACCCTTTCCTGGGCCGTCGGGAAGCGGAGGGGCTGCGGAAGGCGAGAAAGCCAACGGTATTCCGAAAGTGTATGTGATCGATGGGCTGCTAGACATAACCCTCAGCGTGCATCTTGCGCAGGCCTTTGACGTCCGTATGGCCGCTTGTGAATGTTTAAAGGCCTACTTCCACATTCATGCAGAGGTGCGACTGCACTTCTTGAGGCGAGCGATTGAAGGCCACAAGTCGGGTGCCGATGAGACTGCTAACGTGTTGACCACGCTACTTCGACCGACTGACGATTCCGCCTCGAGCGATCCATACCGCTATTGGTTCGCGTCCATCATCATGTTTCACCTGATATTCGAGGACCCAACTGCGAAACAAATGGCCATGGCAGTGACGGAAGGAGACGAGTCCAATGGCGAAGAGGTCGTCACGAGCATACAGACCATCACCGCCCATCTGCTAAGCAGCCTCAACAAAGGGGACGATCACCGGCTTATCACCGGCTACTTGATGTTGCTCATCTGCTGGCTATTCGAGGACTTTGATGCTGTGAACGACTTTCTAGGAGAAGGCAGTAACCTTCAAGGTTTGATCCAGGCGGTCCTCAAAAGTACCAACAACGAAGTCATTGTACAGGGCCTCTGCGCCGCTTTGCTGGGGGTGGTATATGAGTTTTCGACCAAGGATTCTCCAATCCCGAGGGCTACCCTGCAGCCAATCCTAGTAGGCAAGATGGGCCGTGATCGGTATATCGACAAGCTGAACCGGCTGAGGACGTTTGCCTTGCTTCGGGATTTCGAGGTTCTGCCCCAGAAATCCGACCCCTCGGCTGACCAGAAATGGCCTGACGTCTTTTTTGATGCCGCGTTTGTTGGCTTCTTCAAGGACAACTATTCCAGGCTCGTCAGGGCGGTAGACCGGGATCCCGGCATGGAAATATCCGTCGTGAGCAATGGTGTGCAGCGGGGAGTCTCGCGAGAGCTAGTTGACTCGCTGCGAGCCCAGTTGGAAGATAAGGAGCGGGCCTTGCAAGAGAGCCAGACCCAGATGGCGTCCCTAGAAAAGCAGCTAGCCCAGGAAAAAGTTGAACTGAGGCGAGCAAAGGAAGCGGCAGCTGGGGAGCTGAGCACAGCGCAGCAGGCGCTGGAGATAGCCCAGCAGGCCCGCGAAGAAGAGCTGAGGTGCGTTGCGGGAATGCTGCAGTCAGTGGGCGCTCGGCTAAACTGAGAACAGGAAACTCCGTCGAGAGCATCAGGCTATTTCTGAAGACCTGCAAAAGAAGCTTGACGCCTCTCAACAAAAGCACGAGGAAGAGCTGAAGTGAGTCGCCCGCGGTAGCCGACCTGGGGGTGGTACTAAACCCAGAACTCTTAGATCTACGCGCGAAGACCTCCAAAGACAGCTTGAACATGTTCGTCGAACGGCAGAGATGGAAGCACAGCGGCAGCAGCGCCGCGCCGAAGCCGAAGTTGCAGACGTACGAGCGACAGCCAGTCGGCTAGAGGTCGATGTCATGAAGGTATAGACCTCCCATCCTGAACCCAAGTCACACGGTCGATTCTCAAACCTGAACAGGCAACCAAATCGAAAATACAAGAGCTGCAATCCATGAAGGATTCATATGAAGCAAAGTTATCCAATGAGCGTGCGGCAGCCAAGAAGGCCGAAGCCACACTAGAAGAAACCCGGGCCCAGACGCAGGCGACGGAGCAGAAGAGGCGGGAAGCGGAGTCGGCTCTGGAGTCGGCCGAGGAGGTACGCAGGGGGGTAGAGGAGCAAGCTAAGGCTGCCAAGGCCCAGGTGCAGGAGGTAAGACCATTGCCCTCGGAGGACCATATCACACTGGGCGGAGAGAGACTAACGCTTGGCTGGTACGGCAGAACATGTCTCTCCTGAAGAAATGCGAGGATGAAAAACAGACAATCCAGACCGAACTGGATGACCTGCTCATGGTGTTTGGTGACCTCGAAGAAAAGGTGGCAAAGTACAAGGTAGGTCGTCGCCGTCATTCAACATCTGTATGATTGGACTTGTGTGCTAACCCGCCCCCCCAGGCTCGCTTGAAAGCGCTGGGAGAGGAAGTTTCGGAAGGTGAGGAGGAGGAGGAGGAGGAGGAGGGCGAGGATGGCTCCGACGAAGAAGAGGCTACCAATGACGCAGAGTGAGCAGGATATCAGCCACCCCAGTCACCGATCAATGATGGCGATATGGCTTGCGTGATATGGCTTGCGTGACCTGGGCGGAGCAGAAGATGGTCCCCGGCTGCTCAGGGCAGGATCAAAGACAAGCAAATCATCAAAGTCAGGCATAGCATCCAATGTCTTCAGGACCCTTGGGCACGATCTGCCGAGCGATATCAACCCAAGTCCCTTAAGTCTTCTAAGCCTTTGCACCAGGCATGCATGATAAATAACTATCTCGATCGTTGCTCGAATGCGATGCGATGTTCCCTTCGGCTCGCTCCTTTTTCACTTCAGATGGTTCAGGAGTGCGCGTCGAATTTAGCAGACTTGGACCCAAGGAAAAACAAAGCAGCGATAAGATAATAAATTTGAAAAATACGGAGTCTAAAAATTCATCCCACTTGGACATGGGACCCGCACATGACATCAAATTATTCCACGTTTCTGGACACAATCTGAACACAATCGGAACACAATCCGGAACAGCGCTGTTGTCTCTCATTCCCAACCCACTCACTTCGAAGTGCTTGACGAGAGCCGGGCCATCTCGGGCTGTTCTCTGCACCGCCTCCCCCAGCACAACATCTGTTGGTCGCCGACACACATATCTCTTCCCACCATGTCCAAGGAAGAAGAAGCCCACTCAGACTCGGATGTCTCGAGCGAGGAAGGCTGGGTTGATGCTGATGGCGAAGAGGCCGAGGAGCAGCTCGCCATTATTTCGCTTCTTGATGACCGCGTCTTTTCCGATGCCGCCTCCATGTTGTCCTACTGCAAGGACAAGTTCGGACTTGACTTCCTCGCGATTCGTGAACGACTGTCCCTCGACTTTTATGGCACAATCAAGCTTATCAATTTCAGTGAGTAGCCACCGTCCGATCCCACCCCCCCGGGACCTTTGCTTGATCATGATCTCATTCTGACCTCGAATAGTCCGCCAGAGGGTGCATGAAGGGGTCGCCCTACCCAAGGAGATTTCCGCAGAAGACATTGTGGACGACCGCTATCTGAAGCCCGTGCTTGATGATGATGCTCTGATTCTCTGCCTCGACGAGTTGCCAGACCCGTCGACAGAGTCAGTCCATGGGGGTCTTGCCGATGATCCCAATCCTCCATCAGAGGGTGCCAGCCGAGACGCAGAGGGTCTGCTCAAGGAGAACACCCAACTGCGCGAAGAGTTGGACCGGCTAGCGAAGCAGTTCCAGAGCTATCGTGAGGCGGTTCAGCAAACCTTGGATCAACGATGGGGGGATGACGACATCAATGATTCTTCAACCCCTGCCAGCAAGGGTGATACCAAGACGAGGGGGGATGAATCTGAATACTATTTTGAATCCTACGCCCACAACGGTCAGTGGTCCCACCCATCTACTTCGCCCTTTATTAGTCGTGTTCATCCTGACAATACATGCGCAGATATCCACGAGACCATGCTCAAAGACACAGTGAGAACCGATGCGTACCGTGATTTTATTTACAACAATAAAGATATCTTCGCTGGAAAGACGGTGCTGGACATTGGCTGCGGCACCGGCATCCTGAGCATGTTCTGCGCAAAGGCAGGCGCTAAACAAGTCATTGCTGTCGATCGGTCCGAGATCATCGACAAGGCGAGAGAGAACATCTTTCGCAATGGTCTCGCAGAGAGCATAACATGCCTGAAAGGCAGGATCGAAGAGGTGACCTTGCCGGTCGCGCAGGTCGACATCATCGTCAGCGAATGGATGGGCTACTGTTTGCTCTACGAGGCCATGCTTCCGAGCGTTCTTTGGGCCCGTGACAGATATCTGGCGCCCGACGGACTGCTGGTCCCCAGCCACGCGACTCTCTGGATTGCCCCCGTCTCGGACTCAGAGTACGTCTCTGACCATGTCACGTTCTGGAGAGATGTGTACGGCTTCGATATGGAAGGCATGATGGAGGGCATCTACAAAGATGTTCGCGTCGATGTCTTACCAGAGAAGTCCGTGTGCGGACGGCCGTCCATGTTCCGCTACCTGAACCTGCACACTGTCACGTCGCAAGACCTTGTCTTCAGCAGCAAGTTCTCCTCCTCGGTCTCGGCGGACGCGGACTCTCTCGACGCCTTTCTTGTCTGGTTTGACATCTTCTTTGCGCTCTCGCGAGAAGCCGAGATCGTTCCCGAGGACATCACTGCTCAAGAGTGGGCTGCGAGAGGAACCGACGTCGTGGCCTTTACTACCGGCCCTTTCAAGACGGAAACCCACTGGAAACAGGGCCTCTTGCTCAACCAGACGAAAACCCCGTCTCCGTTGAAGAGTGGAGAGGTGGTCGAAGGAGAAATTACTTTCTCGGTGGCCGACGACAATGCCCGAGCACTGTCACTCCGGGTTGACTGGTCTGAGGGACCCAGGGGGAAGAAGACGCAAACGTGGGCTTTGAAGTAATATAGTAGACGTGCGACTTTGTCTCTGATTCTCTGGGCTCAAAATCATCTCAAAGCTCTTAAGGATCCCTGCCCTGGTAAAACAATGGTTCTATGGGGAAAGTTATCTATACAGACTTGAACGATGTCTACTGTCCACATAGTGATATGATTACGGCGTCTATCTTCCGTGCACCCAGGATCTTCACAAGTGAGGCACACCTGCGCTCTGCATGATGAGGTTGACAATGCTCAAGAAGCCCTCACCCAGGATGAACCCCTGTAGTAAGTCAGTCGACGGGGCAGGCAACGAAACGTGACGCAAGGAGCAACGGCTTACCGATGCGAGTACAATCAACGGGGTTTCTGGGCGGCCTGACACGGAGCGCCAATACCAGCTGAGGATGCCCCCGATTGTTCTGGCGAGGGTGAAAGAGGGAACGTTGTACATGCCTGCAAGTCGAAGAGTTAGCGGCTCCGCCCCTGAAGAAAGAAGCCCGGAAAGATGTTCAATATGGCCAGGCTTACCAACAGCTACGGCAATGCCGCCCGGAATAAAAGCGCGCCAACTCTTGCCCACGTTACGTATCCTGAAGGCTGTCAAGACGGCGAACACTGCTGCAAATGCCATCGCCCATTCCTTAGCCATGTATGGTAGGCCTTGTCCGGTGACGAGCCGCGCCGTGAATATCCACACGTAGCCTGTTGGAACCTGGAACAGCTCTCCGGGTATTTGGTAGACACTGGAACACGGGAGTAAGGAAACGAAGTTAGCCAATGTCGAGCACGCAGCACTACCACTATGGTCAATACGGATCTACTGACGCGGTGTAAAGCTTGTAGATGAAGGCGCTGACGATGGAGCCGACGGTGGCCCCAATGACCTGGCCCCAGAACTGAGCCTTCGGCGCTGCACCTAAGAGGTGACCGGTTTTGAGATCCTGCATTAGATCGCCGGCTTGCAAGGCGCCCTGTATCGCTTTAGCTAGGTCCGGCCACGCGAGTGGCTCTCACTCTGGGTCCATCATGAGCGTCGACTTACAGCTTCAGACTAGTGAGCAGCCTCGTTAGTTCTCCTGTAGGAACGGAAACACTGTGCCATCCCAAGTTCAGCGATTGAATGGATAGACTGACCACTGCTCCGGCGACGAGGTTGATCAAAACGCTCGACTTATGAGACTGGGGGATGATGAAAGCAAAGAACAGCTGCGCAAGCTTGGAGATGCCCGAGACCGGATTGAGATCGGTCTACCATGGTCAGTGTCAAGACGAGCCCGGCACCGCATGCTGTTGCGACACTCACCTCACCCAGGGCTCTCACGCCCATGATGCTGAGAAAAAGGGCCATGAACACCGCTATGACCGTGGCGTACAGCGGAACAAGGTCGCCAAATACCAGGCGGATGCAGAATATGCAGAAGGCAATCGACAAAATCAGCCCGACCCAGACTACTCGATCACTGACCTGCTGATGTGGGGGTGCATCTTCGTCGTCCGTAACCAGTGTATGGTCACGGTCTTCCACCGTCGACCCGTCGACACCGAGGTCTGAGAGCGGGCTCGGCGGGACTGGCAGTGTGGCCGCTGCCGCTGCGGATGCTCTAGGAGCGGCTTCATCGATATCATCACCGTTGATGCTAGTGTAACCATCGCGGTCCCGGAGGAGTGACGGTGACCATCCATGTGGCAGACGGTCCCTCGTGAATTTGACGGCCTCTGGAAGGTATTGCAGCATGGAGCGTCCGGCAATGTGGCCCAGGCTGATGATCGCATCGGCGAGCATGATGGCCAATGAGGTCCAAACGATCCATCCTTTACTCCCCCTCTCCCAGTCGTCGATGGAACCTGGCGCCCAGCCCTTGAACTTTGCCAGAGGCGACAGGACGCCCCATCCCAAGAGGGCACCCAGCAACATGTGGAGTGTCGTCTCCGGACCCATAATGATGCCCTGCCCTACGTAAGCAAGGCTCGGGTTCAGCGTCCACAGCCATGTCGAGGCCGCCGTGAATCCAAATATAGGAATGTTATGGAGGACGGGGAAGAAGTAGGTTGCGAAAGTCAAAAGTCCCGAGACAAGGAAGCAGACGAAAAGGAGGCGAAGGTTCGCCTTCCAGTCACTTTCAGAATCCGCATCGCGCGCACCTTGGTCTACTGAACCACAAGCCGCTTCATCGTCGGGCAAGGGCTCGCCGATGCGGAATTCTGCACTTTCTCTGCCCGAGACGGCCAGACTAGCAAAGCCGGCCGCAAGATCCTGGCTGGCATCGCCGCCCTCGACCCGCTGCGTCTTCCCATGCAGAACTCCAATGAGAACGGCAGTGCTAAATCCGCTAGGGAACTTGAGCCGCTCTCTGATGATGACTTGTCGCCGCCTAAGATTCGCATAGGTAAGCCAATATTCCGTCCACAGTTTGGCGCCGTTGCAGCCGCGGTTCGTACCGCTGACTGGGTTGGTCAACTCACAGTGGCACGGCGAATACGACGCCAAAATAACATAGTCCGAGAGACCAGACAATAAGCTTCCACACGCTCAAGTCTACGGGACCTCGCTCTTCGGGCGTGAGCAGATAGTTCATTGCTGGGAGCTAGAATGCACGCCCGACGATTGTCAGCTCCAGGAAGTCTTTGACAGAGGGACCTGCAAGGCACGTACCACGCCGACAAAGCCACAGCCAAGGGGCATGATAGCCATGCCACCCGCAACGCTCTGCACGAGGACGTTCTCCACCGGCGAGAAGGGGAACTTGAGGTGTCTCGACAGGGCCTTGAACAAGCCGAACCCCATCAGGCTCGCCGGCATGGACATGATGCTGACCCATCCCGTTTGCAGCCCAAAATACATGTTGGAGAAGCAGATGACCAGGCCGACCAGGAGGCCGACTAGGACACCGCGCACGGTGAAGCTTCTGCCTTCGACAACGACCATCTTGGGCGGTGGCTCAGGCAGGCACTGGCGCCTTGCGCGGCCTTCTGTCCGATTTACGCGTGCACGTGCGCGTGCGTGTGCGTCAGGCAAGGAAGAGTATACGAGGCGGGTTGGCTAGCAGTGCTGTGTGAGTCGGCCATGCGGATGCGAGGACGTGACGGGAGCAAGAAAGATACCGAAAGTCGTCCGAGCGGGACAGGCAGCGCAACACCGCGGCCCGTCCTGACCCGCCGCCCCGCAATTCTCGGTCGGCACCCACCCGGTGCTGTTCTGCCAATGATGAGATGATGTGTCAGCAGCATATTATCAACACGCCGTCAGCTATTTCCTCTTTCCAGCTCTCTCGTTTCAAAACGAGACCCGGCGTCACTGTCATGTCCTTTCATGGCGTAATCTCGTCTTTTTTCTCTCTTCTATTCTCCTTTCAGTTCTCATCGACTTGTATCTGTTGTGTGTTCATGCATACCAGGCAGGGGAAGTGCTCAATAACAAGAATCTACTGTCCATAGATATTTCTCGGAAGAAACAGCCGAACCTTCACTATAGATGGCTCTCGAAGCGATCATCCATCATCAGAGGAGAGCTCAAGGAGCCCAGAATTACATATAACAGGGGCTGCATCACCCTGGCATCTCTGGGCCTGGGTGGTGATGTCAACATCCACCCGCTCCGGAACCCGTCAGGTGGGCTTCTGATCTACCTATCTCTTGATGCGGAGCCTAGATTGAGCACATGTATTCTTGGCACTTTGCATGGAACGGGTGTGCTATCCGCCAAGGTGTCCTCTTTAGAAGCCAAAGCTATCTAGCAGCGAATTCGCATCTGGCTCCTCAAAGACTGTGGCTGTGGCCGGCGGATGGCTCGCGATGCCACTTGTCTTTGGGGTGATGGGAGAAGTTGGAAGATCTGCGACTACCAAAGAGCTCCTACGCCGTAACAACTTCAAAGGATTGACTTCGCCGCCTAGGCCAGGGGCAATTGCACTCCCAGTGTGAAGAAACTCCCAATTGCGTACTACGTGACTCGTCAGTCTCGACCGTAGCGTCGACTTCGAAAAGAGGCATCAAGGAATTGCACCGCCGCAGAAGCACGAAGGTAGACTCACCAATGTCCAAGCCCAGCAGATCGCAGCCCATCCGGTCATACAGACGTGCGCTATGCAAGACAAATTCCCATTCTACCTTTGGAGTGACCTTGGATGCGCCCCGAAGTGTCTGCAGCGTCTTCTGGCGTAGTTGGGAATACAGTATGACCAGCGCCGGATCATCCATGAGAAACAACTTGGATTTGATGTCGGCCGGATGTGGTGTCTCTAGTAGCGAAAAGACCGGGGTCTTTTCAACACACGGTTAGACTGCGGACATCTTCGAGGCGTGTACGCCATCGACCCCATGACAAGACGTGGCGGACTTACGATCAAAGCTCGGACGGCCATATCTCTGCGGTGCAGCATCCAAAAGGCCCATGACGCCAGCCAGCGGTTGCCCTCTTGGGAGGCAATCGTCAACACCTCTTCCTCGAGCAGCTTGCGCAGTACTGGCCCCTGGTCACCGCCGTGGACACGGGCTACCGCCACAGCAAGCTGGAGGTCTTTGAGCTGGTTTAAGCAGACGTTGACAGCGTCCTGCAGGTGGTCAGCCAGCAGGAAGAATGCCGCGGCATATTCTGGGGACGGTTAGTAAGCGAAGCGCGACGCCGCGAGGGGCGAGCAAGCAACTTGTCATACCGAATCTCCTCTTGCTCATCAGCGCGTATGCATTCTTGAGAGCCGTAGTCTTCCATTTTGGATCGTCAAAGTTGTTGGAGAGTAGCCTGAGGGTAGCCCCTTGCTCCCGATTCCACGACGCCATGCGCCACAGACCCTGGAGGACCGTCTTCTTCTTTAGCGCCAGGTAAAAGAGGCTGCAGTCGACGGGGTTCTTCATCTCGCTTTTTGTGTACTCGTTGCGCGCGATGATCTCGAATTGAGCCCGCTAAGTGGAGAGTCAGCAGGAGAGGGGTAGAAAGAGGAGTTGCTGCAAGACAAAACTTACGACCGCCGACATGTCGGTGAGCCACATGAACATACCGCTTTCGCGAGCATGTTCCCAGAGTACGGTGCCATGGTGCTGGCGCGAAATGAAACCAACTAGTATGTCTTGACTCGTAGAATGATAGGCCCAATTGATCTCCCTCCATGACAGATATATCTCGCTCGTCCTGCCTTTTCGAAGGGCATGCTGGCGGAAGAACAGCATATATCTTGCCGCATTCTCGTCCATGGACCGGCGCTGAGTCTCGACTAGGCCGGCACACTCCACAATATCCACGAGCTGGATCTGCTCATGTCCAGAGAGCTGGGGCAAGGCTACCCGGGTCAGCTTCTCGTTGATCGCCTGAGCTACTTCCTCGTTGAAGCTGTCGTCGTCCTCGGAGCTATCGACACCCTCGCGGACGAAATAAGCGTTCTTTTCCCTCTCAGCACCAGTTATGTTGGAGATCTTGACGTCGGATTCCCTTTTAGCGATTGTCAAGGTAGTACACATGCCCAGAAGCTTAACTCACATCTTTATCCATGTAGAACTCTTCCAAATCCAGACCCAGGTAGTCGTCGATGTTCTCGCCCTCAAGCCAGTACTTGAGTGTCTTGTGCAATGCAAGCAGAATCTTCTTGAGTAGGTTGCTCTTGCCGGCGAGCATGCACTGGCTGAGAAACTGGGGGTGGAAGACGGGCAACGGGCCGTTGAGTCTCTGCACAACTTCGAAGAGGTCCAGGCGGCCGCTCCTTCGCTGTGGAAGGCGAAGATGCGTGGCGGTGGAGGCTGAGGGATCAAACGTTCGGTCGTAGGTAAAGAGTTGGTTTCCACTGCCGATAACCAGGTGTCCGTCACCGAGCCAGGTCGAGTCTCCTATAGGATGTGCCGTCAAGTCGCGTATGCTTATCTCGCGGATCGATGCCCAGGCAGGACCTTTGTTCAGATAGTCGAATCGCATCTGGGCAAGTAAAACAACACGGTGGGGGAATCCTACGGCAAGAATAGATTGTGAGTCTGGCGTGGAAGTCCAATCTAGATCCTGCACGGTGTTTCCCGCCTCGAACGACATGGCATACTCCAGACGAGCTCCGCGAATGTCCCAAATTGTGACCGTAGACCTGTCGGAGTTGACGAGCGCTGCCTTCTTCATCGTGCTTCCGCTTACAAGCGCTGGCTCTCGAAGACCCGTCTCCAGCGACGACGTAGACAACCAGTCGACTCGCTCGTGGCTGTGGTCAACTCGAGCCGTCCAGAACTCAACTCGTCCGGTGTGTGTATAAGAGATGGCCACGTCTCGTGCAAACACATCTAGGAAGCCTGCTACGTGGGGCGTCGAGCCGGCGGGATCAACGGGCAGTACGTAAGCCAGATCCCCGGCATCAGGCAGCTCAAACTCGTAGAACTTACGAATGGACGGCTTGGAGTGTCCGTTGGTACTGATATGAGCGACCGAGGAATTGTAGGGGGGCAGGTGGACTTCCCAGACCACTCCCATCTTCTCCGATGTGATGGTCGCGACATGTGCGACCAGGTTTTCCTCCACCCTCTTCCTTGGTAGTATGAGCAGGCAGAGTGGTTTACCGGGAAGATCAAAGCCACACGTGGCCAGAAGAAATGGAGTCGGCTGCCGGCAGTCCCACAGAGTGATCTTGTCGTGAAAGAGGAAGATGACAAAACGACCTTTCCGCATGACACAGATACGGTGAATATGGCCAGCCTCAGGCAGGACGCTTTGCTGAGCAAGCGGAACTCCATCGCTGTCGAGAGCATGATTCCAGATAACACACTCACCCAGAGCCGTACGCGAGACAATGGAGCGGCCGCTGAAGTTCCGGACAATCTTGCGAATGGGACCTGAATTGCCAGACCAGGTGCGTGTGTGCACCAGTTTGCGTCCTTTGGCGGTCTCGTCCAGGAGAACTTCTATGTTTGTCTGGAAGAGCTCGATTTTGCCAGAAAAGTCATGCATGAGGATCTGGAGATGACCCCTCGGCCTGTTGCAGTAGTTGTAGATCTCAACGTGAGGTATTGAGTCGGCATCCGTCTTGAGCCTCGACAGGAAGTCGAGATCTTTGGAGGTGACTTGGGCAATGCTAAAGACGTCATGGGTCGTTTGCGATTTGCGACCGACATTCTCCAGCGAGAGCGCAGACATGGCTCCGCGACCGTCCATGACCACGCAAACCTCGGAGCTTCGGTTGGCAACTTGGATCAGATGGCGTAATGCGGCCGCATTGCCCCCCTCTGATGAGCCGCTCTCCTGCACTGCGGCCTCTGTCGCGGCAGACAGGTCTCGTCCTTGGATGATGAAGGCCCAACGCAGGTTGCTGCTCAAGGTAGCGCTCTGAATCGACTCTCCCAGGTCAACTGTCCCCCATAGCTGAAGATGGTGGCAGCTGTGGGCGTCAGGGCGTGTCCAGATGCGCAGAAAGTTGTCAGAGCAAAAGGTGTACAGGACGTGCTCTATGGAGTGGTCGACATGGTAAGGCTTGCGCCATTGGAGACCAGTCACAACACCCGGGTGCCTCAGATACGCAAAGTCGAAGCGGACGTCCTCGGCGCCATAGCTCAGCCGCCGCCAGACCTTGACCAGACGGTCGCAGTCTCCAGCAGAAGCAATGTAGCTCGAGTCATACGAAAGGCTGGCCAATTTCGCGGGACTGGCAAGGGCTTTGCGCCACCGGCAGACTGGGGTGGAAGCAGTTTGGTAGAGCGAAAGCGCAGAGCGGGCTACAAGTAGTTCTTCAGAGGCGGCCCACGAGAGGGCCAAGGTTCCAATCTCATGACCCAAGGCGTTATCGATGCCGGAGTCGGCGGCGAAGGTCGCTTGGAGGGCCCACTGCGCGCCAGGTCAGTCGGGATTGCTCGTGTTCAAGGGATATCGGGCGTGTGCCTACTCTGAGTGCATCTTCATCCTGGCCAAAAGGCTTGTATATTCGGACAGATGTCTCGGTGCAGGTTGCGATCTTGCCAGAAGCTTCGTCAAAGGCAACCGCCTGCAGAGTCTCGTCGGCGTCGTCGTACACAGTCTGGATTAGCGTCGCATGGTCGGACAGGATTGCGAAAGCATTGCCGCTTATATAGACCTATGTTTGCAAACAGACTGCTGTTAGTACGCTGAGATGGCGGGCGGCCCATTCAGGAGCAGCTTACAATGATGCGCCGGGCGCCCCAAAGGCCTGTAGCAAGAGCCTGCAGCCTGGACTCGGGCTTGCCGGGAAGGACGGCCTTCATGCTACCTGGTACTGCGATAGTCGCTTGACATGTCGAGGGACAGAGGTGGCAGTGTTCAGGCACGATAAGGCAGGCTATGTTGGCCGACGCAGGTCAATTGCCGTAGAAGGGTCCCAGACGTGAGATTAGCAAGATGCTGCCAATCTCCTCCGGCTCGTATATGCTGGAATGGGGGCAAAAGACGTAGATGTATGGTCGGACAAGCGAGTACGACGAATCTTTCAATGCCGTTGTTAGGAGCGAAGAGGAGCACTCGAGGAAGATGCGCCCAAAAGCGACGACACTTGAGGGTTGCTTTCCGTATCGAGCCGGTCTTGAGCCCTCTGGAAGCGGTCAAGGTTGTACGGCAAGCTCTTGAATGCCTTGCCTTGTACAACGTCGACAGCGCTGAGTCGCAATGAGGTTGTTCAAGGACCGTGGGGAAGCTGATGTAGTGGCATGCATGTGGTTCAGTATGAAGCAAGACAACCAACAGGAGATTGAGCCTCACTCATGCTCTAGCACTTCGATGGAGCTTGCGCGTGGACTGACACGCCCCAGCTAGCTGTGCGCCAGCCCGCGTCATTGCCTAATGTACCTTCTTTAGGTAGGTACCTAAGGGGAAGTACAAATAGATGGATAGATGACTTGGTGCGCGCATTCGCCGAGTTAGTACGCACAGGTACCTCTGTAGCAGGTGGATCAGTACGGAGTAGGTACATTACATACCTCCACATAGGTACCTACCTAGCCGCATTCCATCTCTCGTCCTTGGATCAGTTGATGGCATCAGCAACACTCTTCACACATACAAGACTCCGTAAACGTGTTTGAAAACACTTGATGTCAATCTGGTGAGTTCGCGCGCCTTTTTGGTCTTTTGTTGGCGACATGGATTCGACGCTTCCTGCACCATGGCTGCGCCTTGATCCGTGGAAAGATGGTTGCTCAGTCCGACTTCCTTGTATTCATATTATGTACACACACACACAATCATACACAATGCTCCCGTATGTCCGCAAACTCTGGACGAGAGCATAGCTTCCCCCTTCTAGCTCTATCGTTAATGTACACTAGAGATGCGAGTATATCCTACAGACACCATGATGCAAGGGAAGCAGATAAAAACGCAAGACATGTGGAAGTATGCATCCTCCGTCTAGGTGCGGAGGAAAGAGCTGGCTTTAGACTTTCAAGTGCTCGTGGTCGGAAAACCTCTGATGTTGCCGTTGTCGTCGTACTTGGCCTCTGTGGGGGGAAGAGAAAGTGGTGAGCACGACTTGACCTTTCCCCGATCCGTATACGACCACGGAAAGACTTACTGAAAAAGGTATATGACAGTGTCACTGTCTCGACACCCTTCATATTGAGATCATTCAACATGTCGGGATCGAGGTAGAAAAAGACGGGCATGTCCACCGTCTCGCCGGCATTCAACCTCTGCTCCTCAAAGCAGAAGCATTGAATCTTGCTAAAGTATGGGGCGACCTGTCCCGGAGTCACACTGTAGGTCGCCACGCCGATGATGTCCTTGTCGCTCTTGTTTGTGGCCGTGTAGAACGCCAGAGCCGTTTCGCCCGGGAGCACTCGCACCTCTCGTTGCTGGGGAACGAATTTCCACGGCAGCAGGTCCGAAACCGAGGCATTGAATGTTACGCGGATCCGTTTGGCGTCGGTCACGGGCTGCAAGCGACTCGCAAGATCCCCTCCGTCCCCTCCACCGTGGTTAGGCGCCCGAATTGGCTGTCCTCCCCACCCGGTCGTTTGGCAGATCTGGCAACAGGAAGAGGAAGACAGTGGTCAGCAGACGGCGTCTTGATGGTTGAAAGGTCACTTGGCTGGGCATGTAGAATGCTCACCATCTTGTACAGAGGCACGGAGCCGTACGAGAGAGCGACAGTCCCCAACATCACACTGATCACGTAGTACCTGGACAGGACCCAGAGTCAGCCATGCCTCTCACACCCCGCAGATGCGCGCCATGCTTGCCCTGGCAGACAGTACTCACATAGTGGAAGCATTCTTCTTCTTGAGCTGGGCAGAGACATGCTCCATGTTGGGCGCCGAAGCTCGCTGTGCACTGGGTCGTGGGCCGGTCGACGCAAAGCGCAGACCTCTGGCCACCACGTTCGGGACGGATCGACTCCGTTGTGTTCGACATGAAGAACAACACCAGCTCAGGTTCTGCCGCAGCAGGCGCAGAGTCTGGCGCCTTGAGAAATCCATTGCGCGCTTCTCGACGCGTTTGTAATGTGCAATGGCAGAGAGTGCGACTCGTCGAGCGAGAGATGGATTGACCGGATGGCGTGGTGTGGACTGATAAGTCGACTAGGTACCCCAATCAATTGATGCAAATCCCGAGACCCTGCGGAGATCAATGGCTTGGGTGGGGAAAAAAAGAAAGGTCTTATCGCTGGTTATCTCACTAGCCCGTGCATCCTTATTGCCTGGTAGAATTGATCTAGTCTTTTCTCCCCTAAATTGTCGCTTGGAGTAAGGTACGTACTACCCTCGCCTTACCTTGGAACATATCAGACTCATTATCTGATCAACAAAGCATGAAAAGACCAGATCAATTCTACGCCCCTGTGCCCACTGACCACTGGCTTTCTCTCACCGTCATGCAATAGCTCTTGTCAGCATTTGATCTCAGATAATCCCTTCCTTGGGAGACGCTCGAAACTCGAGCCCTGTCAGCCGAATTCCGACTGATGGCACGTAAGCATGCAATTGAAATCGCGAGTCAACATCAGCCGTCAGAGATCCCAAGCTGCCCAGCCATCTGTGCTTTGATCATGTATATGAGGAACTTCTAGAAACTCTAAAACCGGAAGAATGACTGGGTCTTCAAGCGTCATGGTACCTCCCCCTGGCGCCTAGAGGCGCGAGTGGGATCAACACGAGCACTCCGCCCGTCACGGGTGGCAAGACAATTGAGAAATGAGGTGGCTCTATCAATGCGCCATTACATCTGTTTCTGATCCCTGCCTTGGAGCCTGTCGATAGTGCATCCAACTCGAGCGGGCCTCATGTGCGTGATCTTGCCCCAGGTCCAGTCGAGAACATTGATGAGACACACTTGTATCACCACAACGGCAGCTCTCAAGACCAAGTCTGCGAGGCCTATTTTGGGCTCCCGTCCCCTGCTAAACGTAGAATCGACGAATTGAAAAGGCAGGACAGCCCCGAGGTGCTCTTGAGCGACATACAGGCCGCTGGTAAACCCGTCCTCGTGAAACCCGTATTTGGTCCAGGCACCCGCGTAGCTGATGCCTCTCTTGTTCTGTATCCGTGGAAGACGCTGTTGCGCCCTGATTGCTGCACTGTTGTACAACGGGTGAGCGTAGGAATAGCGTCCCTGAACCTTGTTCGGGTCTGGTTCTTGGAGCGGGTTGAGCGTCACCAGCACGTCGCCGAATGTTTTGCTGTCAATATGCTGGAGAATGTTCATATTGTACGTCAGCGAGACCTGGTCTATCCTGCCACTTGAGCTCTCGGGAGACGAGAGTGTCAGGTAATTCCAGCTGGACCACGCTTTCCGCGATGCAGGCATGAGTGAGAGGTCCGAGTGCAGGACTGCCGTGTTTTCCGAGGTCTGGAACGCGGACATGATGGCGTGCTCCTCCTCGCTTGCATCGGCGTTGATGATGGAGTAAGCCTGGTCGCCATGCGTCGCAAGGATGACATGATCAAAGGTCTCATGGACGCCGCCAGCAAACCGCAGTATGACTTTCCCATCTTCTCTACTCGACACAGATAAGACTGCAGTATTTAGGAACACGTTTTCCTTGGGGAATCGACTCATTACTGCGTCGATGTACGCTTTGGAGCCAACTGGGATGGTGAGCCAGTCTGGACGTTTGGCAACTGTGGACAACAGGTGATGGTTCCACCTTGAGCAAGAGGGGGTCAATGAGACAGTTCAGAAGGAGGGACAACAGACCAAGCACTCGGTCGCTCAACTCACATGAACCGTACCAGCGTCACGGCTGGGAATTCGAGCGAGCATTTGTCGGGGCTAGTGCTCCAGACTGCCGCGGTCATGGGAATCAGGTAGTCGTCACGGAAAGCGTCTGAATAACCTTGACGTTCCAGATACTCGCCGATGGTCATGTCGGATTTGGTCTTGGAGGCCGCATCATCACGGATCAGGTCCAGGGCGAACTGGTTGAAGCGAATGATGTCGAATATCATCCGCCATAGCCGGGGCGAAAGCAAGTTCCTTCTTTGACAGAAGACAGCATCAAGACTGGTGCCCGACCATTCGAATAGTCCGTGGTCCCTCGAGACGCCAAAGGTCATCTCGGTCGGTACTGTGTCCACGTGAACTTGTCTGAGGAAGTTGATAAAGTTCGCTGGACAGTGTCAGAGAAGCAAAGCATGGGGTTCACCCCGGTGTAACATGGGAGGACTGACGATAGGTGGCCGTGTTGAGCACGATGAAGCCGGTGTCAACATTGGTGGTTTGGCCGTTGTGCTTCCACTCGACGGTATTAGTATGGCCGCCGAGCCGATCTGCGGCCTCGTACAAGTAGACATCGTGAGGCGTTTGACCCAGTGCCCAGAGCGCCGCGATGCCAGCTGATCCACTGCCGACAACAGCGACTCTCTTCTTCTTGCTGCTCTCAGTTCAGTATCTCTCCTCAGATGCATATGACCGCCTACTTGAAGAGGGAGAGAGCAGAGGTTGGGTCGGTATGGCATGTGTACCAACCAGTCTAGCACCCCGCGACGGATACAATGCATATTCGGAACATCACGAATACTCACATCGAATGAGCAGCCATGGCCGACTGACTGCGCACGGGGGTCCCTCGGCGGCGAAGTTGTCGAATTGCCAAGACGGATCCTGTTCACCACGAGGATACCAGGCTATCAGAGGGGAAGATTGAATTGCGGGTAAGGCGTGTTTAATAGAAAGGATGGCGGCGAAGAGGCAATCACGAATGTTTATTCAACAAGCTAGCTGACGCGAGCACACATGCACCTCGTGCTTGAGCCGCTTGGAGCCTGGGAAGGCCCGGGGTGGGTGAAACAGCCGTGTGTCAAGATCGAAGACGTAGTCTATTGACAGAGGGGGGGAAGGGGATGCGATTACTGCGGGTCGATCTGGAGGGACTAGTGGTCCAGTTGCTGCAATCTGAGCCCAAGCGGTTCATCTCTGTCTACTGATGGATCATCAGATTTGGACCATGCTGGAGGCTACGTCTTCCCAGTCTTGGTCCTGGAGGAGACAAAGAGGGAGAGTCATACAAGTCACACTGTCAAGGACAGACAAAGCGCAGAAATTAAAATCTGTCGAGGCTCAACGGGACCGTATACTCAGAGCTGGCGCTGCCCACGAGAGCAACCGCTAGTATCCAATTCTTTAAAGCACCGAAAATCTCTCTGCCCGGCTAATACAACTCATTGTCCATTGGAAAGAAAAGGGAGCACTGAGCCTTTATTCTGCAAATCCGGGGGATAACAACTTTCATGGAGAAGAAGGAGAAAGACAAAAAAATGGAAAATGCCAGGCTGGACTATTTATCGAGCACGGTGGGTGGGGCCACCGTCTCACTTTCCTGGTGAGTACTTGGACACAAGGTACTTGGGTATCTTGGTACCTGAAATACTGCAGGTTGATCCAAGTGGAACCTCTGAAATGCACCACCAAAAGGAGTCAATTCGAGCCGATAGTCCACCGTAGCCAGGTACTTTTGTTGAGAGTATTGCAGCAGCCAGACACTGCGCATGTGCCACACCATCCGTGAGTGCCAAGGTTAGGTAGGTACCTAGGTACCTAGGTACATCAGCAACCAGTGATGGCACCCGCTACGTAAGTCGTCGCTGAATGCACCAACGACTCCCAGGGTCTGTCTTCCAGTCGCTCATCCTATCCGCCGCCCGCCTTCGAACTCGCATATTGAATCGGACTGCCTGCACAGCAGCACCTGCAATCTTCTGCTTCCCTTCGTCTTCCGCCGACTCGACTCCAACCCCGACAAGGACCCGCGCTGCCATTCACTCGTTGGGCCGATCTCTCCGCCATGGCCAACCCGCTCGACACCGATGCCGGCACCGAGTTGCTGAGCAGCTACATCGCCGAGCTGCAGCTTGTCCAGGCCGACTTCAACCAGAAGCTCGACCAGATCCCCGAGCTCTCCGGCGAGCCTCGAAAAGCCGCACTCAGCTCTGCCGAGCGCGCTCTCGAAGAGGCCAAGGAATTGGTAAGCCTCTCTCCCCCGCCGGGGACAAGACCGAAGACCAGATAGGACGACGGGAAAGTCCTGAGGCACATGCTAACATGCACACACTCTCTCCCCACAGCTTGGCCAGATGAACCTCGAGAAACAAAACATCCCTTCGTCGGCCCGCGCAAAGGTCAACCAGCGCATCCGCAACTTCACGACCGACGTCGACGCTGCCGAGCGTCGCCTGCGCACCCTCGCCGACGACCGCTCTGCCCTGTTTGGCAGCCGCTACACCGACAACCCCTCGGATGTTCAGCTCGAGCAGCGTAACCAGCTGCTCGCCGGCACCGACCGCCTCGAGCGCAGCACCCAGCGCCTCAAGAACAGCCAGGCCCTCGCCAACGAGACCGAGGCCATCGGTGCCAGCACCCTCGCCGACCTCAACCGCCAGCGCAACGTCATCCAGCATACCTCCAACGTCCTCCTCGAAAGCGAGGGCTACGTCGACCGGAGTCTCAAGAGCCTCAGGGGTATGGCCCGTAGGTACTGTGAACCCTGCCCTCCCCTCCTGCAATCACCGCATGGCCTGTCTGCTTGCTGACAACCCACGTCAACTGTTAGGATGGCTACGAATCGGGTGATCACTATCGCCATCATCACTGTCCTCGTTCTGCTTATTTTCGCCGTCATTTTCAGCAAGTTTAGGTAGACCGTCGTCTTGGCTTCTCGCGGCCCCCCTCTTCACGCGTCTTGCGGGGTGTCGCTGGTTTACTTCCTCTCATATGGCAAGGGCAATGGACTTCGCCGGAGTTTGGTCTGGTCAGGGTTTCCTCTCTCTCTTTTTCTAGGCGGTCTTACTCTCAGCATGTTACTTCTTGTCTTCATGGATATCGTCTCTGTTTACACTGTTGGTCCGATGGTCAGCCTGATCATATATATAATACAAGCATCTGCATAATACTGGTTTTGGTCAGCCGTAGAGGTGAGCTGGCAATGTGCCCAGCCTGATTGATTATATGTCACTGTGCATCAGCGAGCTCGACGTCTGGACAGAAAACGCCGCTTTTCGGTATCATTTAGGAAACAAACTTTTACCAGTATAACAGGCTCCGGGTTTCGAGCTCAGCACAAGAGTATGAACACACGTCTACCTCCTCCTTCCCCTGGGACTCGCTTTCCCAATCCGGCTACCTCCCATCGACGGACCGTGTCTCTTGTCCTCACCTAGACCTCGCCTGCCGGCAGCGATACCGCCCTTACCACCTCTTCCTCGGGAATCTCTGCGACCCCGGGCTTGGCCGGATGCCCCGTGCTTCCCCCGGCTGGACTTGTCCAGGCGGGCCTTGAGCGTGGACGCATCCTCGTCATCCATAGCCTCATCATCCTCGTCGTCTGCCGATCTCTTGTTCGACCACTTGATCTTGCCGCGGAAACCCTTCTTGGGCGCGTCCTTGCCCTTCAGAGCGGCGACATAGGCCCCGACGCCGGACTCCTCGCCGTCATGAGGAGTGTCCACATCCATGGCGCCTTCTTCGTCACTGTTCTGGCCTAGGATAAGCTTCCCGTCCAGGTCTGTCTTTGCCTTCGTCTTGCCCGGTCTGCGCATCTTGACAGGCTTTGTGGACGAGATGTGCGCCAAAGCCTTACGATCAAGCAGATCCAGGGGCTCATCTTCGTCCTCCACAATGTAAGTGCTGCCGCCCTTGTTGCCGCGTCTCTTTGATTGACCCAGCATCTCCTCATCAGAGTCCTCCGATCCATCCGATTCGTCACTGCTGTACAAGGCCTGATCGTACTCACTCTCGAAGCGGCCGACGCGTTTGCCCTTGACATTTTCGTCATCCTCATCATCCTCAGCACCATTCTCCTTGGCTTCATCCTTGCGCCTCTTGGAACGTTCCTTGGTTTTGCGAATGTTGCTGATCAACTTGCGGTCGACTTCAGGACAATACCTGTTGACGGTCTCAAACCCGAAGCGTCGTACCATACGCTCAAGGATATGCTTGACCTTGGCCCTGAAATGCCCCTTGTGTTCGTGACTCCAAATCATGAGGTTCGGGACCAACGTCGCCAAGCGGGGCTGCATCATGTCCGTCGGGAGGCTAATGGTGCAGACCTTAACGAAGCCTAGGACGCTCCGCACAATCTCCCTGTTGTTGGACGTAAGGAAGAGATCCATAGTCTGAACGAGGTCCGAAAGAGTCTGGATACTGAGCTCTTCGCGGAACTCATATAGGATACGAGTGATGGCTGTGATGGAAGCAGAGATCATATGAGGCGTGCTGCCAGCCAGACCAGCGCTGACCATAGTGAAGTATTCCTCAACAGTGGCTGCTACAGCGGGTGCGTCTGCCGGCATGTTGGGGATCTTGCTGTTATCGATCACAGCGCCCTCTCCAGCCGAAGCCAGTTTCTTCCCCATCAGGACGAGCAGATCGAAGGCTGTTGTACGCGCACGCTCATTGTGCTCTTTACAGCAGATAACAACCTCGGAAAGGATAGACGGAATGAAGTGTAGCGAAGTGTTGGGGATGAAGGGAAGGAGCGCCGCGATCGCCCCGAGACGTTCCCTCCGCGCCGGAGCAGACACCTTGTCAGCACTGGAAAGCAGCAGGCCTTGGAGTTCCGCATTCCTTTCCTCCAGCGCCACCTTGCCAATTGGTGATTCGGCAAGGCGCGGGATCAACTTGTAGGCCTTCTTCTGCAACTGTGGATCATCGTCGGTGCCGATAACCAAGGCAGCGATTTCGAACAGAGCGGCAAAGCTTTCCCTAGGAAGGTGGACTGACATGGTGATGACCAGGTCCATCAGGGTATGCAGTGTCGAAGGCATCTGATCCACCGATTTCTGGGCCTCTTTTTTTTGCGCCGCATCCTGCTTCGCACTGTCCTGCATCGCGTCCGAGAGCATCTTGCAGACGCGGTCAAACGTCTCCATCAGCTCTGCCTTTGGCGTAATGGCCAAAAAGGCGTTGATGGTCTGCAAGATAGGACCCCGGGAGTGTGCGAGAGTTTGGCCATACACGTTGAAAAGAACTGCCAGGAAATTGCCAGCAAACTGGCCGAGATAGTCCAGGTTGCCCTGAGCTGTAATCTTCGTTACGCGGCTTTGTAGAAGGAGGTCATCCTCTTCCTCCTCAATGGATGCTATGGCTTTGTTTGACTCGACGAGAGACTTCAAACCTCGGCAGATATCCAGTCGCAGGTCGACTTGCTGATAAAGCAGGTTGGCTAGCAGCTCAGCGAATTCTTGGTCGAACGATGCTGTGAGATCCAATGGGAGATCACAATAACCAGGGAAGATGGACCAGACTTGATGCACCACGGTTTCGTATATCTTGATCTCCATGGTCCTTGCGCTGTCGCCATGGTCAAGGACTTTCTGAAACATCAGCTCGCTCAGCGGCACGAATTCAGACTTGAAGTGAGCCAAGTTGGTGTTGGCGGTGTAGTCGCGGAGCAGAGGCAATAGCCACGCCCGGCCAGGTTCGCCTCTGGCGGGACGGGCCAGATTCAACGGGAGAACGTCGAGGACGGCAGAGGGGCCCATGGCCCTGATAGCCTTTCCGAGGACTTCGTCAGCTTCCTTCTTGCTAGCAAGCGCATCGCTACCTCGCATCTCCCCGACTATCTTTGTGACAGGACGGAGGTAAGGGTACGCGCGCCACCGTAGGGAATCGAACATGGCTCCGAGAACATTGAGTACTTCGAGCCAAGCGGCTTGGTATGCAACACTCAGTAGATTCTCGGCCATGCCAACTAACTTTTCCAGTATCTTCTCGTCAAAGACAGACGGCTCGAGTACGACTTGTGGTGGTACACAGTTTGCGAGGAAGGATATCAGACATTCGGACGCTGAGATGCGGATGTTGTGAGAAGGTGACTCAAGAAAGCCCGACACCATTTGGAACAGCTCTGGCAGTTTCTGGAAGGTCTCATCGGGCTCGACTTGTCCGGAGACGTCGTAGCCTCTCGAAAGAATGGCGATCCATGGAGGAAGCAGCTGGGTATCATTCTTCGCCGGCCGCAACTCGGTGATGATCTCGAGAAGACGAGGCAATTTTGAGGACGCGACTTCATCAGCAGCCATTCCCTCAAAGATCATCTCAAATATGTCGAAGACCGACATCGTAAGGTGTTCACTCCCACTCCGAGCAATGCTGAGAAGGAGTTCGCACAGGGACTCGATCTTCCGGCTTGGCCAGCCTCCGCTGGCCGAGGCAATGGACTTGACAAGTTGCAGCGCATGAATGAGATTAGGATCGTGAGCCGCCTCGGATCCTTTCTTTTCCTTCTTGGCCCGCGCGGCAGCCTCTGCCAGAGCTGTGAGGCTCGACATGGCCGTTTCGGCACACATGCCAGCGGCAGGGTGATCCAGCGAGGGGCTTGGAGGCGGGTTCCGCAACACCTTTCGCAGAGCTTCCAGAGCACGCTTCCGTACCTTGGGGCGTGGATCCAATGCCAGGGTAAGCAGTCCCGCTACAGCCCTTCGAGGCCCGATCTGAGCGGCCGAGAGCTCCCATGCTGCCGAGTCCTGGGCGATGAGAAGTGATTCCAGACATCCGATAGTCGGTCTCAAGAGGGGAGCGTCGGCGTCACGTTGTAGCAGCACGGGGGCTAACAAGGTGAGAATTTGGGTGAATTTTGCTCGGAGCAGTGGTTGGGGAGCGAAAGGAGTGACTAGGTCGAGGAGGTAGACAACAGAGGTGGAGATGCCATTGTCGACGTTACTACTAGACGCAGACTGCGCGAGCAACGCAAGAAGAGCTGCAAAGTAGCCGGTTGGCGTGGGCTCGGTGTTCTGTTCTTTCAGCGTGGCCTCGACGGCGCGAAGCACAACGGCGGTCTGCGTCAAAACCCAAGGCCGGGCGGGCAGTCAGAACATGGGACACCAAGATGTACGCCACGGCGTCCATGCGCGAGAAAGAAATAAAAGCTTACCTGTTGCTGGCTTTGAAGATTGGGGGACCGGATCTTGTCCAACTTCTCGTTCAGGACTGATGCTGCCATTGCGAACACAACAGCCTGGTCCAGTCAGCACAAGAAGATTGTGTAGATGAGACTTGTCGGTTGGCATTTCAAGCCCAAGGCCCATCGTGGCGGTATCAATCAAAAATTTTGGGAAAGATTTCTTATCGGTTGATAAACCCCCACCAGATAAGGAAGGGGTCTGGTCTGGTAGCGCAAGCTTCAACAGTCTTCAGGTTCTCCACTACCTCTACGTTAGGTGCCTACTCCGTCCAATGGAATGGTGCTCAATTCGTCATGGAGATCTAGACACTGATCGTTCCTGGGGAAAAGAAGAAAGCTACAGCAGGGAGGGTGAGACTCTGGTCATTCACGGACATGGCGATTCACGTAGATGAACCAAAGTTTGCGTCGCCGAGTTTCCAGGCTTGCCTCGAACAGTTCTGCGGGCGCTCTTTGTTTGACCCTGTCCTCTCTGTATTACACCCTGAATCCCCAAAACGCCACGTCACGTCGAAATCAAGGCAGAAAGCATTTGGCTTTGATCAGCCCCGTCCGAGGTCAGGCTCCTTCTATCTATGGAACAGCATGATCACACCCGCTTAAGAAAATTCATTGTCGGCCTCCTCAATCTGTCCCTTAATCCTCAGCAGAATGGCCGTCTTCCACTTGTCCAACTTGCTCATCTGGTCGTACGCAAATAGCTTGTCCGTGTACCTATCTTGGTCGCCGGCCTCGATGGCTTCCATCATATCTACCAATAGCTGGTGCTCCCGCTGGCTGGCAAATCCAGGCTCCATATCCCTGTACTTGTCCAGTGCGCGATGGACAGACACCATGTCACCCGTTGCCAGGTGGCATATGCCGGCCTTGAGGAAGTATTCCTTGACCGAGTACCTCATGAGGTTGTTGTTGATTGACTGCTGCGCGACCTTTTCGTAGTTCTCGATCGCCTTGTAGTAGTCGCCGTCCAGGGCTGCAATATCAGCCACCTTCAGCCAAAGCTTGTTTGCGAGCCTGCCAGAGGCACAGTCAATACAGGCCATATGCACGGCGCCACGTCGCCGCCAGGAGGTGTGTATGCACTGTACTTACGCAGCGGCGCCGTCGCCCTCGTACCATGTAGCGGCATTCTCGTAGCTCTCCATTGCGTGTTTCTGGTCCCCCAACTCAACCTCGTACACCTCGCCCAGGGTCTCCTTGTGCGACGCTGCTCTTCGGAAATTGCCTCTTGAGCAGTAGTGGTTGATGGAAAAGTCGAGGCATCTCACGGCATCTTCGGGACTGATCTTCCTGTAGGCCTTGAATGCGTCGACGTAGGTGTTGGCGGCATCATCTGGTTCCTTGAGGTTGTTCAGCTGGATCTGGGCTGCCTTTTCGAATGCTTGACCGGCCTCTTGGTCTAGAGACGGGGTTGTGTCAGTGTATGTAGCCAGTCCGGAAGTGCGGTGGGCACACTCACGGCTCTGTTGCATCTTGAATGCGTTGGCAGCTTGGCTGAAGAGATCGGCGGCATTCTGATACTTCTCCTCGCGGCCTCCAAACAAACTGAAACCTCCAGAGGCGCCCGAGAGGGCCTTGTTCGCCTAGGTGATGATATAGTCAGCAGCTGCACGGAGCAGCGCATCGTGGGCAGGGATGGGCGATGGATGTGTCGTCGCTTACCTGCTGGAGGAGGGCGCGGGGGTCTTGCGACATGGTCGAGGTGTGTACTCGGTCGCTCGGAGGTTAATGCGGTGAAGCTTCTGGCAAGGAGCGCCTTGCAGGGTATCAAAAAGACCAGTTCTGAGATGATGTGTATCGGGTTCTCCGGCGGGCGATGGGTGCAGGTGTGAACTGGAGATATGGAAAGACACTTTGACAGTGGTGCTTGACAGTGGTCATATGAAACAGCATACCTTCGGCGCTGTGGAGTTGGAAGCGGGCGGGGTGACGACGTAGGGTGCGCGGGTGGAGCCCAGGAGTCGTTGAAGCCTTGGAGCTCAGCGAGTAACATGAGGTAGGTACCGTACAAGTAGACTAGTTGCCACTGCAGCAATCCCGTGGTCTACATTTGATACAGTCGACTCTCCAAACCCTCACGCAAGAGTATGTCCCAAGAGGAACAAGCTTAGGTACACTCGGCATTGTTCTTTTCTGTACATACCTTATTCGCAGGGCTTGCCAGAACCACGGCTCATCCAGTGGGCCTGTCGTTGCTGCAAAGTCAATCAGGCCTTCGGGCTTTGTCTTTGACGAGACAATCAATCTCACTCAACCCGATCCGCATATAGCGCAGCCCAGCCGGACACGGCATTTCAGCCGCTCGCTGGAGGACACTCATATACATTCTCTTTCACGCCCCCGTTTGCGGCATCCCCATCCATCATGGTGCCACTGCCTCGCAGCTCTTCCTTCGTCACGGTCAAGTCCAGCCGGTTGTCCATCAAGGGGTCCGGGGGTTCGTCATACACACGAATGCTGCTCACCCGCCGCTTCTCGGCCTCATCGGCCTCATACAGCAGCGAAGCTCCGGATTCGTCTATGATTCTTGCCAAGCCATCCTGGTCCCTTCGGTCTCTTCTTCCCGCCTCCTCAGATCCCACTCCACCCGGAGACACTACTGTGAGCCCAGCTCAACTCCACCACCTTCTCCGGCTTTCTGCCCTACCCTTACCCAGGGACAGCACAGAGGAGACCAAGATGATCAGTACTCTGCAGTCGCAATTGCTTTTTGTTCGCGATGTGCAACGCGTCGATACGGCGAATATTGTGCCGCTAAGGTCTATTCGGGACGAAACGCGCGCCGCCATGTTGGAGCAAACCGTCGGCACCGCTCAGCTCGAGCATGCTTTGGGTCAGGAGGAATTCTTCGGCCACAGCAAACGGCCGCGGCGGCGAAGATCGCGGCCAGAGGCTTCCGATGCCGAAGACTGGAACGCGCTGGAGCTGGCGTCGCAATCGAGTGGGAAGTACTTCGTGGTCAGGAGTGGAAGGAACTGATGAATTTGTAACATCAAAGATTGATACCCCAGCTTTAAGTGAATGTTGAGAGATTGATAGGCACTGTGTCGACCCGCGGCCTATGTGAGTGGTTCTCTGCATGCTCTTTTCTCGACTATTCGGTTCAGTTGAACGTCTGCAGGATCTGTATTTTTATTCATCTCACCCGTTGGGTACTGGATCTAATCATAATGCAATCGTGACATCGTCTGACAATGCTCAATATGTACGTTTGTCGTATTGAAGTCGCAGGCCTCAGCTTGGTCAGAAGCGACCAGACCAGCCTAGGCCCGCAATCGCTGTTGCTCATTCTTCTCCTTGACCTCCTTCTCCATCTGAGCGGCCTCGTCCTCCTCGTCCTGGCCCTCTCGCTTGCGTCTATCTTGTTCGAGCTTCTCCTCGACGAGGGTCAGAGTCTCTTCGTCCTGGGCCACCTGTCTCAGATCGATGTCCTCCCAGCCGAGATTCCTGAGGATTGTGCCGACTAGATATTGATAACGCAGATGACCGCTGACAAGCTCGGTGGCATTGACGTTCTCAACTCCCGAGGTGCCCTCAATACGCTGCAGGCCAGCTACCCCAAACTGGATGCTGCTCGTGCGGTACAGAAACGCCAATATATAATCGTTCTCAGAGAAGACATTGACAACTCGTCCTGCAACAACACTTCGCAGAGCCGTCCAGACCCGGCCATCAGACGGCGCTGGCGTGCCCATCAGGACAACATTTTCGACGATTCCAAAGGCCCTTCGCTCAGCCAGGCTCATAAGGCACGTATAGATGACGCGCGCGCCCAGACTGTACCCAATGAGCGTGACACCTCGCTCTCCCTGTACCCTGTTCAACAGGGCATCGGCAAGAACGACACCAGCCTTGTCCGCACGCACCATTCCCACACTCCAGGGATTGTCGACAATCTTGCTGATCCGCAACAGGCTGAGTGGCCAGAGAGCTTGTAGCAGACTAGCGAAGACTGCGCGAGCCGTTAGTACGATGAGCACTGATATGCGTCTTGAATGACTTACTAGTGCGAGCGATGATCTCCTTCTTTGCAATACTCCACGCGGCGCTCTTGACCACAGTCTCAAGAGACGTACCCATCTTCATCAGAGCCTCTAGTTCCCACCGGAGAGCGTATACCTCGCTTTCATGGCCCAGAGCTCGCCAGGGGTTGACGATGTCTTCCTTCTGGGTCAACCACCCGCTGATGCCAATGACCAGTCGAAGCCTGCGGTCCTCTGGGGGCACCTCCTTGGCCTCGCGGAACTCCGACCTCAATGATCCGTGCAAGGGGAGAAAAGCAAAGTCCTGAATGTCCTTGGCATATGAATCCATCATTTTCCCAGCTCCTCTTGCACCATAGATGCCGAACAACGTTCCCACAACGAGGCCGCTTTCCGCCATGGTTCCAAGCAGTCCAGCCGCGGCGGTCGTTCCCAGTCCGATTCCTCCGAGTACAGACCCAATACCTGCAGCAACCAGGGGCGCTGCCAAGCCTCCGGTCACACCGATGAGAGCAGCACCAGCAGCACTGGCTATACCAACCTTCCACCGACGGGCATTCTTGTTCTCCTCACTCCGTTTCTGGGTGGCCTCCTCGCCCGAGAGTTTCTGAGCAGCCTGGGAGAGGCTCTTGGCAACACGGACCTCGTCTTCGGCGAGCACATGCAAGGGCACATGAAGAGAGGATGCTAGGCGGAGGAGGAGAACGCGAGACAGCGCCGAGTAGTTCTCGAGTGACAAGACAAGTAGCAGCAGCGAGTGGAGGAGTAGCGTTCGTCGGGCCATGGGAAGGGAACAAAGCGTAGTCGCAGTGGGGGGGTATAGCTGGAGCAGCGCTGCATCTGCCTCCTCCACGGACATTGAATTGGCTACCTCGGATATCAGCATATAAAGCCTCTCATTCCTGGTTGTGCCCGGAGGTTGTCGACGTGCATGACTTACCTGTGTGCTGTGATTGATTTCCAGCCTGAGAAGATTTCGCCGCCGGAGTGGCAGAAGTGGGCTTGTTGGCAAATTTGGGGTTTGGTCCTTTGCTAGAGCCTGGCCGAGACTGCTGACCTTGGTTGTCCTTGGTAACGGAGATATCGCCAACGCGTTTGAGGACAGCTGCTTGCCACTTCTTGAAGTAGGCGAGTGCCTCCTTTCTGAGCTCAGCTTGGGTGGTGTTCAATGCCTCCTTCTCCTCTTTGTCAAGCATGGCTCGAGCTTTGTCGTCCAACTTGGTCGTCGAAGCTGCCCTGGCCTGGCCGGAATCTTGTTCGGGCTCCTTTGCACCACTGGTGAAGCCGAGATTCAGTTTACTGAAGTCAAAGCTTGTAGGCAGCATGTTTCCCGCCAGATTCCAGGACAGGCCTTTGGAAGCAGGCTCATCCTTGGGGGAGGCTGAAGCAACAGGATTCGAGGCCTCGAATGCCTGCACTATATTCTGCTGCATCGAGTTGGTGATGTCAGTGAGGAGGGTGGTGAGCTCGACTTTCTGGGGTACAGTCAAGACATCGCTCAGGTCAGCCTCCCGTCTGGGAGTTGATGGGCGTTGTCCAGCACCCCGATGTGAGTGTCGAGGGGCCATGGCAGTGTCTTCGTCCGAAGCATGAGATAGGGATGAGATGGGGGATGGTGGTGATGGGTCCCGGTTGAGTTCGGGGTTGGGTGATTGAGGTGACGATGGTGCCATTTTGATCGACTGCTGCTGGGGGTAGCTCCTCCAAAAAAAAAAAAAAAAAGATAGATGATAAATAAATAGAGCAGGCACGCAGGCAGCAGGTTCCTTCACTCCGGTCTGGGCCCACGGAAAGAGGAGGGATCTCTTGATTTCTTCTCCCTCCGCCCCTAAAAAAAAAAAGGAATCGAGTCAAAACAAATGCCAAGGCAGGTCACGACGAGATTGACCAGTTCGGAAGGCGCGCCAGCACCAGCGTACATTCAAGTGGCGGCCGAATCCCTCAGATCTATCCGACAGAACCAGGAGCAGGCGCAGAAACAGTAGCCCGAGAAGAGCAGGGACAGAGGGGGCGACGACGACGGCGAGAGTGATGATCAGAGAGTACTTGGTTTCCTCGACCTGGATACTTCACCGAGGGCGATTACTGGTATAGGATACGGAGTCTGGACGACGGGTATGCTGATGAGGACATGTGGGATCTCAGCTCCATGAAATATCAGTAGACTACTTGCACCAGGAAGAAGAAGAAGAAGCCGACAATCAACGAGTAGGTCAAGGGCAAAGTTCCAGAGGGGAAGAGAAGAAAAACGGCATTGCCGTTTGTTTGTATGACAGCTGCCACTTTGCTGCTGGCACAAGCGTTACCTCCCATGCCTGATGGCTACCTGCATCATTTGACGTCACGGATACTGGTAGTAGTACCACTTACACACTCAACAATGGGTTGCAGCTTGCCTTGCAGGGTTGTGACTGATCCGGCTTCTTGGAGGGTGGGTTTTTGCCGTGGGCACTGACCCGCACCAAATCAAATGCAGTACCTTAGAGAACCTTGGGAAGATTGAAGTGCATTCTTTAGATGTCGAGTCCAGAATAGAGACAGCCGAAGCCTCGACAACTCCTCACCCAATCCATTTACACTTTGTTCGCTATTTATCGTATCTATGATAACAAACCCCCAAAAGGGACAACCATGCAATCCGCCATCATGGCCTGCTTTATCTAGCCTACAAACCCAAAGATCCGAAGAGAAACACCGTCTAATGAATTCCAAACCGAATGCCTAACTCCACAACGCACGAAGGTAGGCTCGAGTCCTCCAGAACCGACGCAAGGCCTTCTTATCGCAGACACGAGAAGAGAAAAAAGGGCAAACAACCTCCCCGGCATTCTCGTGACGCAGAAAGACCAAGCCATCTGAGCATTCACACCCTGCTCCCATGGCCGAATCGATAGGATTTTGGGCCTCCATATAAGTGCAATGTAATTCAGAGGCGCACTCTCGCATTGATACCCTGACCTTCGTACCAAACAACCTCTTGCCAGTGACCAAGTCTAACAGCGATGTCAGCTTTCGCGTCGAGCTTGAGAGTTCCACCCAAAGCCTCTCTAAGCTTCTCGCGGCCGACCGAGTCCAGTGACCAGTCAACAGGCAACTTCGGAGTTTGTGACAATCCCGGGACGACAGCCACTGGCAAGTCGTGGTTGATCGTTGCAACCGGCTCTGTGTGGTTGTAGAATGCGGTCGCGTTGACGCTATCGATATAGAGTGTATTCTGTTGCAGGGGAGAGGCAAGTGTAAATGTTGCTGTCGACGACACGAGATGGAAGATTGCGTCCCGGATGAAGCGGGGTCTGTCATCTTCGGCGCCACCAGGAAGTTCCAACCGGGGAATGTTCACGGTGATATTGAATCTCGACAGAGCCTCGCAAAGGAGCGGTTGCCCTGGGATGCTGTGCTTATGCATTTTGAGAGTAATGCTGGCGTTGGAGCCAGAGAGGTATTCCGACAGAAGAGTGCGGCCAGCGCGAGCCCCTTCTCCGCCACTCATCGTTGGGTCCCACCTAGCCTGCACAACCAAGTTGGAATTATTGCCAACAGAGACGTCCAACCCTCGTGCCATGGCTTCGCCGAGGATAGACCCGTTGTTGACAATATGTATGCTGATAGACGGAATATGTGCAGAGTATGGTGTTGGGTTGGAAAGGTTCACAGAGGCCTGGAGCGAGATAGACTTCTCGGTCGTGTCGAGAATCTGCAGATCTTCGATGCCGGGATGCAGTTCGTCGAGAGCTCCCCGTGCGACCGCTGTACAAACGGGAAATCCTGTTAGCCCTTGACCAGAGTCTTCGATATGAAACAGTGCTTCACGTGTAGATCGGACTGGGCTGATACCCGCCCGGGAGGCGACAGAACGTGACTAACTCTACTGAACTCAGTACGGACGTTTTACCGGGATCTCTCCCTCCGCAGGCACATCCTTCAGCACGAGCTGACCAAGGACTGTCTTCACCATGACATCGACATGGGCGCGGACGCCGAGGAGAACTTTCTTCTCGCCAAAGAGGAGTGCTTGCACGACGTCGGACAAAACATCGCCGTCCGTCACATTGAGAGGAGCATCGGTGATTTGAGACTGGATCTTGAGCGTTGCATGATGATCGTCGGTGGCTTCTTCTCGGGTCGAATTTGCGTGCTGCCATTTTCGCAAGTTCAGTTCGCCCAGCTTCTTGGCCCGGTAGAAGACATCAGCTGTGGCCCGGACGTTGGTTACATTAATGTCGAAGTTCATCTCGGAGGGTAGCCCCGCGGTAACGACAATCGACCCGGATACTTTAGGGTTTGCGTCAGGGTCGTCCGGCTCGGCGAGCGGGTCCGGCAGGGTGAAATGCACATCGGTAAGGGAGAAGTCTTCGATCAGATTGTCAAAGGTCCGCCCCGGGAAGGGCACGGGAACAGTCACGCTGGAAAGGATTTCGCTGACCCAGTTGGGCGTGTCTGATTGAGTACCGCGTTTGCCGCGAACGAAGACAGTCGCATCGCCGCCACTCATGTATCGCTTCAGAAGGAGATCCAACGGTGAGGAGTCGGAGTTGGGACACGCCTTGACAAGGGACTCAGACAATTCGCGGATAACGCCGTGCACCTCGGCGACAACCTCGGTCCGGGGACGAACAGCAACTTGGCTCGTAGTCGCGTCAGCGACGATGATGTACGGGTCTCTCGAGTTGCAATCGGGGATTAGAACCTCGAAACTGAGCTCTGGAATGTCAACCTCGACCGGGTATTTGTTGAATGCAGACAGGCGGATCTCAGCCGCCATGGCCTCCACATCCTGGCCCGGCAGGGTAATCTCCTCAAAATTCATCTTGGTGATGTTATACTTGGGCATTTCGGGTATTGCGTTGGCTGCTCACAGTTATCAGTCTTATTGTTCAGCAAGCAGAAGAGGATCGATGTCTGCAGATTCTGCACTAAAACTAAGACAGGAACTTTTCTCCAAAATACAACGAAGCAAAGGAGCGGTAGAGATCCTGACCTTCAAAGACCATGGAATCAGACAGCGTGACAGTGCCCAGAGGAAGAAACCAGGTTCTGAGTTGGACATCGCCCACGCCGTTCAGTCGAAGACGGGTCAACCTGCCCTTGAGCCAGTCATTCGCGATGACGCGGACAACCTCTGGATCGCCTGGCACCAGTTCGGCAACAAAATCCACCTTATTGTTGTAGTTGTCCACAATTGTCAGGACCATGGGGGGGATCTCGGCTGTCCCCAGTAACATGTTGTCATACTCGGGTAGGTAGCATCTGAATGTCGTCCTGCCATCGGAGCCTAGGCGCCGGAAAACCCACGCCAGCGTCCGGCCCAGCCGCCGTACGTGTGCATTTTTGACTCGGGAAGCGTCGGCACGAATGTTGCCCTGTATACGGGCGTGCACACCCTTGGCAGAAATGGACTGCAGTGACAGGTTTGTAGGCTCGATGACAGCAGCCTCCTTCGTGTACTCTTCCAACGCTGCGGGCACAAAGAAAGCGCCAATGATTATCCCCACTGATATGAGGGCTAAGGTAACTATTGCAATTATCGAAGGCCACCGTCGAGATGACTTTTCGGCCGTTTTTGACGATGTCCGACTGGCTCGCGATCGGATCGATGAAGCACTGTCGTGATCCCGGGGGAGACCAGCATCATAACCACCGGCGCCATCGGCGCGGGAGAGTAGGGGGGTGATCTCCGATCGACTGGCGCTTGCGCTCTGGTCCTCAGTCCCCGCTAGTAGCGGCGACCTCTCCGAGGCGGACATGATCCTCGTCGATGATGGCAACGACGATGCCGATGGGGTCGGCGGGCTTGCGCGTATACAGAGGTCCAGTCAGCCAGATAGATATGGGCGAAGGAGTGTGGGAAAGCCCGGGAGAAGGGCGCGAAGTGCTAGAATATGCTGCGGAATGGGAGGGACATCGAGCCGAGTCGATAGATAGAGTCTCGAATAAATGGTTGCCAGGTGGTGATGACCAAGTTGATGACGACGAAACTGGTTTCCGCCCTGGACCTTACCTGGCAATCCGTCCATCCATGTGACTTGCAACGGGCCTAGCGTCGTTCCGGAGTCCCAGATCCAGCCCGGCAACACATTGAGCCAACCAAACAAATGGAAGCACAGCCCTAGTGCTCCGCATGACGGGCAGCCTGGCAGCTCACCCAATTAAAGAGTGGAGGTATACCTACTCGTACTAATTGTACCTGTACTTGTAGTTATTTTCGCGCTGGGTTGATGTACCCCGTCATTGGTGGGGGTCCTCAGTGGGCGACTTCGGGGGGTCACCGCTTTTTTTTTGACTCATCGTGATAGGCCAATGGCTCACATTGAAAGCACCTCTGAAAAGGGACTCTGGCTACCTAACATTCGAGCATCTCCGTCCACCATCTTCGCAGGTGTCTTGAGAGATAATTTTCAAGTTTCGACAAGAGACACTGCGAGCATCTGAAAAGTGTTTGGCTGGCGCATTGCGGCGTGTGGCATATCTCTAATTGCCCGAGAACGTCCTCCACACTAACAAGAGGATCCATTCAGAGGCGTCGAGTCATCGTGCATCTGTGAAAGCCTGCCTCTGACTGCGAGACCTCAACACAATTCCAGTGGGCAACACAAGGATGCGAAATTCCTTTTCTCGATTTGCCAAAATGGCTGCCACAACCATGCAAACCAGATCATATTCGACACCACGACACCTTCTCTCCATTGCTGACCTCTCGCCGGCAGAGTTCACCAAGCTCGTCCTGAATGCCTCGTCTCACAAGAAGGCCCTGAAAACTGATAGTATCTCGGCCCAGCTCGCTCGAAGCTTGGCTGGCAAGACCGTGGCGATGATGTTCAACAAGCGAAGTACTCGTACCCGTGTTTCCACCGAGTCAGCTGTGGTCGCCATGGGAGGACATCCCATGTTTCTCGGCAAAGATGACATTCAGCTTGGGGTAGGTCGCTGCCATATATCGCCCCCGTTTGCTTTGGCAGGCGCCGTGCGGTTTGACTAATCTCATTCCTCCCAGGTCAACGAGTCACTGTACGATACCTCGGTCGTCATCTCTTCCATGACTTCCTGTATGGTGGCCCGTGTTGGCCAGCACTCCGACATCGTCAACCTTGCCAAGGATTCCTCCGTCCCCGTCATCAACGCTCTCTCTGATGACTTCCATCCAATGCAGATCATTGCTGACTTCCTCACCATCCATGACGCTTTCCCGGCCAGTCAGCCGACCGAGTCAAGTTTGGGGCTTGAGGGCTTAAAGGTGGCTTGGGTAGGAGACTCGAATAATGTCCTCTTTGATCTTGCAATTGCTTGCGTCAAGATGGGCGTTCACATCTCCGTAGCTTCTCCCACTGGCTACAGTATTCCTGAGGCCATGAAAAAAGTCATCAACGGCGCGGCGGTGAACGTCTCCAAGCCTGGCAAGCTCACCGAGACTACGGAACCCACTGAAGCGATCAAGGATGCTGATATCCTGGTAACTGACACCTGGGTCTCTATGGGCCAAGAGGCTGAAGCCAGGAAACGCATGGAAGCGTTCAAGGGTTTCCAGATCACCAACGAGCTTGCGGAACGCGGCGGAGCGAAGAAGGACTGGAAATTCATGCACTGCCTACCTCGACACCCTGAGGAGGTTGCGGACGAGGTCTTTTACAGCCACCGGTCCCTCGTCTTTGACGAAGCCGAGAATAGGCTATATGCTGCGATGGGTAAGTGATGCGCAGGCCTGCAAACTCGATGGGAGATACTAACGGCTTGTAGCTGCATTGGAGGGATTCGTCGTCAACAAGGGCAAGATTGTTTAACCATCATGGCAGGGCTCTCGCTCTCAGAAACAGGACTTTGACCCTTCCTGGCCCCTAGATACACTTCACATCGTACCAGACATGATCAAATGAATACGGTGTACAACATGAGATGTCACTTAATCGCGGTGCAACAAGATAAATTCAGACTTGACTTGACAAACTGCTCCAAACTCAAATTCCACATGCCGGCCTGTCTAAGTAGCTTATCCGGGAGGAAGCTGGCTTGCATCGACGACGTCGTCGGCCTCCTTGACGTGCACATCGTCATCGGGGCCATACAGAGGCGACCGCGGCAGCGCCATCAAGCCAGTCCGTGCCGATTCGAGGATGCCGAAGGGGCCGATGAGTTTGAGGAAGGAGTTGATCCGGGACGGCTTCGCAGACCTGAAAGGCGTGGTCAGGACATTTGCACAGAACACAAGGATGCACGTAATTGACTCACACTTCGACAATGCAGCTGTTGGTGCTGATATCCAGTACCTTGCCGCCAAACTGGTGCGTGAAGTAGGTGATGCTCTTGAGGTGCTCATGCTTGTGACGGAGAGCCTCGCTAGCTGCGAGTCGGCTGGGATGGAAGTCTTGTGAAGTCTCCTCCAGAGTCTGATCCTGGACCTCGTGACCCTCCTCAACGTCCGCGTCAGCGGCAGTGATCTCCCGGTGGTGGGCGAGTAGCTCCTCGAAATACTCCGGGCCGAGAATGTTGATCTTGGCCAAGAGAAGCTCTCTCTGAACCAGGGCAGCATTGCTGTAGTCGAGGACGGCCCATACGGGCACCAGGTCCTCCAACTGCCTCCGGGCCTGCTCGACCACGCCGTCTTGGCCGGTGAGGACGATGGTCATGCGCGACAGGTCCTCGACCTCTGTGCTGCAGACGACCAAGGAGTCAATGTTGAAGCCACGAGCGGCAAGGATGCCAGACACCCGAGAGAGGACACCGGGCTCATTCTGGACGAGGCAATTGAGCACATGGCGGGTGGGAGGAGCCTGAGGGGTGGTGGGAGTCTCGTAGAGAATATTCGACACGGCCGCCTGTGCTGACCAAGAAGGGGTAGTGTCGGCAACGGGAAGGGGAGTCTGGCGCCGACGAAGGGCTTTGTAGGCGATGGCTGATGTCGAGCTGCTGCTGGAGCTGTATCGGAGACCCAACGAAGGGGCGGCGAGGGGGGCCTGACGAAGATTCTGGGAGGCGGACCGCAAAGCGGTCGTCCGCAGAAGGCCTCGCGAAGCCATTCTTCCTGACCAGGAACGAGACCAACAAAAGATGTTGTTCTCAAGTCAAGAGGAGGAGTTGAGTGCGAGTGTCCCTGAAAGGGTTGGGAAGAAGAAGCTTCCACTGGATAGTTCCCAATTCCAATTGAGGACTTTGGGAGAGATCACACTGTGACTCAAAATGCCCCCGGTGCAGTCTGCTGGTGGACAAAAAAAAAACGGAGCCTGGATGTGCGGCCTTGCATGGATCTCTCCGATTATGGAGAGTCAAAGCCTTCTTTTCACTTGCAAGTCTGCCCCAGAGTGCAGTGGAGCAGGCGCACTGATGCTAGCTGCAGGTACCTGATGCAGGGTATTCGTGTGGAAAGATACCTCATGGGCTGTACTTGCCCGGTACCGGGGAGGTCCCTCAGACCGGGAGGTACCTAACCTACCAGTGCGAGAATGCTCCAGACATTCTGTGAATAGACCAATTAGGTACCGTAATGCATCATTGATGTGGGGTGACTCTTGAGTGGAAGCTCCCGGTCGCGGATCAACTATTGTTGCATTCATGTGGATTGGTTGGCTGGATTGAGCATTGACGCCCCAGTCCAGGCCAGTTGAGAGCTCAGTGCTGACCTAGCGTCAACATTGGATCGCCTCAAAAGGCTACGGAGCAGGCCTAATAATTCTGGTCTCGTTTTGCTGTGTCAAATGTTGCTAGCTCAACCACAGTCTGGTCACAAAGCTTCTGACAAAGCTTCCACTACCATTTCTGTGAACACCAGTCGTTCCTTCCATCTGCCGTTCTGCACCCCCGGTTTCTCAGACCACGCGCTTTAGCCAAGGCCATGTGCGGGTGTACTGCTAGGCTCCCAACCTGAAGACTTCTCGGCCTCTGATTATATCCTATACCGTTCCAGCTCCGAACCACCAGCAGGCGGTGATAGGCACCAAATTCTTCGACCAAAGCCCACATCTACATCCTGTCAATATCTTTCTGAGTCGTCATTTCCCAGGCCCCATACGTCATCCGGCACCGCACGGCCTGTCAGAGTTTTACCATATACTGCGCTAGAACATTACAAATTATTACGATGGATGACACAGAGCGACGAAGCGCAAAGAGGTCGCGTTTCGACCAGACAGAACCGGAGCCCCGAAGATCGAGGTTCGACCGCCGTTCTCGTTCTCCCCCGGCTCAAAAGCCCGAATCTGGCCGGGAGCGCAGTCCTCTTTCTGGCAGTGGACGCCATGACACCCCAGACTCGGCAAAATCCCCAGTCGACCCAGCGGCGGCGGCGGCGGCGGCTGCCGCAAAGATCAATGCCCAGCTCCAGGCTCGAAAGGGCATCCAACATGTCGATGTCCCTCCAATCCGCTCTTCCGAGTCACCTGCGGGCAAATCCGGCGGAGCTAACCCGACAGCCAACATCAACGGCGAGATGTACATAGCAGACGGCGATTACATCAAGGATATCGAAGTGAACGATCTTCGCAACCGCTATCTCTTGACAAAGGGCTCTACACAGAAGATGGTAAATATGCACCCTGCCATTTCGGCTAATCCACTCCAGATTCCCACCTCCAATTGTGCGGGAGAGTCTCGCTTACTTGGATCTCGTAGCTCATACGCACTCCCCTCTTTGGCATCTGCTGACCTCCACGCTTAAACTAGATCAAAGATGAAACTGGTGCCGGTACGCTCCGCCCTGCCTTGACCTTTGCCGTCTGTGGAATTCTGGATTAACCGCTAGCTTGTTCAAAGATGTCACGACCCGCGGCAGCTACTATCCTGACAAGAGCATGGCGACACCTGCGGTAAGTCTTCTCGGCCAGGAGCCTGACGATGGCAACGAAGCTAACGTGTTCCCTGCAGAACCCTCCTTTATACCTTCATGTGACGAGCACGAGCAAGGAAGGACTGGAAAAAGCAGTCGAGAAGATCGAGGAGATGATGAAGCAGGAGTTGCCCCAGCTTGTCGATGAGCGACGATTCCGACGTCGAGAGCAGGAGACAGTCGAGCGAGACGAGTTTGGACGGGTAAGCTGTTGAGGGAAACTCGTACGAGGCTGTGATATACTGGAGAACTAACCTGCCTTTTGTTTAGCGCAAATGGCCCGAGGAAAAGATCCCGATCACTCTCGAGCCTGTGCACGGCTTCAATCTGCGTGCGCAAGTCGTCGGACACGGTGGCGCCTATGTCAAGCACATCCAGCAGGAGACTGGTTGTCGTGTGCAGATCAAAGGTCGTGGCTCGGGCTACCTGGAAGCTTCCACAGGCCGTGAGACCGATGAGGACATGTTCTTGCATGTTGCGTATGTCAACCCCGACTGTTCATGCTCTTGGTCGTCATGGGGCATCCGCCGCGGAACAACCAACTAACCATGTTGCAGGGGACCGGATCCAAAGATGGTCGAGAAGGCAAAGGAGCTGTGCGAGGACCTGCTCGAGAATGTCAAAGAGCAGTACGAGCAGTTTAAGAGCAGGCCGCCTCGTAACTACGAGCGCTCTGGGCAGTACGGTGATCGGTATGGCGATCGGTACGGCGATCGGTACGGTGACCGACATGGGAGCCACTCTGGCTCGTACCAGGGATACGGTAACCAGAACCAAGGAAGCTACAACTCACCTGCACCGGGCGGTGGTAGTTCTGCATCGCCCCCTCCAGCGGCACCGGGAGCCGCCGCCGCCAGTGACTATGCTGCTCAGTATGCTCAGTACTATGGATCCGATCCGTACGCCCCTTACGGCGGGTATGCAGCATACGTACAGTACTATCAGCAGTACTACAGCGCCGCGCAGGCTCAGCAGCAGCAGGGCTCTCCCCCGCCTCCAGGCACTTCAAGCACCTCGCCGCCGCCGCCGCCCCCAAGTGAAGCCGCTCCTCCACCGCCGCCGCCGCCCAGCGCTGCTCCGCCACCACCTCCCCCTTCGAGTAGCGGTGGCTATAACTCTGTATGACTTCTGGCCTGCTCTCCACTTCCTGACGCTTTATTTACTTATGCAATATTAGGTTCCTCCACCTCCAGGCATATAGATTCCCGTCTTGTTGCCATTCAATCGCCACCAAGGCAGGGCTCGTGGCGAGCGTGCAGTTTGGCGATCACAGTCATGATGGAGCCTTATCTGTTAGGCAGATGTTGTACAGGCATGGCATGGATGCAAGGACAGAGCAGCGAAAATTGGCTTGCTTCACTTGATCGAGTGGGAGGGGGTGTATGTTGGTACGAGATGTAGGAGCCTCGTGAGAGGGGTCTTGTGGAATATCATGCATTTTGCACCTGTCACTACGGATACTCAGGCAATGCAATGACTTCTTGATGGACCATTTCGGTCCATTAGGTACAAAACACATTGGCAGTGGAGCCGTGCCGCCAGAATGTCAAATATGAACGAACAGTAAAATAGGTAGTCACACGTCGGGGCTGATGTTTTGCAAATGGACTTCAAGTGAGCAATTGATAGGAGCTTGGTGGTTATCGATAAGGCAAGTAGTATCTGGTGTGGGCCCTTGACGTACCCAATCTCATAGGTGCAAGCACTGCTTCGTATGGCGACTTGTTGAAAGCTGCGACACCACAGTCAACAACGAACCCGTGCGCCAGCTTGTCAGGGCCGCATCAAGACCGCATCGCCAGGTGCATTGTGGACATGGCAAAGAGAACGTCAACAACTGCCATTCCTTTCGCGCAATGAGCCACCAACGCTTCCCCTCCCGTGATGCTGGGCGGGAGCCCCATTCCATCTCTCTAAAGGTCCTTCGGTACGTCGGGAGCTTCTGGCTTTGTCGCTGAAGCCTCGGCGACTAGGCTAATGGATTGTGTAGCTTGTCACGACCTTCCCTCGTCCCGCAACATCCCCTCCGGCCGGCACTGTCTCCAGCGGTGCCGGGCCAAGCTGACCCATTTCCCGCCTCGTTGGCCTACAGCCCTGAAGGCGCTACGAACCCGGATCCATTCGTTCTCAGCCCTATCCTCAACCTACCTCCCTCATTCGGCTCCGCATATGTCGGAGAGACGTTTTCCTGTACACTGTGTGCGAACCACGATGCGCAAGAGGCGCCAGCATACCCGGTCAAGGCGCCAGTCCAGAGCAGGACAATACGCGATGTCCGTATCGAGGCAGAGATGAAGACACCCTCATCCGCTGGAGTGGTCAAGCTCGATCTGAGTCCGAGGTCTGGTGGCGATGCTGGGGGCCATGGCGGTGCCGCCAAGGGTGTCGACCTCGACCCCGGGCAGACACTGCAGAAGGTGGTCAACTTTGATCTCAAGGAGGAGGGAAACCATGTCCTGGCGGTGACAGTGAGCTACTACGAGGCAACCGACACGAGCGGGCGCACAAGGACGTTCCGAAAGCTGTACCAGTTCATCTGCAAGTCGTCGCTGGTAGTGCGCACCAAAGCCGGAACGCTGCCGCCGCTCAAGGACGGCGGCCGGCGGCGGTGGGTGCTCGAAGCGCAGCTGGAGAACTGCAGCGAGGACGTTATGCAGCTAGAGCGCGTGGGACTCGATCTAGAACCCGGGCTGGTCTACAGCGACTGCAACTGGGAGGCGACCAGCAGCCAGAAGCCGGTCCTCCACCCGGGAGAAGTGGAGCAGGTCTGCTTTACGGTGCAGGAGCAGGGACAGGGGATCAGGGAGGCGGACGAGAGGCTCGTCTTTGGCGTTCTGAGCATTGGGTGGAGGGGAGAAATGGGCAACAGGGGGTTCTTGTCTACGGGGAAGCTGGGAACAAGGCTTGCGCGGTGAGGCTCCATTTTGCCTCGCCGGTCACTTGGTTGAGACCCGACGGAGAGTGCGTTTGCGGGTCGAGGTACAAGGTGTCAGCACGCCGTGAGTCCTCTCCTCTGGTGTCAGCCGCCTTCTTTCGTACGTAACAGGAGCCTATGCACTTGTTTGAAATTCGATCCAGTCTGGTTGGTTGGACATGGACGACGGCAGCTCGGGAAGGACGACAAGACTGAAAAGAAGAATGGGCCTGCATCAGAGTGCGTCTGCTGACTGGAGCAAGTCGGGCAGCCAAGATCCACATTACCCAATAGTTCCAGCTATCCTTACGCGTTCTGGGCCGACTAGAGACGCGTTGATTAGCGCGCGCGCACGCGATGAATGCACTTTAAGTTGATCTGCTTGGCCCAGTCGTAAATTACGGTAGCGGGCGTGTACCTGCACAAGCCCGCGATGCCGTCGAGATTCGACTGGGGCAAACCAGCCCTCTCACACAAGACGGCGTGCCGACCGCTCGGCGGTTTAATTATGGTTAAGGAGGGGGGGAACATGCATGAATGCTCTTATAGTTCCCGACTGACCCGCACCGGGCAGGCGACGAAAGAACCAAACGCCCGGGTGTGGACGTCGCGGATCAAGAACAGGGGACCAAATAGATTGAATCCCATCCATCACAAGTACAATCCAGGGGTGGTCCGGAACTCTGCGACCACGTTTGGCCTGCAGCAGCCTGTAAGGGGCGGGCGGCCATGTGGCGGATTCCGTGGCGCGGTCGCGCTGGTCGTCAGCGTTGGGAAAGGCAAACCTGGTAACAAACCAATGCGGTCCCTAGCGGGTACCTATTCAGAGGAGACAGAGCAATGACTCGAGCTCGAGACAGAGACGGATTGGGAGTCTCTAGACTCTCCAGTAAGAGGTGTGAAGTAGGGGTGTGTGTGCCGGCTCAACACCATTACTACCTAGTATCTCCTTCATATATCCATTTGCATATCGACTCCGTTGACGGCGACAGGATCTGTGGTCGATGATCGGACTTGGACACAGAGAAAGGAGATCAGAAAAGCCCTGGCCGTTCAGCCGCCGCCTGTACACGGCTTGGCACTGATGGGCCGATGGGCTACCAGGACTAGGTTTGGGACATCCCCGTTGCCAATCCTCAAGATCGGCGGTGAGGGGTTGCTCGTGTTAGTGGCTCCTCGCTTCCTCCAAGGCTCCATCTGTCGTGCAGAGAGGTCCTCTTTCTCCCGAACCCATGCTTGAAGAGCGGTGGACGCAACGTCCTTGGCCTCTCTATTCAGTCGGTCCCTTCCAGACTTGCCTAGGTTAGACACGTATTAGCTCGAATTCTCGCGGGAAATGAACGAGACAGGCAACCAAGTAAGTTACCAAGGGAAGCAAGGTAGGTAATGTTCATGTAGTATGTAGGTAGGTAAGTAGATAGATGGCATGAAGAGGTCGAGCGACCAGCCCATTCTTAGGCGACATGTCACAATTCAGGCATTTCGGGCATTATCTCGTCGATTCGAATGTGTTCTGCAGAGGTAGGGTACTTATGTATTTGTATGTATGTATGTATGTATGTACCTCTGTATGTGAGGTAGTCAACTACCTACCTAACCTTACCTTACTCCGTACTTATCAACGTCAAATGCCTGGCTGGGTTCCATCACCCACGCCCGTGAAGTTCGGGTGGCGTTTCTGTGCCGGTTTCGAATGCAAGCAAGAGAAAACGGCAAAAGCAAGCGGGCACCTTGGCAACTGGGCCTTGCCCAAGGACCCGAGAACCCTCCGTAGAAATTGTCCACCTGCATACCTGAGCACCAGGATGGACGGCTCAAAAAAGAAAGCAACGAAAATCAAAGAAACAGGTGGCACAGAAATAGCGGCACAGGGCCCAGGGGCAGCTTGGCCTGGGGGGGGGGGGGGGGATTTCGTTTCCTCTTGATAGAGCACCTGTGCAGTGAGTGGGTTGGTGCTGAGGTCGGGTCCTGGTGTTTTAGGCGTCCTGCAACCCCCAAAGGCGATCATCGATGCGCTATTCCCACCTGGCACCCACCTAGCTAGCAGCGCGTCTAGCCTACCTAGGTACCTAAAGTACCTACCTAGGTACCTACTCACCTACGTACTCCAGGGGGCGTCGTCCTCTTCCACATCTCCTCCCCTGTCCTTTTTGTTTGTCTAGCGGTCTGATGTGCTGTGCTTCGTTATTTGAGAGAAACGAGAGACAAAAATCCACTCCTCTTCTCTTCTTCCTTTCTCTCTACGACTCAATTCGCGACCCATCTTCTGGCTGTGTCTTTTCTCTCTGCTCTGCAGAGCTTCGGAGCTCCCGCTTGTTGTGCGACGAGAGTGTTGGTAGCGGACGGCAAGGATATCAATCTTGTGCTTCAACTCACCTCCAGGGCTGCTGGGACCCCAAGAGCACCTGGGCAGTCACCACGACTCTCGATCGGGAACGCACACCCCGCCAACCAGCATAAAAAATAACCGCAGGCGAGAGACATCGACTACACAGGCACCTCTACCCGCACACCCCGCCCCTTTCCCCAAGTTCGTATTTGGGGGGGAGGATTGTCGATTATCTCTTTTTTTTTCCCTTTCCTCTTTCTCCCCTGGTGGTCTGAGATAACAGAAGGGAACGCCTTTCTCCCGCTCACCAGTCTCCCTCTCCCTCTTCCTCTCGTCGCCTTCCCCCCATGCTGCCTCTGCGCCCTGCTGCTTGAGGAGTCCCCGAGGGCCGTCAAAGATGGAGAGCTCGTCCACGCCGCTGGCCGACTACTTTTGGATTGCCGGCGTCGAGTCCATCAGCTACCAAGATGCCCCGCCGCTGCCTTCTCCCTCCCAGCTTGACGAGACGATCAACGAGGATGGCGAGGGGGAGCTCTCTGACACGGCCGTCAACCCGTCCTCTCAGAAGGCCAATGCCAGGCATTCGCGCCACAACTCGGCCAACCGCTTGTCCAAACTGTCCAGCGAGGGCCGCTTCTCCATCCATACGCTCGACGAGCTCGATGGCAACACTCGCAGCAACCGTAGCAGTGCCACCATCCGGCCCAACCCAGCTCCCGCCGCCGTCAATGGCAGCCTCGCGGACGGCTACATACCCGACGTCGACTTTGACAATGCTCTCATGAAGTTTGCTGCGGAGCGGGAGAACTTCCTCGACGACCTTTCCTTCAGCGCCGGCGCCAAGCTCACAGCCCGACCGCCCATGGTCAGCCCGCGCACCGAAAGGCTTAGGGCCGAAGATGGCGACTTGTCCGCCAAGAAGAGCCCTCTGCGGAGCATACGTGGCAGCATCCGCCGCAAGATCAGCTTCAGGGACATGACGAGCGTGAGGAAGCAGCCGGCCACCCCCCGCGCAGGTGAGTCGCGATATCGAGCCCCGATGCCCCGGGCCATGCCGCTGACAAGCACTCCCACAGCTTCTGTTCGCACGGCAAAGCGCATGAGCAATTACAATTCCGTCATCCCGCCGCCTCAACCCCTCAATACGGATCCCAACATGCATCCGCTCAAGCGACGCTTCGAACCGGTCCTCCTGGATCGCTACCCGTCCAAGGACGCGATCGAAGAGACATCGCGGCGAGGGCGGTTTCCAGACTACGTGCCCATGTTCGCCTTCCCCAACGATATCCAGATAGTTTCGTCTGATGACAGACCAAGATCCACCTGGCATGGATTCACAATGACTTCGGAGGACAACTCCAAGATTTACGGCATCACCGTCATCATATGGACAGCACTCAATGCAGAAGTCGCCGACGACGTGGAGAAGCGATGCGAGCAGTGGCGGCAGAGGCACATGACGAATGAAGAAAGAGAGCTTGCTTCTAGCTTGGGAGGGCGCCTGGCTGTGGAACGGGCTCACCTCTCGCAGTTGCTCGCAAAGTTGCCCACCATACCCTCCGGGTCGCCGACGAGAGATGAGCTGGATGACGAGATCAGTACCGTGGAGGAAAAGATCAGCCTCATGACCGAGATGCTCCGGCCACTACGGCACGGTGCCGCCTCTAAGATTGACGGTCTGACCGCTGGCGAGACTGGACTCTGGGTACCGAGGGCGTACGGTGTTCTTGGCAGAGATGCCACCAGGATGACTTTCTGGAAGGAGTGGCTGAGGGCGGTCGTTGTCCCCATGACGGACGGCGCAGTATTGCGAGTCCCTCCAAGCTCGCCAAAGGTCGGCCGTTGGCAGCCATTGGAGCGTTATGTTGTCAACCTATGCACCGAGGCCTTCAGTCCTCTCAGCTCCAAGACGCAGGTCGAGCTTGGGGTGAGGGAGCTGCGCATGTATGCGCGAAGGGAGGCGTTGAATGAGTTGCCAGGCTCGCGCAACACCGATATCTATGCGCTCTTCAGGAGCCTTTCCCTCGACAACGTCTTGGCCCTCTTTGAGCACGCCATGTCCGAGTCTCGCATCATTTTTCTCTCGTCGCATACGGCCATGCTACATCTCGCATGCCACGCGTTGGCCAGCCTCTTGTATCCGCTCAAGTGGGCAAGCATCTTCATCCCGGTGCTGCCGGCCAGGCTTCTGTCTGCTCTGGAAGCACCCTGCCCCTACATCGTCGGCATAGAGAGAAGGTATGAGCAGATTGAGCTTCCAGACGATGACTACGTTCTTGTGGACCTCGACAAGGATTTGATTGAAGCGTCCTCAGAGCCGCACCGTCTGCCACGGCAACACCGGCGCAAACTCATGTCTCTTCTGCAACTTGCGGCACCGCATAAGCTGAGGTACGGCGTGATGACTGGACCTCCGCCGTACGCAATTGAGGCGTTTCCGTACGACACCTTTTCCGTCGAAAACGAGTCTCTCTTCAATTCTGCACCCGGCAGCTCAACCCTTGGCAAGTGGGTGTCTCAGAGCTCCTCGACCTTCATGGAGCCCGACCCTCCCGCATCTATCCACCCTCCCGTCTTCAACGTCTTTGCCTCTTCGAGAAACGAGACCACGCGGGCCGAGCGCCCTTCAACCTCCAAGTCTACCAGTCCTCCTACATCCGTCTCGCCTGTATCAACACACTTCCCTCCAATGCCAGCGACTCCAGTCTCGAGAAGTGACTCTGGGTTTGCAGCCATTCCCATGCTGCGAGAAAAGAAGTCTGGGCATTTCGAGGAGAAGTCTCGCCGAAGCTCGTCCTTCGGCATGGACAAGCACCCGTTACACAGACCCAGCTTGCCATTCCTAAACGGGCACACCCAAAGCCTGTCCATCTCGGCCATCTCGATAGACTCCCAGTCGTCGTATGGCGGATATGCCCCGTCGACATACGCTCAATCCACCATTGCTGCCTCCACGATCATGCCCAACATGGTAGTGCAGCCCGTGCGGAACACAGACACCACCATGTGGGTGGAGGGTCACTGCTTCAACTGGACGCCTGGGGAGGGTGCTTCCCTGTGTACCGTCTGTGACGAGCGATCAGAGGGCGATGGATTGTACAAATGCAGCGGATGTGGGTGTCTGTCTCACAATCGATGCCTAGGTCTCGTTTGCCTCGTATGTCCAGAGGCGTTCCACGCCGACAGAGTCCGTGCAGCCTTCGTTCGGTGCCACGCCAGTCTACTGTATACCTATCGCAAACACCTCGGGCGGCCTACCAAGGAGCAAAAGTCCAATGGGCAGCTGTATGCTTTCGACATGGCCGGTTTCATCAAGAGCCAGCCCTATGATCAGCAAGAATATGCCTCAATGATGAAGGATACCCAATGTGAGTGCCAGTCATATATGCGGTCTGGTGATGCGAATGCGGTTGCTAACACTCCTGATTGCGACAGTATTCAACGAGTTTATCCATGAGCGGGAACGCTTTCCATCCACGCATTCTGCTGTGCGGCTTTTTGACGAAATCATACTGGCCAAGAAAGCACGGGGTCGTCCAGCCCTGGGCGGACTGTCTCGCCTTTCTACCATCAGGGCCTCCCACGGGGCGTCTTCGGGGTTGCTGGGCAGCGGATCAAGACAGTCCAAAACATCGGGTTTTCTCGGCGACACAAGCGATCATATCTGGCGAACGGCATCGGTGCCTGTGCCCGTGGCCAAGTTCCCTGGCGACTACAGAGCGGTGACGACACGTGTCCCGGCCAGACTCGATCCATCTCTGATGAAAGAACCCCGAGCGATACAAGGGGTGCCGCGTCCCGAACAACGGGGGACGCGAGGCTTAATTCGGAAGCAGGTAGCGAGCATGATTGGCCCGCCTACGCCAACAGAGTCGTGAAGAGCCTTGGTCACAGCCTGCCTCGGTACGACCATGGCAGGCTGATCCGTTGTTGATGATGCATTGCCAGCGGGCAGAGACAAGCCGCTGGCCGCCAGGAGCAGCTCTTTATCGAGCAACTTGAGCGTCGCTCGCTCAATGTACGATTAAGCGACGTGATGTAATTTAGGATTGATGGCATTGGCACAAACGGAATAAGTGCTGATTTGGGGCATGCTTTTCCCGAGCAAAAGATGAACGTCTTCGTCCACTCTTTGCTTTGAAGCATCGGCACACAGGAAGGTAAAAGTTTTAGGTTTGGCCTGGTCGTCTTGTTATATGTTCTGGCCTTGTCACCTCGGCGGCCATGTGTCGAGAGAGGGCGTCCTTGCATTGGCTTGGTTCTTCAGCATATCTGATCAGGGAGAAGCATGATAGCGTTGCATGAGAAAGTTTTCAAAAATGTCGGGCTCGATTAGGGATACATGAATGAGAATGGATGGATATGACATTGTTTCAAATTCATCAAACCATCACGATCGCCTTTTTCAATGACAATGGCAGATGATTAATAGCCTCTGCTCCGATCGAGCCCGAGTCCGAGTGATACGGGGCATGGCTCTCGGAACTAGAATATGCATTGGTATCGATACTGCTCTGGCATGGAGATCTCCGGGTATTATCTGTTTGAGCTAAAGGGATACATGTGCTGCACTACACCATGCCATGATGGTGCCGTGACGGCAGCGCCAAGTTTCGAGACGAAGCTCTGGTTCGACCCTTTGCAAGCTCACCGCTGTCTAGCCGGGAAAAACCAACCCTGTCAACCGACCGGCTCCAGCCAGGTCATGCTCCGGGAGCCTTGGGCGCGCTTGGCCCGGGATTCCCTTCATCCCCGCCACCAGCGTCATCACGAGGCTTGGGCTTGGGCACCTTTTCGTAGGCGTTGGGGCTTGGTCTCCTCCTCCTCCCCTTGTTGTCACCGTCGCCATCTCTCCTCTTCCTGCTTTTCCGGTCGTGTCTGCGGCTACTGCAATCGTGGTCGTGATCATGGTCATGGTCATGGTCGTGGTCGTGGTCCGGCCGTCTACCGCCGCCGCCTCCCCTTCCGCCACCGGCAGGCACTCTGTCCCTGCGGCCGGGATCCGAGTCCGAGTCTGAGCTCGAGTCGTCGGACGATGATGATGAGTCTGACGAATCACTCGACTCGTCTACGCCGCGGGGTCGATGGTATATGCAGCACACTGTTGCCATCGCCATGCCTTGGTCAGCACAGCTCTCTTCCGTTCCACCGTCGAGGGCCTTTTGATTCGGCTTGGTCTGGCTTGGGGGTGCCTCCACTTACCCTTGGAGCTCTTGCGCCCCATGCCTTCGTTGTCGACAACGTCCTCGGCCCACTGGACCGAGCGCCCCGTGTCTGCGTGGGCGCCGCGCAGGCGCAGAATGGCCTGGGTCTGTGTCCCCGTCGTCGCGGGCGTGGTGGACGTCTGCTCGACCACCTGAGTCTGGGTGCCGGTGGCGGCGGGCTGGCGCTGCTGCTGGCGCTGCGAGAGAGAGGCCATTCTGGGCTGGTCGTGAGGGATGGCACCAGGTGTGATGGGAAGAGGAGTCTCGGGGCTCAAGAATATATGCAGCGATTTTGTGGTAGGGTGCCTCTTGGGGCCTTTGTGAGCGGCCTCTGGTGGCGCAAGAGTTGCTGGAGCGGGTAGATGTCGTGTGAGAAAGCGTCGAGGCCTGCTCTCAACTATCAGAAGTCAGGATGGGGCGCGCCGAGATAACAGGCACTCGGGTCTGTCGAATGGCGGCGAGAGAAGGCTCGTCAGGGGGAGTGAATAAAAGGGCGAAGACATGAGTGAGGTGATGGTGCGGGAGTGGCTGACAATTGCCCCGCGTGTGCTGTCTTGGGCACCTACCGTCTGGTATTGCAAGTACTCCGTAATTTGAAAATGGCTGATTAGATAAGGTCCCGTACAAGTGGGCATCAATGATGTGATCCTTGCCTTTCAATCGAAACATTCTAATGCCACTGACGTCAGCCCTCAGTTCCAGACAATTTGCCAAGGTGCTCACGCGACTCTCCTCCAAGGGCGCAAATGCTGTTTAGTTTGTCAATCAAACATGGGATGATCTATTTTGCTCAAGCAGAGTCGAGGTATTCAGTTTCATGTTACTATATCCAGAGCGGAAAGGGGTATTGTTCTTCTCAAATACAAGCGCCAGCAATGCTCCGATTCCCAAATGGGCCCCAAGGTAATAAATAGTACATATCGACACACCAGATATCCTACTTGTACATATATGTTCACATGTTTTCTGGCTGGTCATGCCCTCGTCGATCAAGACGACCCCTGACCGGCTCTCGCTCGCCTCTTGGCCTGCTTCTTCGCCCCCTTCATGCTCTTCCGAGGGCGACCTCGCGAGATGGTCGACCTCTTCGGTTGGCACTTGAGCCATGCGTTGAGCGGCCGTCGAGAACCCACAAACTTCCCTTCCGGTGTGAACACTTCGACCACGGGCCAGTTGGGCTCGCTGTCGCTATCAGGAGTCATGTTGTGCGACCCTTTCGCATCTTCTTGTTCGTCTGCCGGAGGCTCGGACAGATCCAAGGTTTGAAGGACCTCTTCCCGGGGAAGCTCATCCACAGGTTTCGGTGGCGGCTTGAACAGATCCCTCGCCCTGACCTGCGCCACAACTTCGACCCAGCCACAGCCTTCGATGAGGATGTCGATGGCGACAACACGATACGGGAGATTCTCGACCTTGATATTGACAGCATCGCGTCTGGTGATAGGCCCGGCACGCTCTTTGGTCACGTCGTACTTGAGTTTGAAGATGCCGGCTGACTTGATTGTGGCTCCTGTGCCTTGTCTGGCAATGCTCTCGACGTTGAGCTCGCTAGTCTGAGCCTGGATCTCGATGGCCTTGTCTGTAGCCGTCTTGTGTTCCTTCAGAGGTGTGAAGTTGTAGGCCAGGAAAGTGAGGTTCGGGGTTCGAGGAGTGATGCGGATGAAACCACCCAGTAGAATGGATTGCCCTGGCTTCAGGCTGTGCTGCTCTGGCTGGATACGAGACTTCATGATGATGTCGTCTGAGTGAGCAGGCTCAACATAATCGACGATGCTGCTTCTGAATAGGCCGGGCAGATCAATCAATTCACCCCTTCCTTTGCCAAAGGGTATCCTGATAGGTGATGCGGTGGTTCCGGGAAGGGACGAAACCACCGGCATCTGCGGATACTCGGTCTCGGGCTGGGGAGGGGGGAGCAGGGTAGTCTCCTCGAGCCCGTCGAACTGATCATTGCGCGCAGGCCGCGGCGAGACGGGGATCTCGATCTGGTGCGCCGGGGCCTGCCAGTTCATCCGGCCCTTGGGGAAGATGTGTTGGAACAGGTAGCTCTTCCCCACGTTCGCCTTCCCCACCATCCAGGTGGCCCCGCCACGCTTCCAGATATCTTCCTTGAGCTCCTTTGTCCACCAACTCCTCTTGGCGCTGACGCAGTGGATGTTGCCCAACCTTGCCTTCCGGCCGGCTCGACCGAGGGCATCGCGCAAGGTGTCCGTGATCCAGGGCATGAGCCTATCCACCTGTTCCCTCCGCGGCGCAAGGAGATCCGATCTCGTGATGATGAAGCTGAGCTCCCTCTTCTGGTCACCGTAGAACTTGCCAGACTTTGCGCGCCGGTTGCGAGAGCGAAGAGGCATCAGATCCAGCAACTCCCGGATCCGGGGCAAGAGTGACATCGGAAAGTCGGCAGCATCGAGAACGTGGTAGACATGATTGTATTTGTATGGCGACTCCTCGATCGTGTCCCGTATAGCATCGATCGTGGGGAAATGAGCCGAGGTGCCGGCACTGTGGTGGACCAACTCGTGGCACCGGTCGCACAGAAGCGGCGCGTCGCCAGCATTGCCAAATCCTTCAATGCTCGAGGCCGTCGCCGTGGGTTGACCGAGTATCAAATGCGGATCCAGGCCCAGCCGTTGCAACTGACCCTCATCGAGATGCCCCAGCGCTTGGCTGATCACCCCATCGTCTGCACGAACGCGCGGCTCGGCTTTGATCAGGCCCAGAGCTCTCTGCAGAGATTTCCTCTTCCCTATGTTGAAGAACCCGGGCTGGTCCGGAATCGACGTCTGCGAAAGGGCACCACAGCCTGGACACTGGTTAGGGAGCCTCGCTGCTGGTGCCGTTTCCTCGGCGTCAGGAAAAGGCGGCGCGTTGGAAGCCGCAGCTTCAGCGTGCATGTGCCTCGTCTGGGCCGAGATCAAAGGTTTGGAAACCGCTGTCGAGCCATGTTGTCGTCGTTGTAGGGGTCTGGCTTCGGCTGTCGCAACGAAGCCTCCAAGTGCCGGGCAGAGAAAGAAGGGCGGCAAGCCGAGTGTCGCTGTCACGACGGCCTCTCTGTGCTTCGTTCGCGTCCAGGCCTGGCGCAACGGCCTTGATGTGTGCATCATATTATAGAGGAGAGCCCGAGAACCATGGCATCGGCGATTCTGATGCAGAAGAGCCAGAAGAGCATGGGTACCGCAAGAGAGGGGGGGTTCGAAGAAATACAAGAGTCCAAGTCGCGATTTGCGTCGCAGTTCTCACATGAAGTTACTTCAAAGCGGGCCAGGGAAAAAAATCAAGGGGACAGTATTCATCGATAAGCTCGCCCTCTCGCCCAATATCCACTGTAATTCTAGGTGTTTCAGGGTCCACCAACAGGGCCGATTGGCCACTGACTGAACCCACCACACCGGAATTTCTGGGTGGTGCCGCCCCAGGCACACGACGCCGATCCGTCATTGGACAACGGGTCAGAAATTTGTCCCGTCAATTGCATCGCATGTCGAGCAGACAGACAATTTGATTGAATCTCCATCACGGCGAACGAGTCTCTCCACGACGGCCGACTCCTAGACCCATCTGACACGGCGAGACTCAAGCGCACGACACTCGTTCGTGCCCTACAGCATCGGTCAAGATGGTTGGCGTCCTGCGGCGCATGAACAAGCTGAAAGCTGTGAGTCTGCAAACCCCCAAGTGAAGAGAAGAAGAAGCATGTTGAGACTGACCTCCATTGCAGCAGGTAAAATATGCTCCCAACCTGATCCTGCCGCTGTCGCAGCTCTCCTTGACATCCTCCCCAAGACTATGCCCTCTTCGAAGGACGATTCGGTCTAACAGAAGCGATGCGTGCAGTTACTGGGCATGCGCCATGGGCCTGGCGCCGCTATCCTTCCTTCAGAGATCACCATGATACACATGGAATTCGCCCACAAATGGCGTGACGGCCACTTCGGCCCCAGGTATGTCGGTCATGTCAAATTCTGTAGCCTTCTTTCCCTAGGACATTGTGGCTAACGGCATCTTTCCCCTCCTTTTCTGCAGGAAATTCTGGCGCATCTGCCTACCACGTCTCAAATACTGGAATCCCACCGTCCCCATGATCGTCAACAGGACGCAGAACAACGACGGACCCGCCACCATGAGCATCTACTTCCGCCAGCAGTCCTCTTCAGCCTCGGATCAGCAGGCGTCAAGACCGCAGCCGCCCGCCTCCCAGGCCGACGGCAGCGCCAAGGCGCCCGCACCGGCCGAGGGAGAGCGAGTGGTGACCATCGACATGAAGCGGCAACACTCGGACGCCATTCTCGCCGACTTCCTGACCAAGACGGGTGCCGTACCCGTGGTGCCCACGCCGCAAGAGGAGGCCGAGCTCCGGGATGTTCAGGAGCTGAAGGAGAGGGGTGCTGTCGACCGCGAGGTCATGCGCAAGCATCTCGAGGCTGAGAGGCGGGAGGCCGCGCTCATGAAGCAGGCAAGGAACGAGGCTGCTGCCATGAAACAGAACTCATGATCCAAGTTCTCCGACCGAGAGGTAACGATGCGCCTGGAGGAGTCGGGCGAAAAAAGAGCAGTCAAGCCAATCTGCGGTATTCTATTGATACCCTATGTATATGTACCACTCATGTAGAACATTGTACAAAAGTCCGACGTCACCCAACCAAGTGACATTCGATTCCACATAGGCATGACTGATCGTCAATGCTTCTTCACTAGAGTAACATATGGCCGGGTCAGAACGTACCAGCCAGCCACGTTGGCCGAGCTGGGCCATCAAGCTTGCTGCACATCTCAATGTAGATGGTCTTATAATTCGATTCTTCGTGATCCAAAAGCAAGTTTTACAGCCTCGCTTGCCTCCCGTCCTTGGCCCCTGAAGTGAGTATGTATTTATGTGACACCTCTTGAGCTAACTGGCCCACAGTGCAGACCTGTAGGAATCTCTGTCTTTTATCTCACTTCAAGCCGAAGCCCTCGCTCTCATGCACAGCCCCCCAGAGCATGCTTTCCAGCCTCCCCTTTGACTCATATCGCCATAACGCCAGCGTATTGAAGCAGGTCCGTGCCGTCGGGTATCTTCCAATATCATCTCCGAGACATACTATACGAATTGACAGTGCTGATGCACCAGTGGCCGGTATCCGGTCGCTGCCGGTGATGAATGTTAGGAGCTTTCGCTGGTCTTTTGGCGAGGCGCTTTCAAATGATTGCCAGAACCATTGGACTGTTACTTCCTCTTCTTCCTGGCTCCGAGACTTCCACCCATCGTATTGTGCGACCGAGCGGATAGAGGCAATATCGAGCGGTTCATCCGAGCCGCGAACCAAGAGCTCAATCTCTTCTGGTCGGAAGAGGGACAGTGCGTTACCACCGCACACCTTGTAGAACCCACGCTTGAATGGTTCAAACTGCCGGGCCACTGAAGAATCCAGCAAGTAGCGGACGTAAAGATCCACGTATTCCCGCCGATTGCTATTCGTGACCGGCTTGCGTTCGCCGCCTGGACAGAGTGCGACCTGCTCAATGGAACCGTATTTTTCTATGTCAACCACAAAGTCAAGGCAGAAGGTCGTTTCCACGTCACCGTCATATTCTAGAAGTTCTCGCAAGCCGCTCGCCAGTCGCGGCCGGTATTCTGCCAAGTCGTCCAGAGTGTAGTTCATGACGGGCCTGACATGCGGTTGACCTATCGCGACCGGTGTGGGTGCAGCCAGGAGTAGTTTCCGGAAAGCAAAAGGAGGCAACGCAACATCCAAGATTGTCGAATTGTAAATTGCCAGTCCGACCACCACGCCAACCAGAAAGTATTGGTCAGACGTCTCGAAAGAATTGGGGTTGAAATAGCAGTACTGCGAGTCATCGTCGTAGGTAAACATCCCTTTGATATCGATCAGCATGTATGCACGGGCCATCTGCCTTGAAGCGGCTGGAGGAAGGGGGCTGATGGAATCACATACCGTGATCCGGGTTAAAGACCTCCCTGATCAACAAAAGAAACCATTCTTTTCGGAGTCCGCCGGCGTCGATCCCCTCCTCTCCTCTAAAGACTATTCGAAGTCCTTTCTTGATATCCTCGCCACCATTACCGACAATCTCGCTCACGCCTTTTAGGCTGTCCTCTACAAGACAATCGCGCCGGACATTGAGGACAAGGTATTGCTCGATATTCCTCCGTGTCATGATGCTGTCAAAAAAGGCATCCCGTGCCTTGTTCTGCATCTGGCGTCTGGCATCGTACTCAAGAATCTGTATTTTGGCCCAAATGCTGAGTAAAAAGGGATACTGGCAGAATGAAAATTTGCCTCGCTTTTGTTCCCACGCCTCAAAGTCAGCAATGAGGTCAGAGTTGTCGAGTAACGTGGTATAGAAGTCCGACGTGGGCAGTAATTGGCCCCTTGCGTGCACGAGATCGCCATGCGTTCCTATGTTGGGAGATTGACCCAGAATACCGGCTTGCACGTGCCGTCGTGCGCGGTCGTTGTTGTTCGCAGCGAAGATTAGAGACAAAACTCGAGTCGCGGCTTTAATCTGCCAATCATCGACATATAATATCTTCCGCGGCGGCTCCTTGGAGGCCTTTGAAGCTCTTGAGTGCTGACCCAGCGCGGCATGGAGAGTTGCTGCAGAGTGGTTGCTCGCCATGCTTGGGATTAGCCCACCTGTCAAGTCCACCTCTGCCTCGTGCTTTTTCTGATTTTGTCGAATGAGGCGATACGCCAGAAAGCCTGCAACGAGGTCTTTAAGCCTACCGAAACGAGGCTTGGGGTAGAGGGCGAGAAACTTGACGAGTTGGTTCTGTAACTCTGAAGGTGCATTGGACAACAGGCCGATCAAGCGCTTGATGATACCGGAATGCTGTCCGGACGTTGGCCCTGTGCCTCTGGCACGGTCCTTATCGGCGTGCGATGGTCTGCGTTGCTGGCTGGGAAGGGCAATGACGCCCCTGAACGTCCGGTGAGAAGCAGATAGCAGAGGATTCGCCAGGAGAATGAGTAGATACCGCATATCGCTGCAATCGAGGATGGGTCGGCCGGGGCGTTTCAGAAGGACCTCTGTTGCCTTCAACAGTGTTCTTTGCATGTGTTCCTGGCCAACGAGGACTGATTCCTCAATCCGCACGAGCTGTGCAGGAGTGCTCAACGCAGGGCTGGGTCTGTCCATTTCATCATGGACTTGCTTCCATGCCTCGCCAGCATTGATGATGGATCTATACCATTGATCCAGCTCCTCCCATTCAATAGGATAGATCCTATCTGTCCTCAGAGGTTTTTCGTCGGTAGTATGGGACTGCAACTCCTTTCTGGTCCGAAGGTCTTCTTGAGCCCCAGTCCACCACAAGCCATTCTCTGCAAAGTCGCCCAGGAGTAACAACTTTGCATCCACCTCAGGAACCGCGAGAGTGTGATCCGCGCTTTCGATGGAAGCCTCGTGATGTTGAGTCTGCCCAGCAGCAGATACCATGTCGCTACTCGTGGCGGCAGGCTGAGGGGCGAACGACCTGGCCAGGCATCGTGTAGAGGCAAAACTGGAAATAAAGTAGTCTTCAACAGGCTTGAAGATCCTCTTGGCTTCAATCATGGGAGGCTCATCTCGGGCGGCGACACCAGTGCCATTACACTGGGCAGCCAGAGTTTGAGTATCCGGTCTTTTATCAGGGAAAGAGGATGAGTAAGATCGGTGGAAGGCCTTGTTCTCTCGACTTGAGAGTGCGATGTTTTCGAAAGGCCGCGACCCCGAGGAGAGCCCGGTGCTCGGTGAGGGCGAGGAACCGAAAGGAGGAAGCCCCGTCTCTTGATCCGGGCGAGGCTTGCTTTCTCGCGGCTTTGGGGGTGTCTCATCAGGTAGGAGGAGAAGTGGTGACCTGTCTGGTAACGCAACGCCAGTGTCCTGACCGCGTTGCGGCTGGTGGATGACAGTTTTCAGATAAACCTCCAAGCATTGCCTGATGAGTCTTTTGGTGTAAGCCAGCGAAAGAGGTTCTTCTAGTCTCACATTAGATTTCTTCCGAACAACCAACATGCTGAGGGTGGATATTATGCTCACTTGGTGAAGCGGATGTTTGCAAGTGCGCTGGCGCATCAATCTCGCCTTCCTGGCAGGACCCTGTCCTGCCCGTCCTTGGTTTGAGACCGAGTGGTTCCAGGTCGTTGACAGTCAGACAAATGGTGCATTTGTACACCCTCAAATCCCTGGGCCATCGCACCAAGGAGCCGCAGGTCATGCAGTTTCCAGTAACAAAGTCTCTGCTACCCTGGCTTCCAGTGGCCCTGTGCATGGTCCGCTGAGAGCTGCGCCTCCTTGCCAGGGGCGGTTGGACGACTTCGTCCGAAGAATCTGAGTCGCCAAAACCAGGCTCGTGATCAGGCTGCTTCTTCCTCCTGCCCGAGAAGAGCGAAGGGAAAGGATGGCTCAGGGAGCGTCCGTGTCGAGGCCTGGTGGGCTTGAGATCGGAATCAGAGGAGCTAGACTCGACCTGGATCTGAGAGCCATCAAGAAGCTCGAAATCAGAAATCCGGGGTGGTTCCCGGGGCCGGCGAGAGGAAGAGTGCGAGCCGGGAGCGCTGGGCTGAGGTCGCGCGGTGGGGTCTTCGCGGGTCACAGAGGCGAGCCTCGGAGGCCAGGATGGTGCCATCTTCTAGGCGGCCTCTAGTGGGTATCGATAGAGGCATGCGCTTCAGGGCAGACAGTCATGAACAGGCAAGAACCTGGAAGGCATCGCTGATGCGGCAGGCTCGATCATTCAGATCCCCCAGCACCAGGCTACCTAGTGGAGGGAAGGACCATATCAGGTATCAGTCCCCCTAGAAGATAAGGTATGTAGGTGCTTGCCTTCCCTCAAGGATACTCTTTTGGGCACCAGGGGAGATGCCTCCAGGGGTGAGAATGAATGAACCTGGCTCAAGTGCTATCTGCTAAGATGAAGGGTACCTTAGGTAGGTAGTCAAGGCAGGGAACCCAGGACTGAGGACCGGAGGTTTTCGAATAGATAGCAGGCCCTCTTCTACCTCAAGTAAGGAGTCGATTGCTTTTTGACGCCTAAAGGACGTCTAGAAAGGTGGCTTGTGAAAGAGCCGTCGTGGGTGGAGTGAGATTGAACAGCGAATATGTGGCGAGTCCGCACAGTCGTCGTCTTTCGTCGTGGCCGTGCCTTGAATGCCGCAAGCCTCTTTTGGAAGTTGAGAAAAGCGACAGAAGAGGGAAAAGAAGTTCAAGGCCAACCTTGAGGAGACCTGTTTCAAACCGTGCCGGGCTGCCTGGGCCAAGTACTTGAATCAGAATACCTAATTACTATGGGCTAAAGAGCGGCTACGAATGGCTTGCCTCGCCTCCGACAATGGCGCTGCCACCTGGACACTGCCAGCGCATCTTAGCGCGACTGATGCGCATCTCGTATCCGGTGGGCTGTTGTATGGGTAAAAGTATGGGGAACTGTGAAGGGTTGCTGCCTATCGTACCTAATGAGAGAAGTAGAACAGCAAAAAAATAAAAATAAAAATAAAAAAAGAGTCACTTTTCGTCTATGATTTCGGATACCGACTCTCCTGGACATCTCTGCATTGGCTCCAATCAATATTGCCTCGTTGCATATCATTTGCAGTGATGAATTGGACTAATTAGTTACCTTGGTACCTGATCTCCGGAGTATGGTAGCGCGTTTGCTACCTTGACCTTGTCCAATCCCAGCCAGAATTCCTTGTTTCACCTGCCGATACTTGTGCTTCCCTCTGCACTGGGTGTACTTCTTAGCTAGGACTTTTAATCCTTTGCAGTATGCCTCCAGTTCACGGTTACCCAATGTGCATAATGGTGATCATTATTGCTTCTGTTATCTCCATCAGAGACTTAATAAGTTGCAGACATAGAGCTGGGCTACAGCCTACCAGGCTTGCCACCTTGCTCTCTGCTCCGTGCAGACCGGGGCCATTCAATCACTTACATTACTTACTCCATACTTTATTGCCAAACTTGTCCCCATAACCAGGATCGACTACCTACAAACAAATAAAATCACTTTGCAAAGGTACGATTATCGGGGACGGGGTCACAAGCAACGGTCTCACTCACACCCCTCCCCTCACAGACCCCCTCGTTTTGATAGCGTTGCAAAATTCAAGCTTTATTCTTGCCAAGAGACAGTCAATGTAGCTGGGGTGGCACACCTAAGTGCTCTGTTTCCGGGACAGGCTGCGCCGCTCAGTCGAACACAATGGCGGCCTTGATGGCGCTCTTGTTCTTGATCGACTCCAGAGCCTCGCCGAACTGCTCCAGCTTGAACGTCTTGTTGACAATGCCCTTCGTCTTGATTTTGCCATTGTCGAGATAGTCAACGGTTTGCGCTGCAGCAGACTCGTGTGTTAGCGCATGTTTCAGACTGTCGGGGGGGTTTCGCTCTGCTTGGCCACGTACGGAACATGTGGACCTCGGAGAAGGACCCGATAATGCGGATCTCGTCACCAAAGATCTTTGTCGGGGCCCAAGACACACGGTCGGCGTTGTGGTAGACACTGGCCAAGTTAGCCCATCTGACGCTCAAGCAACCCGCTTCTGACTGCACTCACCCGTAGACGACGAGGGTACCTCCACGGCGGCAGTAGTTGATGGCATCCTCAAGGAGCTTCACTGATCCGGTGGCCTCGACAACTGCAACAGCATGTCAATTCAGAGCTTCAGGAGCTTTGCTTGACGAGTCTTACCAATGTCAAACCCGTAAGGGTTGTCCTTCTTGATCTGCTCGAGCTGTGGCTGGCTGTCCTTCCGCGAAAGCTCAATGTAAGTATCGGCAGCGTCGAGCTCCTTGGCCAAGTTCATCTTCAGTCCCTCAGGAGCAGCAATAGTGACCTGGCTACATCCGTTCTGCTTCAAGAGCTGGGCGAGCATCTGTGTACCTCGAGTGTCAGCTCTTTGCACAGGGTGCAGGCCCCGTCTGGATAGGGCGAACATACTAATCCGGTAGGTCCGGCGCCGAACATCAACACGCTGGAGCCGAGCCGTGGGCGGATCTTGTCCAGGCCGTGGCAAGCACATGATGCAGGCTCGATCAGAGTGGCGTCAACATCATTGATGTTCTTGATCTTGAAGACCTTGCCCTGGGGGTAGGCACAGTACTCGGCGAATCCACCACTCAGAGTAGTGCCGTGGCCGGACCACTGTAGAGTATAAGCCCATGTTCATGCATCTTGATCCAGAAGACGGAGGTTTACTTGCGTTCTCGCAGAGAAGGTACTCGCCCCGTCGGCAATAAAAGCAGTGACCACACAGCTCAGCATTATCGGCGGCGACACGGTCGCCAACCTGGAATTGCTTGACTTTCTATTGTACCAATTAGTGTCCGATATCTGCGCGCGGGGGTCTTTGCGGGCAGCTTAACCGGGCCGACAGCGGCAACCACACCAATCGTCTCGTGGCCGGGGATCAAGGGAAATTTGGCGATGAACTCTCCCTCGTGGATGTGCTAAACGCCAGAATTTAGCTGGGCTACGTCATTCAGCATCGAGATAACTCTTCCGTACCAGGTCTGTAGACAACCCCCAATTAGTCAACTTTCTTGTCTACACATCTGAACTGCCCATGACTTACCAGTCCCGCAGACACCGCAAGCCTTGACCTTGACCAAGACGTCGTCATCTCGAAGCTCGGGTAGAGGGACATCAACGATGCCGTACTCCCGCGGCTTGGAGTACCTAGGTGGAGCGTGTTAGCTTCCGAGGCATATAAGCCAACCCGGGATAAGGATGGGCGAGCCGGAATAGGCACATGTGGGAGATTGGCACCGGGGTCTCTGGCAATGATGTACATCAACTTACTGGAGAGCCTTCATGGACTTGGGGAGGCTAGACATGATGACGAGAGCTGAGGGTCGGGTGCCACAAGAAAGTCAAGATGTTGGAGGGTTTGAATAGCTTGTCTTAGCTGCGATTGAGACTCTCAAAGGACTAGATAAGTATCGGGAAGAAAGCCTTTCTTCTATACTGGTCAGGAAGAAGCGTTACAAGGAGGGAAGAGGAATTCAAGAGACCCAGCTTCACGTTCGGAGTGTGTGGGGGAGGGCAGAGGGATATGGGAGCGACGCGGGGTGGTTGAGGATGGCATTGACCTTCACAGCTGGCCCCGCCATAGCTCTAGGATTCGGGCGTCATCATGCAGAGACCGCGCTGGCGCTCTAACCCAGTAAGCTCGAAAATAGCTTCGGTGGGCGACCCAGGGAGCATGATTGGCGCCATCCAGAACTGATTCAGGACTGCCCAGCCCTGAGTGCAGCTTACAGCAGATCCACCACATCCCGGCGACTTCCAATCACCTCTGGACAAGCAACGGACGCGAGGGAGGCACCACCGCCGTCCTCGCTGATCCTGCACAAAATATCGAGGCGGTGACCGGGGGAACCTCTGGATGCAGCCGACTTGGCTCCTTCGGGAAGTCGACACAACTCGTCGAGACTGCCATCGCATGAGGGGTGGCCTGAGATGTGGGATGCAAACGGGTCTGCTCTAGGAGCGGTCGTGAGCTGTGTCTCATCAACATGACCACCACAATGCTTGGCATTGAGAATTCGGCATGGAGGTGATCTGTGAATCCCTTTTCAGCGTCTTTCCTATACCAATTCCATTCATATTTGAAGATAAGGCAGACCCGGATTCTGCGCAGCGTCACAACCGTTACTTCTCCCAGGTGACTTCAACATGTGAGGCTCGTGCCCGCATGTTCCAGCATATTAGTAGACGAGAGTTCTTGAGACGTTGACCATTGTGTCATACAAGCGCCCTGGTGCGCCTTCGATTGGTGCGCCGGCTAGGACTTCGCGGCAACGCAGCCCAATCGAAAGGCTAGCCATGTATCACATCGTGTGTCACACAGTTCATGCAGGCACCTGGCACGGGTGCCAAATATGCTGATATGTCCCATTCCACATGTCCAGAGCAAGGCTAGAGCCCGCGAGGGCAGGTCATCATGCGCATGTGCATTCTTCGAAATACGACATTGAGCGGGCTTCACAACTCACAACCCCAGCTGACCAGGAAAGCTTGCATGGACCTGCGGGGGCTATCCCGGATCCTCGTCTTGCATGGCACCATTGAGGACGGGCGATAGCATTTTGATCAAGCAGTAGGTGAACACTCCTTCGGGTAAACATCTTTGTTGGGTCACGAGGCCCATGCAAGTGTCAAAAGTAGAAGTCGATTCGTGCCCTTTTAATGCAATATTTTTCCGAGGATCTCTAACCTCTGAACTCCCCAAAGAAAAGCCCAAGCGCATTCCATCATGCAAGCCGGTGCATCCCTATTCGAGGTCCCTGTTGTAGAGTACACGTGGAACCGAGTGCCATGTGACGTGACGCATGGTGAGCAAACAGTCGGATATGTCGTTTATGAAGGGGGAGCGCCACGGCCACGACCGTAACCACCACGGCTGTGAGAGTTGTGTCAGCAAAATGGACAGCACCCCACGAGGCATGTCAAAACCATAACACTCACAATTGAGGAGCAAATTCACCAGGGGCACCACCCTCCTTGCCCTCACCAGCATCCCGACGTCTATAACCACCCTCCCGGTCGCCACGGTCACCGCGGCCACGGCCGCCGAATCGTCGTCCCTCGCGCTCACCCTCACCCATCATGCCGCGGGGAGGAGCGTGGGAGCGCTGCTGCTTGATGTGGGTAGCCGGGACGATCTCGGCCGGCAGGTGCAGCCACTCGCGGAGGTAGTCCAGGCCCTATGGACATTCGATCAGTACTTCTGCATCTTCGCTTGCTAGCGTCTAGAACGCTTCCAGAAGTCGCCTTACCTCGTTGGTGAGGGTGTAGTAGTACCACTGCCACGAGAACTGAGTCTTCAGGTAGCCCCTGCTGGTCAGGGATTGGCAGGCCTAGGTGTCCTTGTGTGAGTCGCGATTCTCATTCTCTCCAAGTTCCAGTATCGTGTTGTATTCACCTTGATGACATAAAGGTTGCGGACGCCGGTCTCCTCGTGAGTGGTCTCGTAGTCCCTATAGAGAATCGTGGGTTAGGACGGCGAACTTTCCGGGATAGATACGAAAGTGAGGTTCTTCTTGTTCGGTGTGGGAAGGGCGGTAGCATACTTGGCGGCACAGAGAACACCCTCACGGAAGAGCGTCTCGTGGATCTTCTTGCGGTCGGCCTTGGGGATGAGCATCTTGGCGACTGGCGGTGATGCAGGATGTTGACAGATTGAAGATGCTCACTTGGTGATGGCGGGGGGGGAGATTTCAATTGTCGAATTTTTGGTGGAATTAGATTTGTGTGAATTCGCGCCACAATTGCTCGCTGCTTTGTGCGGACCCACTTGACTTTTTTTCAACCTCTGTGGCTAGTGCTAGTTAAACCCCGGCCGGAAGGTACGACCAGACGCACGGGCCACCGTTGGCTCAAGTTGAGGCTCGGTTTCCGGCTTTTCTCTCCTCCGTCCCTTGGATTTTTGCCCCAGCCCAGCCAGCGCCTATTCAAGTCCAAAGTTGTCGTATCGATCTGGGTATCTGTGATATCAATACAATCTACTCCCCACTCACGCAACGCATCCGCCAAACCGACGAGACATCAGCAACATCAAAATTACCCGGCATATACAAGTCTCAAAGAACATCCGGAATGATCAACGTGCTCATATCAACGTTTCACGGGCTGGGGTTGCCCTCAACCCTGGCTCTGCCAGTGCCCCCGACAGCCACCGGTTCGGATCTCTGGGAGCACCTGATAACCCGTCTGCCCTGTTCACATGACAGGTTACAGCTCACAACTCTCGCAAATGAGGAGATTTTGGCTTCTTCAACTATTCCTGTCTCATCGCTTGTATCGAGTTGCTATGATGAACTGCTGTCGCTTCGGCTTTCCGTTCCCCTGCTTGGTGGCAAAGGAGGCTTTGGGTCTCAGCTCCGAGCGGCGGGAGGTCGCATGTCTTCCAAACGAAGAAAGAACCAGGGGGACAGTAATGCTTCCAGCCGAAACCTCGACGGACGGCGAATCCGGACCGTCACCGAGGCCAAAGCACTGGCGGAGTATCTCGCGATCAAGCCAGACATGGAGCGCAAAGAGAAAGAGAAGCGACGCCAGCGTTGGGAACAGATTGTCGAGATGACAGAGCGCAAGGAAGAGGAGATACGACACGGCTCAAAGGGGAGGCTTGATGGTAAATGGGTCGAGGACAAGGAGGAAGCCGGTGAACGGACACGCGATGCCGTTCTTGCTGCCATGAAGGCCGGCAATTTCAAGGACAACCTGATGAGCACATCCAGCGACTCCAAGTCGAGCGAACTGGACGAAGAGATGTCCACAGACGAGGATGCAGAGAAGGAACTATCCGAGAGCAGTTCAAAGGCTACAACGCCTCCTTCTGGGTCAGAGCAACAAGACAAGGGTAAGCGGAGGACGTTCTTTGGCTTTGATGAAGACGACGAGTTTATGAGCTCGGAGGACGACGAGGAAGCCCCCAAAGAGACAAAGTAGGCATGTTCTATACTTCGAGCTTGGGCGTATCGACCTGCACCTTTTTACGAAATTCGACAATCGTCGACTGGCGTTGTATTCGGCTGTTCAATTCTTCTCTGGCGTTAAAGCGGCTCTTTCATAGCCTCGGATTGGGTCGAGTCATTTGGCTCATGACCACCAAGAATGATACCTCACAAATGCTAATTCATATTGTGCGCGATGTCCAACGGCAGGTTGGAAGGGTATTGGATGGACCAACGTCTTTCCAACCTGCTATGTGCATGCATTCTCCTATGCTAGTTCTAGTACAACATGACACCGTCCCACGAGTTGATATCGTTCGTACAAGGCCACCATCTACTCCAACCGGGCAGGGAAGTTGCCGGACTCTTTTCACACAGACTATGTTAGCTGGCTATCTCTGGTTTATCTTTGTAGTAGCATAGTACGCACCTCGCTGCTCATCCCATCGCTGGTACCAGCCGCTGGGGCATAGGGAGCGGTAAGCCAGCCAGAACTGCCCACGAGTTAGCCCATCAAGTCCCTTGCAGATTTGTCTCGGGAGGTACCTACCTGGCGGCAGGGAGCGAAGTCCTCGCCCTTGGCAAGGATGCACTTGTGGTAGTCGACGTAGTTCTGCCAGCAGTGCTTGGTCTGGTTCTGGTTGGGGAACCGAGCATCGACACCTGCAGTAATGACCCGTTAGCTACCTCAAATTTTCTATACGATGTCGTCCCGGGCGTGAAGCGAGCGTTGCATGTCGAAATCGGGGGTGTTGGGAGTGTTGGGAGACATACCAGCTGCGGTCGGCGTTAGCATATGAGATCATGCGATTTTTCAAAGGGAGCTTTTTCGGGGGCAGATCGACTCACCAGTGACGAACTTGAAGGGCTTGGTAACGCGGTCGTCGTCGGACATTTTGGCTACTGTGATTGATACCGGAAGGATCGAGGTGGGACTGGGAGCTCAATGGCTTGGTGTTGTTGCGATTCGACGAGCCGAGAGATGGACGGGTTTCCTGAGGTGAGGTGGGAGCATTCGGAAATCATGAATGATGAGTGGACGAAAAGTGGGAGCCTCAGATGTTAGGCGCGCGTTGTTCGGCTCAGCATCAAAATGGACTGATCTGACTGGCTGTTGTGGAGCCGAGCTACCTTCACTGACGAAACCTCCAAAACACCTCTGACCTGATCTGGGCGTGCCCTCTTTTCCACCCCCAAGCTTTCTGGAATCGACTCGACGACGACTGCCATTGTGCCCTCGAAACGTCCATAGGGAGTCTCAATTGCTTCATCAAATCTCCCCTCAATCATTTCTCGCCATGTATCCCTCCGCCGCTCTGCGAATGTTCCGCCCCACGGGTCGTATGATGCGACCTGTTCCTGTGAGTCTCCCTTAGGGTGAAGGGCAATGCCCGCCGCCACACTGACTGACAACAATAACAGAAAGAGGAGCAAGCCGGTACGTTTTTCTTCCATTTCGGGCCTGTAAAGGCGGGCTTCTTCGCAAGCTGAACTGGGTGCTGGGTCACCATGCGGTCTTCATCGGTATTAAGCTCTGGAAATGGTACACGGCCGCTGACTTTGAGCAATTGATAGCCCACACGGTCTCGCAGAGACTCCGCCGCCTTCGTCGCATCCCGCCTGAGCTTCTGCCCCTCGGTAAGCCTGCTTCGCAGTCCGGACTGCTGGTGATGCAACGCTAACAACAGGCCAGGCGTTGTCGTTGGCTTTGCCCTCTGCGCCGCCGTCTTCTCCAGCACGCGACACTTCATGGTCGACAAGACCATTCGCCTCAAGCGCCAGAACCGTGCTGCGGACAACGCTGCCCACGGTGCTGAGCACTCCGCGGAGCACTCTGCCGAGCACTGAGCTGTCACGGGCTTGCTGACGGATGAGCGGATGGATGGATGGGGATCGTTGTTGGAATAGTGATGCATTCAGCATCGTTGAGTAGCTCCTGTGTATATGTTATCGGGAACAAAGTAGACTGCGTCATAGTCCCGGAGAAGAGAGACCCGTTGTATTCCAAACCAGGTCTATCAGATCGTTGAATCCCATATGTTTCCGAAACACAAGCCATGCAACACCCTTGCCCTGAGATGAACTACCTATCTCTCCGTAGAACACTTTGCCTTTAATGTACACTCTATTGGGGGTATCAAGTTCCTACAGACATCGTCATTGAGGTTTGGGTCCAGCAACATCCAATCCCTCCAGCCCTTGCATTGGGTCGTCTCCACGGGCATCCCCTCCCGTCTTGGCCTGGTCAGCAGCCAGACGATCCTCTTCACTAACCACATTTTGGGCGAGCCATCCTTCCTAAGTGGGTGTGAGCGTGACAACGAAATACTAGCAATGAGGTTGATATAGAGACTCACTTGCTCCCAGACGGCTTTCTTGCTGCCGAGACCTTCGTCGGCGCTCTTGGGAGCCTTGGCGGCGGAGACTTTGATGACCCGGCCGAAGAACTCGGACTGATCCATGTTGTCAATGGCCTCTTTGGCGTCGTCGGCGTCCTCATATTCGACATAGGCAAAGCCGCGATGTATGTCTGTAGAGTTTGGATTCTCATTCTTGGGGAGAGACACGTCGGCAATCTCCCCGAAGGGAACAAAGGCATCGTGGAGGCTGGTGACGGTCACAAGAGGCGCCAACCCTCCGACGTAGACCGTCGCCTTCCACCGTGCTGCATCCGTCATGCTGAAGCCAATTGGACAGGTCTGCAGACGATCGTCGTGTAGAGCCCAGAAGAACTATGATCAGTCCTTCTCATGTCCTGTGAGTGAGGCGAAGTCTCTTTTCTGAGTATATATTGTATTTTATGCAGCCTTGGGTGGTGGACCTTTGGAGGTTGGTGGGGTTGACTGAGACGGGAGGTACCTTAGCACTTCAAATTCTACCCACGCTCGCCACGTAAAGTGCTGGTTGCAGCCGTCTGGTGGTGATTTGATAGGTCGCCCGCGCAATCGATTGGCCTGAGGGGTGGCTAATTCACGTGATGGTCGGCCGTGCTCTAGGGAGCTTTCGTGGGCGAGCTTCGGCAGGACGACTCCACCACCGCTATAAGCAATGCGCTAAAGGCGAGCTGTGGTTGCCCCTGCTATCAAGTAAACTGTGCTAACTCCATTTCATTGATGCTCAGGACTGGCCTTACTTGATCTTGGGAGATCTGGCAACAAAAGTCACCAGCAACACTGGCGCTCGTCCATGTTACAACAGCAACCTTTTCCCCCCTTTAGCGCTGTTAAAGACTCATCCCTCCCAAAACGAACATTTCTTCTGCCTCACACAACTCGTGCGTTTCTTTCTCTTCTTTCCCTTCCGTTCAACTCGATTGAGACCTCCCGTATTCTGCTGCGCCCCGCCACTCCCAACCGCCCCTGAGCTCAACCCACAGCACGACCGTTCGCCTTCGCGAATAGCCTCGACCGTTGCGCAATGGTACGGCTGAGGGAAATTCCGCGGACTGCGGCATTTGCCTGGTCTCCAGGTGCTGACAAGCCGCTTCTCGTCACCGGAACAAGGGCTGGCGCCGTGGATGCCGATTTCTCGGACGAGACCAAACTTGAGCTCTGGGACCTCAACTTGGACAGTCAGGACCAAGGGCTAGAGTTGCAGCCCATTGCCAGCATAACCACAGATTCCAGGTATGGGATGGCCTCTATCGGGACCATGAGCTTCGGCCCAGAGCTGACATCGCCTCTACTAGGTTCTACGATATCGCCTGGGGCTTGCCCAACGACGACCACCCTCGTGGAATCATCGCCGGTGCCCTCGAGAATGGCTCGCTCGACCTGTGGGATGCAGAGAAGCTGGCCACTGGGGCTCCCGATGCTCTGATAGCGCGGACAACGAAGCACTCCGGAGCCATCAAGTCGTTGCAGTTCAACCCTCTGAAGCCCCAGATCTTGGCAACTGCCGGTGCCAAGGGCGAACTATTCATCTGGGATGTCAACGACCCTTCTAGTCCATTCCGCCTGGGCACTTCTGCCGCACGTTCAGACGATCTCGAGTGCGTTGCGTGGAATAGGAAGGTTCCCAACATCCTGGCTACCGGCGGTAGTGGAGGCTTTGTCACTGTGTGGGACCTCAAGACGAAGAAGGCCTCTCTTACCCTGAACAACAGCCGCAAGGCCGTCAGTTCCATTGCCTGGGATCCTCAGAACTCCACCAAGCTGCTGACTGCCACTCCCGATGACAGTACACCCTTCATTCTCATTTGGAACCTGCGCAACTCCAACGCTCCGGAGCGTACACTACAGGGTCACGAGCAGGGAGTTTTGTCCGTATCGTGGTGCCAGCAGGACAGCGATCTCTTGATTTCCAGCGGCAAAGACAACCGCACGTTAGTCTGGAATCCTCAGACTGGCGAACAGTATGGCGAATTCCCCGAGGTTACCAACTGGACGTTCCTGACCCGTTTCAACCCTCACAATCCCAACCTCTCCGCCACCGCATCGTTCGACGGCAAGATTACGATCCAGACTCTTCAGAATACCAACCCTTCTGCTTCTCAGGCGGCGGTGCAGAACAATCTGGATGGCGAGGACTTTTTTACCAAAGCGCAGACTCAGCCCCAGGGCGCGTCATTCACATTGACCAAGGCCCCGGCTTGGTTCGAGCGCCCCGTTGGTGCCTCTTTTGGCTTCGGCGGCAAGGTCGTCATCTTTCGCAAAGATCAGTCTTCACCCGGCCAGAAAAGGTCATCCAAGATCCAGATCTCGCATTTCTCTGTAGATTCTGATATCGGGTCTACTACCGACAAGTTCGAAGAGACGCTCCGGACCGGCGACCTCAAGAGCATTTGTGAAGACCGTTTGGAACATGCCAGGACTGACGAGGAGAAGGGCGACTGGCAAGTCATGTCAACGCTCATCGCTGAAAATCCTCGGCAGCAGGTTATCGAATTCTTGGGGCTCGCCCAGGACGCTGATGAGAAGGAGCTTGCTGATGCAGACACAGCTGAAACTGAGGGTGGTGAATCTGCCGCGGCTGGTGACGATGCCACCTCAGCCGCCAAGAAGAACAGGCTTTCAAACTTCTTCGCTGACGGTGGGGACGGAGATGACTTCCTGGGCGACCTGGCAGCCACCAAGGGGGCAAAGACGGACAATCCTTTCCATCTTTTGAACGAGGGCAACACACATCTCGAGGATTCGATCACGCGGGCTCTTATGCTTGGAAACTTCTCCAAGGCTGTCGACATTTGCCTGAAAGAAGACCGCATCGCTGATGCCTTTATCATTGCGAACTGCGGAGGCAAGGAGCTGGTGGACAAGGTCCAAGCCGCATATCTCTCGAGCAAAAAGGGAAGCCCCAGCTACCTGCGTCTCCTCAGCTCGGTCATTGCCGAGAACCTGTGGGACGTTGTTTACAATGCTGGTCTAGCTGACTGGAAGGAGACAATGGCGACGCTGTGCACATTTGCCAAACCCGCTGAATTTCCTGATTTGTGCGAGGCACTTGGCGACCGCATTCTCGAGTCGGGCTCTCGCAAGGACGCTTCATTCTGTTACCTTGTTGGGTCCAAGCTTGAGAAGGTTGTGTCGATCTGGATCGATGAGCTCGAGGAGACCGAACAGGCGGGCCTGAAAGAGTCGAGCGAGGGTTCCAGCTTCTCCATTCATGCCAAGTCCCTTCAGCAATTCATTGAGAAGGTCACTATCTTCCGCCTCGTGACCAAATTCCAGGACGCTGAGATCAGCCAAAGTTCTGACTGGAAATTGGCCAATTTGTATGACAAGTACACTGAATATGCGGACATCGTTGCTGCCCATGGCCAGCTAGCTGTGGCCCAGAAGTATCTGGACCTCCTGCCGTCGAAGTATCCCGCCGCAGAGGTGGCCCGCAACCGCGTCAGGCTGGCCAGCCAAAAGGGCGCCGCTCAGCAGGCCGGGCGCCCAGCAGCGGCCACACGGACTACGTCGCGCGTGCAGCCTACGGTCGGCTATCAACCCCCTCAGGCGGCGCCTGCTATGAACCCAGCGCATCCGTATGGCACATCCGTGCAACCACCTGCACCGAACCCTTACGGGCCGCCGCAGCCGACCGCATACCCTCCCCCCTCGGCCACAGCGTTCGGGCAACCGACCCAAGGTTACGCCCCATCGCAGGCATACGCGCCTCCGCAGCCCACAGGCTACACTCCACCTGCTAGTTATGGCCAGCCAGCGCCTCCGTTTGGGGCCCCTCCGCGGAACTCGACTCCGTCTAGCTTGCCGCCTCCGCCAAAGATCAAGAAAGACGTTGGCCAATGGAACGACGTGCCCATGGTGAACAAGCCGCCCGTGCGCAAGACGACCCCTAGTGTGGCTGCCATCACTTCACCCTTTGGAGCGCAGCAGAATGCAGCGATGTCTCCACCTCCGACCGCGCCTCCGACGGGGCCATACGGAGGCCAGCGTAGTGTCGCTTCACCACCACCCCCTCCTCCCAAGGGCTCCGCGCCGCCCCGTGTGTCATCGCCCCTCGCTGCGGGACCGCATCACACATCTCAAGTCCCTGTTCGACCTCCGTCGACCGCAGCGAACGCGTACGCGCCCCCGCCTCCGGCGCCTGGAGCCACGCCGGCACACGTGCCACATGCCATGCCTCCGCGTACCGCATCCCCGTACAATCAGCCTCCAGGTGCCGCCCCTCCATCCAACCGCTATGCGCCGTCGCCTGCGATGCAGCAACAGTCGCAGTTCAGTCAGCCACCGCAACAGTACGCGGTTGCTCCACCACCGGCTGGAGCTGGTAGACCACCTCCTACGAACCCTTATGCCCCAGCTGCGCCCCAACAGCAAGCATCACCAAGTCCCTATGCCCCATCTCCGTACGGAGCTGGCCCTGGGCAGACCGGGCCGCCGCCGACTGGTCCGCCACCAATGAGTGGCCCGCCGATGGGAGGACCACCCACAGGCCCTCCTCCATCCAGCCATACCGGTCCTCCGCCTGCGAATACGGTCGCGACACCACCGCCTCCCAAGGCTGCAGCTCCGCCACCCAAGGCCCGACACCCAGCGGGCGACCGATCCCACATTCCTGTCAGCGCTCAGCGTCTGGTTGACATCCTCACCAGGGATATGCAGCGCGTGAGCTCAAAGGCACCGGCGGCTTTTGAAACACAAGTGAAGGACACAGCGAAGCGACTGAACATTCTGTTTGATCACTTGAACAACGAGGAGCTTGTCAAACCAGACACGATCGGACAGCTGACCCAGCTAGCTGAGGCGTTGGAAGCTAAGCAGTACGATGTCGCACACAGTCTTCAGGTCGAGATCCACAGGGAGAAGCCCGAGCAATGTGGAAACTGGATGGTAATGAAGCCCATATTCCGAATTTTGCATTGCTCGTTACTGACTAAATCATAATAGGTTGGTGTCAAGCGCTTGATCAGCATGAGCAAGGCTACCCCGTAATTGCGCCTTGAGCGGATCTTCGAAAGGACAGGATGCGAGCTACGAAGTATGTAGAGGTAGAGTGCATAGCTGAATCAAGGGTTAGTATCGAGGTACTAGAAGGGTGGAAGGGAGGTCCTGGGGGTATTCGGGGACTCGGGCTCCAATGAAGTATGCATGTGACTTTGGAATGGATACGGTCTATTTGCGAGGTAGACAAAAGCAATAAAACCTAAAGAAAATGGATTGGCAAGCACAAGCTACAGCTCTCAAGATGAATTGTACAACACGCACGTAGGATTCGCTCAGTGCTGGGACGAGGTTGATGAATCGGCCCAAAGGTGGTGACGTCTGGGTCGGTGGTGCATGCGATCCGATAAGATAAGAAATGGCCACCGACAGCTGATTTGATCATCCACGAGGCATCCATCCATGAAAAGATGCGCCCAGGATTTGGCATGGTTTCCCTACTTGCCGACTGTACACGCGCCTGAATTCTCACTACCGCATTCCGAAGCGCTCTTGTCGGTCTGTCAGACCAGAAACTCGGCACCATCATGACGGAAGGCGTTGCATCAGAAGACGCCGCTGCTGCACGTGCGGCGGAGCAGGCACGACTACGCAAGGAACGTCGAGAGGCCAAGATCAAGGCCGGCGGCACTGCCAGATTGAACAAGATCACCGGCCTGGGCGGCGGTGTGCAGCGAGGTACGTTTTTCTCCTCCTCCGTTCCCTTTGCTGTGGTCCCTCACGCACCTCTGCACCGCCCCGGTGTGGCCAACGGATGGACGACTAACCACTGAACCGTCTTCACGGCCGCCATAGATGCCCAGCCCGCCGCGTCGACAGCGTCCTCCGCTCCTCCTCCGTCCTCCTCGCCCGCAGCGGGCCGCGGCCCGTCGGAGGACCACGCCGACCCAGCCGAGGTCGACATCTCTGAGCACTACTACCAGCCCTCGAGCACGACGGCCCGCATACCACCTGCAGCAGCCGGCGGTCCGCCGGGCATGTCCGAGGCGCAACTGCGCCAGATGATGCTGGGCTTCGAGCAGCCGCCGCCGGGCCTGGCGGGCCCTGGCCCTGCTGCCGCCGGGCAGAACCCCTTTGGCGCGGCTGGAGCAGACGAGGACCCCATGATGAAGCTCCTGTCTCAGATGATGATGGGCGGGCCCGGCGCCGGCGCGGGCGGCGTCCCTCCGGGCATGGGCGGTGCGGGCGCGGCGAACCCCTTCTTCCCGGGTATGCCCATGCCGGGACAGCAGGCCCAGGTGCCGGACCGCTACGCCTCGCTGTGGCGCCTCGTGCACTTTGCCGTGGCGCTGGGCCTCGGCCTCTACATCGCGCTGGCGACGCCCTTCACGGGCTCGAGGGCCGAGCGCGAGCAGTCGGCGCTCGAGCACAGGCTGGGCCACGTGACGGAGCAGGACGTGGCGCGGCAGTACTTCTTCTGGGCCTTTGCGACGGCCGAGTCGGTGCTGCTGACGAGCCGCTTCTTCCTCGACCGGGGCCGCAACAAAGCCGGTGCCGCCGGCGGGAGCATCCTGTGGTCGCTGCTCGGGTTCCTGCCGCCGCCCGTCAAGACGTCGCTGGAGACGGGCATGCAGTACGTCCAGATCTTCAGCACGGTGCGGGCGGACATCCTGGCTTGCATCTTCGTGCTGGGCGTGTGCCATTGGGTCCGGGCGATGTAGATGAGGGAGATCATCAAGATAGGGGAGAACCCGGGAGAGTGCCCTTTTAATCCACAGCCAAGAAAGAGGAGGGGATGGTCAGTACATTTGCTATGGAGAGTCTCTTGATACCAAGTATCGTACTAGGACGAGAGCTGCTCCCGCAGAGAATGACTAGAAGACTATCAATTCACGAATCGTTCTCACGAATTCTTCCAACTGCAATGCCTGTGAGTGTGCTGTTTTTTAAATAATTTCTCTATGCGTAGTTGGTTAACCCCCTCGTGGTAATACAATATATAGCAGTACAATGGTCATCACGACAACCACCCCGCCAGTTGTACTAATCTACACATTCCCTATCATATACATCCGGACCGGCCTCCCATCTCGAGGCCAGCCCAGAGACAGACAGACAGACAGACAGACAGTGAGACAGACAGACAGACAGACTAGGCACTCAACACGCCGCCGAGGATCCCTCCGAGCACGCCTCGCACGCGCCTCCTGTTCTCGAGCGCGCAGGTGAACACGACGGCCGTGCTCGCCGCAAAGACAAGCGTCTCGCGCCACTGCTTGGACCAGGCGTAGCGGCGCGGCAGCAGCGTGGCCAGGGCGCGCGGGGCCACAAAGAGGGCCATGTCCTTGCGCCGGCCGGCGTTCTCGATGAGGATGCTCCACCCGCACAGGGCGCAGCCCGTGCCGACGCAGATGCCGCCGTCGATGCGCTGGCGGGCGGCGTGGTCGGCGCCGAGGAGGCGGGGGCCCAGGCGCGTGCGGGCGAGGCACACGCCGTAGTAGAAGAGGGTGATGAAGGCGCCGAGGAAGGCCGAGGAGCGCGAGGCCGAGAGCAGGGCGCGCAGCAGGGCGCGGCGGTTCGGGCGGCGGAGCACGAGCAGCAGGTTCAGCGGCAGGTAGGTGGCCATGGACCAGCGGAAGGAGCGGTAGAAGCGGTCGAGGGCGTGGTACTCGCACGACGGGCCGCAGCCCATGTGCACCATCTCGCAGGGGAAGGGCACGGAGCGGGCCGGGTCGCCCCATTCGAGGGGCCAGTAGTAGTCGGCGCACATGCCCTCGAGGAGCGGCGCCTGGCCCGTGTCCTCGCCGTAGCGGAGCTCGCCGGTCCGGCACCGCTGGAGCGCCTGGATGAGGCGGATGTCGACGGCGGCGGCGGAGCCGATCCATTTGTTGTACGCCCGGGGGAGGCGGGCGGGGAGGTAGATCCAGGTCCACATGATGAGGGCGCACGAGGTCGCGAACATGGCTGGATCGGCGAGTTTCGAGATGAGAACCTCGGTCTGGGTGGGTTGTTGTTAGTACAAAATACTGCTGGGCATGGGAGGAAGGCTCTTCTTTACCTTGGTCCATTTGCCGGCAGCCAACCGGCGAGCTTTGCGCTGGGACCAGAGCTCGCCTACTATGACATCGACTGCTCGGGTGGATGCGAACAAGGTCAGATCGAGCGTGCGCCCGGCATATCTGATCTTCTTATATCTGACACCGGGCGGCACGTCCGACTTGGCCACGACGGTGTCGGTAAAGCTCGGGGTCTCCTTGGACTGTAGCAGCATCAAGCTCAGCCAGGCGGCAATGAAAGCCGAGCACCATCTCGAGAGTCTGTCGCACAGGTGGTTTATAAGCTTGATTTTTCAGGATGGTAACCGAATCATATTGACTCACCGTAACCGAGCGGATGACGAGAGAGTGGTCAGGTAGCGCTCGAATAGACGCCTCAGGGGTACCTTTGAGACTCGCATCAATACCCATCCATTACTTCTTTTGGGTAGAGTCGGGGTGTCCTTCGAGATGTCTTACCTGCAACAGCGTACTACCTCCGACAAGGGCAGCACAAAAGGTTGGGAAACGTTGCAACTCCAGACCCATGCGACTGATGCGCTTGAACGACGCGGGAAAGGGCGACTTCTGCCGGGTGCGAGCACCGGTCGACCCTCTCCTCCGCCGCGTCAGGTGCTGCAGCATGAGCGTCAAGAGCCTCGGGGCCACGGCAGAGGCATAGCCGAGGAGGTAGGCGCGGAGCAGCGGCCGCAGGACTGGAGGGATGCCCTGCTCGATCTTGTCAAGGGTGCGCATGCCCGGCCGAGTCTGCATGACGCTGGTCGCCAGAGGCGCTGCCACATTTGTTGAGTCCATGGTTGCGAACCTAGAAGCGTAGGACAAAGGGAGGCTCGAAGAGCCAACCAAGGTGGTTGAGCAGTTTCGCCTCTCAACGGGTGTCAGTCGTGTTCAACGACACCAGCTGCTCGTGCACAGTGTACAACCTTCTATATCACTGCACACTGTAAGGCAAGTCGGCCAGCAGGCTGAGTATGAGAGACGGGTCAGGAGTAGTGATGAGAAGAAAGCAAGCAGTCGGTAGCACCGTTGCCTCCTAGCTGTGTGGCGCTTTGACATTTGCTCGAGAATGTACGTACAGTCGGAACGAGTGTGAGAGGCGCGTTCTCTGAAGTGTCCTTGAGATTGCTCCTGTGTAATGACAGCCGATGCCAGCAGCTACACTATGCAGTTTGCAAAATGAACTAGAGATGAGCCTGCATGTTCGGGTAGGTTGCCAGAAAGGCAGCAGCAAATATCGTGAAGCATCTGCTGAGGCGACGAGGAGATAATCTTGACCCAAATATGAGGGAAGGAAGCGTGTTCGTGTCGAGCATGTGAAATTGCCGCCCCTGGCCTGGGGAAGCGCTAAATTGCGCCGCAAAAGTCCACTGTGGTGCGACTACTCGGCCCCTCGGTTTGGGGAAGAAGTCCCCACTAACGACTGCTAAACAGGGGTTGGTTGTTTGTCTTAGAATCAGTTCCAACAGATTCCTTTCATCCAATCTCAACACCCCGACTTGGCTCAACCTTGGACAACTTTTGGTTCTGCTTCATGCTGAGTACCTACCTAAATAAAAGAAGTCAAAGCTCCGAATAAGGCAGACTCTGTGGCCTTAATTACTAGTCGACTAACCAGGTTATAGCCCATTGAATGAATGGCCTGTCTTGCAATGCTTGCAATGCGAGACTGTGGCAGCATGTTGATATGCTGCTCTTCCGCGAGTGTACTTTACAAACATATGGAAATTTTACAAAGTAGACACCACAATCCCGCAAAAGGTCCTTGTCCATGCTTCTCCTCTTTCCAAAGCCCGATGAGGGGTATGCTCCGTTATTGTTGTTGTAGAAAATGCACAGTTCCAAACGAGCCAACTCTAAAGCCCAGTGCTTATGTTGAAACACTACCTCCTTTTCCCAGAAAACGCCCGTCAAATGTTGAAAGATGCGCCGTTGAAATGCGGTAGATGTGTCTTGTGTGTGACATCCCGGGCCCATACATGTTGAAAACGATCGTCAAGTTCGTCATGCCGCAAGAACTGGCCCTGCTTCTTCCCCTTACCAGTCTTGCCTTCCCCTCCCTCCGCTCGGCCCTGCAGCTGTCCCGCAGCTAGGCTTTGCGCTCCCTATTCTATCTGGGCTTGGCCTTGGACTCGTCGCCGTAGCCGCCCACGCCCGTGATGCCGCCAAAGCCGTAGGTCTTGCCCTCGGGCCCGCGCCGGTTCTGGCTCCGCGGGCCCCGGTCCTGCAGGTCGGTGCGCAGCCAGCCGAGCACCAGGTCGCCGAGCTGACTGTTGCCCGACGTCGCCGGCACCGACTCGAGGAACTCGCGGGCGGGCCCCCACTCGCGGACGGTGCCGACGTGCATGTGCACGAGGTGGGTGGGCCAGCCGGCGAGGTTGTCGAGGATGTGGGTGGCGTAGACGACGGTGGCGTCGCGCGACTCGGTCTCGCGGCGCAGCCAGGACAGGAACTGCGAGCGGCTCCAGACGTCGAGGTCGACGGTGATCTCGTCGAGCAGCAGCACCGTCCAGGGCCGCACGAGGCCCATGGCCAGCTGCACGCGGCGGCGCTCGCCGTCCGACACGGCGTGCATGCGCCAGGCCAGGTCGATGTCGAGCACGGCCACCAGCTCGTCGCGGCGGTCCGGGTAGGCGTCGCCGCCGACGGAGCGCAGCAGCTCGCCCACGCCGATGTCGGTGCGCACGATGGGGTTGAGCACCCACTCCAGGCCCAGGTACGTGACGCCCTCGAGGCCGTCCTTGAAGGGGTCGACGTCGGCGATCTGGATGGCCCCGTGCGGCGCCAGGCGCTTGCCCGCCAGCAGGCGCAGCAGCGTCGTCTTGCCCGCGCCGTTGGCGCCGATGAGCAGCGTCCGCGACCGAGGCGGCAGGTCCAGGCTGATGTTGGACACGCCGGTGCTGCGGTCCGGGAAGGAGTAGGTCAGGTCATTGACCTTGATGGTGGGCGGTGCCATGATCCAACGATGCACACTTGGAGGGGCTAGGTATGATATCACAAAATAGCCGGCGTCGTGAAGTGGTCTCTCTCTTGTGCGTATATCTCCTTTGCAGTGCTCAAGTCTGCTGCTCGCCTCTTGTCTGCTGGCTTCTGGCTCTGAGGTGACGAGAGCGAGAACAGGCCAGGGAGGTTATGAGGATGGAAGGAGCAGAGTTGCTGCTGTGAGTCAATTTATACCAACTCGGGGCCCATCAAGATAGGTAAGTGGTGAGATGGAATCATGGTATAAAATTATTCCCATATTACATGATCACTTCACTTGCAACCCACCCCGCTTTCTTATCTGCCTAGTGAATCGTCCTTGGCTCTTTGGGCAGGTCGTACACTAACGCATGCGCTAAAAGTGAGCCCTGAGAGACCCCCTCCGGGGAGCATCGAATTCCGGTATTTTGGTGATCGGGCACTGCCCGACCTCTACATAAGTAAGTAGACAGACATCGTGGTGTGAGCCATTCCGCAGGCACTTGTCGTCCAAACAAGTCCTAGATCTTTGTGGCTCCGGGCTGGATACCCTCTAGAATGTCCCGGAGCTCGCCGTAGAGCTTCTTCTGCGTCTTCCGGCCCTCCTCGCCCCCGAGAAATTGCTCCTCGCCCCGGATGCCACAGGCCTCGAGGTACCTCCCGTGCGACTCTCGGCCTGCCGAGGCGGCGTGGACTAGCGTGCGTGAGCCCGCTTCGGCAGTTCGCGCCACGGCGAGCTCGACCATGCGGAAGACGTAGTTGAAGGGAAACATCATCTCCCGGAACAGTCGAGTCTTGCACAGGCCCGGGCTCACCATGTTGACAATGACGCTGCTGTCTGGGCCCAGCTGCTCCGCCAGCTGTCTGTTGACGAAGAGGTTCACGAGCTTGGTCGTGCTGTACTTGTCGAGCTGATAGCTGCCCTCGCTCTTCAGTGCCTCGAAGATGTTTGGCTGTGACCTCTCGGGGAACTTTGCCTGTTTTGATAGGAACCAGTCAATCAGTCTCATCATGTCTCTCTCTCTCTCTCTCTCCCTCCCTCGTGCGCAGTTCCTCAGCGCGACTTACACCAAGATGAGCATCCGAGCTCATTGTAGTAACATGCGGCACGACGTTGAATTGGACTGCCGTCCTTCTCATCAAGGGAAGGAGCATAAACACCATCAGCATGGGCGAGATGACGTTGACCGTGACGCTGCTCTCGTGGCCCTCGGCCATCTCGCGGCTGAACGACAAGACGGCCGCGTTCTCCACGAGGCAGTCGAGCCTGTCCAGCTCGCGCTCGGCCCGGCGACACAGCTCCTTGACGCTGTCGAACGACTTCAGGTCGAGCTGCCACACCTTGACAACACCCTTCCGGCCTGTCGTGGTCTCAATGTCGGTCTTGGCCTCTTCGGCGCTGTCTAGGTCGCGACATGCTATCACTACGGTAGCAGCGCCCAGCTTGACAAACGTGCGGGCTGCTTCGCGGCCCAGGCCCCCGTTCCCACCAGTGATGATGATCTTCTTCCCGGTAAAGTCTTGGGTGGGTTCCGGAAGCGACTTGAACTGGGTGACAGCACCAACCAGCATCCAGTAGTACGGATCGCTGGCCAAGTCGGCTCATTAGCGCCGTGTGTCTGTTGGATGTACCTTCTGCCAGCGCAGGATGCCTAGGGGCAGGAGACTCACAGAAAGAGAGAAAGAGACATTGTGTCGTAGCTATGGGTGCAGGGCAAGATGGAGTACTCCGGTATGAACGAAAGAGCTTCCGCCTGACCGTCAGAGGAGGTAGGTAGCCGGGCCGTTTGTTCACTCGCAGTCCTTCAAGGAACTGGAACATGAGCAATTGGAGGTTTCATCAAGGGCGGGACGGATGGAGTTAGTGGCATGTTGGACGAGACGAGGCCAGGCTTGCCAGGGGTGCCAAACCGAGGGAAACTAAATCCAGACAGGAAGTTGCACGTTTTATTTGGCCTTTGGGTGGCACAGCAGGCCAATCGTCCTCAATCCCTCCCAAGACCAAGACTCAGAACAGTTGTGTGCTTGCCTCGATATATCCCATAACGAAGCAGCGTTTCTTTGCATCCCCAGATTTAAAAGAAAATGCTCTATGGAGCTATGGGGATTCATCGTCGGGAAGGATCTCGCAAGCCAAGAAGGAGCTGGCTAGGTGGGGCTGTTCTGTTATACGCACAGAGAGAACAACGATCAAGACAACTCAAGCATCTCTATTCTGTAGCAAGGATCAACTGGCTACATAAGTACATCATGTAGACTTACCTTTGAGGAATCCCCCGAGATCCAAGTCAACAAACCCAAGCTGATGGGTAGGACAAGGGTTTGCGTACTGACCTATCATATCTGTCTTACATGACCAAAAGAGGGAAATGCCCGTTAGGTAAAACTGCAAATGTACTTGTTTTACGTCCGTCTTTGAACTGCCACTGACTGACACCATCCCCATTGACAGGCTTCACATTCCATTGCCATCTTCAGCACCATTCTGCCGGCATTGCCCCAGTCTCAGCCTGATTCTACCCACAAGAGCGACGGGAGAGGCTGCCAGATCTCCATTACAACGAGCAGCTTAGTCTGGGAATTTCGTGGTACAACATCAGACACCGTGCATCAACTTTCAACCTCATCTCTCTCTCACACACACTTACACGCACCTCCGTCCCTCCTCTCGCCATCCACCTCCACCCGCAATGGCCCCCTCACAGGCCTACAAGGCCTACCGCATCCCCCAGCCCGGCGAGCTCGCCGCCCTCTCCCCCTCCCTCGTCGTCACCCCGCACTACCCGCCCAACCAAGACACCATCACCGCCGTCCTCATCCTCTTCCACGGCCTCGGCGACTCGGACTCCTCCTTCGCCTCCTTCGCCCGCGGCATGAACCTGCCGGGCGTCCTCGCCCTGACCGTCCGCGGCACCAGCCCCTTACCCCCGGGCCTCTTCACCACCGCCTCCTCCTCCTCCCAGCACTTCCACTGGGGCGACGACCTCCACATCTCCCCGCGCACCGGCGACCTCGACCCAGACCCGGGCTTCGCCAAGGCCGCCGACCTCGTCCTGCACCGCCTCGTCGCCGACCTGCTCGTCGGCCAGTGCTCCTGGTCCGCCGCCGACATCCTGCTCTTCGGCTACGGCCAGGGCGGCTCTCTGGCCCTCGGCCTGGCGTCGCAGGTCAGGATGCCGCCCCGGGTGCAGGATATCACTGCCGGCGAAGAGCCATCATCATCGTCATCGTCATCGTCGGGAACTCTGGGCACGGCCTTTCGGGGTGTAGTCTCCATCGGCGGCCCGCTGCCCCAGAGCATGGTGCCCACGGTGAGCACCAGGTCCAAGTCCGAGACGCCCGTCCTGCTCTGTCACGGAAGCCGGAGCGAAGCCGTGGATGAGGATGCCGTGGACGAAATCAAGGCAGAGTTCGCCAAGGTCACCGTCACCAAGTGGAGTAAGCCGCAGGACAGCATGCCGAGCAACCGGGAAGAGATGCTGCCCATCATGCAGTTCTTCGCCGAGAGGTTACGAGACGGCTGGGCTCCTGGGCAGTAATACTTCAATATAATGAGACAACTTAATTAAACATATGCAAGCGTTAGGACGGAAATGGCCCATTAATCACTTCGAAAAATGATGAACAAACATCACAGGGTTGCTATATGGTCTGTCAGGAACAGACACGAGACGCATAGTCACACATTTTCCACATCGGTAGCACGGTACAAGCACATGGGACATAAAGGTTCTTGATCTAAGAAGGCATGAATTCATTTCTACCTGCATTTGCGGCCATGATTCCCGTCCTGAACGTAAGAACAAATACATACAGAGGCAAGAGAAACCGTGGGCATTATGAATCGGGTAGGAAAATTCCGTGTTATTGTTGTTGGGGAATCATGGCGGATAACCGAGCAAACCATTCCAAACTCCGCAAAAGAAAATGACTTTTTCTATTCGCAATCATCAAGACATTTAGTCAACCTCCTCCATGGCGCTGTCGCCGGTCTCGGCAGCAGGCGCCGAGGCATCGGCGGCCGGGGCATCCTCGGAAGCCTCGGGCTCCTCGTCGATGTTCAGGCCGAGGGAGACGAGCTTGTGGATGCGCTCGGAGAAGCTGGCGGGCTCCTCAATGGTGAAGCCAGAGACCAGGAGAGAGGTCTCGAAGAGCAGCTGGACGATCGACTTGACAGTCTTGTCGTTCTCGCCGTCAGCCTCGACCTTCTTCTTGAGCTCCTTGACAATGGAGCTCTTGGGCGAGATCTCAAAGGTCTTCTTGGAGGACATGTAGCTGGACATGGAGGTGTCACGGAGGGCCTGGGCCTTCATGATACGCTCCATGTTGGCGGACCAACCGAACTGGCCAGTGCGGATGGCGCAAGGAGCACCGACGAGCTTGTGAGAGACAACGACCTTCTCAACCTTGTCGCCGAGGATGTTCTTGAGGGCCTTGGCGAGACCCTCATACTCCTTCTCCTCCTCCTCGCGGGCCTTCTTCTCCTCGTCGGTCTCCTCGAGCTCGAAGTCCTTGGTGATGTCGACGAGCTTCTTGCCCTCGAACTCCTTGAGCTGCGTCATGGCGTACTCATCAATGGGGTCAACCAGGAAGAGGACCTCGAAACCCTTCTCCTTCAGAGAGTCGAGGAAGGGAGACTTGGTGACGGCCTTGATGGACTCGCCAGTGATGTAGTACATGTTCTTCTGGTGCTCGGGCATGCGAGCGACGTAGTCGGACAGCGAGGTCTGCTCATCGCCAGACTTGGTGGAGCTGAAGCGGAGCAGCTTGGCCAGGGTCTGGCGGTTCTGGGAGTCCTCGTGGATACCGAGCTTGAGGTTCTTGGAGAAGGCGCTGTAGAACTTGTCGAACTGCTCCTTGTCCTCGGCGATCTCGTTGAAGAGCTCGAGGGCCTTCTTGACAATGTTCTTCTTGATGACCTTCATGATCTTGTTCTGCTGCAGGGTCTCACGAGACAGGTTGAGGGGCAGGTCCTCGGAGTCGACAACACCCTTGACGAAGCCAAGCCACTCGGGAATGAGGTCGGTGGCATCGTCGGTGATGAAGACACGGCGGACGTAGAGCTTGATGTTGTTCTTGGTCTTCTTGGTCTCAAACAGGTCGAAGGGAGCGCGCTTGGGCACGAAGAGGATGGCACGGAACTCGAGCTGACCCTCAACGGAGAAGTGCTTGACGGCAAGGTGGTCCTCCCAGTCGTTGGAGAGCGACTTGTAGAAGGAAGCATACTCCTCCTGGGTGATATCCTGGGGGTTGCGAGTCCAGATGGGCTTCTGCTTGTTGAGCTCCTCCTCCTCGATCTTGGTCTCCTTGATCTTCTTGGTCTTGGGCTTCTTCTCCTCCTCGTCGTCATCGACCTCCTCGATCTTGGGCTTCTTGTCGTCGCCCTCCTCCTCCTTGGTCTCCTCGGCCTCCTCATCGGGGACCTCCTTCTCAACCTCCTTCTGAACATGGAGGTAGATGGGGTACGAGATGAACTCGGAGTGCTTCTTGATGACCTCCTTGATCCTGCTCTCGTTCAGGTAGTCGGTCTGCTCATCCTTCAGGTGCAGGATGATCTTGGTACCACGGCCGAGGGGCTCGCCGTCGGTGTCGGGAGAGATGGTGAAAGTACCACCGGCGCTGGATTGCCAGATGTACTGCTCGTCATCGTTGTGCTTGGAGATGACGGTGACCTGGTCGGCAACCAGGTAGGCAGAGTAGAAACCAACACCGAACTGACCAATCATGGAGATATCAGCACCGGCGGTGAGAGCCTCCATGAACTGCTTGGTGCCGGAGCGGGCAATGGTACCCAGGTTGTTGACGAGGTCCTGTTTGAAATCGAGTCAGCATCAAAGCAAGGGTTGGGGGGTTGGCAGGTTTCTTCAACTTACAGCCTTGGTGAAACCAATACCGGTATCCTGGATGGTCAGGGTCTTGGCCTCCTTGTTGGGGATGATGTCGATGCGCAGGTCCTTGCCGGAGTCCAGCTTGCTGGAGTCTGACAGAGCCTCATAGCGGATCTTGTCGAGGGCATCGGAGGCGTTGGAGACCAGCTCTCGCAGGAAGATCTCCTTGTTGGAGTAGACGGTGTTGATGATCAGGGAGAGAAGCTGAGAGATCTCAGCCTGGAACTCGAAAGTCTCGCCAGACATTTTGAAAGGTGTTGCTCGATGTTCCTCTGATCTGGTGAGAGTGGAAGAGGCTGGATTAGCTCAGGTGGTCCCGGGTATCGTGAGAGGAGGGTGGGAGAAGAGTGAGAAGAGCGTGAGCTGATGGGCGGGAGGATGTGAAAGGAACAAAAGACAGCTTAGCTGCTTGGGGGGGAGGGAAGCAAGAAGTGCAGTAGATATGATCAATCCGAGGAAGGAAATTGATTCACGACGAGAGGAAGCGAGAAGGCATTAAATGTCCTCGATGCGAGAAGGTATGCGAAGGTACGCAAAGGTAGGTGAGGTGGAGCTGAGGAGGTGGTGGAAACAGTGGAAGCAGATGGAATCTCTGTCCAACAACGAGGCTGAGAGTAGGCACCAGTCCTGGAGGCGGCGATGCGGCTTGGTGGGGTAGGCGAGCAGAATTGTTGGAGAACGGTGAGGAGCCCTAGACTTACCAGAATTGTGCGGATGCAGATGGAGGGAAAAGGTCGTAGATGGAATATCCTACGAAGACCTTGAGAGATGGATTCCTTGATCAGAAAAGGAAAAAAGGGAAGCTATTTTTCTTTCTTGGAGGAGGTGAATGGAGAAGAGAAGGAGCTCGAGCAGGAGAGTGAGAGAGGAAAGGACGGGGGAGCTTTTGTTGCAACCGCTAAAAAAGAAATCTTTAGTTGGCTGGGCGCACCCCTGCCTGCACTCGTACCCTGTGGAAATTCCAAGGTTCTACGGGATTCTATCGACCCTGCCTCTTGCTAAGCGCTGTGATTCGCCGCTGCTTGCCACCACAGCAACGATTGCAGGCCCTGATTGGTTGCGCTTCGGTGGACCTGGCTTAGTGCTTGCCCCGTGCACGGCTGGGGACACTCTTTGACATTGTTTGTCGCTTACTTTTTTTTTTGTTTCTAGACGCTTCATGAAGTTGAAAGCCGTGTAGCTGGAGGTAACGGGTCTGATCTGATTGTCCTCGCCGGATGGAGAAGGGAAGGGCAATCCTCAAGACACGGGTTGCTTAGAAGCAGTCACAGAGTGATAAAAGGCGGTATCCAAGGCATACTGGCTGACAACAACCCCAGCCATTCCCAGCCTTTCTTTCCAGGGGTTGCTGCTGGGACTGCCTGGTGTGTGTGGTGCCTAGCAGTAACAAGGCTGAAAAGTGAGGCTTATCGCCCAAGCAACTTCAATTAACCAACAAGGTTGGTGGGATTTCGCAAGCCATCCCCGCATATGATAATTTTGGGGTTGGATCTCCTAATACTTGGAGATACAAAGGCTAGACCAACGCTGAGGATGCAGCCTTCCATTCTGTTCCTGTTTGCTTCCCACCCAACGGAAAAGGAAACAGTTCATTGTTGTCCTTGCTCCATAACGCAGAGTCGCTCTCCTGCACAGCATAACTTGCATCAGTAGAGCAGCGACTCTCGGAGCCGATCCCGTCGCTGCCGGTCAAACCCAATACCGTCCAGGTAGGCGTCTACACCGCCGTATTCTGTTTCCAGGTGCTGGGCCGTGTCCTCGATCAGACCTTCCGCGGTGCTGCCAAAGTCGTCCGTCAGGCCGATTTCGCGGATCTCCCGCAGCCTCGCCTCCCTCTCTGGCGCCAGCGCCTCGTCAGAAAGCCGGTAGTCGTAGTCGATGGCCTCGACCGAGACGCCGAGAACCATCAAAACCAGGGCGACAATGATGCCCGTGCGGTCCTTTCCCTGAGTGCAGTGCACTAGCAAAGGCAGGCCCGAAGGGTCAATGATAGAGTTCAGAGCCTAGTTAGCGAGGTGAGCGACGACAGGCTGCTAGATACTGCACAGAAAGAGTCCTACCTCGGCGATCTCAGGCCCGGATTGATCCACCGTAGCCAAGGCTAGACCAGTCAGGCCCTGTGGCTGCATTACTTCACGCCCAAGGATAGAGATGGCTTGCATTCTGTAGCCCAATATGAAAAGGAAGATGAGTTTGCTATTGATATATAATTAGTGATTCGCGCAACAGTAAGACAGCATACAGGACCCCCAGATCTTACAAGTAGGATATCCACGAGAGCTGGCTCAGCAAGAAGCGTTCAAAGTTGCGGCCAGTGATCTTGATCTCGATGTAGTTCAGCCCGGGGATCTGCACGGGTTCAGCTAGAGCAGCATTGCTCTTGGCAAGAGCAGGCAGCTTCAGGTCAGTATCCCGTTTCCTGGCCTGGTTGAGGTGTTCGGTCCTGTACGCCTCTGGTCAACTCCAGGTCCTCTCCTCTAGCCATTGACAGAGCGGAGGGCCTCGGCGTACTTGGTGCGCAGGTCCATGACAGTCCTAATCGCGTACTCTTCTACCAGCCTAGCCCTGTCGTCGAGTGTGGCATCATCTGGACGGGCAGAGCGGAGAAGCAGGCCCTCTCGGACTAGTCTGTATCTCAAGTCAGGCACCGAAACATCGAGTCAAGATCAGGGGTCGTGCCACCACCTTTTCCCCACAAAGTCATTGACTGTCTTGCCCACGTCTCGAAAATTTAGGATGTTGTCAAATAGACTGTTGGGGTCACAGGGAGCTGAAGCCATATTGGAGGCGGTTTGGGCTGACAAGAGTGGTCGTGGCAGTAGAGGTAGAATCGCCCCCCATGCCGTTTGTGCTTCAAGATGACGGCTCGCCATACAGCGAAAACGCACGACTGCCAGGTAGCTTGTGGGTTATAAGCATCAATGACAATACTCCTGCCACGTACGACCATAGATGGTAGAGAACTCGGGATCCCGTCCGCTCTCCCATAGATAAGCTGCCAATCGCCGGAGTAGTAGTTGGGTCGGTGACGACCAGCGAATGCCTGGTGTTGTACGTTTTTCTTTTTGCTTCCCTTTTTCGCTCTCTGTATTCTCTTCTTCTTCTTTGTGCTATTTGTGAATAGTGCTCTCAAGGATTTGAAGGGTGCATTTTGGTCTCCCATAATGAAGCTGCCCAAGGGTGGCTCATCTATGGGAGACCAGAGCTTGAATGCGGGCAGGCAGGTGAGTTGGCGATCACTGCACCAAGCCTCTGGTAAACAGTGGAGTCTTCACTGAGATGCCGTTTGACAGCCAGCAATAACAAAGATCATATTGCCTAGGTAGGTACTCTCTTTCTCCAGGAATTACCCCAAATTTTGTCTCTTATTTTGGGGAGATCCATAAAGGGGTATTTTTAAGTTTGGGGACACATCACAGCTGTCGCAATGCACACTCGGTCCTCCCGGATGGGCTGATGTTGCCTGGCACCTGGTGGCAGAACATGACATGAGTTTGCATCTGGGCAACTCGTAATGTGGGTTATCCAGTGCTAGACCAAAGTCAATTGTATATCGTCATCACACTAATACAGGACTGATGGAGCGGCCGGACCAGCGTGCCCAGGCACTAGGACCGGGTTGGACTGGCACGAATCAGCAGGTCAGGCCGCTCCGGGTGCGTGTTTTCAGCTGGCTACTGAATTGGCTGTCCACTCACTCCAGCATCTGAATGCTCAAGCTAGCTCCCAATGCGCCCCCGGCCCCCGCCAACGGTATGCTGAGGTCCCATGACGTAACTGGCTGGCCGTTGGCTGCTCCCTCTGTCTCTCGCCCACGATACCTACCTATCTTACCTACCCTGGGGATCTGCCTTATTGATTAATGCTGCATGCACGCTTGCCCGCGCTTCCGGGAGGCACCGCATCATCATCATTATCATCGTCATCGTCACTGTCGATTTCTCTCCTCTCCTCTCCTCTCCTCCCTTCCCAGCTTGCCGGTTGCACTCTGATCAAACACCCCAATCAATCCAATGCGCACTATCTGGTGATGCTCTTGGGATTCTTCTTCACTTTACCCTAACTCAGCTCTAACAGCTTCTCAACCTAAGAGTCTTCTTCCTGTTATATCAGTCGCCTAGAGCAAGTCCAATATCATTCTAGGTACCCAGGCCCAGTCAACCATCGCCAACCAACCCCAAACCCCGATTTCCCAAGAAACTTCATCCACCTGCGTCTTTCGCCCATGCGATCTGCGCATTACATCGCGGAGGAGCTTGACTCGTGATCGGCACCGCGCTCTGCAGTTTTTGTCAATTGCAAAACATCTTCAGTCCACAGCTGTTCAGACCTCTGATATCTGACCTCCAAGCCCGGATCATCCGCTCGTTAAACCCAATACGAGAGAGTCTGCAGCTCGCGAGACCAAATCAAAGATGCAGTCGTCCACGCTTACTCAGACTGCTCCCCACCAATCCTCACCCACCCATGGTAAGTGACGACCATCCATCGCCGTGCCCTCTTTCGCGTACAAGACTCAGTGGCTCACCTCGCATCTCAGCAAACAACACCGGCCGTCTCAAATATGCAGACCCCCGCGACCTGCCCTCTTTTCCTTCTATAGGGCTAAAGCAGGACGATGCTGCTGCCAGCGCTGCCGCATCGCTAGGCTGGGCAAACAAAAAGTCGCCCGAGCTGTGGAAGCCCGACACGACTTCTGCCTCTGCTTCGGCCGCCGCCATGCTCGCCAAGGATTATAAGACCGCTCCTTCATGGGAGCCCAGTCGTTCCAGTGCCGGCTCCAGAGCCGCTGTCCTTGCTGCTGGTTCTGTGGTCAAATCCAATAGTGAACGCCAGCCATCCTATCCGACTAGCTGGGGCAATTCCGCAGCCAACCAAGCATTCAAAACCCAACCATCCCAGGTCTCGACCGGTCTGACCTCTCTGGACCGGCAAAAGTCCCTCCGTGCCGCCAAAGGTGCTATGGCTCGCCCGCGGTCCCAGTCATCGCCTATGAAGCCGAGCTATCCCGACGAGTCAAATGCCGCCGCCAACGCCCTGAGTGCCGCGACTGTCGCCCACAGGCCCTCCACATCTATTCAATCAGTGCCTGAGCAGGCCGGTGCTGTGCCTTTCACCACCATGAACCGCCAAATGTTCACCTCGCGGCCGCCAGTCAAACCCGAAGTCGACGAGCAGCACCGTGCCGATGTGCTGCACGCCTCGGCCGTCGCGATGGCCAAGCGGATGTACACTCATCAACAGAAGGTTATTGACCAGGCCAAGCAAGCGGAAAGCGCCGCCAGCGCTGCTGGTGCTGCAGGACGCCGCAGCCGCTCGAGTTCCACCAGCGAAAGTCAGCCAATGCAGTTCTTGACACTCCAAGACGCGGCGTACAAGATGGCACAGGATCGCCTGGCCAAGCTTCACGAGGAGCACCAGCAGAACCGAGACCTCCAGGAGTACTACGGGAACCAATCCACCCCGCAGGCCCGTTTCTCGATCCGCAACAAGCTCCGAAGACGGTCATCCAGCGATGGTGACGTCACCGAGGACAGGAAGCGGTCGAGGGAGATCCGGCAGCAGATGTCGTTGTTCTCCACCAAGCTCTCTGAAGTCGACGAGCAAAAGCGACAGAAAGATAGAGATGCACTATTAGCCGCTGCCCAGAGGAATGTCACGGCACGTCTGCAGGGCATGGACGAAAAGGTGTATGCCGAGACCGGCAAAGTTGCCCCGTCTCTTCTCAGCGACTGGGAGCTGAAGGCCCATGCCGCAGCAGTTGCCAGGAGCGATGCACGCAAGGACGATAACTATGGCAAGATTGATGTTGGCGGTGGGAAATTCATGTCACAGGCCGAAGTGGACGCGATCGCGGCCAAGATGGTCCAGCCCCGTCTCGACGAAATTAACGATAAGGCCGAAAAGGAGAGAGAAAGGCAGATTGCACTCAAGATGGAACAAGAGGCTAAACAGCGCGAGATTGACTCGCAGAAGGCACGAGACAGGGAGATCAAAGAGATTCACCAGAAGCTGAAGCGTAAGTCTACCCGGTCGAAAGCTGTTAGTGCCAGTGGTCAAAGAGAACTAACACATGAGCAGAGGAGGAGAAAGAAAAAGAGAAGGCACGAAAGGAAGAGGCAAGGAAGGAGGAGAGAGCCAGGAAAGAAGAGGCCAAGGCAGCTAGAGCCGAGCAGAAACGACAAGGGAAGGACGAGAAACGCAAGGGCAAGGACGTTACGGAGGCGCACAAGACGGATCAGGAAGAGTCTGCGGTTCGTCCCGACGGGACTGAAGAGTCAACTAAGGGCAAGAAGCCCGTGGTGCCAGTCCTTCTGGACCAAACGGTCCAGCACGAGGGCGACCACGACGTGGAAGCGAAGCCCACTACTCCCACGTCCCCATTCTCACCAACCTCGCCCACCTCGGATGAACCCTCCTCGCCTGGATCAAAGGTCAAGCACTGGCTCAAGTCTCGCTTCCATCATCGCCCTCGCGCCAAGTCCTCTTCTCACTCCGAGTCGCACACGGAGAACAAGAAGGGCTTCATCGGCGGCATCGCTCTGTTGCACCGGGATGGCACGGGAAGCATGACAAGTCTGGACCACAATCAGAGCGGCTCCAGCATGCGCGAGGTTGCTCTCGCCGGCAGGGCTCGACCCAAGTCCGCACTGGGGGCCAGCGCAGCGGAAGAAGCGGGCGAGAGCAGCGCCGTGGCTGCTGCTCCTGCACCGGCCGACATTGAGACGCCCAGCGAGTTGGATGCCACGACCAAGGAGCTGGCTCCCATCAGTCCTGTCAGCAGCCTCAGCAGCCACAGCGTCGGCGACGACGACGACCATTTCGCTGATGCGAGGTCGTTTGGCAGCGCCAAGGGCGACAACTTCGAGCCTCCGAGCCGGCTCCGGGATCCGGCCAAGGCGCGGGGTGACAGCCCGAGCCGTGACTCGAGGTTCCTGGAGGACCTGTAGGGACGGCCCCGAAAAGACGCTGACAAGTTTGCGTAGGGTGGCTTAGAGAACGAACGGGCATATTGTTTTGCTATCTGTATGACTACTAGATCTTTGTATTGCGCATTGCTATCTTGTTATGATTTATTCATTTCCGCATGATCTCTTTGGCGTTGAGTTGCGCTTGGATCTGGCTTGGTATCTGGAATCAGGGGGGACATACACGGGCTAGATACCACGGGACGGCATATGCTGCTCTTTTTTTGATTCAACATGCAATACCAGACATAGAAAATACTCTTGGTCTTCTCAATTGATCCGTGTGGCATTCTTTATTTACATCGCCACAGAGTTCGACAACGAGTCCTCCACCTGTGTATAACCCAACGTTCTCTCTCTTCGGAGAGCTCCCAATAACGCCGCCTGTATGCGCCAAACCGATGCAGTCAAACTTTCCCGTTTTTTAAAACGAAGAGAGTAACAACCTCTCCCAGCAAATCCTGCATACCTCATGTATATATCCTTTGTACATCATTAGAGCACTCAAATCATCTGGCATGGTCCCCGACAGGGCCTTTCTATCATGTCTCTAGAAATTAGTCGGGCGAGTGCTGTATCCGTTCATGGCTGCAGCGCCACCGCCGTTGAGCTGGCGGTCGCTGTCGTGGCGGCCGTCGGTGCGCGTGGCCTCCTCCATCTGGCGCAGGTTCCGCGACTTGCGCTTGGGGAAGCGGGCGCCGCGCTGCTTGGTGTAGATGGCCGGGTAGAGGTCGGCGCAGAAGGAGAAGACGTAGAAGGAGAAGATGAAGGCGATGGCCCACTCGATGACGGCGCCGGCGTCGCGGTGCTTGGTGAAGGTGCAGGCGGCGAAGGCGATGGCGAGGACGAGCTCGACGAGGACGAAGAGGAGCTTGATCCAGAAGGAGACGCGGAGGACGCGGTGCTCGCGGTGGGCTGTGTTGGGGGGGAAGCATGTTAGTGTTTGTGTTGAGAGAGGGTCGAGAAGAAAAGGGGAGGGCTCCGACTCACTGGCACCGAGTCGCTGGTACTCCCAGCAGATGAAGATGGCAGACAGGAGGTAGCCGGCGATGAAGAGCAGCAGGAAGATGTCGTGCAGGCGCGGGTGGCGGGCCGTGTCAAAGATGGACAGCAGGATGAGGCCGGCGGTGCCGATGATGGCGAAGACGATGGTCAGGCCCGACAGGACCTTCTCGCTGAGGGTGGTGTTGGGGACGAGGCGGCCGCGGTGGCGCAGGACGCGGTCGGCGAGGAAGGACAGGTCCAGGAAGACGGTGGTGAGGCAGCAGCCGGCGATGAAGAGCGGCTTGAGCTCGGCGGCGCCGACGTCGCTGATGTAGGCGATGCGCTGGCCGTCCTGCATGGAGCTGTAGATCTTGCGGCCCGTGTCGACGTTCCAGTAGATCAGGAGGGCGAGCAGCGTGGCCAGCCAGAAGACGCCGGATATGATGGGCAGGACCTTTTCGGTTGGGCGTATTAGTGCCAGTAAAACTGTGAACCAATTCTCTATGGATTGGTGCTCACCCAGTATGATATCCTAATCATTGTGAATAAATCTACCCGATTGGATTGGTAGGTGTGTGATCTATGGTGGTCGCGACCTCGGATGAAGCCTTTCTAGGCCTTTGCGAACGAGTGGTTTCGAGCGAGTAAAGTCTATCGGGTGCTCCTTGGACTGGATTTAATAAGTAGAATACTAAGTGTGAGCGAGTGATGTAAACGAAAAGAGATCTCGAGGTATATCTATGTGTATGCACCCAAAAGTACAAGATATTACAGCCGCCGAAGCACTCAAGGTCTCAGGGATCGAAGAGGCTCAGCTAGGTCTCGCAGGTAGTCGACAAGGAAAAGTCTCCCGATAATCCCATCTTTCATGATGATGGCAGTGGTGGTGTTGTTTTGGGGAGACTAAAGTACCTGCAGGACGACTTGGCATAAGGTGACGTCAGGAACCATGCCAGGTCTAGGCCAGCAGCTCCTTGAGCTTAAATCCGGCAACCTGGCACAGCCAGCAGGGGCCTCTGTAATCCGTTGATGACGGCGGTGCCCGCGGGTCTCTCCAGGCCTGCCAGCGGGGCGTTGTTCGGCCCCGATTGCAAGTCCAATTAGCCCGTCACCAGATCAGATCGACACGATGCGTCTTCAGCTGCTCCTGTTGCTCAGTTTTTGTGTACGCACTTGTAAAGAACTGGAGCGTGTGACGACGAATAGACTACGCCACTTCGGAATACGTATGCACATATACTCGTACTCGTACTGCACCGTACTGAGCCTGGCCCTGCTCAATTCACCCCAAAAGTTCGCCATTCACAAAGAGATCTCTTGAGTCCTGAATTACATAAAACTCAGCTGGGTTCGTGAGCCTTGGAAAGAGCACCTGCAGGTGATGATGGGCGGGAATGTGAGGGACCTCTCGCTGCAATACAGCGCACAGACCACTATAGTAGACTCAAATTAACACCTCTACTCAGGTACCCAAAGGCTGGAGCTCAATGACCCACTCACAGTTGATCCAGGCTTCTCCATCTCTAAGTATTCAAACAACATCAATCCTTCGACTGAATGTAAAAGTCGTAGTCCAGACCCGGAACCTCAATCTCAATTCCCCCCTGACCTGGCCTAGCTGCTCAATCACCCATTGTCGCCGCCTAGAGCGGCTGCGCTCCCCCCGGCAAACACACCATGGCCGTCTCCCCGCTCGTCGTCCCTCCCACTGACGCCCTCCACCCGCCGCCGCGACAAGCCTCGTCGCCCCTCAAGAAAGCTTCGGCCACGCCCTCCGCAAATGGCACACCCGTGCCGGCGCGCCCCAGCATGGCGGCGGCGGCAGCAGCAGCAGCAGGCAGCTCGTCTATAGTGGTGCCGCACGCCCACGCCCATGCCCATGCCCACAGCCACCACCGCGTCCGCGACCTCGCCGAGCAGATGAACGAGGACGAGAAGAAGAAGTACGTCAAGGGCAAGAAGCTCGGTGAGGGAACCTACGCCAACGTCTACCTCGGCCACGAGCGCCGCGACCCCTCGGTCCTCGTCGCCATCAAGAAGATCAAGGTCCAGAAGGAGTACGAGGACGGCATGGCGCCCGACGCCGTCCGCGAGCTCAAGCACCTGCAGGAGCTCAGCCACCCCAACATCATCTCGCTGCTGTCCGTCTTCAGCTCCAAGAGCCAGAACCTCAACCTCGTCCTCGAGTACCTGCCCCTCGGCGACCTCGAGATGCTCATCCGCGACGTCGACGGCGTCCGCTACGGCGCCGCCGACATCAAGGCCTGGATGGGCATGCTGTCCCGCGCCGTCTGGTTCTGCCACGAGAACTTTGTCCTCCACCGCGATATCAAGCCCAACAACCTGCTCATCGCCGCCGACGGCGAGGTCAAGCTGGCCGATTTCGGTCTCGCCCGTTCCTTCTCCGACCCCTACCGCGTCATGACCAGCAACGTCATCACCCGCTGGTACCGGCCCCCCGAGCTCCTCTTCGGCGCCGAGCACTACTCGGGCGCCGTCGACATATGGTCCGTCGGCACCGTCTTTGCCGAGCTCATCATCCGCAACCCCTACCTCCCCGGCAACACCGAGGTCGAGCAGATCAGCCTCATCTGCCGCGCCATCGGCACCCCGACCGAGGAGAACTGGCCCGGCGTCAGCAAGCTGCCCCAGTTCACCCTGCCCTCCGAGGTCACCCCGCTGCAGGGCCGCGACTCCTTCATGGGCATGTTTGGCACCGTCGGCAGCGACGGCGTCGACCTCCTCATGAAGACGCTGGTCCTCGACCCCAACAAGAGGATCACGGCCCGCGATATGCTGCTGCACAACTGGTGGCGCGCCGACCCCAAGCCCACGCGCAAGGAGGACCTCCCTAAGAAGGGCGGTGGGCAAGAGAAGCTCGGCGCGGACCTAAAGAGGCCGCCGGGAATCGTCGACGAGGACCGCGGCGCCAAGGTCGCGAGGAAGCTGGACTTTGGAGCCAAGAAATGAGCATTTGGACGGGCGTATGTGCTTTCTACAGCCAGGCATATCATCGGGGACTTTCTACGGATTCTTTTTATTTTTTTTTTAAAGACAACACGCTGGCGGAGTTTGGGCGTATGATCAAATGGCATTTAAGGGTCTGAGAAAGAGACGGCTTGTCAAAAAGAGGCAAGCGGGCGTCCGCCACAAAGTTATAGGCTCGCGAAACGAATAGTTTGAAATACTATGACTCGTTTTTTTTTATATGTACTTGAGGTTCGTAGCTCGTAGCATTCGTCACTGTGTGATGGCGATGATTTTTTTTTGTCCAAGAGTACCACCTATGAAGAAGTCATACCCAAATCACCGTCCTTGCACTCTAATTGCATCCGCACCCATAAAACCCTCCATGCTGCACTCCATTTTCACATCACAGCACACTCGAGCCCGTACATGGCCTTCTCGACGCTCCTCTTGACCTGGTACCAGTCGGCCCGCCTCTCGGCGTACTCGTACACCTCCTCGGCGCGGAAGATGCCGCCGAACCGGTCCCCGTCGGCGATGATGACGGCCATCTCCTTGGCGTGGCGCCCGTCGATGAGGTAGATCTGGCTCAGCTCGCGCAGCGCCCGGAAGTAGGCCAGCAGGTCCTGGTTGCGCAGCGTGCGCACGTACTCAAAGTAGAGCGTCATGTCGGCGATGACCTTGATGGCGCCCTCGGTGCTGACGCGCTGCCGCTTCAGGTGCTTGCACACGGCCGTGAAGAGCCGCAGGCCCACCTCGCCGTTGAAGACGTCGAGCATCGATTTCTCGGTGCTGCCCACCAGCATGCTCGTGTGCCCGCGCACCAGCTCCACGACGCGCCTGGCCGTCTCGGTCGGCCCGATGTCCGCGTCCGCAGGCGGCATCTGCTGGTGGGCCTTGCCGTCCGCCCCCGCGCCGCTGCTCGCCGGCGCCGGGTTGTAGTCGGTCGGCAGCTGCGTGGTCGCGCAGATGTATTCCACCTCGTCCATGAGCACGTCGATGCCCTTGTTGAGCCCGGCCGCCACGCTCTCGTCGAGCATCTGCTCAAACTTCTTCTTGGCCAGGCCGGCTGGGTCAAGAAAGTCGTTCCGGTCTGCGATCTTGGGGCCCGCGAGCTGCTGCTCGTAAAAGACGTCGATCATTTGGCTGATCAGGTCACCGACGTTGACGAGCTCGATGAACATGACGAGAGGCACAACGCCGCTGGCCTGGTTATGGTCGCTCACATCGCGGGGGTTGTAGTGTGAGAGGTGATCGACTGCCTTGTCAAAGCCGTTCTTCATGTGTCGCATACCAAGAATGCGAAGAAGCACAACGAAAATGGTCGCACACTGCTCACGCGCCTCTTCGCCAGCCTGGCCACCGAGGCATATAAATACGGCAGCGCGGCCTAGACTTGACTTGGCAGCGTGCACAAGATTCAGCGCAACCTCTATACTGAAGAGCGATTTGATCCCTTCCAGCCGCGACGCCATCAGTGCTGCCTTGGCAGCCAGTTCGTCGGTAGGGGCTTCGTCTGGGAGCGGGCTGCCCTTTCTATCGATACTTGCGCCGGCACTGGGCGTTTCCGGCCTGGATGGCTGCAACGTATTCCCGCCGTTTGATGTCGCAGTCGACGCAGGCTTGCTCGAACCGAAGGGTGATGTGAGAAACTGACCGGGTAGACTGGGCAGAACGGTCACAGGCATCATGACAACCTTTTTGAACGAGCTCAAAAAGTCTGACTTGTCCGCTTGCCTGTTGAAATTGGCCATGTAGAATGACTCGACACTGGCGTCTTGTTCCGACAGCTTTTTCTCCCAATTGCCCACCTCCACTTCTGCATGCTTGGTGAAGAAGTCGAGCTCCTCTTGCAGGTATAGGTCAAGATGAGGCTCGAAAAGTTTCAACCCGATCTGCCTGGCCTTTTCTTCCCTGAACTGTGGGCTTATAACCTCGCCCTGTGCTTTGGGTGGCTGCAGCGACCTGAGAAAGAGCATACACTGCTCGAATATGCCCGAGACAGCTTTTAGGTAGGAAGCAAGGCTTCTCTCATGGCACTCGTCTAGCAGTGGCGTGACGTAGTCCATGATCAGATCCTCTCGAACTTTGTCGACAAAGTTCCAAAATACTTGGCCGGGTCTCGGAAATATCCTCTGGATGATGTCGCTCTGCTCGTTGACTTTCTTCAAGAGAACTTCGAAAAACTGCCTGGACGGCTCGAGGGTGATGTTGTCAGCTGAGGCGTGGTTGATGCAGTCCATGGAGTTCCCGACGACCTCTTTGTCGGAGAAGATTGGGTGCTTGTGTATGAAGAGCTCAGCACCGGCGTTAACATCGCTAAGCAGGTCCAGAACATGCGCGTATCTCTTCATCCTGCCATCCACATCCCAGAATTCATAGCCCTGTTCGAATTCCCGGAGCACTGCGCTTTCGAAGATGCTCGTCATCGTTATGAGCTTGTGCTCCCTATCGCCCCAGCCCTGCGACCAGTCGCTCCTGGAAAACCGCTTGAGGTGGGACAGCATCTGTGCTTGTCTTTCGGGGTCTCGGAAAGCCTTGAACACGATCGGGTCTGCGTGGCTCTTGGCTCGAACCAGGTCCAGATAAAAGGGGGCCAGGGCTCCGTATATCTTGCCATACTCTTCTCTCGCACGCCCGCGCACGCTCCTCGCATTCTTGAAGACGTCTAGTAGGGCATCGGGATCTTGCATCGGGTCTTTAGACGGCATCTGAGTCCCGGCCCCAAGAGTCATAGTCTCGAAGCCGTCCCTGGCGTCCGACACCCGTCTCGTCGTCTGCCTCTGCTCCTCAAGTGCCGCGTCGAAAAGAGTCGTGCTGGGTTGCCGTTGCCCTGGTTGTTGTGCCACGGGGCCCCCTATTGCCGGCCCCGGCGGCTGGGTCCGTTCCGCTGCCTCTCTCCTCCTTTTCATCGCGTCCTCGAACCGCTTCCTGGCTTCCGTCTCGTTCCAGCAGTCCATGCTCTGCAGCCTGGAGACCCACCTCGTATCGTCGTACACCATCTCGCGCATTCGTCGGGATGTTCGAGCAGCGCTGATGAGATCTGGGACCGGGAGGAGATCCAATATGCGCGCGAGGATTTCTAGGTCGCCGGTATGTCAACTGGAAGGGTCTCGGAGAAGAAGAGTGCCTTTGATCGAGACAACACAACATACCGGCAGGTAGTACAGGTTTCGAATCTATAATCTCCGTCGCCTGAAGCACCCCGAGTATGCTGCCGCCCGCAGGCGCAGCTCTTTTGAACTTCGACATGGTGCCTCGGGAGGCCTGATGGGAAGCTCAATGTATGTTTATAAAGTGTATATTGCCAAAATTGGCTGCGGGACTAGGGGCGAAGTGCCTTGCGAGCAGCAGGCAGGATCGCGAATCCGACCATGGTGCGCCCGGGATATGCTGGTTGGAAGGTCGACCAAGGTGTATCTGGTCGAGCGAACGTAGGGAGCGGAAAGGAGACAACCTGATTCAGCTGCTTGGGCGGGGGTGGTCGGCTTCGAGCTTGCGGACCTTAATTGATGCTTTAATACGAGTCTTGGACGTTGGTGGAGGGGCGGGTGAAAGCTCCCGTCAGCTGTCGATCACCTGTGAGCATTCTGTAATTATTCATTTAGCGCACCCCCCTGAGCTCCCCACACAACGGGTCCTCAAGCTCGAATTGCCTAGTTCAGGCACTCGAGCTCCGTCAACACCAGAACGGAGCAACCACTTTGATATTGACTGTGCACTTCAGCGTTCTCTTGGGGTCTCATTACATCTACCACTTGGGTCTTTTCACATCTAACCACGTAGAATCTACGCTCAAGGGGTATATAAAGCGTTCCGCGCCAACCCAGTCGCCCAAAGTCTCATGAAACGCCAAACAATTGGAATTATCTCCCTCCTCCTCCTCCTCCTCCTCCTCAGTCACGTCCCAAGACAAGTCAATCGGAAACCTCGGGCTGAGCCTGTCTGCCCTCGGCGGCTTCCGCGGCCAAGAAGCGGCGTACCTCGGGGTTCTCGCGCAAGGCATCCTCGCCAGAGCTCCCTGCTCGGGTCACGCTTCCAAACAGGCATTCCCAAAGATCACCCTTTGGCACTTCTTCCCCAGACAATTTGCCCTTGCCCATCAATTTCGCCAGGTTTGCTTCCTCCATCTCCATCGCGTTCGCTGCTTCCAAGTTGGAGTCTAGCAGTTCCGGTGTAGACTCTTTCGACTTGCCCTTCACGTTGCGTCCCATGTGCTCCAGACGCCTCCGGACGGAGAGATCATAGATGGATTGTTCCACCGTTCCGTCTACAATGTATAGCCAAACCGTTGTCTCGTGTTCTTGCCCGATTCGATCGACTCGCGCAATTGCCTGTAGCTCCAGCGCGGTATTCAGAAGCGGCTCGCATAAGATAACGTGGCTCGCGTTGACGAGATTGAGGCCGCTCGAGTGGGCACGAGCATGTAAGAGGAAGCATTCAATACCCGGATCTTCCTTGAACCGAGTGATCCCATCGCGGTCGGTAAAGGCCGTATGACCAATGTGATGACGGCGAAAAGCCAGAGCAAGGACGCGCAGAAACTCAGGGTATTGAGAGAAAACAATCGATTTTGCTCCTGGGTCCGTTTGTCTCAGCCACTGCAGGTGTCGGACCAGAGTGTCGACTTTGGTTGTGAAAGATGGGCCTGGCAAATCGATGGTCTTGATCTCGGCCAGTTTCTCTGCGCTGAACGCACTGTAGATGGTGGATCGCTTCGTCCTCGGGCTGTCTCGCTGAGCAGCCGCCTCCTCGGTATGGGTCGTCTCCGTATGAACCTTGAGTTCCTGGGGCTTGAGGGTGATGTCATGTAGGTTGCTTGCTAAAAGCTTCTTCTTACACACAGGGCAGTTATGATGGGCCCTGAACCATAGTGTGATGCAGTCTTTACAGAATTGATGGCCGCAAACTGTCAAAACGCCCATCGTAAAGCTCGACTGACAGATGACGCACATGTTCTGTTCCTCTTTCGAATCGGTCTCCTTCAAATGCAAGACTAGATACAGCAAGATTAGCCACAAGCCAAGTGACACCAATTATGACGTTGGAATGAGCATAGAACGAGTGCCTGCGACAATCTGACTTACGGTATCGATGCTTGGACTGCGAGGCAGTCAACTTCTGGAGTAGCGTGTCTCCCTCGTTTTGGAGGCCAGCCATAGCTGCGTCGTCTTTCGGGCCTTCGTATGGGTCCACCATGTCTGAAACCACTTGGAGTTGTCGGTAGTATTCGACGCGAGCATTCATGGCACTGGTGAATCTGTCGAGCTCCTGCTCGATACCTGCCACTGCTTTGGTCTGCTCTGTGAGCTGGCTCTGTGTTGCTTTCATCTGCTCAGTGGCGATCTCAAGTTCGACCCGAGCACGATTGCTACCATTGGCAGCCGGGTGTCGAAGGGTGGTAGAGAGGTCGCGGAACTCGACAATAGCACTCCTGAGGGATCCTAGGTCGCTGGGCGGCTTGATAGCATCGCGAATTTTGAACAGCTCTAGTACCTTCTCTGGGACCGGGCCCTCACCCTGTTTGGCGAAGTAGATCGCGCCTTTGATCTCATCGATTGACAGCTTACTGAGCTGCAAGCCCGTGAGCGCACTCTGTCGGTCGGCCAGGACAGCTCTCAAAACGGTAATGTAGGCAATCAGCGTCTCCTGCACCTTTGTTGAGTCAACATACTCTTCGCCAGTGATCTCGACATCATCGTCCTCATCAACCAGATCTTTGAGGAGAAGCTGAACAACTTCCTCGCGCCACTCGTCTAGAATATTGGCTTGCTCATTCAAGGCACCATTCAAAGCCTCTATCGTCTCAACGATCCGGCCAGTCTCGATGCCGTGTCTGGACGAGATCTGAAGTTCAGGAATGACTGCGAAGTCTTGCTGATTAGCCTTGGCCGACAACTTCTCCATATGGCGAGTCGCTTTGCCGTGGCTCTCTTGAAGGATTTCTCTCCGAATCCTCTTCGCCCTCTCGTACGCTTCAGTCTCGAGTTTCTCCAATCGCTCGAAGTCATCCGACTCGGGAACCGTCATTTCCTCATTCGATTTGATCTGGAAGTGCGCGTTTGCACAGAAGAAGACAGCCTTGTGCTGGAGCTCGAGGGCGTACCGGAGGCTGCGCTGCGCCTCACCTACCCGTCTGGGGAATGTTTCTTCGGGTTCGTCTTCGCTGTCGGCGTTGTTGTCGATCTTGGCGCCCGCTTTCTTCGCATCTTCGATCTCTTTCTGAAGCTCTTCACGGCATTCCTTGACCATATCGTCGATCTCTGGCAAGACTCCTTCCCAAATCGCGAGCGCTTCCCTCACACGTGGAGAGTTTTCAAGCAGTTGGCCTCGGGTCAGCTTGTTCGTAATCAAGACCCTCTTGTCAATGACAATGGCGTTCTGGCTCTGTTCAATCATCGCACCCAGAACTTCTGCCACGGTCCTCATCGGACCACTTTTGTTCCAAAGAGCTCGACGATTATGTACGCCAACCTCGGGATGAAGAGCAGTCTGACGCAGACGGTTCAGAGCCGTCCGCATAGCCTCCAAAACAGCTGGATCTTCTGGGTCCCAGTCATCAGCTAGCGGAATACCCTCTGTATCCAGACCACAATCCGCTGTGAGTTGCTTGAACAAGTCTTGATAATGTTGTTCCTCAACGGCGGTGAACGGCATTGTAATGACGTATCGCTTTTGCGGAGGCAATGTGAGCTCATGCCTGACATGTCGCTTGGTGTGTCGGATGGCGAGACGACTGAACAATTCGCGGAACGAATCTTTGTGGCAAGTAATCAGGGACTGCCAAACCTTCGGTACCGAAGCGTACGGTTCGTAGTTGAGGAACACGAGCAGGCCCCAGAGATCCTTGATGCCTTCCTTGACAGGCGTGCCTGTCACTCCCCATGCATTTACACGCGGAATGATTGTCGCCAATTGTGCCGTTTTGCTGACTCCGCTTTCAATCTCTTGCGCCTCGTCAAGACACACGCGCCACCATGACAGCTGCATCAGAGGGGACTTCGACCTATGGTACTTTCTCTCATTGCGCATTGCTCTTGACGGCGGATCTAGAGCAAAATAGAGCTCATTGCGTAGCTCGTTGTAGGTCGTCACCACAACGTCAGACTGGGCGAGCTCTTCGACCAGAGCTGCTTCGCTGGCCTCGTCTTTGCATGACGCCCGGATACCAGAGTAGACCACCACACGCAGGTGAGGAGCATGTCTATTCAGCTCAGAGAGCCACTGCTGTTTGAGGGATGGCGGAGTAATGATGAGGGTCGCACCAGTCGGCCGAACATCGGCGTCTGTGTAGTTGTTGAATATCCTTGGGCTCTCGACAGAGCGCTGATGCAAGAGAATCAGAGATATCATCTCAACGGTTTTACCCAACCCCATCTCTTCCGATAAGATCCCGCCACGTAGTGAGCTTTCCTTGGCCGCAAACAAGCTCGGATCCCTCGAGACAACGCCATAAAGTCCGCTGACATAGAATGTATTGTTGTCGATGTCGAGTACCTTTTTGAAATGTGAAGGTATATCTCCTCGGTCTGCATTGAGTGGAACGAGCCCTGGCTGCTTGCCGAGTTCCTTGTCGCTCCACCGAACTCCTTCACGCTCCAGTAACCAGTGGACTGCACGTTTCTGAAACGGGTAGAGCTCAGGGACCAGCCTTGGGATGTGCAAAGATGACACTGGGTACTCTTCCTCGGTCGGGACGAAAGCGGCCTCGTAGAAATCCTGCGGAGAATTGCCTGTTCCCTGATGTGGAGCGTTGCGAAAGATTTTTCCCGAGTGGATGTTGGGGAAGAACCTTCCCAGGACACGATGCCGCAGATTTCGCTCAGTTTCCTTGTGCAGTTCAGGGATCACACGACTGGCTTCGTTCCACCTCAACTCAAAATCCAAGAGAAACTTCACATGGTCAGATTCGAGCTCAAGGCTGATGTCTACCGAAGCCCAGAAGCGACCAGGATTTTCGGTAAAGCCGTGACTCTTGTCGGCTAAGAGGAAAAGCAACTCCAGGGTATCGTCTGAGTTCAGTTCAGGCAGTTCTAGCGAAGTGCGTAGTTTATTGCTCCAGACTGCTTGACGTGAAGTGAGGACGATGTTTCGGGAGTTGATGAGTCGCAAGCTGATTTCATCTTGTGCGTTCTTCCGAATGATAGATTTTGAAGAGGGTGAGACTGGGATGCCAGCAGAGTCTGTGATAGATAGACGTTGACGATGAACAGCCATATAGGGTGTTCCCGGTGTTTCTGCGGCTATCTTGGGCCGCTTTGGCGGCCGCGGCGGAAGATCGTCAGTGTAGTCCCATTTGACTGTATGACGTGTCTGTTCAACTGGAAAAAGTTGCTCAAGGAGCTCCCACAATGTAACGTTCTCCATGGCTGATCTGCGATAAAATGTTAGAGCACTGCTCTGGCAGGCCGTGGATACCATGCTTCATGATCGTCTGGAATGACGAATAAGAGACATACCAGAAAACCTTGTGATGACTTCTAGGCTGTCCCTGCGGGGACGTAGACGACTTATCCCCCGAGAATGCGCATTCGATGAGCACCAGCGCAATCTGAGCGACAGATGAGGGGAGAGGAGTGAAGCAGAAGAAGAAGGATGGAGGGGGCGAGTCTGGGGGGACATTTATCAGTCGGCGATAAGGCAGCCTTGTAAATGGCCTTGCATGTCTGCCCCACTTGGCGCGAAAGCCACTCTCAGTCGAAAGGCATGTGAACCAATCAAGAAGTTGCGGGCCGGTACCTCTTCCGACCTTTCAGAATCGCCAAAAATTGATCGGCCAAACGTGAACCAGGAGATTCACGATACTGTGTCTTGGAGCCACCTCATCGATTGCCTAGCCATCTGGTCGGCCACACAAACGCTGTGCTTTGAGTCTCGCAGCCTGGTCATGTGAGTTTGACTCCCTCACCCTGCCCAATTGGATCCTGTGGCTGACTCCTTGTGCTAACAGAGCTCATTAGTTCACGATGAAGGCCATCAGAGTGCAGTCGGCACTGGGCCTTCTGCTGCGCCCAAGAATCGCGCCGGCCTCCCTCACTCCCCTGCAAATGCGATGTGTACACCGAGAATCTGGTCCTCCATCGATTCCTCCGCCGATACCTCTTGTCCCCGACGTCCAGACCTTCCTCACAGTCATTGGACGTGGCCTCAGCCAGCATGCAGCCAAGTTTCCAACATGGGAAGCTTTGTTCTCTTTGACCTCACCACAACTGAAAGAGCTTGGAATAGAGCCACCTCGGACTCGTCGGTACCTGATTCAGTGGCGACAGAAATTCAGATTGGGGAAGTTCGGCATCGGTGGAGATCTGCAGCATGTTGAGAATGGCACAGCCCAGCTCAGGGTTCTGGAGGTCGAGAAAGACCCCCTGACGCGCCAGAAGCATGTTGTCAATGTGCCTGCTGGAAAGTCAGTAGAGGAGATCCCGCGAGACGAGTTGGTCAAGGTCAAAGGCTACAAAGTCCGAGGTGCAAGGGCGATCGCCGGCCCCTATGCGCTGCCGCTGAAGGATTCAGCTGGATCTCAAATCACGGTCACTGAGGGAATGTGGGAAGACAAGAGAGGTCACAAGGTTGACGGCGGTGAACGACGTCGGGCAGAGGTCCGCTTCAGGAGGGGTGTGGCTCAAAGGAAAGCAGCAAGAGAACGCCAGGGTTTCTACTAAACATCACTTTCGGACGTCTCTAGGCGGCCCCGAGCCTGTATACTACCCTGTCATATTAGATACTTGTACTATCAGATACCAATCCAGCCTTGCATGACTTGAGAGCCCTCTTTGTTTGTCTCACCATCGGGCTGGTCCAAGGCTGGTCCAAGGGTGCCGCTCTTTGTGCCTTGACTGAGTAGGTTGCCATGACGGCTGTTGGAGACGGCAACTACATACTGAATTAACCAAAACAACTGTTGGGGTACTCGTAGTCGCTTGAAAGCAATCAGAAAATGGTATTTCCAGATGAGAAGCAGTGTCAAAGCTCGAATGGCTGTATATCCTTCAAGCTGTAAACACAATGTCTTAATTGTCCGTGCATACAAACAGCCGATATGTATGCATTAGCATGCCCCACAGAAGTTGTAAGTCGAACAGCACCGGCAGGATGGGTCGTCGTCGGTCGACTATCAAATCCGTAGGGTGTTTTGTCGTTGCATTAAAGCCACGATGCAGGGCACTGGTAGCTACAATGCAAGGTGCAAAGTATCGATGACCAAGATTGATCTGCAACAGTCTTCCATTCCAAAATGGAACATTAGACTTGGGTGCACATCTCGGGACGTGCAGCCTCCGTTGTCATCCCACCACCCAAGATCATAATTTTATGCTCTTCCTCGACCCTGATCCGATTTGGGACCGTTCCGTCGGGTCAAGGCAAACATGACTGGCCCGGAAACCTCGATACGGCATGTCGAAGCTTAATCTGACGTCTTTTTGGATGTGGGAAACCCGGGTGATTCTTGCCTTATCCCCGGGCTACGAGGCACCCACTAGGAAGGAAGTTACGGCCGACTCGGGAGATGTGTCAGCGTTTAGTAAACGTCCTGTGCCCGACCCTTTAAAACAGCCAACAACCAAAACCCCATCCCGTACTCATCATTTTCCAAGGGCTTTGAATGAAGGATGCCCAACTGTCCACTTTGCAAAGTGCGCTTCCAGTGGAATCTTTACCATAAGGCAAATGTCCTAGCTGCGAATGTCTCGGTCGACGTGGAGATGAAGACAAAAAGCCCGGGAAGCCCCGGAAAAGCCTCGTCGACGGCGGCACCGTGTTCGAAACCCCAAGATCGAACATGAAAGCCCGGGAGCAATCTTGATCAACTCGGCCACTGTCCAAGATGCGAGCGTTATCATGGACAAAAGCGCCGGTCGAACTTGGCAAGACGCCCTGGAAACTGTGTCGAGAGGACGGCCGAGAGTGGATGCTGTGATCTGCGCTATCAGATTTGGGGCCATTCCCGGAATTCGTCGCATTTCCTTCCTCTTGAAGGTCGCTCCGGTCTTGACGACGCATTAGGATTATGCCCTTCGACGCCGACGCTGCGATCTAGAGTGTGGGTCATTCTCAGAGCACTTCTTTACTCACGGGAGTTACTGCGGATTCTGGTCTCTGTGGCGGCACTCAGCATCTACAGAAGAATAACACTAAACAGGAATATGAGATCTGCATGGGAGGAGGCGGTCATGCAGAACAGGCGATAGAGGCTGGTTCTCCCAAACAACATATTCTCCTACATCACTTCCAGACGCTCATTGCTTTGCCCTGTTTGTCTCTGAGGGCTATTTTTGGACCGCCAACTGTGTCGCCGTGAGACATGAGCTGAACGCGGCAACCTCTCTCGAGACCAAGCAATGTTGATACAGAGGTGTCACGGCCAGAACCTGAGACTTGTTACCCGCTCCGCTGAATTTAAGGGGGGCATATACCCGTGGCCACATCCAAAATGTCTTTTCCGGAGTGGTGGGAACTTCGCCTCCGTCGAAGACACGGGCTCGACTATCTCGCGACTCTGGCTCGCTTGCATGCTGCTAAGAGCGGGACTGCATTCAGCATCGAGTCTAAAATCGGAAGAGCCCAATGTCAGGATCAGTGGCCGGAGAATACTTTGGCTCCAAGCTCGCGCTTGCTTGGCATTGACTTGTCCTTGGCAGGGCGTACTTGCGCGACAGGTTGGACTTCGATTCTAATTATAACCTGTCATGAACGTCGCCCGAGTCACTTTTGTCACGATAGGTTTCACGGTGACCGAACTATTAGTTCCTTATCGACGTACCACGCGACACCGAAGTCTCATTTCTCACTCATTGGAAGGGACCCATGGTGTTGTCAGCAATAGCGACAATTATGGCCCAAGAGCTGGGTATCGTGATGACCTGATGAACCCAGGTCGTGTCAGAGTCATGCCAGCTCATGCCGGTGGACATTTCGTGAAGACCATTGGCGGTTGGCCGACACTGTGCGCACCACAGAAGACGGCTCGCTACATATCGGGAGACGATCCTTTACCCTGTTCGACATTTTCACACCAATTTAGAAACCCGGGGTACTTGACAGCTCGTTGTTGATTTTCAGGCCGCTTGACGAGAGCTTATCATCGTTGCAAGTGATGTTGATTCCCAACACCATCAGGTCTCGCTGAGGGCCTGGAAGAGCAGAACAGGTAGCATCATGGCGTTTATGGGTAAGCACCTTCTCTCAGCCCAACGACCCTCGTCAATATCAACAGACATTTACTAACTGCTATTTGTAGACTTGGTAGACCCTGGCGCGGTTTCCGTCTTCCGCGACATGGTTGCTATAATTATACCCTATCTGGCCCCCAACCCATTGTCTCTAGTTGCACAACCTACTCAATCCTAGGAGCAAGTTGGTCCCAATACCTCGTCATATCTCTTGGAAACGGCAAAGGCGCGTCCAACACAATCTCCAAAGTGTCAGGTTAAGGTTTCGATTCGTTCTCACACCGAGCTGGCCTTTGGATCCTCCTCGATGGGCTGGGCCTCGTCGAAGCGAGTTCGGTTGTTTTCCGAGTTTCTCTGCCTTGTGGTGGAGCCAATACAGCAGGTCCCACGCCGGAACACAATTGCTCTCGGGAAAAGACTTGTCCCTTCGTCAAGGTGTTGTCTTGTCACCCCACAGAATCCCCACGGTAAAGCGCAACCGGCTATGGGAACCAAGAAGTGTACGGCATAGGATGAAGCTTGACGGATGACACATGGGCTCTTCGACCATGGAACCCATTTTCAGTAACGCAATCCGGAGCATCTTGTCAAGTTCCTAGTGTCAAGGCCAGGGCTTTACATCAACATTGATCAGTAACCGTCTTGATTGGTGAACTCACAAAGATTCAGCTGCACCAGATTGATGAAGGTCTTTTAAAGATGCTGACAGCCATTTTCCAGAGTACTAACCAGGAACCGGCAGCTTATGGGACCCAAGTGGTCACCTCCCCACACTGGAGAGGCACGCTTACAGTTTGTCCCGACATTTTACCGTTATGACTGCATCTTTTAGTATCATGGCAAACGGCCGGGTGCCAGAAGCGCGTCACCTGTCATCTGTCACCCTTATTGAACAGAGGTAGGGGCGTTTCCGGGCCGAGCCAAGGAAACACTTGGACAGCCCGGGGAACGGATCGCAATTGAAGGGCTTTAGGAGGGTGTCAGCTGGACCCTGTGAATCATCTGCTGTGTACAAGGTTCGGATCTAAAATTCACTGGTCACTTGTAATCGGTCGATCGCTAACCAGCCCAGTCTCTGCAATCATGACGGTTCAAGTGTGATCGACATGCTCCCCAGGACTACCCAGAGTGTCCACAGTCCAGGGCAACCCGCGATGGACGGCTCCGAGCTGGAGGGCCTGGTCACTCCGCCTGGCCTTTGCATGTCCAATTCCGGCATCCCTTTGCCTCAACTCGACCATCCCACCTTACAACTCGGACGAGGCAATGGGAGCCTGCACTGGGCTATACTGGGCTGCGCTGGGCTGCTTCGCTTGGAGCAAGCATCTCAAAGGCAAGGAAGGTAAGGTGCGCATGTCCCAGCCAGGTAGGGTGGCCAATCAGTCCCGATATCACCCACTCTCTCGTCCGCCTTTCCTCTATTACCGGTGCAGATGCCAGGGGTGCCAAATCGACCTTGTGTACCTTGCAAGCGTCCTTTTCCCAACGGCAACCCACCATTGCCAGATTGGCGGGCTGAAATGGGTGGGCCAAATGGCGGTGGTATGAGATCGCGGTGGGATTATTTTTAACTTTCCGTCTTTGCCCAGGCAGGGCCATCGTATTTCGCATTCACGCTTTTCAACCCCTCCCCCCTCTGTTCTTTAGTCACCTCAGCTTAGACCCTGGTCGGCTTAGTTGTCTCGACCTTTGGTTCCCCCCCAACTTGCCTGTCGTCCTATTTCCCACTGTCCATCTTATATTCTCCGTCGCACGAGAGCTAGTCTTGGCTTTCCGGCAAGATGGTTACATTGACTGAGGCTGGGGTATCCCAGACCGGCACGCCTTGTAATTCACCTCTGCCCCGTGGGTCCCACGCATACAAGCTCATGCCTAAGCGTTATGATCTGTTGTCTGCTCCCCCCCTGCTGCAGACTTCTTGCACTCGGGGTGCTTAGGAATGGGCCTAGGCCATATGCTTGTCTCCTTTCAAGGGCTTAAGGCAGGGTTGCCAGAATGGACATTGCTTCTTCTCTCCTCGGCGACGGGTTGATCGCCTCCCGCGGTATACACCCATCCTCGCTATCGGAGCCGGTCTCTGCTCTCTGCTCGTTCAAGTCTCTTTGCTAGCCAATCAGTCAAAAACAACCGCTAGGATTTTCGTCTCTCTCTTCATTCGTGCAATCTGCGAAACGTAGGCAACAAGTGTGGTTTCTACAGGCAACGAGACCACCTTAGCCTTCTGTGCTGTGACGAAGAGCGACTCTTTCGTTGCTTGGTCTTTCCGGGATATCTGAGGACATACTTCAACTACTGACCACCCAGCTGCACCTCCTCCTTGAATAACGACCCGCCAATGCCATCTCCTCCTTCAACTTTGCGGTGATGACCGAACCCCCCTCGTCAACGCGTTCTTCTTGATCATTGCGCGTCATTCCTCCTTCACCTCGTTGTGGGCTGCTCCACTTCAGCCTCAGTCTCTTTGAGTCGAAGAGCTACCTACGAGTCCTGTCGGTTCTCCGATCTGGGGTCCTCTAGGCTTCAAGGGTTTGGGGCCAGCTCAACTCTGCTGCCACACCTGGTATTCGATCTCCTGTCTGTATTTATAGCTACGTCTCGGTATTCTGTATATGTTCGTTCGAGAGACGGATAAGCAATCCGAGCAGCTGTCACTGTTCTTGACAGGTCTTACCAAGACTTGGCTCTGAGGAATGAGTATATATATGAAGCAGTCGAGCCGTTGCCAAAGTTCTCAACTTGCAAGACAACACCAACAAGAGCTTCAACCTTGAAAGCACAGTGAGCAGCATCGTTTACTTCGTTTCAATCTTCATAGATGTCCTCTTATCAATACAGCGCAGCCTACGATTCACCTCGCGGCTCGAGGGACAGATATCAAGACGAGCTGGAAGACACTGGTGATCTCGAAACGCCAGTCCAGACCAAAGCTCCCTCGATTCCCACCATCTCGGTCACCTCGCCGGCCAAGAAATCGAGAAAGTCACGGCGGCACTCCGATTCGGACACGGAGACGCAACCTGCTCAAATGTCTTCGCGAAGCTCCAAGCACCATTCGAGCTCGAGCAGCTCGAGCTCGAAGAAGCACAGCTCTTCGTCTAAATCCAAGTCCAAGGCCAAGGCCAAGCCTGAGCTGACAGATGACTGGACCGACGTCACTGTGCCGGAAGAACGAAGACGCATTCAGAATCGGATTGCTCAGCGCAAGTTCCGTAAGCTGGAACCCTCAAGCTCACCCCCTTGTTCAATGTCTTCTTGGCAAGCTTTACTAATACGAGTTGAACAGGCGAGAAGGCTCGTGAGCAGAAAGAACAGGCTGAGCGCGATCAGCGCAACCAAGACCTCGCGGGAAGCAGTTACCACATCCCAGAGCCCGAGGACCTTGGCCCCGACGACGAGCAGCTGTCGGGCCTCCCCTGGGGCGGACCCAGCATGCAGTATGTCGTAGCTCGAGGCCACGAGAGTGCCAGCCAGCAAGGCAGCAGGCGCGCATCTGACCATGTCTTCGGTGACACACCCACGTACATGAACCCATACGGCGGCATGTATCAGGGCTGGGATGGGCAGGGCAGCAGCGGGGCTGAGGAGATGGGCTACGAGGAGTCTTCGCCCTACTACGACTACTACGACACGAGCGGAGCGAGCTCTAGCCGTTAGAGACTTCACCGTCCATGGGGTCTTCTTGCCTTTGCCCTTCCTGTTGCTGGCCTTCAGCGGGATGCAGAGACACGACGCTTGACCCTTTGGGGAGAATGGCCCCTTTGGGAGAATGCCGGATGCCGAATGCGTCGACAGTTTTTTAGTTCCTCCGGCATTCAGCCCAACCCTATCCCGTCGCCGGTGGAGAAGGATCTCCAACCAGCTGTCCCCAGCATGTCCAGCCAATTGGCTCCGTATACGGGGGTCCAAATGGATGCGGAGGATCATTGCCAAGGGACAGTCCGCTGGGAGCTTCGTTTGCCTTATAGAGTAGATCTCTGGTTCAATTCCTTTCCACCTTTTCCTTGCGTCTATACCCCTCTCGTTCTTTGAATACTTGCTTCCTCTGGGAGGTGTCGCCCGGGGGATCCTCCTCCACAACACTGGCCTCGAGACGGAGTCGACGAATTATGGAAACATTTCTCACTTTCACTCTCTAGCTTAGACAGTTCCAATCTACTCTCATACCTAGGTATCTTTCTACAGTAGAGCCCCCTCACTTGATGCAAGTACCTGAGTTTACAAGAAAAGCGGGTCCCCGAAACTCCGTAGTCTATCCATGGGCAGAATGGACGTCGTGAAGGCTGATCCATTCACGACAGTTACCAAGATCTGTGGCTCGGTGTGCAGTAGGGTCGAGCTAGCATTCCGTCGATGGCACTATTCCACACGGATATCCCGAAACCTGGTCAGCCAGAGCATCTAGTGTCCATCGACCATTGGAAGTGCCACGCCGCTATTAGAAGAGACGGGTAACGGTGTTGGATGCCTGGAACGCGCAGGCTTCTGCCTGAGCTAGAAAAGCATGCATGCAGGGCGAGGCAGGATAATTCTGCAGGTCACTCGATATGGCTACTTGCCATTGGCACCTGCAAACTACGTCACTCTTTCATTACTGTCGGCTTCTGCCCAGTTACTAATGGCGTCGAGTTCGAAAAAGGAGGAACCTTCGAGATGGTGATCGCCCAAGTTCAGCCCTCCTGCAATGCAATGCATGCATGCAAGTAAAACGGACAAGAGAGGCACAGCAAAGAGGGGGCCAGGACGGGAAAGACAATCCCCCCCCCCTAAGAAAGGCGCATCCATACGCATGGCACGCGATGCTGTGTGTCAGACTGCGCTACCTCTGCCCTCTCCTCTCCCTCACGGCGGGCACCGGCCTCTACGTGGGACGGGCGACGGAGCAACAACTGCGAGAGTGTGGGGTGAGAAGCGTTCGAAGGGCGCGGTGCTGACAAGCACGAACCCAGTTCCCACACACCTCCCTCTTCGAAGACGTATCTTGGCACTCTGTCGCACAGACAGCATTCAATGTTACCAGGCCGTCGGGCCTCGGGTGAATTCCGCCCATTGGGGAGAGATTGACCTTCCGCATCCCAGGTGTGCTTGATGCGGGAACGTCAGAGGATGCACAATCGTGTCAGCCACGCCGAATGACGCGAAAGCATGTGAGGACGCGAAATGAGCTATCGAGACGAGTGGAACCAAGAGCCGGGGAGTTCTGCAAACGACGACGGATGCAAAGAACCAGGAGTCTTTAGATTGGCCACGTCTCGAGACTAGGTACCTAGGTAAGGGAGCCGGAAGGGTTGACGTAGGTCAAGTCGCAAACCCTCTCTCGCGATCTCGATACCTAACTACTACTGTCTGCTTCTCCGTCCGTCGGCCGTGAGTCACTCTGGATTGTTTCGTAACACATTGCCCACCTATGCCCGATGCGTTGACCGACGCGTGATGCCTCTACGTAAGGCTTGGTGGGAGAGGGGAGGGGATTAGAGTTAGGCAAGCTACCTACCGCCGTAGTAGTATCATGGGTCAATTAGTATGCAAGCACGTAGGCAGGCAGGGATATTCTCAAGACTTTGTCTCTTGCCTCTTTGCTTCTCCTCCAACAAACGGCGCATTGCCGGGAGAGGTAAACGACATGGCGAGCCGGGACGATTGCCTGCCAGTGCCTGTCTCCCCACTCCAGGTCCTCCCCCTGATCCACTCCGAGCTCCACAAGCCGGCTCCCGAATTCCTGGGCTGGCAGTTGGGCTGAATCTCGATATGGGATTGGGAGGATGGCAGTGCAGTGCTTGTCACAGCACCACCGCACGTCTGGGATTTTGTGGTGGTACCTAGGTAGGCTCGGTAGGGTAGGTCAGCTACTGTCCGCGGAGAAAGAAAGATGATTGACAGCTGGAGGGTGAGGGGGAGGGAAGTAAGCGACGGCCCGTGGAAAGCAACTAGGTACACAGGCCCTTCTCTGCCCTAGGTATAGGTAGTTATTGGTTGGTAGGTACTGACTGCCCCACGGCTACAGGGCAGAATATGCCAAACCGTGGCCGGTGAGTGCTGACCACCCATCTCCACTTCCACTTCCCCTCTGGGCTCTCGGCTCTGGGGCTGCCCTGCGAACTTACCAAGAGCCCTGGAGCTTTTTAGGATGTGGGGGCCATTGTGAATGCAAGTGGGTGAAAGAGCCAGCACGGATTACTCCGTACTTCCAGCCTACCTAGGTACCTGACTTTGACCGCCTAATTCTTTGGGCAACGTCACCGCCTGGCAGAAAGGGAACTTTTTTTTTCTGCCTGCGCACCCACAAACACAGCCAATTGGAGCTTCAAGACTGCTACCTGAACTTTTACCTTCCCCCCGCCAAGAGGTTGACTTCCACCTCACTGACCACACCCAAACACCTCGAGCTGAAGGCTGTCAATCTCTCCACCGGCAAAGGTTCCCCATTGGCACCATTTACGAGGCAGGTTTACCAGGACCGTGGCTGAGGTATCGGAACTGCAAATCATGGAGGCCAGCAAACAAGACCTCGCGCAGCCGCGCACTGCGGATGAGATCTCGGGTAAGCAAGCTTATTCCCTTCCCTCTCCTCGGGAGCAGCGACGGTATTACCGTCCGCTGTGTTTCCCTCCCCTTCCTTCCCCGTTGCACTACGATCTCAGCCCTATGCAAAGAACTTTTAATCCGGTTGCCTAGAACAAGAAGGATGCTGACTCCATCCCCCCCCTCCCCGCAGCAGATGCGAAACAGAAGAAGCGTGACCAGCGCCGGGACACCCGCAAGCAGGAGCGAGCTGCCAAGGCTGAGAAGAAGGCAGCTACCGCCAGCGAGCCGACTCGCTCCGCCCAGTGGGATTCGGAGAAGAAGTCGCCAGCCGAGGGCAGCAAGGACAAGAAGAAGGGCAAGAAGAAGAAGCAACCCAAGCACAAGAAGCATGGAGACGAGGACGGCTCCGTCGCCAACCCCCACAGCGAGGAGAAGAAGCGCCAGCGCCTCCTGACCCGCGCCAACAAGCTCGAGGAGAAGGCGGCCAAGCTCATGGCCGATGCGCAGAAGTTCCGCGCCAAGTACGAGGCTGCGACCGCAGGTGCGGGTAAGGCGCGCTCCTCGACTTCGGCAGCCAAAGCCGACAAGGCGGTGAAGAAGGCAGAGAAGAAGAAGCTGGATACGGATGAGGAGGAGCAGGAGGAGGAGACGAGCAGTGAGGAAGAGAGCGAGGACGAAGACCAGGACGGCTCCGGCGAAGGGGCGAAGCTCAACGAGGAGGCCGAAGACACTTCCAGCACCAGCAGCGACAGCGACTCCGAGAGTGACGTCGAGATGGCCGAGCCGGCGCCTGCCCCTGTCGAGACCGAGAAGTCGGCCAAGAAGGAAAAGAAGGGCAAGAAGGCCGAGAAGAAGGCCGAGAAGAAGGCCGAGAAGAAGGCCGAGAAGAAGGCCGAGAAGAAGGCTGAGAAGAAGAGGAAACGTGAGGCTGAGGCCGAGACGGAGGACTCTGAAGCTGCCAGCACGGAGGAGGAGGAGCAGTCGGTCAAGAAGAACAAGAAGCAAAAGAAGGACAAGAAGTCCAAGGCTGCCGTGGAGGATACTGCGACTCAGGGCACCGACGGCATCGAGCAGTGGAACGTGAAGGACCTGGGCGGAGGTGCCCAGCGGCAAGACAAGTTCCTGAGACTGCTGGGTGGCAAGAAGACTGGTGGTGGTGTCGCACCCGAGACTGGCGGCTCGGCCCAGAAGAAGAAGGCCAGCAAGCTGGACATGCACCACGTCGCCGACGACCTGCAGAAGCAGTTCGACACGGGCATGCGCATGAAATTCGAGGGCGGCGGTCAGAGACGGGGACTCGGCGCATAGGAGCAGACTCCTCCCCGGTATTCGTTTGGCTGTACAATCATATGACTTATGGCGCTTGTGCTTCTTTAGGCCTTTTGTATGCGCGCTCTCTGGATCGGTCAGGGAAAAAAAAGAATAGCATTCATAGAGATACCAAATCAACAAGTGCTTTATCGCGAGAAAAAACTAGAAAACCAACTCAGATGTGACATGGCGAGGTTTTGCCATGTTGACCCCGTCGTGGAGAAATACAGACACCTCTCATGGTATCCGCTTCCTCTGAAAGATGCCATGTCATCAGCCGCCCTGGTGCTGCCGTCAAGAGGATGCCGCTGCGCTTATCCTCGCTCTGGGCGCCATTCATGCGGACCAACTCTGCGCACCCCGAGTCTCTCGTACATGTCGTCGGAGAGACGCTGTATCGATACATCAGGGACCTGCCCGAGATCCCCAGATCCCACAACTTCCCGGTCCCTCTTCCACTTTTGCTTTTTGTTTGTTCAACCTCTCTTTTCAACGGAATCAAGCTCCCGAAATGCGTCTACCGGCCGCCGAGGAACAGGCGAGAGAAGACCTCGAAGACCAGACCGCCAAAGACGATGAAGCCGAGTACACCTGCGCAAATCGGGCGAGCCCTCGGTCAGCAGAGGATAAAGACGACCACAGGGATCCTCGGAAGAGAGGGTGGGTGGGATTCACATACCGAGCCACATGGGCGAGATGGGCGACTTGGCCACATCCTTGGTCCGCTTCTTGATCTCGGTCTCGGACTTGCCACGGCGCGCCTCCTGCTCCTTGACGAACTTGGCGTTGCGCCTTCGCTGCTCGGGGGTCTGGGCCATTGTGTAGTGAAGAGGAGAAGGTTGGGAAGGAGGCTTCAGGGGAGATGTTGTTCTCTTGTGTGCGAGGACGAGGACGAGAGAGAGAGAGAGAGAGCAGGGAGCTCGTGTGGGGAACTGATGTAGCAGGTATGGCTGGCGACTGTTGCTTAAGTATATGACCGAGTTGAAGATGGGCGGTCAATATGTGTCCTCAGAAACGGCGAGAAGCAAACCGGGCGATGGAGTATGACTCTTCTTTTTCGTCGGGAATAGTTGTCCAAGAGAGTTCTCTTGAATTGGGAATTGGAAAAGGATGGCTGCACCGATGTTCGCCAGTCGTGTGGGGATTTTAGGGACAGATTTCAAGGGATTGGGAAAGCTTCCCTTGCTCTGCGCTGTGGACATGTGGTCGTTCGCGCGTTGTCGCGCACCGCTGCCGCCCTCCGCCATGTGGTTGCTGCTTCGCTAAGGTACCTCTAATTAGTGTTTAACCGTTTGGAATTTAGCGTGCAATAATATGGTACAGGTGCTCTCGGGCCTAAGGTACCTAGGTAGCTGGCGCGCCTAGCGCGAAAGCAGTTCTCGGCGGCCAATGATCCACACGACCAACATCGAATCCGTGGAATTGATTGATGGATGGGTGAGTACTGACAAAAGATTCATCAGCATCGCACGTCGCAGCTTCAAAACATCCTTGTGGGATCTTATATAGACTCACTCCCGAATATGAGATCTCACACAGCCCTGCGCGCGGCGCTAACGAGGCAACCGGCGCGCATACTCCTGCCAGTACGCTCCGCCCTCGGCACATCACAACGTCGCCTCGCCTCATCTGGACCCAAGCAGACAGCATCTTCATCGTCATCAAAACCGACCTCGAACTATGTAAGTCGCTGCCACACTCACTCCGCACAGGACCAGAACCGCAGTATATACGCACCTATGACATCAAACAAGGCTGACAAACACCTACAGGCCGCCTTCTACAGGACTTTCACCCGGCCCCTGGCCAAGACCATGCTCCTCGCCGTCTTCACTTACCAGCTGGTCTACTGGGCGTGGGTCAAGCTCGAGACCGATGAGATCAAGGCAGAGAAGACTGGTGCGTAATCGTAGCTAATTCACGTCCATCTCCAACCTGCTAATCCCATACCTAGCCGAGATTGCTGGTCTAGAAGCCCAGGTCAAGTCTTTGCAAGAGAACCAGAAGTCAAAGTAGTCTGTCTGCAGGTCAAAGGTCGGATACGTGCCCAGTGTGAAGGGAATCCCGTGATTGAAGGCCGTCGAATAGTTTGTACGATGCAAATCTATAAAGTCTGTAGAATAGCTAGCTTCCCTTTTGGCTCCAAGTCATACATTGATACCCAATTCATCTTGATAGGAAAAGAACAACAACTAGTATCTTCATTGTGAACGAGATCACGGCTGTAGAAGACATGTGCCAACACCAGAACGCCAGACGAAACGAAATAAACACAGAAAGATCGAGGGCCCCAATATACAATGCGCCTCGCCTCAGTCATCAGGGAAGGCATGATCTTCAGAATGCTCGTATATGCTCTAGAGCAAGGCCAGAGCTACCACACCGCTCATACCGAAGAACAGACCCCACGGCATCGAGGTGCGTCTGGCATCTGAGATGAAGTGTGCCGCACCAGGGTAATTGCAGGTGACATCGCCATCGCGGTCCAGCTCGTTGTCTCGCCGCCCGTAGCTCGTATTGAACCCGGGGCTCCCCGGCATGGGGCACGAGAACCCCATTGAGGCCGGACAGCTCTGCACGAGATTGTAGCAGAGGTCGTCGCAGGGGAGGACCTCCTTGTACGGGCCCGGCGCCACACCTGCGTCGATGGCCGGGTTGCGCGAATTGTTATACGCCGCTTGGTCTTTGAAATTGGCGTACGGTTGCACGGCTGCAGCATCCAGCTGGGTGCCGTCCGGGAAGGGCTGGCCCATAGCGCGGGGCTGCAGCCACGGGTGGTTGACCGAGAAGTCCTCGCAGCGCGGGATCGTCACCGAGCAAAGCCAGTTCTTGTAGGCAACGTCGCAGTCCGTGCAGTTGCGCGCCAGCGAGTAGCGTTCCGTGGACGGTGCTTCACAGGGTATCTGGGCCAGCACTTTCTTGAAGTTGTCGTACGCCGAGCTCGCCAGGTTGTCGTAGAATTGCGCCAGGTTAGTGACATTGGTAAATTTGCTGGGGTTGCTGGGCACCGCATAGGCCGTCTGGTTGCAGAAGGTCAGGTTGAATATAATTTCGCAATTACCGCCCACTGGTTTTTGAAAAGTACACTGTCAGTCGGCCTTGCCTCGAAGGTGTGAGGGCTGAGAACGGAAGAACCTACCAGACTTTGTGTTGAACTGGGTCGCCCTGGACACAATGTGACCGCCGCCGCCGATGATACCACTGCCAGCTGTGCCATTCGTGCCACTCTTGGCCAAGATACCTTGATAATTGGAGCTGGAATTCAACCCCATAAAATAGAACTCTTGCTTGGGCAGGTTGCCCTGGCCTCGCTTGGTCATACCGGTCAAGACCATGTTGGTGAACTTGCCGTTCTTGGTTGCCGCAATCTGCGCATAGTTCTGCAGACCGCAGTACGAGAAGCGCACACCGTTGATAGACTTGTCCTTGTCGTTCTGCGCAAACATCACATACGGTTGCTTGCTCATCAGCTCATCGCTGACGGCCGGGTCGGTGCTCTGCGTCAGGTTGTGAGTGATGAGCAAGGCCGCAGAGGCATCACTATCGACCCAGATGAGATCAGAGGCGATATCGTTGTTGTAGCTGTGGTACCAGCTGTCGATCGATACTGCCAGCTCAAAGTTCCAAATGCCCGTAAAGTCCATCGAAATATTGGGTGCAGAGATGCCAATGAAGATGTCATCAGATGCAGTCATGTTCAACATGACTGCTCCTTCTTGAAACACCTGGAATGTCTGTTGCGAAGGGTCCGCCTTGGGTCCGGGTGACTGGTTCTTGGACGTGTTTGACACGTACATGGTCAGCTGCGGAGGGTCCATGGCTGTCTTGTCGGGCTTGAGTTGCGGCTGCATGCAGGTATTTGCAGATATGAACACAGTCTTGGACGACTGCCTCGGCAATAACGAGGCACGCTCGTCGTCCAACTCTCCATCTTGTCCAGTCTCTCGCTCACTGCCCAGCTCATCTCGAAGTTCGATACGGGACGCCGGGGCTTCTCTCCTTCCAAACATCTGAATCTTCTCGAAAACGTACACCTGCGTAGTACTCGGGTCCAGATTCAGCTGTTGCGGGACGTTATTCGCGAGGCCCGTCACGCCTGCCGGCGCCCTTCCCACAATCCCTCTATCGAACAGGCCAAAGTAAGGTTCGTATGCCACCGCACGACGCCTGAATGCCTCTGCAGCGTCGTTCTCTCCCCCTTCCTCTACTGCGACTTTCTCTTGATCATCACGGTCTTGTAGAATCGTAACGTCGTCTAGTATGGGAAGATGCGTCGCTGGGGTCGCAACACCGTTGTCGAGCTCTGCGGCGAGGGCGAAATGCGGCGACGATAGGGTCAGGTAGAGAAGAACGAGAAGACAGGATGCGGCTACCGTCGCAACCAGTCGCGACTGCAACGGGCTGAGCTGCATTGCTGCGAATGCATGCCACTCCTGGCTGGGTGATCGTGTCTGTGTCGTCGTTCAATGACCCTGTCTCTGGGGTAGGAGGCCGCCGGGGCCAATCAGAGAGAAGGGGTCCTCGTCGTCGGAGACTGTATGCGCGATACGGCACTATCGGCGCATGACGTACGCGGTGGTGATGTTTGTAGTAGATATCAATTTGCTCTGTTCGTGGCCTACACACATAGATGGAAGCCTGTAAGAGAGACAATGTTGCAGTTGATGGGCGGGCGACCATGTCATCGCCTCTGATCAGTTTCACAGCGATTGGAGACACAACCAGGGGTCATCAATGCATGTGCCTGTGTGTGGGCGGGAAGCACTGGGAGTCAGCATCCATGTCCCACCTTCCACTTTAGTGTGTACAGAAACCCCCACTAATATGGCTGGGTGTACTGCGCGAGATGTAGCTCTACCTCGCCAGCTCGTCAATATACGGATGGGCCAATCCAGCAAACGAAAGCCTCCCCTCCCCAGATCGCGCTGCTTCGTTGTACGCAGCGTTCTTGCATGAGGCGTTTCCCCTACTACAAATAGGATGCTCTACGTGCAAGTGCCGACCTTCACCTTTCTTTGGAGAATATTCGCATCCTCTGAACACAGACAGGGACAACGACTGGGGGTCCATCATCACGTAATCTCCGAGGAGAGCTTTAGGGTTCGTCATTGAGTCTATTACACCTTGCATTCCATTCCAGTGACCTACGAACAAAGCCCGTCCTCATAAACCAAGACCCAACCGCCCAAGATCGTGCCCCCTGTTCCAGCCGGACCGCCCGGAGCCGATCCGTCCCACTAACCCTCCGTAAAAGTCATTCATTCCGTTTTGTCGGCGCGTAGAAGCGTGCCTAGTTGATGATGGCGTCCAGCACCGCATTCGTATTGCGTGGTAATTGATCTCGTACGAACCAGTGCGTTGGATATCCTTGAGAAGCCGTGATGGTTTGTACCTAGGCTGCCATGTTGCCCCTCGCAGGAGCCACGCGCTCCATCGGAAGAAGGGCTGCAGCCTGATGTGCAATTTACTCGGCCTTGCCGGCAGTGTCAACCTTACCGCGCAGGCCGGCGGCGGTCGAGCCGGAGTGCGAGAAGTATCGGCCGAACATGGGGACCATGAAAGATCGGAAGATGACATCGGCGCCCCTAACGACAGGTCAACGCGTGCTGAAGATACAGCAGGGGGACAAGGGTCATACCGGAAGACGGGCAGAGACAGCCACAGAAGGAAGACAAACTTGAAGGTGAAGTAGAAGGGGAACCAGTAGACGACATTGACGAAGCTCTCGACGACGCTGCATCCCGGCGTTAATAGTTGAGCGCACAGCTGGTATTCCGGCTAAAAGAATAGCACTTACGTGAAGAAAGCAAAGACAACCCAGTACTGGATCAGAGTCAGTTAGCGACAGGCGGCGCATGCTTGATTTGGCAGAAACCTACCGTAAGCCACTGAGTATCGTCCTTGGTGGTCGTGGTGAACAGAGCCTCCATAGAGTAGTACCCGGGAATGGCGAAGCCGGCCAGGTTGGTGAGGAGCTGGCCACCGAGGTTGAAGATGATGAGGAAGAAGTAAAAGACGACCAAGCCGATGACAGCATAGGCCTTGGGCACTGAGGTGGTCCGCTCCAGGTTGTTCAGAGCGGGGTACTTGGAAAGCTGTGATACAAGAAGCAATAGATGTTAGCAAATCGCCGGGCCTGCGATATGAGATTGACCGCGGTCGCATGACGACTGACCTCGGCGTCGAGCTGTCCAATGTAGTGCTGGACGCGGTCCTGAGGAGAAGACATGCTGGGCGTTTGGCGGTGCTTGCGTTGGTGTTGTGTGTGGGTGTGGGTGGTAAACTGTGCGTAACAGATATGTCGACTTGCGAAAAAAGAGCTCTACGAAGCTGCTAGGGTTAGAATTCCGGTCAAGATGGAGTTGGCGATGCACTGATGCTGGGCAGGCGTACCGGTAGGTCTGGTAGGAATGTATCTGACTTTATATGATGGGCGACAGAATGGGTTTGCGAAGGATGTTTTAGATGAGAGAATCAAAAAGCAGGACAGGTGACGAGGTCAAGAGGTAATGACGACTGTGGTCCAGCGTGTCCACTTTGGCGAAGACAAGGCCAGCGAGCTTGGACTTGGACCTGACTTGGTGCGTGCGGCGCTGTACGGGCATGTGCTTATCCGTTCAAGTGCGAAGGTACGGAGTAGGTACTTCGTACATTGATAATTGGTGCGTCGGTCTACCCTCACCTTATCCCTAAAAGGGGGGGATAAGAAGGGCTTCTAAACCTGTGACGTGGGTGAAGCAGGGGTGGTTTGTGCCGGGTGCGGTGGAGCCGGACTTTGGAAAGCTCGCAACGAAGCTAAAAACATGCCCACCACCATCATCATCCTTCCCCTCTGCTGCTTTCCTTGTCGCGGCATCTGACTGCTTTATCTACAGTATCTACTACCTACTTCTAGGGAGGCTCGTTTGCAGCAATCGCCCGAAACTGCAGCCCAAGCCGCCTGGCGAGGTTAGCCAGCCCTCGAGATGTGCGTAGAGGACAGCAGATAACTAAAGTAGGTACTCGACCAATGCGCCTGGCTTTGTTTTGGCCCATTATCATATGTACGGACTTGGCTGCAAAATAACGTTTTCGGGATAATCGGCGACTCGTCCTGGGTGGAGGTATCAAGTACAAGTGCGAAACCTTATGGCAGAAGGCTGAGTAGGACCAAGCACAGATAAGGTTGGCGACTAGGTGCAGCACTCAGCTCGGTTTGGCTGCCCTTTGGCACGACCATGAATAAGTAATAACATCAGGTTGTAGTACCTACTTGGGATAAGAAGGAGGACAAAATCCAGAGGGAGAGCAGACACAACACCATATTATTATTAAGGTAGGTACTTGGGTATGTAGGCAGTTCGAAAGATCACAAGTAAGCTGCCAGAATGTGGGGTGGATGGATGCTTGCACATCAGAGCTTGTTGTCGATATTTGTTGTTGTTGACCGAGACTGGATCTGTCATTTTAGCAAGGCCATGCCTACGGGCGGGCTAAGGAGAGATGGCTTGGATGGGACTCTATCAGCGAGGGAGCTCGGCTACTCGAACTCGAGCATCATCTCCAAAGCTCATACTTGCTTTTAGCCACCTGTAAGGAACAAATGCCATGAACTGCCAGGCAGGTGAGAAAACACAATAATAACCAAGACCAAAACAATGAACAGCCACCTGCAGCCATCAGAGGTTGGAGGGGCTGGTGGTGGTGCTGCATGGCATACTTCGTACTTGTAGAGCAGGGCACAGTGGCATCCATCAATATCCCATGGCCTGATCCTGACTGGCTGGCGCTGTCTCCAGTGGCTCCGGCGGCTCGATTGGGTCAAAGTCTCACTGGGGCCCCACCGAAATCTCATTGAGCCAGTCCATTCCCGCTTTCCAGCCCTCCGAGTAATTCAAGCGGTCCCCTTGGTGACAGACGATCTTCGATCTGGATCAAAACAAATCGACTCTGCCTCCAAACAATCCCGACCTTACATCTGCGCTCTCGCCCGCAAATACCCCCCCCTTCCGAGCTAAACCCTCGTCGACCATTGCAGGCTTGTGCATGCTGCTTTGATTCTGTGCTCTTCTTTTTTCTATCCTATTTAATTCCTTCTCTGCGGCCCTATCCGTCCGGTTTGCACCGTTGTGCGGTCCAGGACGTTGCGCGCGCTGACCCATTTTGCGAAAAACAGGCCCCATGCTTCTGTTTTGACGCCGGTGCAAAAACCCGCAGGGTCCCAAAACAACCACAGTCAACAAGACCCTTCAACCATGGATTCGACAGGTAAGGCTCTGCGCTTCATCGCTTCTCCTTTTCCAATACCCTGGCGACTTTATTCCGACAGGAACTAGTCACTTCAGTCTTGTGTATCTTTGTTTATCTTGTCGCCGCTTTGACTGACTGATCGCAATCGACGACAGACCCGCAGGCAATGTCTGCAGCTTCCCGGCCTATCAAGGCGAGGAAAAGGCCTCAGTCCAGAGCCTCGACAAGTTCTATTCACAGCATCACAACACAGCCGAATCTTGAACAGGCCTTTGACGCCCAGGATGTTTACTCTGCCCAATGGCTCGCCAACGCTCCCGGTCAGCATGTGCCCGCCAATCAACAGATGACCCCCGAGGACATGATTCTTCATGCTGCTTCTCATCTGCAGACATCCAGGGAGTTTTCCATGGACTCAACAATGACGCATTCCGCTTCCTTCCACCAGCATCCGGGCCTCAGCCGCCAATTGTCAACCGACAACTATAGTGCCAACAACAGCTTTGCCGACGACAGTCAGATGCTGGACCGGGAGATGAATGAGGATGGTGATTCGATCGCTGGCGGCCCCGTCGCGGCCAAGCCTTCAAGATCAAGTGCCAACAATGAATTGGAAATGCGCCAACTGTTCTCGTCGAATAAGCACCGAAGCTTAGGCGACGTTGCTGAAGAGCTTCACGGAAATGAGCGAGGCCCCAACTCGGAACGCACCCGCCAAGTTTTTGCTATGCTCTGGTAAGTGCTGACCTACGCAGTATGGCCACCCGGGTTTCCAGAGGTCTGACCGCTCGTTGCATTATAGGATCAACCAGGTTTGCTCAAAGGGCAAAGGCTCCGTCCCCCGAGGCAGAGTCTATGCAAACTATGCATCAAGGTGTGCCACAGAACGTATCACCGTTCTCAACCCAGCCAGCTTCGGCAAGCTTGTGCGAGTTCTGTTCCCGGGGCTCAAGACCAGGCGGCTAGGCGTTCGCGGCGAATCTAAATATCATTATGTCAATTTCTCCCTGATGGAGGAACAGCCGGATGTGAGGGAAGCGCCGGCTCATCCCCAAGTGCCCTTGACAGAGAGCACTAGCTTTTCGCAAAGCTTCAAGTGAGTAACCATCGTCGCCGTTTTCCTCGGCTTCTTTCTGACAGAACCTACCTAGTACGCTACCCAACGCGTCAACCAGGCGGCCGGAGAAGGACTCCTTTTCTGCTCCCAGCAACGGACAAGCGGCTGAAGACCCTGCCGCTCGTTTGGGCGAGATTACTTATAGCCTGTACAACCAGCCAGACGTTGCCACTGTCGACCAGTTGAACTCGACAACCACGAAGACGACACAACAGCTGCGCTTCGCCCCAGACTCGGAGGAGCCGTTCCAGCAATCGGATCCTCTCCTCCTTCCCGGCATCGAGCCTTTCCTTCCCAGTGGTACCGACCCAGATGCGGCCAAGTCGCTGACCGCGCTCTATCGCTCTCATTGCACCTCGCTCGTCGAGTGCATTCGGTACTGCAAGGAGAAGACTTTCTTCCACCTTTTCACATCGTTCCAGGGGACTCTCACCATGCCTGTTCAGAAGTTGTTTGCCAACCCTGCTGTCGCGCCTTGGATTGAGGAGTGTGATTTTGTGCTTTACCAGCGCATGATGCGCATTCTGTCGGGCCTGACGCTCCAGGTGGTGCCTAAGCCTGTCCTTGATACCCTGCGCAATGTTTCCGAGAGACTCGTCCCACACATCCGAGAGTCGTTCCAGGGTCAGCCTCTCCACGTCGTTCGTGCCAAAGAGGCTCCCGCCACCATCTTCGCAAGCCTGCTTGACCGCACTCTGCGTGTGAATCTGACAGCACATGCGGCAGCAAACATGCTCTCCAACCCGGCTAATCGAGATCAGATGTATCTCGACTTTATTCGCATGGTTCGTGTGCGCAAAGTGGCCGAGTGCGTGCCGTCTCGCGCCATGGATGACGTCGTCAACCTACTCCTCACGGAGCTGCGTGATCTTTTGGACCCAGTCAATGTTCCTTGGGAGATCGAATGCCTCACTCTCCACGGCGACATGGCTATGCGGAATGGCAGGCAGTCGCAACCAGACCTGCCATCTGATCCCAGCGCAGCGAATGTGCTTGATCGATGGGTCAACTTCTTGCACTCTCTGCCGGGCCGTTTCCCGTACGCCTCTCATTCAGACATTGTGTGGGTTGTGCAACGGGTAGGAACCCATATCATGCGGGATCTCACCATCGCCCAAGGTAAGAGCTTCGGGTCCTGGTGGGTGACCAAGTGCTGGGTCGACGAGATGATTTCGTTCCTGGCAGAGCAAGGTGGCTTTATCACGCAAAAGGCGACGCAAGCGGCCCTCGACATCGCCAAGAAACAGACGTCTAGCAAAGAGATCAGCCAGCAAGGATCGAGATACAGCAGTGGCAGCGACGACTTCAACATGAACAACGTCTCACAATCGCAGCCGGACCGGGCGCCATTTCCATCGGCACCGGTCCCAAACAACCAGGACGTGTTGGGAATGAACTCGGCTAGCCACGACGACAGCGGGATTGGCATACGTACGCCCGAGGAAGATTTTCCTATGGACAAGTTTGCCTTCTCGTCGGCAGAGGCGCAGGATCTCATGGTGGACGCGGATCTGCACCACGAGGTCGCGGCGATGTGATGGGGTTCCCGACGTTTCCGTCCTTTTCGTTTTGGCGGGAGACTCGTGTTTTATTAGATCTGGTGTTGGCGAGCTATACCTTCTTGTATTCATGATTGGATGAAGCGATGAAGATACGACAAGGGATACCTTTCTGTATCTAGGTTCTGGGTGGGCTTTTCCTACTGGTGTTCTGTGTTGCGCCCTCTGATCTCGGGCTATCAAAAGGGGGGTCTCGGTAGGGTGTTCTTGGGAGGTATATCGGAAGGACGTGCACCTTTATCATGTCTTCTATCGTGTCGATGTCCAGTGTCTTGGCGCTCTGTTGTGCTTTAACGCGCGCGTGTGGTTCTGTATGAAGCCGGAGCTCGGTCCATGAACATAGCTGGCCAGCAGCATCGCGACCTGGAGTCTTGGAGATGATCCGTACACTGCGTATGGATCCATCCAAGCCTCGGAAGCGACGGGGAAGGGAGCAGTAATAATTGAATCTTCTTGATGATGCACCACGCGCTTATAATGCACTCACCGTGCTAACGTTAATGGACACGGGCTCGGGTTCGCTCTGTAGACGACCCCGAAATGCACGACTTACGTGGTGAGACTCTCATCAACTCGCCATTGAAACACAGCTGGGAGAACAGCTTGGCTCAATACTCTGCTTGATACTCTGCTCTGCTGGGCAAAAAAAGTTGACACTTGCTCTTATATCCATCCAGAACGGGAAAATGAGCTGGAATGTTCTGCGCCTAATTAACACCAATTACTACCTAGACCTTACCACGGCTACCATTTTAGCGGATCACGGGAGCTAGTTAACGACGCCAGCATGAGTTAAGGCTGTTTGCACATGTCAGCATGTGAAAGCGCCCCAGCAACGTGAACAGAGCGGGGGAGTGAGAGATGTTTCTGAAGCTTCTGTTGATTTGTTCGGGCCTCAATCACTCTTCCCGTCTATTCATCTCTTTGTTATTCGTCAATGAATATTATTTCCCTTGTCAGTGATTGGCATCATTCGCAACTCGCCTAGCCCTGGAAGAACTCTGACGTGGGATACTAGCTAACAAGGCCGGGTCCGTATGGATGCTGACTTGCGCGCAGGTTGGCTCCATATTTAGACCGGGACCCCGATCCAACCACCGGGTCTGACCACAAGATTCCACGAGGTCCCTCCTCCATCTCTCAACGGCGGTAACACATAATACTCGTATATATCCTCTCCCCGCTTCCTGGACTACTTTTCTTGTTCGACGTTTCATTTATACTTTTGTCCTTTTACCTCCCTCCGTCTCCTTGCCTCTTCACAAACCGTCATTCGAGAGCAAGCCCGCCTCTTCTCCAACACCTGAACTGCCCTGGCTCAACGCCGTTAGCCACAACCATGGTCAAGGAAGTCGAAGGGACGTACAAGGTCGAAGGTCTCGACCTTTACACCAAGAGCTGGCTGGTAAGTTTATATCGCGTTTTTGCCTTGAGGCGGTTTCAAATCACCGTCATGCGAGCCGCGAGTAAGGCTAGCAGAGCTAACACTCGCACCACAACAGCCTGACAGCGACCCTGTCGCAAAGCTCCTCATTGTCCATGGCTTCAGTGACCACAGTGGGAACTACCATGAAATGGCCGTCTGGCTTGCCGAGCGTGGCATCGCCGTCCACTCCTTTGACCAGCGCGGATGGGGTCGCAACGTCAAGCGCTCCGCTGACCGCGGGCTCTGCGGCGGCACCGACAAGGTGATGGGCGAGATCGCCGGCTTCATCCGCTCGCACCTGCCCGCGGCGCCCAACTGCCCCGTCTTCGTCATGGGCCACTCCATGGGCGGCGGCAACGTGGCCTGGCTGTGCACCGACCCGGCCCTCGAGGAGGACGTCCTCAAGCAGGTGCGCGGCTTCATGCTCAACGCGCCCTTCATCGACTTCCCGCCCGAGACGAGGCCGGGCACCGTCAAGGTCGTGCTGGGCAGGCTGGCGGCCCGCCTGCTGCCGCACCAGCACCTCAAGCACATCATCCCGCTCGAGATGATGACGCACGACGCGCAGCGGGTCCAGCAGTTCCGGGACGACAAGCTCTGCCACGACACGGGCACGCTCGAGAGCATGGCCGCCCTGCTCGACCGGCACCTCATCCTGGCGCCGGGCAAGGTCCTCGTCCGGCCGGGCGTCCGCAGCCTGTGGCTCGGCCACGGCACCGAGGACGTCGGCGCCGACTACGGCGCCGCCAAGAGGTGGTTCGAGATGCAGACCGCGGTGCAGGACAAGACGTTCAAGACGTACGAGGGGTGGTACCACGTGCTGCACTGCGAGGTCGGCAAGGAGGAGTTCTTTGCCGACGTGCGGGACTGGATCCTGGCGCGGTGCGGGGATGGTGCGGCCGCCGCCGCCCAGAGCGAGGCCGTGCGGAAGGAGGAAGAGGGCAAGCCGGTCGAGGTGGTGGAGAGTGCGGAGGCCAAGAAGGTCCTCGCGGAAGAGGCCAAGGAGGAGGCCGATGCTGTCAAGGACGCCGAGGTCGTTGGCAAGGCCGACAGTGCTGCTTCCGGGTCGAAGCTGTAATGGATGAGGTCGGATATCGGAAGGCGCACAATGACTGTAAGTGGTCTTGTTTCTGATTGAGAGAGGGGGACTTGTGCTTTGGCAGTAATTGAGTTTGCATTGTAAACAAACTGGTGGTGTATGATAGAGCTTTGTTAGGATGCGAGTTGTGATTATATTGAATTGCAAACATTAGGTCCTTAATCATTATGCTAATTCGTAATACGTGCTATCTCGACGCCCAGATTTCTTTTATGTCCCGATTGTAGTCATCCAAGGTATCTGTATTTGAACATGAAGTCTGTTGATTTTCAACAGAACCACATAGCAAGCTTTTGAGAGCCAAAATTCGATCCCATTTGGTTGTGAACCTTGATGACTTGCAACGGTTTGTCCGACGGAGAATCCCTGTGGCTGAATCCCATCTGCTGGTTCCTGGTTGGCGATTCGAGGAGCCTCTTAGGCTGCAACAGGGGCCCCGCGTTTGACTGCTGTGGAACTGGCCTGCTAAGATCCCGGCAATGCCCGAGTTTCAGGCCCCTTGCCGGGCCTATAAACACCCCAACATCCCCAGACCCCCATATCCATCCACGGATGTTTCGACAAACTTGCAAATGTTCATCAAGAGCACCTCCTGCTTGCCTTCTGAGCCATTTGAAAGCGAAGCTCTGTCCACTTACACATCTTGCAGCGATGTTCTCACTCGAGAAGATGCGGCCTTTTCAAGCATCCGACTTCGGTCTAGCTCCTGTACGCCAGACAGACCCTTCTGTCCAATCATGACACTGCCAATGGCCACGGATAAGCTAAGCGGGGGTGACGGACAGCCCTCGCTGTAGGTATTCGGTCCATCCTCAAAAGTTGTGCTGTGAATTGGGCCTTAGCTGAAAGAGAGGCAATCATGTCTTTGAAGCCTCCTCTTCTCTGCCCACTTTTCGAAAAGCTTAGCGCAGTTGCTTAGCTCTTCACCGCCGGCCGTCATAAAGAGTTGCAAGTGCTTTCCCTTGGCTCACCACGACATCACAGGGCGCAGCAGGGTCGAGCGACATTGTGAATCAAGTGAATTCACTCCCATTTTTCATCCCTTAAATATACGTACACAAGCCATCATCTGGAAGTCTCCTGCTTGTCCCTTTTCCCTTTGGTACACAGGACGGCACAAGCGCAGAGCCGCATCTCTTGGTCACCCTCACCATCGGCGCTCAGCACAACCTCAGCTCAGCTTCGGACTTTCAAAGCTATCACGACCGGCGATAGCCTGCCTTAGCTGGTACACACTCCGACTTGATCTTGAGGTGCTGGCCTGTGGACAGGCCCGGCGAATAGCTATGAACCCTCCCGACCTCTCCTCGAGCATCACGATGCATCCGCATCCCTTCCGCATTGAGTCAGCCCCTCCCTCTCGGTCTTCCAACCACACGCCAGTCTCGGCCCATCGTCACGCTACGCTCAACGCCTCTAGTACCGGTGTTGAGACGACAGACCATGAGACGAGCGATGCCGTCGAGCGACACCCGTCTGCTGTTAGCGACGTTGAGAGCCAAGTGACTGCGGGAGCTGGAGCTAGCGTGGGTGGTCGCCTGCCCAGGTATAACCCCGAGAACGATCCCTACGGCCTCTCCAGCGCGTACAAGACGGAGAAGGATCTGGAGCGCATCAAGGCAAACACATCGAGAAAACGGCAGGACCGGACCGGGCCTGGGTCTGACCGCAAGAAGCGGACGGGAGGTGTCCTCGCAGGCTGTGTCCCATCAGCCGGCCGGTCAGCCATACAGGCAAAACGCGTTCAGACGTTTTATCGCAAGCAGAACGATGCCATTGAACGCCTGCTGAAGTCGGTTGAAGAGCACGTGGCCGAGGCTAAGCAGGAGCAGGGCGAGGATCTCCTGAAGTACCGTATCGCTGTTTGGGGCTCGTTCATCGCCAACATCATCCTTGCTGCGCTGCAGGTCTACGGCGCCGTCGCATCCGGCTCGTTGTCGCTCTTCACTACGATGGCCGACTCCATATTCGACCCTCTCAGCAACTTGACGCTCATCTTGTCGTCACGCGCCGTCCGCCGCGTCGATGCATCGCGGTTCCCCAGCGGCAAGGCACGGCTCGAGACAGTGGGAAACATTGTCTTCTGCTTCCTCATGATCTCTGTCTCGCTCATCCTCATCGCCTTCTCGTGCCAGGACCTCACGCAGCGCGCCAAGGAAGGTGGCGTCAACGACTTCCACCTGCCGTCCGTCATCGCCGTCGTCGTCGCCTTCAGCACCAAGCTTGCGCTCTTCCTGTACACATGGGCTCTCAAGGACAAGTACAGCCAGATCTTCATTCTCTGGCAGGACCACCGCAACGACTTGCTGATCAATGGCTTCGGTATCCTCACCTCTGTGGGCGGTGCCAAGCTGGTCTGGTGGATCGACCCCATGGGCGCCATCATCCTGTCGGTCATCGTGTCGGGCATCTGGCTGCGCACGGCGTTTGCCGAGTTCATGCTGCTTGTGGGCGTGGTGGCCAACGTCGAGACGCAGCAGCTGATCACGTACGTGTGCGTGACGCACTCGGACATGATCCGGCAGATCGACACGGTGCGCGTCTACCACTCGGGCCCCCGCCTGATCGCCGAGGTGGACGTGGTCATGGACCCGTCGGCCTCGCTCATGGCGACGCACGACGTGGCCGAGGAGCTGCAGTTCAAGCTCGAGAGCCTGCCCGACGTGGAGCGGGCATACGTGCACGTCGACTACGAGACCACGCACAAGCCGGAGCATGCGCTGAAGAAGGACCTATGATCCTCGGCTGTTTTTTGCTTTTCTACTCTTTCCATTGGAAGGCGCATCATTCCTTCGGGGGTTGCATAGGTTGTATTGGGAGCGTCATACTGCATGTGGCTGGCTGGCTGGGATTTCTTCGAAGACTTGGCCAATTCTTTGAAATGTCAATACAGAGATCATTCATCAATCATCAATCATCATTGTGAGGTTTCTTTGTGATGCAAATGAGGGGGTATGCATACGATAGATTACCTAATAATTCGCATGACGATATGGTCCATAGAAGAAGCCTTGGGAAAACAGATCTAGTGCATGCCATAGGCAAAGGTTGCGGGACTTGACAGCAGTCGATCGTCCAGCATCATTGATTGCAGAACCAGATAAACTTGGCCTGCGCCGCGCGCATGTCACAACTGCCCCTCCCCCAGCCATCTCCCCGCAGGAATCGGCTAATGCAAGCATTCTTGTGACCTCGACATCGGGAGGGCTATTGGCGACAAAAGCCTGCTCCGTAAAGGAAAAAAAGACCCTGCAGGAGGGGGAGGGTGGAGGCAAAGCGGCTGGCGACGATCTTGGACGGGAGCAAGAGGTTATGCTCATGTGACGGGCCTACGATCGTCATGGGTTTCTGGGTGGCAGGTCGCGGTAGTGCGGCGGTCAAGACAAGTTTTCGGGTATCCCGTCAACCCTGCTTTTGAAGTCCGAGGGCCATCTGGATGGGGGGTTTTGCAGGGTAGTCTGCACTGCAGGATATTCCAGCTCAGAGAGTTCCCGAGAAGGTGTACCCAAGGGAGTAGTAAAGGCCCTTCGCGACTTATTATATCGGGACTGATCAACATGGCAGAGCTTCTGGACTCTGTGTGATGCAATCGCCGGCCCGGGCTATTTTGGCGGGGTAGGTCATTCTGCATTCTCACTGGTAGGGAGGTTGGAAGTCAAACTTGCATAAGAGGACAAACGGCTTTTTTTTTTTTTAAGGTGGATTGAGTTAGACCGGAGATGCATGCAGTTCGGTTCTTGGGGGTGTGTGCCCACGCGATACCGACTTTACATTGCGCCTTGCTGGTGACTGGATCATCTTGTTGCTCATCGACTTGACAGTGGCCCGAGAACCCGCATGGCAGATAAGATAGGTTGATTGGCTGATTGGGGGGAAATGCCATACTTATCTGCATGTTACAAAGTGAACAGTCACTCGTATCCAACCTTGCTCGGGCAGAAGTCCTCGGCAAGGGGAAACCGACGACCCCTGCGCTCGAGATAGGGTTTTCTTTGACATGTTGAGCTCGCTGCGCGTTTTGTTTGTCACCGGAGGAAATTAAAAACAGCACACCGGGCTGCCGCGCCGAGAACGAACGGGCAACACTGGCGGGAAGGGGAATCTCTCGCTACTTTGTGACATAACTATGCGCCCACTGCTCGGGTGGGACCACCTTTGCTGCAGGACTGCAGCCGTTGATAGAGTGTAGACGGATAGACCGGGGCTCTCATTGGGCAATTGCACGGGTTCGTGTTGCACGACACTTGTCCGGGGAGGATGGATGGCCTGGAGAGACATACCTAGGTAGGTAGAGAGCTCGGGGGACGGGAGATGGGAGACGAGAGTCGTTGAGACAAGATGATGGATATCCATCCGTCTGTCAACGCGAGCAGGCCATTTAGCCTGCCTGCCTGCCTGCCTGCCTGCCTGATCGACCCGCGTTTACCTCTGCTGCAACCAAGTGCACCAATATGCGCGTGTCCCTCTGTGGCTTGTTTCTGGACCCTGAGCCCTTTGCAAGTCAAGAAGTCAAGAAGCTTGTCAATCCTCGCGTCGACACTAGTCTGCCCACGAGGCCGCATCTTGACGCTCTTGTTCGCCCAACTGGCGATCAGGTTCAACTGTTTCCGGTAATTTCCCAGGGCTCGATGATCTGATGGCGTGAACCTTGGGGAGCCGTCGCTTGGCCTCGTTTCTCTGGCGGGCCCCCCCTGTCTCGTTGCTAGTGTCTTGCTTCCTCATGGGTTCCGTTATTATCGTTGAGGGCGACCTCCAGCGACTTGTAGTTACATGTAATGTAGCTTAGCTACAAGTAGGTAGCTACCTAGGTAGGTTGGTGTGATCCTACCTCGTAAAACCCACTCCCGTCTCCAATTCCCAACTTTAAAGTAGGCCTCACCTCTTCCAGTCTTGTTCACGATGGGCATCTCGCCAAATCCATTTCATCCGCTTGAAAACTTCCATCCATGCCTGGTCTGGGCCCGACTACCGTCGACACACTACGGAGTAGTACTAGAACCATACGCGGCGACCTCCTAGTGCGCTAAATCGAACGTGCTAAAGGAACGGCTAGGCAGCTTTTAGCGGGCCTTGGCAGCTCTTGCTCCTACCTGTGGTGGGTCTTCCCGATCGTCTGTGATATCAGCGCACCGGTTGCAACCCCTGTCGTCAACAGCGCTGCTGCTGCATGTGGGTGTGGGTGGGGGGTGAATTAGGTGGGAAAAGCCCATCTTTGCTCATCGAACAAGCTAACTAGCTAGAGGTTTGCTGCCAAAATGACGAGGGTCGGGCTTCTACTTGTACTTGTACGTAGTGTCGTAACAAGATCCTGGTACTGCACTGCACCTCTCTGCTCTCCGCCTGTCTACTTAATCTTGTACAATAACTACGTACAGTCGCGCACTTTACGGACCACAACGGACCACAAGGTGGATTGTCCCTGCCCTGTTGCTGTTCCCACTTGTTGCCGTCCCCATTTGGTTATTTTGCTGCTGCTGATGTGCCGGCCTGTACTTCCCCGACTCTTTTCCTTGCTCCACCAGCACCAGCACCCGCACCACTGCTCCTCGTTCATGACTCTGGTGTTTTGAGACCTCCCGAGCTCTCCATTGCTCAACCCTCCTGCACACCTCAGGTCTCGCCGAACTACACGTCTGGCCGATCCCAGTCCTGGCTTGCACGCAGTCAACATTCCGGCCAGTCTGGCGTCGTTAACGAGGGACTGTTGCACGCAATGGCAGTGCAAGGTGGGGAGGATATCTATGCTACGGTAAGTGGGCGCGGGCGCCTCGCGATGCATCCTTCTCTTGTGCATGATCTCGGAGCTCCTCCAGAACCACGACAACGCGCGCTGCAGAGGCTGACATGTCTGCAATCCACAGCTTCTCTTGAGCGATTCATATCTGCCCGGTAAATTCTGCAGCTCCATGTCCCTCTTGCCCGCACTCAATTGCTGATGTAGTGGTTGTGCAGGAGCTCTGGTCCTCGCCCACTCTTTACGCGATGCGGGCACGACCAAGAAGCTGGCCGTTCTGGTCACCCTCGACAGCGTTTCGGCCGAGGTCATAACACAGCTCAAGGTAAGCCCTGGCTCCCGGGTCCTGTTTGTCAAGCGCTTGCACTGTGCTAAGATTTTCAATGCTTGGTAAAAGGCTGTCTACGATTACATCCTCCCCGTCAACCGGATCCAGAATCCGAACCCGGCGAACCTGTACCTCATGAACCGTGGGGATCTCCACTCGGCCTTCACCAAGATCAATCTCTGGAAACTGCTTCAGTTTCGCAAGATCGTATACATCGACGCCGACGTTGTCGCCTACCGGGCTCCCGACGAGCTCTTTGAGCTGCCCCACGCCTTCGCAGCTGCGCCGGATATCGGCTGGCCTGACCTCTTCAACACGGGCGTCATGGTGCTCACCCCGAACATGGGCGACTACTACGCCATGATGGCCATGGCCGAACGCGGCATCTCTTTCGACGGCGCAGATCAGGGCCTGCTGAATATGCACTTCAAGCACGACCACCACCGGCTTTCCTTCACATACAACGTCACGCCGTCTGCTCACTACCAGTACATCCCAGCCTACAGGCACTTCCAGTCCAGTGTCAACATGGTCCACTTCATTGGCGCCGACAAGCCGTGGAAGCAAGGGCGAGAAGCCAATACTGGCAGCTCTCCGTTCAATGAGATGGTTGGAAGATGGTGGGCTGTCTATGACCGGCACTATCGCAAAGAAACACCAGTAAGTCGGCCACGGATGGGTTCAAAAGATTGCCATGCCCACTTTGATTCTGACGTGACCATCAGACCGAACCAGCTTCTTCGGGGCAGGCCCAGCCATCTCCGGAACTGGTGCAATATTTCGTCAAAGGCGAATATCATCCAACAGTACCCTACGTCGTACCAACCGGCGAACCACCACGACCGCCGGCGACCGCACCATCCCACGGTCAGCATTACCACCACCACCACCCACCGCCGCCCTCGCATAGTCAAGATCATCACCACCATCATCAAGAACATCATCATGAAGAACATCATCATGAAGATCAGCACCACCACCATCACAACGCGCACCCTCCCAGCGAGCCACCCTCCCAGCAGTCTTTGCCGTCGTTTGCGTCGTTCTCCCACCCCAGCGAGTCTTTTACTACCGTCGAGGCTTCAAATACTGAGGCTCGCGAAGAGCAGGTTTCGGAGCCCCACCGGGGGGCTCCTCGACAACCGTCACCCGAGCCTCCCCAACCACCTCCACAGCCTAGTTGGGACGCGCAATGGTACGGACACTCTTCCCTCAAAGCCATGAAAGCCTCGCACTAACAGACACTCCATCAGGCAACCTCCGCCAGCGAACTCCAAGCCGGAGGCTATAAACTTCCCGCAGACTCATTACGAGATGTCTTCTGACGTCACGCACTTTGTCGCTCCAGAGAGGTATCCAAGCCCCCCAAAGAACATGTGGTACGAAGTCCCCAAGGACCCGCCAGCGCCTCCTCGACAGAAACCGGCGGCGATCTTCCCTTGGGAGCGTCATCAGACTCGAGCCTCGCGCGTGTTCCTCAGCGACGAGCCTGAAGTCGAGCATGTGCCCGAGGGATCGACGACCGAGACTACGGGTCAGTCCAGCGCCTCTTTCGGCGTGCGAGCGCCAGCTGAACAGTCCGTGACAGAAACATCATCTGCGGAGCAAAAGAGCGAACCAGTAACGCCCACCACTCCTACCATCCACGTCACTCCCTCAGATCCATGGTCTTCTTTCACGCGCTCGAATGCGTGGGATGACGTGCCTGCCATTGAGCGGTACGTTGATTCTCTGCAGAAGCATCGGCGCGGAAAGAGCCTAGGCACCCCTGTGAAACTGGGTGGAGTTGGTGCAGGCCGAAGAGGCCCAGATGCTCTTGAAGAAGCCATCAAGAGGCGTGGCTCCAAGGTCACCGACTTCCCCAGCGAGGTCGAGAGACCGAGTCTTCCCGTCACACCGGCGCCCGTTCGCCGGCCGAAGTTCTGGGGTGGTGGTGCCTCAGGCTTCGGAGATGACGAAGACGAAGACGATCAGCTGCTTCCGGCCGCGGAGGGCGTGCCGAGGCAGACTGACTGGGTATGTGTGCATGGAATTAGGTGGACTCCTGCAGACTGCCTTTGCCAACTAACTAACATGCTCCGTGACACTAAGGATCCAAGCCAGCAGCTGGAGAAGCTGAAGCAGCAGCATGAGATATTGCTGCAGAAACTGGGCAGCCCAACGCAGGAGGAGAGTCGTAAGGATATTCCCACACGGTCGCTGCCTTTTGGGTCCGAGGGTGTGAGGTCTCCGACGTATGTAGCACATACATCTGATGTGCTCAGTCCCAAGCCTGTAAAGCCGAGCTCTGGAACGAGCCCGGTGCAGCAGATTCTTGCTGAGCAGCAGGAGATTAGCTCTGGACCGGGAGGGCCGATGAGATCGTCTGTCCCGGAGCCGAGCTACCACGGACCTGGCGCAGCCTGGGAGAGGGATGAAGACGTGCCACTGCACCAGCTGACCCCTGCACCACCGACTGAAGAGGAACGAGACGTGTTGGACACGTAGCCATGGGGGGCGGAATTGGGTGATTGCACCTGTCATTACCTTGCAAATTATTATATTTTCAACAGTGAGCCTAGCAAGCTCGTTTCCGTTTATATGAGACCTGGGCCAAGGTCGATCAATATTGTACGATAACGAAGGGAGGAATCAGGGCTCTTGGAGGACAAGGCTAATTTGTCGAATTCGTCACCGTGGATGGGTCGAGTCGTATAGGCTGTCTGGCGACGGCCTATTGTGCGAGGCGTATAATTTGGGCATACCGATCTAGCATCATCATTATATATGCGCTTGAAATTCCGCGTTTTTTTTTTCTCTCGTCTCTTACGGCGGCACCATGATCGCGGATAGTGAAGACATGGCATCCCTATCCTGCCTGCATTTTGGTGTACAAGAAACCCCCTTGGCTGGTGGTTCATGCCATTGAGGGCCGTGTAACGTTGTACATCCCCGTCTCAAAAGTGTCACCACCACTTCTCGTAGAGGACCCTATCCTTCTCCATGCCCAATCCGTCAGCGGAGGTCAACTCCTCGACAAGTGAGTCTGTCATCGTAGGTAGCCCGCAGACATAGACGACGGCCGAGTCTGTACTGCCTGGCCCGCCCATCGCCGCCACAATGTCGGACAGCTCGATCCTCCTCGAGAGGACGGGCACGTCAGGTCCGATGCCGGCAACCGCCTTGTCGGATTGCTTTGGATCACCACCACCGTCAGCGTCCTCTCCGTCGTGCCCGGTGAGGAACAGCGTCATCCGGCCTCTCACTTCCCTCCGTCCGAACAGGCCGACTAGCCTCTCCACGAACAGCATCTTGCTGGCGTCGCGGCGGCCGGGGCCGGGGTCCTTCATCGAGTACAGGAGGTGTACTTCTACTACCACCCCTCCGTCGTCCGAGTCGGGGCTCCTGCCGCCGCCGCTGGCTTTCCCCTGCCGCCGCCGCTGCTGCTGCTGCTGCTCGGCAATGTGTGCTACCATGCTGACCAGCGGGTTCACGCCGACGCCGCCGGCCACGAAGACAGCGCGCCGGTGGGGGAGCAGCACCGGCTCCTCGTCCGCCGCCCCTTGGTGGAGGTGGTGGTGGTGGCGGCGGCGGACGGGAGGGTAGACGAAGCTGCCGCCGACGCGGATGCGCAGCTCCCGGCCCAGGATGGCGGACTGGTCTTCGCGCCAGAGCCAGGCGGCGGCCGGGTTGTCCGGGGAGCGCTGGACGGCCAGCTCCAGGTAGCCTGCCGCTGTCGCTGCCGGTGCCGCTGGCGAAGATGAAGATGAAGATGATGGGCGGCGGGCGAGAGATGGCTGGGACGTGATGGTGAAGCCGCCGGCCTTGGGGACGCCCGGGCAGAACGTGTCTAGCCATTGGCCAGGGAGGAACTGCCCGGAGGGAGTGAGGGGCAAGCGTGTTAGCTTGGGAAAGGGGTTTACGGGACCTTGGGAAGAGGGTGGAGGTGATAAGGGAGAGAAAAAAAGAGAGGGCACTAACTTTGATCTCTGGGGCACCGTCCGGGATGCTCAGCCGCAGGATGCGGATCGTGTCGTTGATCTGGTCTATCCGGCTCAAGATGACGGTGTGTAGACCCTAGCATGGGAATCCAAACTTTTGGTTAGCCGGGCTGGAGTATTTTCACAAGGCTCGCCGTGTCGGGTCATCGGAGAGGGGACGGGGAGATGCTTTCGGAGGCCGGATGACGCACCTCGCCTCTCGGCTCGTGGGCCGTCCTCTCCTGGTGACTTGTCTTGCTGCCGCTCATTGTCCTCGCTGGTGACGAATACAGCCTTGTAGCCAACTCGCGAATTCTAAACAGGTTGCTGATCACGGCACTCTCATGCCATAAGCCGAAAGCTCCCGATGGACCGGACTTCCGTCCGACTCGCTGAATCGTGGGACGAGACAGATGAAGCATCAACTGCAACTACAAGCTTCTCGGGGGGATTCCAAGAGTAGAATCCCATTCGGAACACAAGTTTTGTCTTTTAATGGCGTGTAATCTTCTGTAGTTGAGCTTTCAACTCTGGTGATGACCCGAGACAGGTTAGTTTCATGGAATCATGTCTCAACCCCGCTTAGAATAATAACTCTTGTTGTCTTAACCAACTTCATACCTATCCTACACAGCCGTTTAGACCCAACACATCAACTTTTCTGTTCACGTAATACTTGTCTTGGTAGAAATTTTCACAATTCTTGAAATTACCGGGAGTCATCTCCATAGAAAGTACAAAGCGAATTATTCGTCAAGATGCAACCGCAGGTCATCAAGTTACAGGGCGACCGCAGACTGAGGTCAACCAAATTATCTGGCTTGTCTACAAAACCCCGATTCAATAAGTCAATAACTCGTCAAAGCTGTTGATCTGGAAATTCTGCCAAGAACAAGCTCAGATCCAGTTCTCGCCCTCCCTGCAAAGACCACGGGCGCCCTCTAGTTGTTCTGCAAGACGGCTCCGAGGCACTGTAGACGTTTGAGCCTTCGTATCTGGCTTCTCGTCCCGGAACTTCCAGGAGCCGTCAAAGAGCGTGCTGATATGCGGAAGCCGCCGCGGCTGGCGCACTCTACCAGGCTCCCCACGATTGTGATGTCGGCTGATCCGTGTCGGCTGCCTCGCCCAGTCACCCGAGGCTACCTCCATTCTCTCCAAATGCGACGATCCGACGCCACCCTCTGCGTCCCGCGCCACCAAATGCGATGAATATCTTGCCTCAAGAGAGCCTTTGCTCCTAGGTCTCGCAGGTGAATATTCGGCCATTCCCTTCTCGAGCAAGTCTCCTGTGGTCACGGCGTAGTCGTTCTGTCGCACAAAATGATTGTGCTCGCTGCTTGATGGCGGCGAGGCAGAATAGTCAGACAATGATACATCAGTCGAACTTCGTTCGAGCTTAGAGAATTCCTGCAGGACGAGACTGCTCTGAGAGGCAGGCAGACGTGGATCATGCTGGGTCACCACCTCCAGCTGCTGAGCGACCCCGAGTTCAAATTGCTCCCCCAAGAATGACTCGCCATCAATGTACCGTTGCAGAGAAGGGGTGACAGACACTTTGGATGCTGCCGAGGAAACGCGCGAATGCTTTTTGGGGCTTTTGCGGCTGCCGTCGTCCTCTTTCGTACATTCCGCCGGTGGTAGCTCGGGCAGTGGCCTCTGAAGATATGACTCGAGAAATCCGTCTCGCACGACTTTACTAGGCTGCGGTAGCTGAATGCTCGATATTTTCTTGGGTGCGAGCTCTGGGGCATCTTGTAGCAAGGCGGATGTATTTCGCCAGTTTGGGTGCATCGGGGCATGCTGAGGCGACAGCTCAATGGTAGTGTCGACGCTCTTAGACTTTCCGTCATCAACTCTCGCGTCGTGATTTGCTCCATTTTCAGGCGTGGCGGAACAAAGGTGAGGGGCGGGCAATGAGAACCGGTAATTCTCGCGGGGTATCAACTGCAGGTTCTGCAGATTTGCCCACGATCGGTAATGGAACCGAAATGTGGCATAGGGGGAGTCCCTAGGGTCGACAAGGAGATAGTCGTAGAAGACAGCCTCTTCTGGTTTATCAAGAAGCCCGTCACTGATGATACTAGTCGGCAGGTCAGAAATGGAAGGGCATGTCTCGACTATAACATTCTACTCACCCTATGCCATAGATCTCTGGCGAGCGATGGGACTCCAGTGTCGGCGCGCGGCAATTTCGCCCTTTGGCCCGGAAAGTTTGGATTTCAATGAGCCCGCCGTCCTCGGCAATCGACTTGTACTTGGTCTCCGGGAGAAATTTGAAGTGTCTGGTCTCAATGCCATTCGCTTTGAGATAGACTTCGTCATCTCTGTAGTCATAGTACTCGCTGGGCTGGTAAAGAGCTCGATAGGTAGCATTTGATGTGACAGACCGAAGGTCAATTCCCCATGATACGACCCTTCGCCCATTGACGAGGACCTTGAAGAACAAGTACTTCTCCGACGGGGCCTTGTTGATTGTATACTTGAAGAAGAACCTCGTGTCTGCCGGATCCAAGTTTTAGTATTCTCTCTGCTCTGGTACTTGGAGAGTACGCAAGGGTCACAGTATATACCTGGGAGGGAAGGGACGTAGACTGATATCGCTGGATTGGTCTTGGCGATGTGATCAGCTGCCTGACTGGGAATAAGCGAAGCATTCGACGCCGAAGCTGTGACACCAGTGTTCCTGGCACTCATGCGAACTGGGCTGCTCAGTCGGACAGAAGAGCCGTCGGGGTGCGGGAACTCTGGTAGTTGGACATCGCCAGACTCGGGCATGGCCACGATAGCGACATCTATCCCGCGTAAGCAAGGCATCGTTGCAGATTATGACATTGCCGACGTTTAGAAGCAAGTAAGGTGCCCTGAAATGAGACGAGACAGAGATTGGCCTCCGCCTGACTCAAATGAAGGAGAGTGGCTGCAGGTCAATGAGTTAATGAGATGAGAGAAAGGGAGAAGGTGCGATTCTTCTGCACCTAAGGAAGGAAAGAGGGGTATCTGAGGGTGAAGGTCACCGCAGAGGTTCAGGATTCCATCAGATCTTCTTCAGACCTCAGTTGAGTTTCACTTCATAATAATTGCCCGTTGTATTTTCCAACCTGCTGTCAACCCCTCGTAAGAGTCCCAACTGCAAGATAAATCGCTCTTGCGCCACATGAGGAGATCAGATCGGTACCCATCGATTTTGCGTCCCTGTCAGTCAGTATCGGCTCCTTTATGAACTCTTTCCCGCCCCCATTGACATCGCCACTGCGCCCAAATTAGAGGTTATCGAATGGATCTGGATCTGAAAGTGTCGCTTCACGGAAAAGAGACGAATCGGAACGGCCGCTTCGAGACAAAAGGATGCTTTCCCATTTGTAGCTCCTCTAACTTGATACACACACAGAGATTCGCCCATCATACACAAGTTTTGCCAACGTTCATGAGCCCAGCACCTTCTTGGTATCTTCCTCCTTGTTCAGCAGCCCCAGATTCCGTATTTGACCGGCGCTCGGCGCATCGTCTCTCGCATTGGCTGTTTCGGCCTTTCGGTATGCCAGTTGCAACTGCTTGACTCTCGCAGCCTGTTTAAAAACGCATTGTAGTTAGCTTGCAGTAACTTTAGGGGACAGAATCCCCGTGGTTGCTCAAGATCGGACCTCTTTCTTGTGGTGCAGGCATTCGTAGTAGTCCTCGAGAATCGGCGCACACTTCTTCTTGCCAGAGTCGTCCTCGCTGGAAGTATTGACGACGTAGCAAGCCAGCACCTCTTGCCAGAACGGGAAGCACCGCGAGGGTCCTGTGCAGCAGGTTAGTCGGCGGTGGACGGGGGGGAAGGCTAGTAGCCCAGAGCCATTGGGTATCGATGAAGCACTCACCTCCGTGGAGACCGTATCCAGAAGCCATGGTCGGGTTCTTTGATGCTTCAGAGAGACGGTGTGGTTGGTATGACCAAAGGCAGAAGTAGTGTTTCTTTCACAACGGCGGCAGCATTGGATGAAGTCGGCTCAAGTGCTTCTGGGCTCCAAATTGGAGGCAGCTCATTCGCGGATGCAGACCGGTGAGCACCGTGCACAGACCCACCACTTCCCGCGCAGCAAAACGATACACGCACAGTGGCCACCAGCCTGCTACCAGACCTTCGCGCTTGGGGACCGGTAGGTACTTGGGTACTTCGAGACCCGATGATGTGCCCACTCGACAACCAGGAAAGACATCACGACTGGAATCCTCTCGTTCAAGCCGCGGGCAGAACCGCACAACCTCGTCGCCTGCATCATGATCTAAGCTGAAGCTGTCTCTCCTGTCCGAGACCATGGATCTGGTTCTTTCTGCCCCAAAGACCATCCTGCTCGCTGTGCAGCTCGCTGCCAAGGCCGATATTGACAGCTTGGCCTTCCTGGCAGAGCAGCAGAGCAACATCCTGCACAAGGAATTGCTGCTGCGCATCCTACTTACTTACCTTCCAAAGTCCTTGGAGACCCTCAAATATGTCTCGTTCATAGAAAAGATCGAATCCGGCGACTTCACCGACGTACAACCAGCTCAGCTTGACCTTTCAGCCGTCAACAATCTCACAGAGGAGGAAGCTTCCCGCAGGGTGCGCAAGCTTCGCCTGCAACAGTTGACGTGGCCCAACTCGCCGGAACAGCTTGCAGATGATCCTACATCTTTATTTCTACTGCGGCGCGCCTATGCAGTAGATGAAGAGGCCGGCCTGCTCGATCAACTGCCCGACCTTCTCGTGCCGTTCCTACAACGCTCCTCCTACATTAGGCGATGGCTCGTTTCTAGCCTCCTTCCTCTGCTTCGCCGCAATGTCGAATACCACCCCGAAAGCCCGCTATCACATACTATTGCAACCTTTGAACAGTTGCCCGACCGAGATGCGGTTACCCAGTTGCTCTCCCAAACCGGCATGCACGAGCCTAACTATCAGTTCACTGGACGAGATTTAAAAGGAATGATAGGCCCTTGGTTGTTGGAAGAATCGCGATGGCCGAATAGGGATCCGACTACACCGCAATCGTCCGTAGGCAAGAGCGACTTCTGCCCTGGATGGGAGCAGGTTCTCCAGTGGCTCACGTACCAAGCTGCAAAATCATGGAAGGTCGCTGTCAGTGCCATAGAGCAATGGGACGGGCCTAGTGAACTGGACCTGGGCGGGTACGGGACCATGTGGCTCGAGGACGCCGAGCAGGAATACTTGGAGCGAAGATACGCGCAGGCGGCGATAGCATGTGCGTATCTCATACCCGACACGTCTGACGAGGCGCTTAGTGGTGCACACAATATTGCTGTCAAGATCATGAGTCTTCTGGACCAAGATCCCGCTCCGCCCTTGCACACATCAGCTTCCTTGTTGTCACCGATACCCGAACTCGAAGAGACCGATTTGATCTCGGTGCAGAACGCAAAACACCTTCGGAATGATCTTCTTAAGGACGACAACACTTTGACGTCACCAACCCCCCAATCCCTTCAACTTCTCCATGGCTTGGTATTGAGTGCGTTTCTCATAACAAGACTTGGTGTTCCTTGCACTGTGAGGAGGGCCGGCGAGCTCGTTCTGCTCCAGGACGAGCGTGAGCAGAGGTCTGCTGCTATTCAACTCATCAAGCATATCACACATAACACACAGAAAACCGATGACAAACATTGGATACAGATGAGGAATGAGATATTATGGCTGCGCGACTGGGGTGCCGAAGAAAGAGCAGAAACCTCACAATGTCTTGGTGTATTTGGGCAAGTGAAGAAAGAGTATCTAGAGGTCGAATTTCTGAAAGCTCTTCTGGCAAACACTCGTATGTCGAAAGCGAGCCACTCATTGTTACCGGAAACGGATACTGACCAGACACAGGGTACACCCTTGCAAAGACGCTCTACGAAGACTCGACAGACGCTCCGCTGCCGAGCAAGGTTATCCAGGATACTGTATATGCGGCAGCACTCAATGCTTACGACAATGCGTCAAACCCGAACCGCACCAGGGGCGGCGTGAAAAAGTGCAATGATATGTATGAAATATCTCCGCACTCCTTATTTCCTTCGCAAAGCTAATGTGAATCAGACTACACTCCTTCCCACGAACTGTAGATCGGTCACTCGTAGCCACCCAGAGGATAGAGGCATTGCTGAAAGCAACACACACATTGAGCAATTATCGCCTTGTGCTGAAGAAAGGCGAGCCGTTCACACCAGTCGTTCTGCGGGTGCACTCAGATCCAATCTCGATCATTGGGAAGGTCTTGGAACAGAATGCCGGAAGCTATACAAAGATCCAGGAGTTCTTGGACTTGGGAGCCAACATGGTCGAGGCCGGACTGACGGTCAAGGACCAGAGCGGTCATTCTACCTTGACCGCTGAGCAGGAACCGGAGCAGCGCGTGATCTCTGAACGGAGAGTCACCGCCATGTGTGTCGATGCAGCCCTTGAGGAAGACGACTTTGAGACGGCATACTCATACATTGTGAATCGCATTGCCGAGTTGCCATCGTCCACTCAGAGCAGCAGGTCCACACTGGCAAGCCACATCCAAGATGAGTGGTCGTGGAAAGCGGCATTACAGGCCGGCAAGTACCGGCGGACGGAAAGGACTGTTCGGCCGACACATCTTGGGACCACGAGTGGTAATCCAGAGGTCCGGCACCTGGAGCAGCGTATCGAATGTCTTGCTACAGCATTACGAATTGCCCCGGCTGCGACTCTCCAGGAGATACTTAATTCATATCGTCGTTGCGAAGAGGAGCTCGACGCTGCCGCGAAAGCGGAGTCTGAGCAAGAGAATGCATGGGATGACGCTGCCGATCGTCAGGCGATGCCTGGCACGTTCGGGACCAGTCCCGGCCCGGCTGGTGTGTTGACAGGACGCGCAGCAGCAGCAAGTGGCTCATCAGGAGGCCGCCAACAGTTGCATAATGCCGAGGAGGCGCCTCTGTCGCTGTTCGACCTGTCTCGAGCGACAGCACGTCTGGCATCGAGGAATTTTGCTGCACTATCCAGTCTGCAACAGTCAGGACAGACGAGATCCGGAGAACAACCCGGCGCTTCTCACCAAGGAGGTCTTGCTTCTGGTGATGACGACAGCGAGCACCACCAGCGGGTGAGGAAGAGAGATCAGTTGCGGGATGCTGCGATGGGAACTCTGGTATCGGGTGTGGGCTGGCTTGTCGGTGCTCAGCCTGCGGACAGAGGCCAGGAACGAGAATAATGACGGCGGCGGCCCGGCGAGGCCATGCATGACGGCAAATGGCATCTACGGATTTGAAGGACTGTGATTCTTCAAGTCGTCTGGGATGACCGTACAGAGAGGCAGATATGTAGACATGGTTCACGACTGTAATACCCTAACAAATTGAAGTCCCAAGTCAAGGTATACACTGTATGTAACGTTGGTGCGACTTGCTTGGAACCTGCATTTCGGTATCGACTCGCGATTAGCCCTTGAAAACCCCGAGTCAATGTCCGAGAGGACTGAACGGTTACACATCCATTGCACTTTACAAGTAGTAGCCATGATTCACTAACGAGGATTTAGTGAGGATTTAGCGCTCCCTCTGGGTTTGGTGCGCCAGATTTTGAATGACGAACAAGATCTTATCAGCGATTGAGCCAAGCAATTGCGGGCTTTGTAGCGTACAGAGCTCTGTGGCCCCCAGCTAAAAATTCCAATCGCCGGGATCCCTGCCTCCTCTCGCTCACTAAACCTCGACCTCCGACAACGCCTCGGGCTTAGTTGTGAGATTCTCTCTCTCTCCCATTCTCGCTACAAGCTTTCCTTTTCCGCACCATTCCACCGCCAACGACCATGAGGAGCTATCACGACGTCTACTACCGATGAGATAGCTGCTTCCAGCCAAAGGCGCTCAACCCCTTCAAGATGGTTTCGGGAGCGTTGCGCCAGACGCTACTGCTCCCGCAACGGAGCGCTACCACGCTGGGACTCAGCGCCAGCCAGAGGTCCGCGCCGACCCTGTTCCGCGATGTGGTGGCAGCCCAGCCCGGCCGGGCCTTGACCTCTGTGCGGTCATTCTCATCCTCCTCTACCAGCTTCTCGTCGACTCGTTTTCTCAATGCGTCGTCCTCCCCCGCCATTCGGAGCTCCGGGCTTCGACTTCGTCTTGGCGCAGCCCACCTGTCGCAATCCCCGTGGAGCTCACCCAGCGCGATTTTGCGATGCCTGTCCACGGGAAAGGCCCTGCAGCAGGACACCAAGAGCACCTCCGCGACCGAGGTTGCAGCCGCGGCGAAGGGGGTGAAGACTGTATCCGAGATAGACACACAAGCCGAGTCAGCCCGCGAGGACCAGGCCGATGCGGAGAACCAGGGCTTCAAGAGGAGCGCGAAAGCTGAGAAGGCAACACACGTGAACATGAGTGCGCGGCTGTCCAAGGAAGGCAAGACTCACGGCAAGGGCGGCGGCTGGGCCGAGATCTGGCGGCTGATCAAGATTGCGCGGCCGGAGCTTAGATGGCTCGGCATCGCCTTCTTCTTCCTGCTCATCTCGTCCAGCGTCACCATGTCGATCCCCTTCTCGGTCGGCAGGATCCTGGATCTGGCCACCAAGGGAGAGGCGGAAGAGGTCCGCCTGTTTGGCCTGACGCTCACCCAGTTTTTCCTGGGTTTCGCCGGCTTCCTGACGCTCGGCGCCATGGCAAATTTTGGCAGGATCATTCTCCTGCGCATTGTCGGCGAGCGGGTGGTCGCGAGGCTGCGGTCCCAGCTCTACCGGAGAACGTACACCCAGGACGCCGAGTTCTTTGACGCCAATAGGGTTGGAGATCTGATCTCAAGGCTCAGCTCGGACACTGTGATTGTCGGCAAGAGCATCACTCAAAATGTGTCGGATGGCATGCGCTCGCTGGTCAGCGGCGCGGCGGGTTTTGTCGCCATGGCCTGGTTGAGTCCCAAACTCACCTCGATCCTGTTGCTCATGTTCCCGCCCATCGCGGTTGGAGCATTCATCTACGGTCGCGTAATCAGAAACGTCAGTCGCCAGATCCAGAAGAACCTGGGTACGCTGACAAAGATCGCCGAGGAACGTTTGGGAAACATCAAGACCAGCCAGGCGTTTGCCGGCGAGGTGCAGGAGGTCGCCAGGTATAACCATCAAGTCAAGAAGATCTTTGCCCTCGGACGCAAGGAGTCTATGATTGCCGCGACCTTTTTCGGTTCGACCGGATGGGCTGGCAACATGACTATCCTTGCTTTGCTCATAGTAGGAGGAAATCTGGTCCGTACTGGCACCATGTCACTCGGCGACCTGACTTCCTTCATGATGTATACCGCCTTTGCCGGATCCAGTCTGTTTGGCGTGTCGGGCTTTTACTCTGAGCTGATGAAGGGTGTTGGTGCTGCCAGCCGTCTATTCGAGCTGCAAGACAGGCAAGCGTCCATCCCTTCGACGGTGGGCAAGAAGGTAAAGTCGGCACAAGGACCGATCAAGTTCTCCAACATCACCTTTGCCTACCCCACACGCCCAGCCGTGCAGATCTTCAGGGGCCTCGACTTCGAGATCCCCTCGGGAAGCAATGTCTGCATCGTTGGACCGTCTGGAGGCGGCAAGTCGACGGTGGCCAGCTTGCTTCTGCGCTTCTACAACCCGGACGAGGGCTCCATCAGCATCAACGGCGTCGACATCTCCAAGATGAACGTCAAGTCGCTCCGCCGGCGCATCGGCATGGTCGCGCAGGAGCCCGTGCTCTTCTCGGGCTCGATCGCCGAGAACATCGCGTACGGCCGGCCGGACGCCTCCCAGGCCGAGATCATCGCCGCGGCGCGCAAGGCCAACTGCCAGTTCATCGGCGACTTCCCCGAGGGCCTGGAGACGCAGGTCGGGGCGCGCGGCGCTCAGCTGTCGGGCGGGCAGAAGCAGCGCATCGCCATCGCGCGGGCGCTGCTCAAGAACCCGGACATCCTGATCCTGGACGAGGCGACGTCGGCGCTCGACGCCGAGTCGGAGACGCTGGTCAACGAGGCGCTGGCGGCGCTGCTGCGGGGCTCGGCGACGACCATCTCCATCGCGCACCGGCTGTCGACCATCAAGCGGTCGGACAAGATCATCGTGCTCAACAGCGAGGGCCAGGTCGCCGAGACGGGCAGCTACGCCGAGCTCAGCGCCGACAAGGGCAGCGCCTTCAGCCGCCTGATGGAGTGGCAGATGAGCGGCGGCGAGGTGTCGTCCGACCACCGGCCCTCGGGCGGCTCGCACATCACCGAGGCGGAGGAGATCGAGGAGGATCTGGAGGAGGAGGAGGACCTCGTCGAGGAAGAGGAGGAGGCGGCTGTCAAGGAGAGGAACGAGACGAAGGCGTAAGTGAGTGATCGAGAGATCGATACTGAGGCCACATCTCAACGGTGGCCCGCGGCCGGTGGAAAGAAAAGGGGATTCTCGGAGTTCAGGCAAGTTGTCTGGGCGGAGAGGCCCTCTCTCTTCGAGGCCATTCCGGAGAGGGAAAGAGGGCGGCAATGATACACTTGTACAAAAACCAACAGGGGGGGCACGCACTCCGCTCGATTTAGAAATACTGTTTGCATCTACGGCGTTGATTTTTTTTTCTTCTTCTTTTTCTTACCTACACAGGGGCGCAGTTTGTTTAGGGAGGAAGGGGGCGGATGGTTGTGCCATAGGTTACGAAAAAGAAAACGAGGGTTTAGATCTGTAATGTGCAATAAACCCAGACATTCACGTCTCTGATTTGATTTTTGGCTATTTCATTATTGAGAGGAATCTCATGATTCTCTCAAGAAAGAATCCCCCTGCCAGCATGGACGCATCTTGATCTGGTGATGGTGGTTGGGTGTAATGCCATTGGCCAACAGCGGTTCGTTGCGATGTCGTCAGCGGAGCTAGGCGCGGTTTGGCTCTCGTGGCACAGAGGTCCATAGTTTTACAAGTACGGCTCAGGGCTCAGATCCCTGTGGGACCCTGTAACTTAAGCAGCGTGCCGGCAAGCATGCACTTAAGGCGTGCCCCACACACCGCCAGCCAACGGGCTGTCTGCGGGAGAGAGAGAGACACTACTTAGCCTACATTAGGGAGAGCTAAAAGGGAAAAAAATTGTCAAGGAAAGAAAGCGAAAGCGGAGGGCGGTCCTTCCTACAGGCAAGTGCCCCTCCACCCCTCCAATCTTTATTCGGGAGGGTGAAGAAAAAAAAAGTGACAATCAGGAATCAATATACAGAGCAGCATCCCGCAGCTGGACCCCGGATCGAGGAAAAAGCCAAGAGCATCTGTAACTGCACAAGCCGACAAACGTGCTGCTTTCTCCCGCAAGCGACCAGGAAAGCGTTCGTCTCCTGACACAGCGGTCCCGGGCCCAATTGGCGCATTTATTTCCGCTCAATTACCTTAGTGTTAGGTCCTCGGTCCGCGCCCTCGCAGCCATTTTCCCGCGACAGAGCCTTGCCTGTGACTCAAGCTCGACAGCAACCCACCCACCCCCGGTCGCCCTGTGTCGGATAGCCATACCTACCACTCGAAATTGGGCTGTCACTCTCCCTCACTCTTAGATATTCCATATATCAAGTCGTTCGAGGAGACCAATTCGACTCTGTCCTTCCTTTCTCACAGCCCAACGAACCCCGCCCGTGTGCCACGATTCCTTCTTCGAGCAGAACCCAGTATCACCATGACGAGGCCTGTGCTGAGCAATAACGGAAGCAGGGGCTGGGTTGTACAAAAGTTTGGCGGTACAAGCGTGGGCAAGTTTCCAGACAAGGTCAGTTTCCTTTACCCGGTCCTGTTCTCTTGGCGGTGAATTGCCTTGATTAACACAGAACCTCGATCCAGATCGCAGAGGATATAATAAGGTGCGTTGGCAACGACTAGGGGTTAGCTCGAAGGACGGCAATATCTAACACCAGGTACAGGGTTTATCTCAACGGTGGAAACAAGCTCGTCGTCGTTTGCTCTGCTAGGAGTTCCGGCAAGAAGGTCAGCGGCACCACCAGCAGGTGAGTCAGACAACGTGCCCTCCGCCGTGCGCGAGCACTTACTCTAGGGCGCCCTGCTAATGCGCAAGACTTGGACAGGCTTCTTGAGGTCTTCAAGAAGCTGCGCAATATCGCAGACCTTAGCAGCGACATATCCGAGCCCGATACCCAAGTCGAGGAGGCCAAGACCATCATCCAGGATGTCTGTAATGAGCACGTCTTCGCCGTAGAGTCGTTTATCAGTGACCCCGAGCTCAAGACTTCCCTCGAGAAGGAGATCAAGGACGAATGCCAGGAGCTCATCGAGTACATCGTGGCGTCCAGGAGGTTCAACCTCGAAGCCAACTCCAGATCAAAGGACAGGGTCGCGAGCTTTGGAGAGAAGCTGAGCTGCAGGTTCATGACCTATATGCTCAAGGACAGGGTAAGCTCGCCGTGTCCAGCACGATTCCCTTGTTTTGGCGATTGACAAGATTCGTTGCAGGGTGTCGATGCCGAATATGTCGACTTGTCAGATCTTCTCCATTGTAACGGTGTCGATCGGTTAGACACCACCTTCTATAGGGACTCGGCAGCGCTCTTCCGCAAGAAGATCCTCGCATGCGGCGACAAAGTGCCAATCGTCACCGGCTTCTTTGGCAACGTGCCCGGTGGTCTGCTGGACGGGGACATTGGCCGTGGCTACACCGATCTATGTGCGGCGCTGGTCGCAGTCGGACTCAAGGCAGATGAACTCCAAGTGTGGAAAGAGGTTGACGGGATCTTCACGGCCGATCCTACCAAGGTGCCCACCGCGAGACTTATCCCTGCCATCACCCCGTCGGAAGCCGCCGAGTTGACGTTCTACGGCTCCGAAGTCATCCACCACCTCACCATGGATCAGGTCATCAAGGCCGATCCTCCCATTCCCATCCGCATCAAGAACGTCAAGAACCCGCGTGGCGACGGCACCATCGTGCTCCCGGATCCGCACTTGGCCCCCAGCCACGAGTTGCGGCGCTCACGCCCGTCCGAGATCAACCTGCGCAAGACTCCCAAGCGCCCGACGGCTGTCACCATCAAGGACAAGATCTCCGTCATCAACATCCACTCCAACAAGCGCTCGATTGCTCATGGCTTCGTAGCGCGAGTCTTCTCCATCCTGGACGAGAACCAGGTCTCGGTTGACCTCATCTCCACTAGCGAGGTGCACGTCTCCATGGCCATCCATTCGGCAAACCCGGAAGAGAACAACCTCGACAAGGCCCGGAAGCAGCTCAGCGACTTGGGAGACGTCAGTGTTCTCCATGACATGGCCATTCTCAGTCTTGTCGGTGCCGACATGAAGAACATGATTGGTATCGCCGGCAAGATGTTCTCCACGCTCGGAGAGCACAGGGTCAACATCGAAATGATCTCGCAAGGCAAGTCAAGTCACTTCTCTGCCACTCTGTTTCCAAGTCGGCGAGACATCGTAGCGATCATGAAACTAACCAACCATAATGTAGGTGCGAGCGAGATCAACATATCCTGTGTTATCGACGTACGGGATGCCACGAGGGCCATGAACATCTTGCACACCAACCTATTCACCTTCCTTGAGTAGTAGAGCCCGACAAGTATCTGTGGGCAGTAGACGAGAGTAGTATAAGGTAGGCAGTATGACATTATGGGCGCGGAGGACAAGCTTTAAGAGAAGTCGATGGAGAGGGGCTACCTCTGTGAAAGCGAGCATCTCTCACCTGGCATATGATTTGTTTTTCGAAGATATCCTGCATTTTGGACCGATTTTGTCAGGGCGTTGGTTTTTTTGGGATATTGGACCACACTAGAGAAGTCATATAGACAAAGATTGTGAGACATTTATAGCTTTGCTGCACAAATGCGACGTGCTTATGCCAGAGGATTGATTTCGAGGGGATGTTGAACTCAGGAGTTGCGGTGCTGATAAGGCAGAGCCGAAATCGCCGGGGTATTGATTGGCATGGGTGGCTGATTGATAACTTGCCGCCCTCCGTAATTTTTATCTTATCAACTGACTTCCCGCCCGCAACCCATCCTCTGCCTCCTCAACTCCTCGAAACGACAAGTCGCAAAACAAACACATCGCGAATCCAGCTCTGCCAACCCTATTTACTTTCCCCAAGACTCCTAGCGCAAGATGGGGAAAGCAGAAGTCGGCTCAGTGAAGCATCTGAGCAATCAGATGAAGCTGAAGGGCCTGCAGAGGCTGAGGTGGTACTGTCAAGTATGCGAGGTAAGATACACACCCCAATGCCTCCCACCATGGCCCCCCAGATGTGTCCGCTGACTGTCTATTCTGCAGAAACAATGCCGCGACGAGAACGGGTTCAAGCAGCACACGATGAGCGAGAGCCACACGCGCAACATGCTCACCGTGGGCGCGGACCCCAAGAAGGCCGTCCAGCAGTACAGCGACCAGTTCCTCAAGGACTTCCTGCGCCTGCTGCGCACCGGCCACGGCGAGAAGGCGGTCCAGCTCAACCGCTTCTACCAGGAGTACATCTCGGACAAGAACCACGTGCACATGAACGCGACGCAGTGGAGCTCGCTGACCGAGCTGGCCAAGTACCTGGGCCGGGAGGGCATCTGCCGCGTCGAGGAGACGGACAAAGGGCTGCACATCGCCTGGATCGACACGTCGCCCGAGGCGCTCCGGCGGCAGGAGGCGCTGCGCAAGAAGGAGATGCAGGACAAGGGCGACGAGGAGTGGGAGCAGAGGATGCTCAAGGAGCAGATCCGGCGCGCGCAGAGGGACGCCGCGCAGCGCGGGCGCCGCGGGGAGGACGAGCACGGGGAGGCCGAGGGGGAGGACGACGACGAGAAGGAGGGCAAGGGGCTGCAGCGCCAGGAAGGGCAGAAGATCACGCTATCGTTTGGCGCCAAGCCGAAGGCGGATGTGCCTAATAAGACGTCCTCGCCGCCGGAGGGGGGCGACGCGAAGACACAAACCCCAGAGGCTGCGACTGATGGCGCTGCTCCGTCTGAATCGAAGGACGGAGATGCTGCGCCGAGTGGAGCCAGCACGGAAGCGAAGGACTCGACAGCAAAGGCTTCGGAGACCAAGCCCATCTCGCTCAAGTTTGGAGCCAAGCCGCAAACCAAGAACGTGTTTGCGCAGGCAAAGAAGAACGCCTTTGGAGGAGGAGCCAAGAAGGTCATGGTCGAGCAGCCGAAGAAGATGAGCGAGGCAGAGAGGATCATGAGGGAAGAGATGGAAAGGAAGCGGTCCAGGGGATTCGGAGGCTCTGGAGGCCCCCCGAATAAGAGGCCGAGGACTTGAGGAGCACGAAGGGGTGTAGTCTGGACATGGGCATTACGGTTGAGGACAAAACATCACGGCGTTTTTTATATACCCCCGCGAGGAAGGCATTTCTGTTTAGCATCATAGAACGGAGTCTACGTTGAATCGAGAGACGCAATATTGCATCTACACTACAGATATTCTTTCGCTCTTGTAGGATCGAGATCCCTTGCTGTGACGAGGTACAGCGCATTTTAAAAAGATGATAAATTCCATAACTCCCGACTCCATGCCGCATGCCATCCATCGCTATATCGTAAATTCCGCCCATCTCTATTCCGCCTCGTTCGCACTTCCATCACGTCTGTAGAAAGCAAAGTCAGCACTTCCAATCCAGGGGGGACTCGGAGAGGACGGGAGAACAAGGACGTACGGTATATACCGCACGCGGTACTCCTCCTCGATGGTGGCCCGCACGTCGTCGGGCAGCTGGCCCGAGACCTTTGTCGCGTAGACGCCCTTGACGTAGCCGTCGAGGCGCTGCCACTTGGCCACCCACGACTTGGCCGGGTTGGCGAGCGAGATGAGGCCCTCGAAGACCTGCGACGTGCAGCTGTCGATCTGGTCGGCGGACCCGGCGAGGTGCAGGAACTCCTCGCAGTTGGGGCACCCCTCGTCGCGGAAGCGCTGCGAGGTCATGACGATGGAGCACACCATGCAGGCGCGCAGGTAGCGCTGCTGGCCCGGGGCGACGAAGTTCTCGGACATGGTCTCGTGGCTGGCGTGGGTGTGTGTCTCTCGCTCGTTATCGAAAAGGGATGTTGTATGTGGTGAGGGGAAGGCGGGTAGGTGAGCTTTGGATCTGGTAATTGTTTCGCGATGTGGTGGTCGTTCGTTGATGAGGCTGAAAGAAATCTGGTGGAGTCCCAAGCTTTGGTTCCAGCCTGCAGGGGGGCGAGCGAGGCGAGATGGGGAAGATAAAGGCGCTAGAGTCTCCCCTCGATCCAGTCTGGAACTTTTTCTTCTGATAAGATAAGGAAGCTACCTCCCTTTGTCCAGTATTTCGAAACCTCCTCGCCTCTGAGCCTGCTTGTCGATTATTCAGATACCGTTCCATGGGGCCACAATGACTGCAGCCCAGGAACCCGAGGACGTCACAATGGCCGACGCTGCTGCCGCCACGCCGCCCAGCGTCGGCAAGTCGTCATCGTCAAAGAACCTAGAGCTCTTCAGCTGCACCATCAGCAAGCCGGCGTTTGCCTACGCCCAGCTCGAGCTCGCCAGCAGCGATCCGGGCTCAGCAGCGATAGAAGATGTGGACGCCCTGCAGTTCCGGTCGCACTGCACCTCGGCGCTGAACCGATTCCTCGGCGCCACGGGGACGGCCATCCCGCTGGACATTCTCAAGGTGCACGGGGCTGAGTGCTGGATCCGGGTGCCCCGTGAAGATCTGGGAGCTTTTGCGGCTGCCATCACCGCTTGGCCCGGGGTCAAGCAAGGCAGCAACGGGGCCTCATCCGTTCTGCGACTACGCGCCTCCGGGAACTGGCTCGGAAGCCTCCTCGGCCGCAGCGAACAGCACAAACTTTGGGATTCATGAAAAAACACAGCCCTGAGACGATCAGGCCCGGTCATTCATATTCATAGCACTCGTGGCCACCGGTGTATCTCTGCAAGATTGCGACCAGGCATCACTCCCTGGCCGAAGACCACGGAGCCGCTATTCATGATTTTGATTTCTGCTTTTCTTTTGGCTACACTCCCACCCGAAAGAACGCCACAAAGAACCGCAAGACGCCCGCATTATGCTGTCTGATCTACATGCACCCATCCCGGCCAGATACTCCAAGCTCGAACCCTCATATTTTTTATCTACCAAGCGTCGTATCACATAAGCGAAGACATGAGAGAGCTATGTGCATAAGCCTGCGAGTACGTTAGTCGCGCTGTCCTGCGCCGACGGGGCGATCAGACAAAAGGGGAATGACTTACCATCGGCCTGATGTTGGGATGGGGCACGGCGTCAAACTGCTTGAAGTGCAGCTTGTAATCGGGGCCGATGTTGATATACGCGCCCCTGTTTTCCGTCATGTCGCAATACTTGGGAGCGGAGAAAACTGGTCGAACAAGTTAGCAGCCAGCACCGACAGGCGCACAGCAAGAGCCAAAAATCATTACCTGTGATGCACTTCCCGTCGTGCTCCTCCTCGTATCCGTCCATGCGGACCTCGTGACTCCGAATAATGGCCTCGAGACCGTTCTTGTCGCAGAACTTCTTGGTGACGTCGGGTCCAAATTGCATGCCGACACCGCGCTTGCTGGGGCCTCGCCCAGGCTCTTTTTGAGGATCCGTCCACAGCATCTCCATCATGAGGCCCTCCTGACCCGGCTGGCGCTGCTTGTGACGGTCGATCTTGCGAATGTCGTCCAGCGTCACGTTGTCGTCGGAGAAGAGACCGCCGTGGAGCACAAAGTACTTTCCGCCGATCAGAGTAGCGAGCGGCAGAGCTGAGAAACTTTCAGAGAACAGCTTGAACACACTGTGTGTTTGTTAGTAGAGCGAAGAGGCCGGTGCATCTTTCAATTGGCTTACCGCTCGCTGTATTTAGCCTTGCACTCTCCCTCGAAACCATAGGCGCGGTTCATGTCGTCCGTCTCGTGGTTTCCACGGTTCAGGAAGAATTGCTTGGGCCGGAGCCACTTGTTGGCATACAGCAGCAAAGCGATCTCAGTAGACCACGAGCCCCGGTCCACAAAGTCGCCGTTGAAGAGATACCAGTGCTTGTCAGAGGGCGTGCCGTTCAACCTGAATAGCTCCATCAAATCAAAGTATTGACCTGCGACTATCCATCAGTGGCGTCCTTTCGAGGCATTCTGAAGTGAAGCATCAACAACACTTACCGTGAGTGTCTCCGCAAACTGTGAGTTGCGTGCCCTCCGGAATCTCCATCTCCACCATGGTGGGCTCGTCGTAGACGATGTTCTTGACTGCAATGACAATCTGGTAGACATATTTCCTGTGGATCTTCTTGCCGTTCTTGAACCTCTCCGTCATGTCGTCTATGAACTCCTGCGTCATCTCCTTCTCAAGGCGCACGCCGTCATAGTCAGGCTCCACCGCAATTGAGTCCACGTCCAGGCCCTCTGCGGCCGAGGGCTCGTCTCCAACCTCGATAGCGGCAAAGAACTCCTGCTGGCGGAGGATCTTTTGGCAATCTGCCAGCTTCAGCTTCGCATCCTTGTTCCCGGGGTCGATCTTGACGCAGGTCTTGAAGTCCTTGACAGCGTCCTTGGGCTTGAGGATGGCGGCATAGGCGGTGGCACGGCGGTAGTATGCCTTGACGAAGCTCGGGTTCAGCTCGATTGCCTTGGTCGCATCCGCAATCGCATATCCGTAGGCCTCTGTCTTGAGTTGCGCCTGTATGGGGGTTAGTCACACGAGCAATGCAAATACCGGGGATGGATGTGGGGGGAAGTCGCGAACCTGGGCTCTGTTTGCGTAGAAAGTCGGCTCTTGGCCGTTCAGCTCGATAGCCTGGGTGTAGTAATCTATAGCGCCAGGCCAATCATGAACAGCGAAGGCCTTGTTACCTAGGTTCTTGAGGGCGATAGCCTTCTCCTGCGGTGTCGCCATGGTCTCGAGGATTGCGCTTCCGAGATGAGAGCCTGGTGGTATTGGAGATTTGTGGAAGAAATGATCAGGAGCGCTGAACGAGATCTTCGAGGAGAGCTGACTTGAGTCGAACCGCGGGCCGTCCCTGGGAGACTGTCTGGGCAGTGGGCAGGCAGAAATGTGTTCTCGAGGCAGAGAAGGCACACACAGGCTGACTTGTAGGGGCCGCGGGCGAAGCGCCTTTGCAGAAGAAATTCGATCGCCACTGATAGAGGCTTCTGGATTCGCCCCGCAAGTCGAGCTAGGAATTTTACGTAGCACCTGGAGAACCCGTCTCTGTCATGGATCCATCCTTACAGGGACCATCCCCACCAATAAATGAAGGCTTGTGATAGCGATTGCGGGTAAAGCCACAGCGGCCGAAACTCTGACTGGTGCCTAGGCCAAAACCTCAAGCGCTTCCATCCGTCACAAACCTCCATCATCGTCTTCCTGCGTTTGCCAACCGGTGCAACCCGCAAACGAGCCTTCAGGCGCTGACAGCCCCAAAAGCAGACGACCATGGGGACGGAAAGCACGCAGGCCATGGCCCTGGTGCGCAAGAGGGCGGAAATGGAGCTGATGCCCCCTCCGCCCGCACCCAAGAGGATCAAGCGGCCAAAGACGGTTCTCGACGAAGATACATACACCGAGTCGCTGTCGCGCATCATCGCGCGCGACTTCTTTCCGGGTCTTTTGGAGAGCGAAACGCAGCAGGAGTACTTGGACGCTCTGGACTCCAAGGACCCGGCCTGGATATCGAGCGCCGGCCGTCGACTCCAACACGTCATGACCCCGCGAGGCCAACGGGCGCCCAGTACTCCCCGCCAGAGAGTGCCAGACACGCCGAGAGGCTACGCCGGCGACACTCCAGCATCGACAATATCCAAGGCGTCGACAACGTTCGAGGCCATCTCCGAGATAGACACCAACATGAGCTTGGCCGCCTTCCAGTCAAAATACACGAGCGAGGATAACGAGAGCTTCTACAAACTACTCGACAAGCAAAACCAGAAGAAGGCGGAGAAGTATGCATGGCTATGGACAGGGAACAAACTGCCGTCCAAAATGCAACTGAAGCAAAAGGAGATCGAGTTGAAGCTGAGCGAGACGCGCAGCCTGACGGACGACGGGTTCAAGAAGGACAGGTTGGCGATCAAGGACAAGGACGACCGACCTGCGGCTCCAGATGCGTGGAAAGTAGCACCCAAGAATGCGCTCATGTTCCGACCAGACAACATGGATGATGGCGTTGAAACAGTAGCCGAGCGTGCTCAGGCTGAGTCACGCGCACCGCCCAGGAGCATCGTTTACGCAAACACAAGAATGCCGGGTTCCGCGATTACACCAGAGGAGACTATTCCTCCGTCGCCATCTCTGTCGGCTGTTCGCGATGCAATTGCCGGAAACCCGAGAAGAGTAGACCAAGATTCCACCGCCGGGGGGAATGAGACTCCGAGGGTGAATGGGTATGCTTTTGTCGACGACGAAGAGCCAGAACCAGAGGCAGAAAGTGCCGGGCCCGTGATCAATCTTGGTCCCGGAGATGCAACCCCAAACCCTTTCCACCTTCAAGAACAGAGGAGCCGGGAAGGTCTGCATCATAGGATGGTTGATCGCATCGCGCAGTCAAAGCGGACTTCGGCCAGGCTTGGTCTGACAGGCAAACCTGACAAGACTCCATTAACCAAGTATCCGAGCAGCCCCAGGGTAAGCGGAGATCTCACACCGGCTGCGCAGCGACTTTGGAGCAAGATAGGAAGCTCTAGTAACCAAAACCGTTCACGAACGCCGTTCAACGGAACAGCTACGAAAAGAGCCAAGATACCGGGGTTGAAGGCAACTCCCAAGCGGCCCTGATTGCCGTTATGCCTTGATGATGTTCATTCATAGCGATTGATGTACTTGAAAGATACCCATACATACCTAAGCTCAATAGACTCGACCGACAATTGGTCTTCGTTTTCTAGTACATTCCCACCAATGCCGGCATGTAAATTGCTCTCCTCTTTTGTGAGGCTATCAATGCTACAAGTACATTTATTTAGACGGGCTTCTAATCCCTGAACCGTGACCCACTTCCCGCCAAAATGATCGTCATCAATTGGAGCTACTGCATGAAATTTTGGGAGAGCTCTCGGGAACACGCGGGCAACCTTTCAAAGAGCTTCTCAGTTCCGACAAACCCCATACTGCACTGCTCCAAGGCCAATGCGCAGGGGCATGGCTTCCCAGTAGCTTGGTCAGAGAGCCGCGCAAATCAAAAGGTGCGCCGCGATGAGGTTCGTCGACTTTGCCCTCGACCTCGCGGCCGTCCTCAGCGCGTCCCGCTCCGTGGCGGCCAAGCACGTCGCCCTCCGGAGCCGGCAGCTCGAGCGCTTCAACCGCACATCGAGCGTCGCGCAGGCGCTGAGGGAGAAGGGCCAGCAAGCCCAGGACTCTGCGGCGGCGGCGGCGGCGGCAGCGCAAAGCGAGGCTACGACACAGCAGGATGCGGAGCCTACGGTGCAGGCGCAGCCCGGCGGCAGTCCACGGTCCGCGGTGGACGAGGCGCTAGAGTCCGAGTTTGACGGCGACGCCGCCGTGGCATCCCAGCCCGAGACTCGATCGGCTGCGGCTGCGGCTGCGGCTCCTGCCCCGTCTCTGGGCGCTGACGGTGCCTTAGACGGCCTATATCCCGCGCCGCCGCCCTCGTTCTCGAGGGCAGCAAAGCGCGCCCCCGAGGATAGCGCCATCCTGCGTGAACTCCGTCAGCGGCAGGCCGCAGCACCGGTTGAAACGAAAGCAGATGTGGACGAGTCTACTGCTCCGCAAGCAAACGAGGCCAAGTCCACGCCTGATGAGGATTCTGAAGTGCCCGAAGGCATCGATATCAACGTTTTCCGGACGAGTCGGGGCTCGCGGTTGATCGAGCGATTTGACAAGTCGAAGAAGGGAGACAAGGAATTGTCGACCAAGTCAAGTGTTGGATCTACAGCACTTTTCAAGGACGTTGATCCTACTCTTGAAGCACGACCTTTGGTATCAGCGGCTGCGCCCAAAGGAGTACCTCCGAGCAACGCCGAAACGGAGGTTGCTCCTGATTTTACGGTGCCTCCTTCTCAGATTCCAGAGTCCAGCGAAGTGCAAGCATCATTCACGCAGACTACCGAGACGCCAGTGGTGAAATCATCGAATCCCGACATTGAAAAGTCTGCCGAACCTGCCAAGGCGGCTGCCGAGCGGGGAGAAGCGCTTGGGAGCTCGACAACGTTCGTACCGCACCAATTGAGAGAGTCAAAAGTACCTGCGACACGCTTGAGCCGGATGTGGAATTATGGCGGTCTCGCTGCAGGCATGCTGGGTGGTGCGCTCACGGAGAGCATCAGTAGGGGATTTGGTGGAGGTGGACAAGGCTCCGTGATGCTGAGCCCGGCTAACATGGAGAGGCTCGTCTCCAAGCTCTCCCGCATGAGGGGCGCAGCATTGAAGCTGGGCCAGATGATGAGCTTCCAAGACTCCAAGATGCTCCCGGCGCCTATTCAAGAGGTTCTGCAGCGGGTTCAGGACAGGGCAGACTATATGCCAGCTTGGCAGCGGGATCGGGTCCTTAAAGAGAGTCTCGGAGCCGAGTGGAGGGAGCTGTTCGATACGTTCGAAGACAAGCCCATCGCAGCGGCTTCGATCGGTCAAGTCCACCGCGCTACGCTGAAGTCGACCGGAGAGCAGGTTGCGGTCAAGATCCAGTTCCCAGGAGTGGCTGACTCAATCAACTCCGATCTCGACAACCTGGGCATCCTCCTTACCGCCACAAAACTTCTCCCAAGAGGTCTCTACCTGAACAAGACCATTGACAACGCTCGGACTGAGCTCGGATGGGAATGTGACTATATTCGGGAGGCCGAGTGTGCTGAAAAGTACCGCGAATACCTGAAGGACGAGCCAGAGACGTTTATAGTCCCCAGGATATTCCCCGAGGCGTGCGGCAAGCACGTCCTCACCATGGAGTACCTGGAGGGCATCGGCGTCACGCGCGTCAAATCCTTCACCCAGGAGCAGCGGGACTGGATCGGCACGCAGATCCTGCGGCTGTGCCTGCGCGAGATCACGGAGTTCAAGTTCATGCAGACGGACCCCAACTGGACCAACTTCATGTACAATGCCAAGACCAACAAGCTCGAGCTGCTGGACTTTGGCGCCTCCAGGGCGTACCCGGACGCCTTCATCTCGCAGTACATACAGCTCCTCATGGCGGCTGCCAGGTCGGACCACGAAGGCGTCAAGGCCTGGTCCGAGAAGCTCGGCTATCTCACCGGGCACGAGAGCAAGGTCATGGTCGAGGCGCACGTGCAGTCGGTGCTGACGCTGGCTGAGCCCTTCCTTGGATCGGCGCCAGAGCTGTATGACTTCCAAGGGCAGACCATCACAGAGCGCGTCAAGGCTCTGATACCCGTCATGATCCGCGAGCGCCTCGCACCCCCACCCGAGGAGACGTACAGTTTGCACCGAAAGCTCAGCGGTGCGTTCCTTTTGTGTGCCAGGTTAGGGAGTCGGGTGCGGTGTAGAGACCTGTTCGAAGAGGCCATCAAGAAGACGGATCTCGTGCCAAGGTAGCGACATAAGGGAGGCCAATAGCAGCCTGTGTACGAATATGTATCATTAAGCCGGGTATTATGTGCAGATACGGGGGTAACAGAGATGATGGAAGCACTACTCATAGATCACTTGTACCAGTATAATTAATTACTAGACAGAAAAGCATCAAAACAGACAATCCTTTGCAAACGCTCTAAAGATTTCGAGTTCGTATACATCCTTACTTGAGGGCACATAGCCTCAGTCTGTAATGCGTTCACTCCATCCCCCGCCTCGCCACCGGCATGTCCATCCTCTCCTTGGCGGCCTGCTTCTTCCTCCTCTTGGCGATGGTCTTGTCGACCTGCTTGTCGCTCATGTCGGCGAAACGGTCCAGGAGGAGCCTCTTCTTCTGCTCCGACTTCTTGAGGTAGAAGGGCTTCTTGCCCTGCTTGACGAGCTCCTTCTCCCGCCGGCGGTGCTCCTCGACGACGGCGCGCTCGCGCTCGACCCTCTTGCGCGCGTCCCGCTTGCCCTCCATCGACTTGAGCGCCCGCTGCAGCTGCTCCTTCTCGTAGGGGTTCTTGGCCTTCCTGGCGGCCTGCCGCAGCTGCGCCATCTCGGACTCGCGGTACTCGTCCAGGAAGGCGTAGGCCCGCTCGTCGGCCCGGCCGCCCGGGTGCGCCACCGCCGGGTCGAAGCGCGGGTCGCGCGCCTGCCTGCGCGCGCCGAGCTCGCCCGTGCTGACGACCTCGCGCCGGCGCGAGACCTGGCGCGTGCTGGGCATCTCGGCGGGCGCGTGCTTGTTGGCGCGGGCCAGGGCGGCGGCGGCGGCCTTCTTGGCCTTCTTTTTCTTGTCGCCGTCGTCGTCGTCCTGGTCGCGGCGGCCTTGGCGGTCTCCGCTGCTGCCGCCATCTTCTGTGTCCTTGGTGGACTTGCTGCGGCGGTCCGGCCGTGATATGGACGCTTGGGCGCGGGCTAGTGCGCCGAAGGATATAGACGAGGTGTCTATCGCGGGGGGCTCATCCTCGTCAGACTCGGACTAGGGCAGATGTTAATTTGGAAAGCTCAGGCCGCTTCTGAATGTAGGCATTACCTCTTGCTCTGCTTCGTCTTCTTCAGAACCTTCAGAGCCGCTATCAGGTTCTTCATCATCCGAGTTATCTTCAGAATTATCGGTCACATCGTCCACGGACTCTATGTCCTCCACTTCCTCAGGTTCCGGGTCAGCACGTGGCCGAACTCGCCGCTCCAGGCCAAGATGGCCGAGTTTCCTCTTCTTGAAATCCATGTCTGGGTAGATGTGTATTGGCAAAAGCTGGTCAGCCGGGCCAGATCAAGCGTACAACCGATGTTCTTGATGATAGATGGGAGTTTGTTGTCTGGGCGGGAGATAGGCGGCAGAATTGGCCAGCCCACCAGTATTTTTTTAGGCGGTGAATTTGATATCGGCACAAGTACCAGGACCTGATCTTTGGGTTAGAACTCCCGCGGAATCTGGGCGGGGTGTACTTTGAATAGACCCCTGAAATTTCTTATCGGAACTACGATAGAGACATGTGGCAATCCACATTTAACATCTTGAAAACCTGGGGTTCATCCTGGTTTGCGCCGTACAAACAAGATTGCTCCTCTTTCACATCTGTGTAGCGTCTACAGCTGAGGTGATAATCTGCGCCAGTTCTTTGAGGTGTGGCTCGGTTCATTGCATAGCGATCATCGTTACTTTCATCATCTGCCTATAGAGTTGGGTATACACAAGACTTATCGAACAAAAGTCGTCCTTTGCATCTTTATCCCACGAAAGGATAATACCACATGCAACTCAAGATCGCGCCCAAGCGGGTTTTAAGAACTTCAATAGCATCAAGACTCCTATCTTCAGCCATACCAGACCTCACACTATCAAGACCACAGCGTCACCAAAGACTAGCAGAGACAGTCACCATACAGCCCTCCCAGTCCTTCGCATCGCAGCCTTTCCAGAGATCTCAGCGATCAGGCATGGCGAAGGGGAAAAGGAGAAAGCCTCGCGGCCCTTCGGTAGGAGGCGCCGGCCAGAGAGGCTCCGGCTCGAGTGGATCGGCAGCATTGCCATCTCAGATGCCAGGCAACAAGGAGCTGCCCAGCACGGCGGCTTGGCAAGATCCCACGTTCCATGAGAACCTCATGGCCTCGCAGCCTCTCATGCCGGGCCCCATGCCGCTGCTGCCGCAGTTCAACATCGGCCAGACCATGCCCATGATACCATTCATGCCCATGTTCTCGGGCGCCATGCCGGGTCCCATGCTCTACAACCAGAGCACGCCCCTGGTCCCAGACTTTACCCCGTTCCAACAAGGGCCGGCCCCTCTCATGCAACAACAACAACTACCCTTGCGACCACAATCTGCAACGCAGCTACCGAGCAACGGCTCAACACCAAACGCAGACCAGGCACCATCATCAAAGAAGAACAAGATCCTCACCCGGGACGCCATCGTCCCCCCCTCAAAGGAGTCAGGCGGCGTCCCGGACCCGTCCCCGTCCTACCTCGCCCGCGCCTCCTTCCTCCCGCAGCGCACGCCCGCGAGTAAGCCCCTCCTCGTCGTCATCGACCTCAACGGTACCCTGCTCCACCGCCCCAACCGCGCCAGCCCGTCCAAGTTCGTCGCCCGCCCCCACGCCGCCGCCTTCCTGTCCTACTGCATCCGCACCTTCTGGGTCGTCATCTGGTCCTCGGCCCGCCCCGCCAACGTCCGCAGCATGTGCGCCCGCCTCATCCCCGAGCCCGAGCTGTCGGGCCGCGTCGTCGCCGTCTGGGGCCGCGACCGCTTTGGCCTGTCCGCCGACGACTTCAACCGCCGGGTCCAGTGCTACAAGCGGCTGACGCGCGTCTGGGAGGACGACGTGGTCGCCAGGTCACACCCGGCGTACGCCCAGGGCGGCCGCTGGACGCAGGGCAACACGGTGCTCGTCGACGACTCCATCGAGAAGGCGCGCAGCGAGCCGCACAACCTCCTCCAGATCCCCGAGTTTGCCGGCGACGTCAACGAGAAGCCCGAGATCTTGCCGCAGGTGCACGACTACCTCAACGAGCTGTGCTTCCAGAGCGATGTCAGCACGTATATCCGGAAGTACCCTTACAAGCCGGGCCCTGAAGGATGGACTCCAGAGACACCACCCTGACGTGGGTGCCACTCGAGGGAGTGACAGGATTGGGCATGGATAGAGCGATGGCTCGTTTAAGGAGAGATCATAAAGAGATACCCCCGTGGAGTTGTAGACAAGCCACCATCAATACATGTGGCATAGGTTTTAGCAGAAGAGAATACGAGATATACTTCGGGTCACGTTTCAGGAGCGAAGCCTCAGCGGAGCAGTCTTCGCAAAACCATTCTTGAATTATAAAGAAGGTAGCTACCGATTGATGGTCCTCGGGGAGTATCTATAAACATCCGAGCACCTCAATCCGACCCAGACCCAACCCCCGTTATTTTTGTCCCTGAACCCATCACGTCAATCATTAACACATCATCCACGCTCTTCAACCCATGGCGACTTCGTCTATTTGAAGACCTTGCCAGTGGCGTGGGCATACTCCTTGCCGTTCTCCTTGATGGGGCGGTCCCAGGTCCACTGGTCGCGGACGTACTCGCGGTCCTCGGCCTTGGTGGGGTCCAGCTTGGCGAAGCTGTAGCTCTCATAGTCGGGAGCGACGTCGAAGACGGGGAGGTAGTCATCGCCACGGATGACGAAGGCACCCTCAATGACGGAGTCGTTGTTCTCGCCGAAGACGGAGGCGCAGCCGAAGAGGTACTTGCGAGAAGCCTCCAGACGGTTGTTGAAGCCGCCGATGAGGTTGTTGGACATGAAAGTCAGAGTCAACTCATCGTTGTACTTGTACTTGACCTTCCAGATCGAGTACTCGGTGAAGGGGACGTTCTCCCAGAACCACTTCAGAGAGTCAGCCTCGTCGTGGTTGGAGTAGTATCGCTTCCACTCATCGAGAGGGAAGGTAGCCCTGGGCAGAAGGTCGAGGGGGTGCTTGGGCTTGGGAGCCTCGGCAGGCTCGTCATCGGCAGCAGCAGCGGGCTTGGCAGCGGCAGCAGGCTTGGGGGCAGCCTTGGGCTGCTCAGCCTTCTTGGGAGGGGTGTTGGTCAGCTTGGGCTGGTCGAGGAGCTCAAACTTGGGGGCGACGGCCGAGTAGATGGCCTGGTTGTAGACGGTCTCGTACCAACGCGAGACGTTGGGGTTCTGCTGGCGCCACTCCTTGCCGAAGAAGAACTCGAAGCCACGGGCAACGATGGAGACGGCAAACAGATCGGCCAGGGTGATGCGCTCGCCGACCAGGTAGGTGTTGTGCAGGAGGTGCTCCTCAGCAACGGAGAGAGCCTTCTGGGCAGCCTTGGAGGCATCATCGATGTTCTTCTTGTTGTAGGCATCCTTGCCCAGGAGAGGGCGGTACCAGGCACCAAGCTGGGGGAGAACCTCCGAGTTGAAGAAGGACATCCACTTCAGGATGGAAGCATAGCTAATAATTGTGTCAGTCTGTAGACACTTGAACGCAGAAAGATAATTTCCCGAAGATTGAGACTTACTCCTGCTTGGTCTTGCCGAGAAGGGTGGTCTTCTCGTTCTGGGAGGTGACTGTGAGGCTCTGTTAGCTTTTGCCACCACAATGAAGCGATGAGAAAATTCGAAAAGAGAGAGCGATTGAAATCAGAAGTTAGGCTTCATCAACATATAAGAGTTATTCAGACAGGGATAACTGTATTGAATTTGGCTAAATCATCACGTTGGGCAGCGACAGCGCAGGAAAGGGGCCCGCAGAAAAGGCAGAAATAGGAGGAGCGATATTTGGAAGAACGCGGTTGCGACGTACCATAGATGGCGATGGCAATGCACTCGGTGAGGACATAGCCGTCAGCGCCAACGAAGACGGGGACCTTGGCGAGCTTGTTGTACTTGGAGAACTCGGCGGTAGGGTTGGCGGTGTCAACCACAACCCGCTCGATATCGAGGTTGTTGGCCTTAGCGACGGCCAGGATGGCCGTCGAGCGGGGGTTGTTCTGCGAGAAGGAGAAGCTGTCAGCTAGGTCTGTCGCAAAAGGAAGTAACTACTTTTCAAGCGGATAGAGCAATGCTTACCTGGTAGGTGAAGAGCTTTCCGAACGCCATTGTGATTGATTCTTGTCACCGGGACGTGATTGAGGTCTGGTGGCGGGAGTCTGAATGGGGAGAAAAAGGAAGAGGCCAAGTTTTGCAAGGTCACAAAAAAGTTTTGAAGCATGGAGGGGGACGGAGGGGCTGGTGGGTCGCTCGGGCGCAGAGAGACGGAGCTCCTGTGGCTGGTGGGTGGGTAGCTCCGTGGGCCAATCATGTTTTTGCAAAGCTCCAGACCCCCGTGTGGCTTGCGTGCGTTCTCCACGTGATTATCATTTCTTTTGATTTTATCATCCGTCCATGGGCCTGTCAGTTGGCCAGGCCGGAAAAAAAACCACACTCCTAATCCGGACGACGAATTCGAGACGCCATTGCGGTATCGACACCCCGTGATTCATACTTCATACGGGGCTCGGAGCAGAGTGTTCTCGGCCGCATCAATGGCAAGCCTACGATCCGGCCTGCGGCCCCTTGCGGCTTGCAGGACAGCCCCTAAACTCCAATGGCACGATCTCGACGTGCAATTCCGAGCTCTGCAGATCTCGTCTAGACTCGGCAGCCGAGCGCAGTCTACTCTCAGCAGCTCAAACGAGCTTGTTCCGTCAGACTTGAACCAGCTGAGCATCCAGCAGAACGATCTGTTCCCACGCCATGCCCGTCCTCTCCCCGTCTCACCGTCCTACTTCTCTCGGCAACCGCACTTCAACGACAGTTACCTCAGACTGCAGACCTTGCTACGGAAGTATGGGAAGCTACCGGCAGCACCGCCAGAGCAGATTGAGAGGGTCGCATGGAAGCCCCTCAAGGACTACAGGCAGGCAATTGGCGAGCCTGTCAAGGCATCACTATACAAGAAGTGCATGGAGATTGTCAAGCACCTGCACAAGATCCACCCTTCTCTAAGGCCGGACGGTATGGCAGAGGCATTGCAGGAGTTCAAGCGGGACGTCAACCCTTTCCAGAATGTCACGAAACCCATCGTGGTCGACCGCTTTGGCCGGGCTCTCGGAGTGGGCCGCAGGAAGACATCAGTCGCCCGCGCCTGGGTGGTTGAAGGCACCGGCGAGGTACAGGTGAACGGCAAGACGTTGAGCGAGGCATTCGGCAGAGTCCACGATAGAGAGAGCGCAACTTGGGCGCTGCGGGCTGCAGAACGAGTGGACAAGTACAACGTCTGGGCTCTGGTCGAAGGCGGAGGCACCACGGGTCAAGCCGAGGCGCTCACCCTAGCTGTCGCAAAGGCCCTGCTGGCTCATGAGCCGGCTCTCAAGACAACTTTGAGACAAGGTAAGATGTCTACCCGGTGCGGTTTCGGCGCCATAAAGAGGATCTTGTGCTAACCTGCCTCGCTAACCCAGCGGGCTGCATGACGCGTGACCCGAGAATGGTGGAAAGGAAGAAGCACGGCCGTGTCAAGGCCAGAAAGATGCCTGCCTGGGTCAAGCGATAGTGTTTGCCGCGGCAGAGGAGGGCTTCTGGACCTCAGCCTTGTCGGTACCTGCGTGCTCAGCCCCAAGCCAGATCGTACCACGATGCCGCCGCTTTGGCTGCACGGCAAGAGGCGAGTATCAAGGTATCGCTTCATACAAGTTTCCAACTAGACCTGTCCCGCACGCGTCACCGCACGCGTCACCATCTGGCGGGGAAAGGCCCGGTTGGTGTTTACTACGGATTTTGGTTGTACTATATCTGTATCACTGTATATTATCCACTTGAGCGATCATGGAATCAAGATGATGTTGCCATAACCTCTTCTCTCCTGTCTCTAGTTCCATGGTTCGCACCCAGTGGTTCGACGTGCCGCACCCCGCATGCCCACGGCGCGGGCCTCAACTGTCGGAATGCCCAGCCGAACGGCTTGTTATCTGCCGGCCGTGTCAATAGAGAGAGACCCGACGGCTCGTTGAGGCTCGGCTGGTATCCGAGATGCAGGACATGTCAAATGCGGAGTAAGCAACCTGCATCCTGGTTCGGAAGACATTTTGACGATGCAACTCCAAACATACTCTGTCTCACGTGGCTCCACGAGCCAAATCTACAAAAGAGAAGGACTTGACTCTCGGCAGTTGATATGCTGAGAGTATCAAAAGTGAGCAAAAGAAAGGCCCGGAAATTCGACAGAAGTATCAGAGACACTGCTCAAGGCAACATGACGAACGAAGACATGGCGTTGAAAAGGACTATTAGCCCTCGGCGACTCGTTCCGCACGCATCTTGAAACTAGTCTAGTGTGTTTCTCGTTGTCAACTCTGCTGTTTGTGCTTCGAATCAACCTCACTCAACCACATTTTAGGCCGCAAGAGGCTGGCTGTCCCGTCTCACGCCATGGCCAAGGGGTGTATAAGACGGTGTCTTATGGAGGCTGTACTTGTCTCATGGGAGAGCACCCGGGAAACCAGCCGGGGTTGATGCTTAAGCATCCCGCGCGCGATTTAACAAGGTGACAATGAGAAACGTAAGGATCTTGTGTGTCATACATGATGTTGTCAAAGTCTGCCGGAGATAGAGGATGCCTTGGAGAAGGCATACGACTGTGGGCCAATAGGTACGTAGGTCGTTCTCGCAGCAAAGACGGGGGTGGCTGGAGATGCAAGAGATTGCAACGTTGGCCCCGTTTCAACCACCCAGAGGCTGCTTGAGCACAGACATACGGGGAAGTGGAACGTTCTTCTAGAATGGGCCTTTGATGTTTCATGTAGCTTTGGCCGATCCCGTGTTAGATAAGGTGAACCAGATTGGGAAACCCATGGGCCAAAGGAGATGGGCACTGCGACAGTGCCCCCGGTCGATTCGCGAACGCATAGAATTCATGCGTGGGACTTTCTGGTCTCTGCCGGGCCCAGAAACTGGCTAGCCCTTGTCCCTTGCCATCATTCTGAAGCACAAACCGAATCGCGCCGATTGGGTGATGTGACCGTTGGAGAGTCTCCTGAACCTGCGGCGTACTATGATCCGCGAACGAAGTATAGCAAGTATGTGGTGCAGTTGCCGTAGACGATGTTGTATCTACAAGCCCGCCTTGACTGTTGCCGATCCTGATCACCGACTCTATCGGTCGGCGTTTTGACGTGACCGATTTGCAGACCAGGGACGAACGACAGATGAGTCGACTCTTATTGGCCATATTAGCCGACCACGCTCAGCTCCTTGCCTGCCGGGTTGATATTTGCCGTACCCGGAGTTTTCCCTTCATGACTACTCGCTAGTCCACACTCTGTGGGAATACCTAAAGGCTGACACATGGTAGAGTAATTTGCTGACGTACAGCTGAGAGGTTGTCTGGAGACGAGAAATGAGGCTAGAAGACAGCATTAAGACCTATATGGAAAGAGTCCGAAACAGGCACTAGCTCAGTCCATTTTGTGATTGCAGGGTCGTTGGGGTTTGATGGGTTGGTTTGACTAAAATGCTGCTTATTTTACTTGCTTGATGGCGACGAATCCCCAGCATCGACGGGATGCCCGAGACAGAGTTGAGCTTTGGCCAGCAGAATGAAATTGCGGTTGTGGAGTTGAGGCGTTCCTGGAGAAGCAAACGAGCGAGAAGCCGGGCTCTCCGTTGCGAGCTGGAATGAGGTTCAGCTCATGGATAGGTACTTGGGCGCATCCAAGGAGATTGAATTGCTCTCGAGACGAGATGCAAAAAGTGTCGAGGGCTAAAATTAGCGGAATGTTCCCAGTCTGCCAGTCTAGGTACCAGTGTCGACAGTGGGGACCGGGGAGGTGTCGCCGCCTTGTCTTTGAATTGATCGACACTGGTCGCCTCGCATGAGGCTGAGATCTGCAGACCAGGACGAGGAAAGCGGACCAGTCGTCCATTGCCAGTGTGTAGGAATTCAATTCCGGATTTTGCGATCGATCGAACAGAAATGCGCAAGCCATCCGCTCCTCTTGCATCCAAGCCTGCAGCGATTAGCGACTAGAGGGGGACCCTGCATCATCACTCGCTCGCAGTCACCACTGCTGTGACATCCTGGTCTGTTAAGAGGAGGGCGCCCGATTCGAGGTTCCTAAACCCTTCCATGGCCGCCTTACCATCCCTCCCTCGTGTGTGGAGACGGGCAGCCTCGCATTACATCTGCCATCAAGTTTTTGGGTCCTTTTGTGACTGGCACCTTGGCTGGGTCGATGCTGTTTCGCTTCATGAGACTCATCTTTCCCACCGAGATACCTTCTCTGGAAAGATCTGCTCTTGGTGTGCTTCCCAGGTCGAGATACGTCGTATGTCAGCCCTGCGAGTGGGTTATGATGGCGAAACAAGTGCGTCTCGTCAAGGCTGTGCTGTGCTCTAAGACCTTTCCTTGTCACGAGAGATACAATGGGGAATATTCAAGATTCTGTGCTCCTTCTGCCCTTGTGCCGTTGGCTGCGGAGGTGGACCTGGGAGAGAACGCATCTTACAAAGATGGTCGCAGCACGTGAAGCTGCAGGTGTCAGTGGAGGCAGTTGCTACCTACCTTGTAGTTACCCTACATTGCCTAGGTACTTACCTTAGCAACAATGGTTCAATCTGGGCGGGTGGAAGGCACGGTCAGCGCACCATGATTAAGTGATTAAGGGGACTGCGATGCGATTTCGGTTCTCCACAATCTGTAGCATCTGGCAAGTACGACATGCATGTACTCCGTACAAGTACCGAGACCTGAAGTTTCCGGGGGCGGATGCGTGGTTGCAGCGCAGGTGCAGTGGTCTCAAATGGTGAATTGCTTAATACTTCTGTTGCAGCTGGGCAGTGGGCCAGTCAGGTGCAGGGAGGTACCAAGACTTATTCGAGTTGCATGCCCCGTAGTTAGTTGCTTGGTGTCTCCTGCTGGTCCGAGGGAGGTACCTCTCCCTATTGGTCCAGGTCTAGCCAACTCTCATAAAGAGAAGACATGAAACAGAGTCGTGAGAGTGTGAAGAGATTGTATCCCGCAAGGTAAGCTGTGGTGTTGATTCGATCCACAGCCCTGCCTCGTTGTCTCTTCTTGCGAGGTGTTTTCTCTGAAAGACTTCGCACTCTCTCCGGTCCCCCCCAAGCAAGCCAGAAGCAGGTACTCGACTTGTAGTTAAACGGGCATGTACGGAATTAGGTAGGGCGCCAAGGCACGAGCAGGGATCTGGCCCGACTGGCTTGCCCGTTGTAACGTCAAGCAGGTGTGTGGCAGGCTGGCGGACACTGGCGGGGTGGCAGGCGCACATCCTTCCATGCAATCAATTAATCCCTGGACCGCCTGCAGGCCATGCAAGCTTATTAACAACGTCCTCGTTCCCTGCCAGCTTTCAATTCCCTCGACATGGTTCAAGGTTCTAATGGAAAACCACCACAATTTCCCCGACAAGACCCCATCACCGACCTGTCTCTGCACCAAGAGCATGCGTGGTACCTGTACTTGGACTCTTGCACCATGTTTCAGCAGCTGCAGCCCACAATCGAGCCCAAATTTACCATCGAAACACACGGAGATGACTCCTGGACGTGCAGCCACTGCCCCCCGGCCCAGCTTCAGCATCAGCATCCGCATCCGCATCCGCATCCGCGCCGCTATGCTCGACGGCACCAAGCCAGAGTAAGCACCCTTGAGTCCAGAGATGGTTGGGCTGCTACAATTGGGCATCATCAGGCGTTCTCACCGGCAGTGCCGCCCGGAATCATGGGTCGATTTTTGTTGGCTTGGTCGTATCCAATTTTTACTGTCTGTCACATGCTGCTGCAACCTCTTCTCCTTCCCCCTCGAAATTCCGCCTTTGCTCTCTGCGGTCTCTTTTTTCCCACTTCAAAAGATGGCCAGTGGTCAATATCCCAAGCCACTAGGACATCGCGCCAGTGGTTTGGCAGGTCCTGACTACACCCCCACTCGGAGTCAGGAACAATCAGAGACCACTATGCGGATCAAGGAAGGAAAGAGCATCTTTCCTTGGTTGTTAGCCTATCAACTCTTGCTTGGTCTGCACAGCACAGATCGGAGGTGGCTTGCTGATCCTGAAACGTTGTCGACAGGAGTATGGGGGTGGAGATGGCCCTCCAGATGATAATCGCATCTAGGCCCTACAAGTACATGCTTGCATGCCTATCTACTCCATGCTGCTTGCAGAATGCAACTGCGGCATCATCCGACAACCTTGTCATGACAAGGGTCATGCAGAGAGGCCGGGGGACAATCGTCTTCGACAGCTCTGGTCCAGGGCCGCATAGAAGCGGCCAATTGTCGGCACCCTGTGTCACAAAACCTGAACAGACCGGAGGACCTAGAGGGTACCCCAGTGAGCTGTGGCTCTTCCTTCCGCACGGAACCTACAAAGCTCTAAGGACCCGGCCGCAGCCCAAGGTTCCCAGTCTGCTGGATCACATATGGCCTCTCTCACACGGCCGACGACGGTCAGAACAGCATGGAAGCTCTACTGACTAGTCGCCATATCTCGTAGTTGCAGTAGTTGACAACCGTTCGACCGAAACTCGACCAGATGCTGGCTGACCGGCCTTGACACATTTCGAGAGTGATCCTGGACTTATTAGTGGACTTTTGGCACATGGCATTGCATTGGCTCCTTTCTAAGCCCAAACGGATTTAAACTGGCTTCCCCGTCTCCTCCCAAGGCGATGGCTCTCTGTCCTCTTGGACACATGGTCACGTCACCCAGTCCACTTCTCTCGACTCTTAGTGCCCTTCGAGCAGCAGCCTCTGCCTGTCCCTTTGGTTCTACGGCCAGGTACAGAAGATCGAGGAGCATCACATTCCCCCCACTGCCAGTCCAGGCTAAGGCACAGTTTTTCTCAAACTAGCAAAAGGTGAAAGGACCACTCTTACGCAAAGGGCACCCACACACACACGGAGACGCACACACAAGTGGCCCGCTCACACCTTGTGAGGTACCTCATACCTACCTACCTCTCGGAAGAAGCCCTCCTCATCAACTCGAAACAATCAGCTGGCTTGCAGAGCTACGTCTCCAATTGGGAAGGGACCGGGCACAGGAGACGTTTATATACAGGACTGGAAACACCAAAGAAAGACACAATAGTCTCAAAGTCAGATATTAACGTCGGGACTGGCTCAATCTGATTTGTCGTGCAGGTCCTCGGCCACCTACCACCAGAGAGTTCATCCCCTCCAAAGAGGAAAAAAAAGCAATTGTCAGCCGAGAGCGGATGATCACCCATCACACAGAGTCGAGCTAATGGATGCTTGGGAATTGGCCTAAATCACTAGCTTGTCCCGAGCATCCAACACCAAGAACGCCGGACCCACGACGGTCTCTCCACGAGAGCTGGTCTGGTAAAAGAGGCTTCGCTAAAGACGCACTCCAGCATTTCTTCTTTAGGAGATACCGGGTGGCTTCTCATCCCAGGGTGCTCGCCTCGCAGCCAGCTGCCCCTGTTCTTCGCTCAACTTATGTGCGTATACTTTTTCCCTGTTCCTTTGTATCATGATCGTTCAGTGTCTTATCGGTGCTGGATGCGCCTCTCCTGTCCTCTCCTGTCCTCTCCTGTCCTCTCCTGTCCTCTCCTCTCCTCTCGCTAGCCTTCATCCCTCCCTTCTTCACTCATAGTCCTTTGATCACCGCCCGGATGTCGTGGCGGTTGCCGAAGCTCTCCTTCCTCCCCTCTTCTTGGCCTTCTACATTCCCCCGAAGTCGAACACATATTAAGCGCGCCAGACCCTTTCCCACCCCCCCAAGCCCTTGCACTTACACGCGCGCCCCATTCCAAGCCCCATCTCCGCATCCCTGTCACAAGAGTACCTGGCTGTCTGCGCCGAGTTTACCTCTGGTCGGTAGGTACCTATCGTCGTCTGCGTCCCCATCTCTGCATATCTCCCTACCTGTCATACCACCGCCACCAACGCAACGAATGCAGGCGCCACAGCATGTCAGTGGTCTGGCCGATTCCTTTAAACCATGTCTCCCAGAAAGAAAAGGCAACCCCACCGCCCCTGGGGCTAACCATCAAGGCTAGGGTATCAAACTAAGAAGGGTTGGCTCAATACTGGACACCTGTAGATCGCTCCACCTCAAGGTCAATCAGCTGGATCCATCTTGGCTGGCTCTCCGAGCCTTCGGCGACACTCTCGACCCCAGTCCTCTCCCGTTGCAGATGTCCAGCTCCTCATGTTCTCAGGTCGGCATTCCTCCTCATGTATCTCTATGCTCACAAACCACCCATCATTACCTACCCTCGCCCTGCACAGTGCCACGCCGTCATAGGTACAAGACTCTCCTCCCAGGGGTGGGACCTAGAATTTCCGTCAACCTTTGGCTCGCCGGTAGCGTGTACTTCCTTGCAACAAACGAGCTGCCGGAGCTGTGTCTTCACTAGTTCGCACCCGTTACACTCCTGTTCTCTCCACGACCTCCGTGGTCGTCGATTCTTCTCACGCGGTCTGCACCTCACTATACCGAGTTGGGCCCTCGACTTGCGCCTCTTCTTCACCTTCAAGGTGTCCACCCGCTTCCCCGAACATTCTATCTGCCTGGGCAGGGGATACGTCTTCTGAGCTAGTTTCCGATAGCCTCTAGCCCACTCACCTAGACGTTCAGCTTCTGTGGGCACTGGCAAGCTTCGTGCTACTGCTCTGTTGGAGGTCCCCCTTATAAGACCCAATCAACAGCCACTACACACTCAAGCAGGCCCTCCCCTGTTCTACCTATTCGAACCCCCTCTCCCATCTTCACCAAGCCTACTGGATAGGAGCTCTCATCCCCTTCACCCTTCGTCAGCCCCCGTCCCTGCCTGGCGCGATTACATAAGAAAGGTCAGGCGAAGCCTCGATTCCCAAACAAAAACCTGCACGCCTGGCCCGAGGTGTGAACTGACGCGGTCCTTTGGCCCAGCAAGCAAGGTTGGATTCTTTCCATGCGTCACGGGTGCGGCTTTGCCGGCACCACGAGCCCAGCCGGCGTTCATGCAGAGTCGTTGACTTGCAGCATCGAGATATTCTTAGCCTCACAATAGCGCCTAGCCTCTCGCGACACACCCCTTGCCTGTCCACTCCGTCGTGGCTGTCGAAGTGTGATTCTAAAGCTTCTGGACCACTCCTTCCTCACCTCCAGCCCACTCGAAAGTCCTTGCCCTGGTATCACATCACACCTTGATCAAGTGTTGAACCTTCCATTCGCTACGGGAACCACATACTATTTAACCGGGACGTCGTCTAAGTCGGCATCCGTTCCACTCCATCGATCAAGGCAGCTGCTCCTCCAACCTGTCTCTCCTTTACACAGCGCGCGACCAGGGCAGCTGTTTTCTTGCGCCTCAACAGTCGAACCAACTCGAGTAATCTTCTCCTTCGCCCTCGCTTACGAAAAGTTTGATACTTGGTATCTTCAGTCACTGCTAGCCGCGTTAGCACTCTTGCTGCTGATACCACCGAGTCGCATGCCTCGTGGTGTCATCCTCGAGCAACCTTAACCCGTGCTACTGCAGATTGCCTTAGCTTCTTTTCTTCGGCCACGCACCAACCGGGCCTAGTCCTGGGTATTCAGGCATTGCTGCCCAAGCAAAGACCGCGGTAAGTGGTAGCGGCTGCGCTTGGTCCAAGTCGGAAACCTTGGGTTTCTCTTCAGGTCCTTCATCGGCCGCACAACGGATTGGGCGCATCGCCTGACGTTGCTGCGAACGCGCCGCTTGGAGGAATGGATGATCCAAATCGCCAGAGGAGACAGAATGACGTCCCGATGCATCCCTCGTCGAACCCTAGATATCACCAGCCGGGCCAAGACCCGTCGCAACAGCGCCGGTCTTACGGGGGCGGCGCCGCAGCCGATAGATTCCGACCATCGCCAATTAACACGTCGGCTGCGGCTGCGGCAAGGGGCATGAGTGGCTCGGCTGCCTACAGTGGCTACTACCAGGACACGGCACCAAACACTTTCCCCGCGGCGACTGGGATGCCGCAGGGCGCCATGGGCTATCACCAGCCAGCGGCAGATTACGGTCAAGACGCGCGCCAAACCCAGGGCTTTGCCAACGCGTACAACCAGGCCAGTATGATGTACAATGTCCCACAAGCAAGCACGCAAAGCTCCGTCTACGATACGAGTCACCAGTTCTCCTCTCGGCAGCCCGCAGCGTTGCAGATGATGGCGACGGATGTGACGGCCCCGTACTTCCAAAGCGAGCCAGCCAATGCGGCCGCAGCGCAAGGCATCCCGCCGCAAACAGCCTCTGCTGGCGCCTCGGCGGGGGTATATCAACAAGGACAAGCCGACAGGTCGAGCATGCTGCAGAGTTATGCTGGCCAGATGGCTTCGATGGGAGGCATGGGCTCTCAACAACAACAACAACAAGCGTCAACAGCCTCTGCCGCCGACACCAGCATGGAAGAGCAAGAGTACAGAGCACCGGGCGGGCTTGAAGAAGCCTATGCCTCCTATCAGACTGCGCTGAAGGAGATCTTCCAAAATATCATCAACGGTGTGTTGGCGTCGGCTAGCGACAGTCTCCTCAACGTTTCCGACTGGCTCCTTTCCCACGTTGCTGAGCTGGGTAAGTTTAGGGCCCCCGCTGCCCCTTCCCTTGGGCGAATCAAGTGGCTTGTCAACTTGTGAGGTACTGTACTAACTTTAGTATGCAGGCCTCAACATGGACGATCAAAGCCTCCACGCAGACCGTATCAAGCTATGGAACGACTTCAACCACGCATGGCTGGCTCTCTTGCAAAAACAAAAGGACATGATGGAGTCGGGACAGCAGTTGCAGCGATCCCAAAGCCTTGTGTCTCAAGAGAGCCTCGAGAAGATGGGCAAGGAGCTTGTGCGCCTCTGCGATGGTATCGAGCGCCACGGGCTGGTCGACTACCAGTACGGGGTTTGGGAGGAGCAAATCATTGCGAGTAAGTGAGATGTGGGCATTGTTACATTGGTTTTGGCACTAACCCGCCTCCTCTTTTCCTCCAGTCCTCACAGAGTGCCTAGACCTGTACGAGACACCCGGTGCCGGCGGAGATGCTGCAGGCTCGACTTCGCACCGCGCGTAAGCAAAATTCCCAGCGCGAACGGGCCGGAAAGTACCACTTTGCCGCAGCCGCACTACTCCTCACAAGTCTTGTGGCTCTCGCAGCGCCACCTGTGCCTCCCTCTGTCACTTTCCCTACATGTTTCATTTGTCTTTTTTCGTGGTCTCTCTATCATTGTATGCTATACTATGGATTACACGGGCTGTCGGTCCATTTTCCTAGGGTATCAATTCTGGAGTCGGGCAGAGGGTTTTCTAGGTCGAGGCCTTGGACACACACTTTTACGGAGTTGGGGATGAGCTTACACAAGATGCATACCCTCAGAGGACATGCAAGCTCTTCATGCAGTCACATGTACACGTTTCGCCATGTCACAGGTGTTATGCATTAGGGTTCAGCATCACGGGACATGTGATAGGGTTGGGAAAGACACGGGCTCCTGAAGGACGAGGCTTTTCACCCCGGACCGGTTCCGGGTTGGACAGGCTGCCATGCTACCGGTCATGGGTCTCTGACGGGATGGGAAATCATACTCTGTACGACGGCAGGACGGACGACGTGGGCTCAATTGATTTGACAAAGGATATGCCGCTTTTCATTTTTTTCTGTTTGTGTCACTTTTTTTCTTTCCCTTTGGGTTCACCAAAAGCAAACAAGCGTATAGACCAGATTACAAGAGGTTCTCCCGCAAGGGGTTGGCGGATCACTTGTGTACCAAGTTCATATTTCGGGAAATTTCAGGATCGGGGGAGGGCGGGAAGGGACTGCTTTGTGGATATCCAATTGTTTACGTTTTCTTCTCCTTTCTTCGTGGCGACTCAGTCTCGCTTCTCTTTGTTTTGGGTACCAGACCCTACATCACCGGTACGGGAACATGTGTTATGCTTGGTCTTATTGATCTTGTACATACTAGACTCGATCAAAGCATACCGGGTACATATACGTTTGTGTGGGCCGGGTTGGCCATGACCGAGAGGGTAGCACATAGAAGAGAGATAACGGGAGAGAATCGAGGAAGGGAAAATGAACCAGGATAAAAGTGAGGCGAGTTTGCCTTTGCCGCCCCTTGCAAGCCTTGTCGACGACTGCAGAACCGCGAGAGCCATACGAACAACATTTTGGCCCAAGTCCCAAGCATGTGCTGACGTTTGTTTAGGCTCTGAATCAGGGACTAAACTAATACTAGCAGGAAAACAAGTCGCTCCACCGCTTAGGCGATCTGATGTGTCTGGTTCGCGATCCTTGGATGCCTCGGATTTGCAAGGGTGGGTGGTGTATCCAGGGGTGCATCGTCAGGGTCATGAGGGGCCGCAGTCAGTGGGAAGGCGACTACAAGACCAAATCGCAAGGCGAACACGGAAGGCCAGGGCGGAAGACTCATCCGGCGGAGATGTAGCAAAAGAATGAGACAATTGGCCAGTAACGACATCGCCGCACCTTTCTTATGGAATATTAGATCTTATTTTAGTCGAGTCGATGTGCACGCCCGGCAATGCAGGAAGCGACTGGACTGGACTGGACTGGACTGGACTGGCTGATCAGCACTGGGGGGACGTGGCCAGTGGGAGGGAAGACCGGGGTCCTAAAAGGGCAAGTAACTACCTAGGTACACATGCAGGCGCCTGCACGCCTGCATGGCGGCGGGGTGGGGAGGGAGTTTTACAGCGCCGATCGCTGCCTACATTCCCGCCTCGCCTTAGCCTGTAGCCTCTTACCAGGCTGCTGGGTCCTGCCAAAAACAAGTGTAAACGCCCACACACCCACCCTCGCCACTTGCCTCCATCCGCCCAGCCTTGTTCCTCCACCGCGCCTGCCGCCACCGCAATAGAACAGATAACAGGCATGCATGCATGCAGGGTTCGGTTAGTCCCTTCTCATCCTGTCAGAATTATTCCGCCCACACCACCACTACAAGATAAGTATGGGGGGGGGGTTTGTGTGGCGTCCTACTTGGGCAAGATGATAGGCTTAGTGGAGGGCGGGGGCGAGGAATTGCATCCCCAAGAGGCGAACCATCCTCGCCCGTCGCCTTGCTCTCAGCCTTGCATTCCCATCCATTCGCTGCCATATCCCGCATTGGGCCCCTGTTCCGCTCCTGGCCATCTATCATATTCAACAGATGTGCCACACCTGCATGCGTTGCATACGCAATCCAGGGAGTGGACAGGGAACCCTGTTCACGCTACTGCAATCGACGGAGACGGCGCAGCCCTCCATGCACAACCGTTTTGTGATGCTCAATCCGGGGGCCAGATGCACGCCCACGAACGACGCGGCACTTTGCCCAAAAATGGTGATCAGCACGCTTCAGCCTCACCTCCAGGGGTCCGTCCCTCGGGAGCAGTCCATCCGTCGGACCCTGCAGATCCTGATCTCGCAGGCGAGCGGCTTCGGCGATCGTGATATCGAATCAGGACCCTCCAGTTGGGGGGGTTTCCTGTGATCTGAGGTGGATGCGCCTTGTCAAGTGACCGTGCAATACGGACATGTCCGCTCGCACATCGAAGAATAAACGCCGTGTGGCTCGTCCGGACGAGATCCTCCCTTGTCTGCGTCTCAAGCTACAATGGCGATCACGCCACCCGCCCTGCCCTGCTCGGGCGATTTTCTCGCAGATTACATACATACGATTATCGTACACACTATGTACATATGCACCTGTCCACGATCAGGCGGCCGTCCAAGAGCCAAGGAGTGGGTGTGAGGGAGAAGGGGGGGTAAAGGGCGACTAGTAAGGATCCCAGGCAGGGCTTGCATGGCTTGCATGGCTTGCCTCCAAGAAACAAATAATTCTGGAGAAAACCTGGCCGGCGGCAAGACGGGAGGGCGCGTGAAAAGTGCGGGAGCTAAAAAGAGGCCCGCAAGCAGGGTCCGCTAACGAAACCTTGCTTGCATTTCCTGGAACATGCGTCACTAGCCAGACCGCTAAACCTTACCGACCATCGCCACAGAACATTCCCACTCCGGCAATGTCTCATAACGTTGCTTTTTCCGGTCAGTCCTGCCTTGTGGTCCCTTCATCTCACCGGAGCCGGAGCCGGTTCCCCGGCCCTGATGTCCTGTGGCCCCCCTCGCCTCCTTCTTTCCACCGTGGATCCGCCCCATTCTGACGGCCGCAGTGCCCTCGTAGCCTTGCTTGTTTCTTTTTCATTGTGGTCCAGTTGTCAGCACTTGACCAAAGCTGGATATGCAAATGCTGATAAAAACAGGCAAACAAGCAATGATTATCCTTCGGTGGTATGCCAAGCATCAAGGCTTTTATGACACCGATGCACCCCCGCTTTCTAATCCTTTGTTTGTGGCTCGCTCCAGTGTTTACTCTTGAGTGCTGATCTTGTTCTGGCCCCAAGGCTCCTGATTGGAGCTTCCTTGGTTGAGTCATCTGCGAGACGGGTAGCTGCATTGCCTGACAGCTACGACTGTGTTACCGTCCTCTCTGCGTACAGGTCGAGCGTGTTTCACGGTCGAATCACGGAGATGAAGAGCCCAAGGTTACTTGGCCGGTGTCATTTTCGCCAGAACCAAATGCCCTCTTCATAAACATGTATCGTATACAAATCTAGAACTGACGGGGGGGACCGAGAGCAGTGGGCATACTCTGCGTACCTACCTCATCTCCGACTACAAGTACAACTCCACCATACAAGTGTTGCAAGGATTCCATGCAAGTGGGGGTTCGAGGATACGTACTTGTCCATCTTCCGGGCGTGTCGGAAGCCCAGCTCGCCCAGTCCGCTAGCCTTTGGCTCCATGTCCAGGACCAGGGTGCTAGTGACTTCAGGGCTGCAAAGGGGAGTGTGACAAGGTACGATACAAGCAATGATGTTCGCAGGGCTTCTGAGTGCACTGTTCAGGGTGACACTGTAGCACCTGATTGTTGCATCGCCAGTCCTTTTGTGACAGGTCACATAGTACTAACAGGAAAGATTCGGCGAAAAGACAAAGTACAAACAACATTGACAACGGGTGATTTCCATCGTTAACAAACAACCAGAGCATCGCACGGCGGGGCGCTTCTGTAATGTTTTGTTTTGTTTGTAGTCACAAGAAGATTATCAGTGTATTATCCTTACGACGGAAACGCAAACCATTGCTCGTATGTCTGAGACCTTGGGATAACCTCGGTCAGTCATCGAGGATTCTCGCAATTCTCACGCCTGTTGGCTACCAATGTTTTGACTTTGCAAGATAACGGCGGAGGGTAGTCTCAGAAGTTTAGTCTCAGCCTGGAACATGGGACTTTTTAGCTCTAGATAAGCTAATTGTTTCTTTGCACATGCGATACGTTTGATGTATAGTTAGACTTTGGCGGTGGTAATCATACTGGGCAGTCCGGTGAGTGTGATCAACATCTTCCACGCTATATGTATACATCTGAAAGATACATAATCGAGGAAGCTCGGTTGAACCGAGACCTCTCACGTCACATATCAAGCGGATGGTGAAACAAGAAAAGGGAGTTTGATATCGAGGTTTTAGGTAGGGGGATAGGAAGGTTTTGTCGAAGCAGGCACCTCTCTGCTGATTGGAAGGGGCCTGATTTGCTTCTAAACCCCAGTCGCCAATAGCCCGTCTCATTGTATTGTATAAAGATTGTGCCGGTATTTTGCATCATGTGTCTATCACTTCAGCCATCTTGAGATGTCTTTCAGGGACGTTTGCATATCAGTAAAGAGTCTGTATAAGGCGTTCTAATCTTGCACGATGTGGCCTCTTCCTTCGTCGGCGGTTTGGACAGGTCCAGTTCCGTTGACATAAAATAAAGATTTGTGACAGCTTGATCCGAGATCCTTGATATCACATGAGTGATGTCGTGGAGGATTATAAACTGTCCATATGCTTTTGCTTTTCCCTGCTCGGTGAAACCATGGGAGACGGAACTGGCCGAGATGGGAGCAGGACGCAGGGCATGGGAAAGGTCAGACTACAGTATCGAAATGTCATGATATGCCATATCACAAAACCTAGCAAATATAAGAAAATGAGTTCACCCACGTGTGATCGTCTTCCTGGAAATGGAATATACAAAGCAGATTTTTGTGTAAGTCATATATCAGCACATGCGAACATCTACAGGATGCGGGGTTGAACAGTGAAGCTACCTAGGAAATTGAATGCTTATACAATGGATTTATCAATTTTATGCTAGGATAATCGATCTTCTGGTACATCCGTAGTGAGTACAGCTACCCCATCACTGTTGAAGGCAGTGCTGGAGTCTGAGTGGCACGGAGGTCTACAAAAGGTGGGTGTATGCATGATTTGGAGGCCGACTTGCTGCTTGTGTATTGTAAATTCGTAAGTACGAACAGTCTCAGTGCCAAGTCCTTCAGGTCTTATCCAGCAGTACGCCATCTGCTGCTACTGGCTTGACGTTCTGGCATCTGTAAGAGCACACAAGTCTAGCTTCTTCAGATAATGAATGGGAGCAGTCCTTCAAGATGTTCATTTCCGTTATGGTGGGCATTCTCAATCTCACTACTCATGTGTCTAAACTCCAAGATTCTAGCTTCATGAGATCCTCGCCACATGGAGGGAGATGCCCGGGACATGGCGCCTCATTCGACTGTATGAAGTGTATATGCCAAGACTTGATTCGCGTTGATTTCTCTCCATCATGAAATGGCCCGGAACGATATCTCTCTGTGATGCATGCCATCCCTTAGCCAGGTATAACCTAATAACCATACTCGCGCACGAAAGAAAAGAGATCCTTTTTCATAACCCATAAAGTGAAACCTATATCGTCAACAGCCGTGGTGCTGCGTAGGATTCTCATCGTCTTGAACCAAGCCATGCTCATCTAGAATTGGTCTGGAGGCACAGAGAAATGATTAGCAAACCTGATATGTCACTGGTGTAAAGCTCCTCCCACTGAGCCAAAGGAAGGAGAAGAAACCCACCAAGTGTCATGCTCATGCTGACATCCGTGTTCTCCACCATCTTGGTGAACTCCTCGAAGCTAATCTTGCCGTCGTTGTCGAGGTCGGCCTCCATGATGGTCTTGTCGACGATCTGCTGCAGCTGCTGATCCTTAAGGTTGCTGCCGACCATCATCTTGAGCACGATGAAGAGCTCGCCGTTGCTGATGTAGCCGTCGCGGTCAATGTCGTAGACCTTGAAGGCGAACTGGAGCTTCTGCTCCTTGTTGCCCTTGGCCGAGAACGCGCTCAGGCCCGACACGAACTCTTGGAAGTCGACGTCGCCGCCGCCGTCCTCGTCAAAGATCGCGATCATCCTGTGGCAGAAAGGATACAATTAGCGGCCGTACATATTATAATCCAGCAGCAGGAGCTACATATCGGCAGGCATGTTGGGTCGCTCGTAGTCGTGCCGTACCTGGTAGCTAGAGGATTGGAAGATATCTGCGGAAGGCTGAGGAACTCGTCTCGCTCGATCGTGCCGGAGTTGTCCTGTTTGAAGTTGGCCCGGTTAGCACACCCGCCTTGAGCCCGGCTTGTGGCCTCTAGAGAGTCAAGCTCGTAGTGCACGCGCGCGCATGTGTTCCATACCTTGTCCAACTTCATGAATCTCTTTCGCAAACGCTCAACCTCGTCCCGGTCGACTAAATGCCCGAGTTGCAAGTCAGCGACGCACGTCGTCTCTCTGCAGAGCCCACGTTGGGGCCGCGCATTCCAAATGATCGGGGAGAAAGCGTACAGTTCGACCCCTCGACGATGTTGTCGAGCACTGCAGAAGTGGTGTTGCCCATATCTGCTGGTGTTCTAAGCCCCCGGCTGTGCAATGCAGGTCGTGGGAAGCGGTTTGTCTGTGGAGGCAGACCAATCAAGTGGGCGGTGATTGAAGAGCAATAGGGCTGCTTGATGTCGCCAAGTCGAGTCGGTTAAAGCGTATCGAAAATGACCGGTAGTCGCTCTGTTTGTCGCCCAAGGACCCCGGAGTTCGTCAGGTTTGTCGTCGTTGTGGAGGAAGGACCGGGCTGGGCAGTATCAAATGGGCAGCAAGGACAAGGCGGCGGGAAGGAGTGAGTTGCCTCACAACTCCTTATCGACAAATAAAGTGGGGGAGGGGCTACCTAAGACGATGCGGGAGCTGAGAGCACGGGCCAACTTTTCTTTTTCATCCCATCCGACTCCGGCAGAGGTCGGTAGTAGGTACCCCAGGCACGCGGGTGAATCACTGTCGGATGTGTGTAGCAAATACTTGGAAGACCCAACTTCAGTTGCAAATTTTATCTGAAAAGAATATATTCTAGTGCATAGGGAGGTCTCTAGTAGAGAAATGAGATATGCAGGATACAAGACAGAAAATACATTTCAAGGGGAGGTAATTCATTGCTGCTACTTGTCTTGGTGCCTTGGTGTTGAGCAGCATCCAGTGATTACAGATAGACAAAGACGCAGCACAATGCTTACTAGGGGCAGCTGGGTTACCTAACTTTTGGCGGCGAACTCACCTGAAAATATTACGCAGTCGTGACCGACCTCAGCGCTGCCAGATTGCCCCCTTTTCCCGCTAGCAGGCGCCATAATTTACTGGGTGGCTATTGGCCAGAGCGCTGCAAAAGTGACTCGTGCGGGACACCTGAGCCAATCGCCTGCCTGCAACGACGTGATTTTCCCCAGCGAGCGCCTGCTACCAGCAAAATTTGCGCCCAAACACTCAACGTCACCTCATCCAGCGACCAGACTTCAGCCATCGAAATACTATCAAAACCTACCCTTTTTCATCGAAAAAAATCGCTTGAGGGTTTCGCATGGTCCGGTTTATGCCATAGACAGATTTTCAAGCGGATTTTCCGCAGGCTTTGCGCCGACCTACCCCCCCACCAAGCAACCATGGCGACCCGTAAAGTCCGATACAAGAAACTCAACATCAAGACCCCTCTGCAGGTCCTCAGAGAGGATCAGGTCGATCCGACCGAGTATGAGTCACTCTCTACCGAGACCCAGATCGCGACCGGTGTTGAGCAGGCCGAAGAAAATGTGAGTAAACATCACCACCCGCGTCGCCAGCGATATCACGTGAAGAGATCAGATCACGTGATATCGCTCGCCTGTCCCCTATCGCTCCCGGACGTGGACAACCGTTGATGCTGACCACAATTTTCTGCTTCAGGAATACCATCTTCAGGTCGTCTTGCGGAATGCGGGCGTCAGTGCGGACAAGGAAATTCCTGTCCCACCGCCCCAGGAGACCCAGAACTTCAACTATGATGAGCTCTACCCGAGCAACTTTCGGCAGCCCACCAACTATATCCGTTTCTCGCAGACCGTCGAGGAATGCATAAGTTGCCAGTATGACATGACCGAGGCTGATGATGAGTTCCTCAAAGCGTACAACAGCAAGAGGCCGGCAGCCTCGCAGTTGTCCGAGGATGATTTTGAGTTCATCATGGAGGTGTTTGAGGACACCGCTGCCGTCCAGGCCCCCTTCGCCGCGGTAGACAACACCGTGGTACCATATGACATGATGGTCCAGGGCCTGACACAGCTAGACACAGCCAAGATCATGCCTCATGCCAAGGAGATCTATGAGCATTGGAAAACCCAGAGGCAGGTCATGGGCAACCGATCGCTGCATCCGACCCTCAAGTTTGAAACACATCAGGACAGTGATGAGATGGACCCCTATGTGTGCTTCAGGAGACGTGAAGTCCGGCAGACTCGCAAGACCAGGGCACGCGACGTGCAGAGCGCAGACAAGCTCAAGCGGCTGCGTCGCGAGCTTGAGGATGGTCGCCAGCTCATTATGCTGTCCCACGAGCGCGAGATGCTCAAGCGAGAGCTTCTGAACACGGATCGTCTCGTGTATGAGCACAGAGCCAGGCTGAAGGAAGCAAAGGTTCGGCTGGGCATCAAAGCCCACGACGAGGACCTGATCAACCAGAAGGTAAGCAAGAAGGCGGACACCAATGGACCTCGCCAAATGCTGACTCGTTTCTCGTTGCAGCCCCAGAAAAGAAAGGCCCCAGAAGCACCTGTTGTACAACGGCCTCCTGGAACACAACTGCGCATGCCTCCTCGCTCCGACGGACGCGCTGCGGAGGCTGATCTCACGCTGCTGGCGACCAAGCTTGCTGAGAAGGAGAACGAGATGCTCATGGACATCAAGACCAAGAGCGAAAACCACCACAGATGGAACCAGAACCACGTAGACTTGACCCGTGATCCACTTGGTCCCGTGCCTGGTCGGAAGGTCGAGAGCTATAGACCGGCCAAGGTCCAGTATCTCATGACCCCGCCCACTTCGGCATCTTCCGCGGAAGGTCTCGATGAGCCTACCGCCATGGATCTGGACGACCCGGCACACCCTGCGCCTGTATTCCAGTTCCGTGGGGTTGCTTCCAAAGATCAGGACGCTGCGCCGGTGCAGAGGGGTTTCAGACGGCGCATTGGACGTCTCAACCGGCTGTGGATCGACCGCAAAGGCTTGGCCAGTCCGCCGGGAGAAAGTCAGGGCCGGGAATACTCGGACCAGTGGAAGTACGATGACGAGGACAGTGACGAGGAACAGCCAGTGTACAACGTGGACCCGTTTGATCTCCGCGCTCTCAAGTTCAGGGCGACGATACCGCTGTTTCCGTCGGTGGCTCGCAAACCTCAGGCTGAGGGAGCAGCAAGTGGTGGAGCAGGAGCAAGACCGGCGCTGCCGCCAGCGCAACAGCAGCAGCAGCAGCAGCAGCAGTCTCAGCCCCAGGCGCAGCCATCAGCTTCCTAAGAAGACGAGTCTGCTGGCCTTTCTCCCCTCTGCGTCGTTTTCGATGTGTATCTTTTGTATTTTGTGCGACGAGCGTGCATTTTGAGCGGTCTGGGTCGGTTATCGTACAGGAGTTGGGACGGCGTTGTGGTGTGTTGTGTATGTAAGATAAACTGATGAAGGCGGTTCTCCCTCGTGGTTGGCGACATTTGGAGAGAATGTTCCAAGGGGTAGACAGAAGCTCCAACTTGGGAGGGAAGGGTTGCGAGAGTAGTCGACAGACCACTTTGTGGTTCCCTGGCGCTTAATATGAAAGTCGATGCCTCTCGATCGGGACCATGGTCGAAAAATAGCCGTGATGGCCAAAAGTGACAGCCGACGAAGATCTGATTTTTGTGCGGTCTAGGGCAGATATAGTGTTTCAGCCCGGCCGCTTCACGATCTGATGTAAGAGCCTTCGTTAGGAATAGTCATGACGGATCTGGGGCTGACGAGCTACCGCACACGAGCGAAAATGAAGACGACATAGGAATTCCATAAACCTCGGAAAGACTTTCGCCTTGGAAAAGATCACTGCTTTGGATCTCTTGTAGGAAATGGCCTTGCTATGCAGGAGGAGATCGCGGAGAGCAAGTTCCGCATCTTGGCGAAAGGTGACGATGCGGCCGCTGGCGTGGGTAATACGAGAGGAGCGGCGCAAGGTCGGAAGAGCTGTAGACCTTGAGGATTTTCCTCCTCTGCAGTAGAAGGGCGATGGTCTAGTTCCTGTCCTAGTGTAGATAGAAGGAGAAGAACGAGGAGGCAAGACTATGAAGAAAGGGTCGTGGGTGTGTGTGGTGTGAGAAATAAAGGATGAGGCGGGAGGAGGTGTGTGTGAGAGAGGTCTTGGACGCATTTCTCCCGGATCGGTTGTGACTTGCACCCTGACCGCACCCATCGGCTGGCTGGCTGGCTGGCTGGCTGGCTGGCTGGTGTTAGTTCGAGTGGGGACCCTTTGGTGCCTTTCTTCTTTTCGGGGTTCTGTGATTTAGGTAGTTAGTTAGCTAGAGGCAGCTTTTGGTGGGTTTTGTGCCTCAGGTACCCGCTCCCGCTTTCTGGTGGGCCAATCTACAGCCTGGAATTACAAGGGACTTTTTACTTGTAAACACGGCCTCTCTTATCAGCGATAAACATTTTTACCCCTCTACGGAGTAGACCCAGGTTGGCCCCCTCGTGCAAGCTGGACTAATTATCCAGCCTTTTGATATTCCGACATTGCAGACGCAAAGCTTGACAGGACGAGCTTGTTTTTTTTTTTTTTTTTTGTTTCAGATACCCGTCAACATCCAAATACGATCTTGGAGCGTTTAGGAAAGAACCCCCTTTTTCACATTTATCAAGTCCTCAGCATCAAGGGACATCCTATACCATCCGTCCGGCCGGGAACCACAACCTCAACGGCTCCCAAATTCCTATATCCTCCTCCCCCGAACGAAGACAACCGACGAAAAGCAAATGGCACCCCTCAAGAAGCGCCGCCTCGCCCTGGGCTGCGAAGGGTCGGCCAACAAGCTCGGCATAGGCGTGATAGCCCACCCGGCCGACGGCCAGCCGGGCTCGGCCGCCGCCGTCGTCCTCTCCAACGTCCGCGACACCTTCAACTCGCCCCCCGGCACGGGCTTCCTGCCCAAGGACACGGCCGCGCACCACCGCGCCTTCTTCGTGCGCGTCGCCCTCGCCGCCCTGCGCGACGCCGGCGTCCGCGACCCCGCGGCGGAGCTCGAGTGCGTCGCCTACACCAAGGGCCCCGGCATGGGCGCGCCGCTGACGGCCGTCGCCGTCGCCGCGCGGACGCTGGCCCTGCTCTGGGGCTTACCTCTGGTCGGCGTGAACCACTGCGTCGGGCACATCGAGATGGGCCGCTCCATCACGGGCGCCGACAACCCCGTCGTGCTGTACGTCTCGGGCGGCAACACGCAGGTCATCGCCTACGCCGAGCAGCGCTACCGCATCTTCGGCGAGGCCCTCGACATCGCCGTCGGCAACTGCCTCGACCGCTTCGCCCGCACCCTCGAGATCAGCAACGACCCGGCGCCCGGGTACAACATCGAGCAGCTCGCCAAGAGGGGAGGCCGCGTCCTGCTCGACCTGCCCTACGCCGTCAAGGGCATGGACTGCTCCTTCTCGGGCATCCTCACCTCGGCCGACGAGCTCGCGGCGCAGATGCGCGCCGGCAACAAGACCAAGGACGGCGACGACATCACGCCCGAGGACCTGTGCTTCAGCCTGCAGGAGACCGTCTTCGCCATGCTCGTCGAGATCACCGAGCGCGCCATGGCCCACGTCGGGAGCACCCAGGTGCTCATCGTCGGCGGTGTCGGGTGCAACGAGCGGCTGCAGGAGATGATGGCCGCCATGGCCGCCGAGAGAGGGGGTAGCATATACGCCACAGACGAGCGATTCTGCATCGACAACGGCATCATGATTGCCCACGCCGGTCTGCTGGCCTACGAGACGGGCTTCCAGACGCCGCTCGAGGACAGCACTTGCACGCAACGCTTCAGGACGGACGAGGTGCACGTGAAATGGAGGGATTGAATTTCCCAATCTATATAATGAGCTACAAATCCCCAACTCCTTGATGGGTTGGGTAGATCAAAAAGCCGACGCCACATCCGCATTCATGCCAGCCAGAATACCACGCAACGCAAATCAGAGACCAAATCTAACGTGAAGCCACACCCCAATCCGTTTCCGATCATGCCGCGCCAAGATTACCAATTACCAGTCTGGATTCTGGACCTGGAGTGTCGAGAGACCAATCTAATGGCTCCAAGTGATGGAAAAAAAGAAACGCACGATTCGCACGTCTAGTGAGGGGCATCCGTCGGCTTGTGGATGATGGTAGTGACGTACTATCGGAATGGTCAGCAGCCTAATCACGACACGGCTAAGCAGAAGACCACCCACCTTATTCTTATAACGGGTTGTTACAGAGACAGCAAGAGTGTTGTTCTTGATGCTGCTGGTTGCCAGATGGTTGAGAACCGTATGATTCGGCATGTTCAAGACGCTGTTGTCGTCTTTGATCAGGACAGCAGCGTTCAGGATAGGCTTGCCGAGGAACCCAGGAAGACTCGGAGGCGGTGGAAGCTTCTCGATGGCACCTACAGCACTCTGATACTGCGGCGAGTCTTCGGGCTGGTCGAAGTCGACAAGGTACTTTGGGATGTGATGAGAAAACTCAGAGATCGGCGTGATGGGCTTGTTCTTGGGTGCCCTTGTCTTTTCATCTTCCTGTGAAGGTTCCGGCTTTGTGAGGCCGGCCTTCTCGTCAGTGGGCGTAGCAGCCGCGGCATCAGCCGTGACGCCTGGCACATCATCCGGGCTGACCTCGATGTAGTTGACGAGGTTGTTGCCAAAGTCGACGGTGGTGGGCAAATCGGGCGAGGTCTGCATCTGGCCGTCGACCAAAAACCTAATGTGGTGCGTTCCGGGTAGCACGTTAACTGTGCCCGCGAAAGCGCCGGGTCGACCATTGCTACCGTAGTCGAGACAAGTCAGCAAAAGTTTTTTTCTCCCCCAAACAAATCATCAAACCAATGACAGTTCGGGTGGCCAGACCCGACCAATCGTGCAAGAATGTGGCCGAGCTCTCGATGTTTGTGCAGAAACATGGACCAGCTATGCCCCAACCCGATGCTCGTAGATGCAGTCTCCCGTCCCGGGTTTCCACTCTTCAAAACGAATAAATGAAAAAACCAAAAAACGGAAATGCAAGACTTACACTGGATGGAGCCTTTGCTTGCGGTTCCATTGGAAGATGGTGCCGGTCACGTAGACCTTGTCGCCTCCGCGCAGCCACTCGAGCCTCGTCGGGACAGTCGGCCTAGACTTGTCCACGCGGAGCTCCTCGGCGTCCTCCTCGTCGACCGTGGTGGTGCTGAGCGCCGACGACTTGCGCGTCAGGTCGGCGGCGTCCAGGTTGTGGATGGCCTCGTCGTCCTCGAGGGGCGGGCCGATGTCGGTGGCGGCGATGATGGGGGACCCGGGCGTGTGGATCTCCTCCTCGATGGGCAGCGGCATGCGCGGCGGCCGGGACAGGTACGACATGTCCTGCATGCTGTTGTGCGGCATCATGCCCGCCGCGTCCATGCTCTCGACGTACGCCGCGGCCGCGGCCGCCTCCTCGGACTGCGCCGCCGACGCCTGGTGCGATGACTGCCCGTGCGGGTTGGGCACCGCGACGGGCTTGCTGGGCGCCGTGTCTATGGGCGCCGTCTTGGGCTGCTGCTGCTTGGCAGCGGCGTTGCCGTTGTTCTGGGTGCCGGAGGCGGGGGAGGAGCCCAGGGCGGGCTGGAGAGGGAGCGTCTTGTGCTTGGACGAGACCGAAGAGGAGGCTGATGTGACGGTCGAGCCCGTGGCCTGGGCTAGAGACTGCTCTGGCGGGGCGGCGGAGCGGTGGTGGTGCACATGGATTGGGTGCTTGGTGTCTCGCTTGGGCGGGCGGTGGCCGTCGTGGCTTGACCCGGGGACGGGAGTCGCCGGCTTTGAGGTCGAAGGGCTGTTACCCATGTTGGGGCAGAGTGCGAGGGGGGTTGGAATACGATGTATAAAAAGGATAGGAAGACAGAGAGAGAGGCAAGGAGCTAGCTGTGTGACACGTCGCTAGCGGTACCGGGTCGTAGTCTGAGGGCGAATGAGATCTAGAACAGGGACATGTCGCTGCAAGTCGGAAGGGAGCCGAGATCTGTCGGTCGGTGGTAGCTCGATGCGTGCGTTGTCAACGCAAATTGATAGGGGACTCGAGGGAAAAGGACAAGGGCCGCCGGGGGGGTGCTGGGCTCTCTCAGAGACGGACGGCGCCCGACATGTTGAATTGCGCTTTTCTCTGATAATCTTTGGACTGGATGCTGGATTGGCCGATGCAGGTCAGCGGTGATGGCCGAGGTGGGATGTTGGATGCTGGATGTTGAGAGAGAGAGTTTGCGAAATCTGGGGGATGAGAGACCGGATCAGCCAGTTGGACCGAGTAAAGGCAATGTCGACTTCGACGCCTCCCGGCAGTGACCGATAAGGCGAGAACCATTGAGTCTGGTGTGTGCACCCCGCCGCCGACTTGGGAGGCAGAGCTCAGCAAATGGAGGGGGGATTGGGAAGTGGATAGGTGGGTGTTTTAGCGGGCTTTTAGGCAGGTGGTCTGTGCCATCGCTGCTAGCACGGCCTTGTAAAATCAAGCTCCAGTGGACATGCAGGTAACCCTCGAGGCATCCATCAGCATGGCATTGGATGACTTTGAACAGAATCTACCACCGTGGTGTGTGTAAGGTAGAGCTTTACAAAAACAACTCGAGAGACAAGATGATGTGACTGGTGTTGCACGTCGAGGAGCCTTTAAATCTCTGTTCGGCCTCAAGGTGAGTCTTTTCCCCAACTCTTTACCCTGTAAAGTACAAGTACAAATACATATATTCACTATGGGCAGGGAACCGAGCCCCAAGGAATGCGGCAGCACGGATCAGCGCAGCAAAAACCCATGCTGATCAACAAGACAGTCGCATGCCTCTTGTCATCCCTCATTCAATGCTCTAACTTCTTCACATGTGATACTGGCATCATCGCCCCTTCATCTCTCCCCAGAGAGTCAAAAAGGACATCTTCCCGGGCCAGGACCCAATGACGGTCACGGTCAACACCCACAACTTTTAAGAACTCCTTATCCTATAGCATATAGCCCAGAACCCTCTTCCGAAGCCATTGCTTGACACAAGGGAGTGCGGCCACGTCTTTTAAAAGATGAGCTTCGTCTCGGCGACCGCCAGCAACCTGAGCGCCGTCTTCATCGCCGCCGCCAGGATCCTCCTCGCCGCCGCCGCGCTGCTCGTCAATGCCGCCGTCACGGGCTACCATGTGACGGCGTACGTGCTCTCGATCGTGCTCGCCATCGTTGCGTGGCCCCTGCGCGCCGTCTACGGCGTGCTCTTCGTCGTCTTCTCGCCCATCATCTACACCGTCGCCTACCTGCTCACGCCCCTGTTCTTCTTCTACAACCTCGTGACTAGTCTTCAAGTAAGCAACGACATCAAACCAGAGAGACAGACCCACGTGGCTAATACAGATACACCATATATATAGCCCCTTTACATCTACGTATGCATGCACTACATACACCCCGATCATGAAACCCCAGCTCTCGTATAATCCTACTAACCCCTCACCGTCACGCTCTCTCAACAGCTCGGCTCAGCCGCCTTCGTCGGCGTCCTCGCAGGCCTGCTCATCAAGGCCACGTCCACGGCGACGATCGCCGCCCTGGGCATCATCATCGCGCAAGGCACGCCGTCGTATACCGACGACGACGAGCGCCGGCGCGCGCGTCCCGGACTGGCCCGCACAGATTCCAACCTCACGAGCGCCAGCGAGACCACCACCGCCGGCGGCGGCACCGCGCCCTTCTCGGGAGACGGCGGCAGGCCGCTGAGGGCGGACAAGCAGCTCGAGGACTCGGTCAGGGAGGACTGGCTATGGCTCGAGTCCGTCTCCGCGCTCCAGACCGCCGACCCGACCGGCAAGCGCAAGAAAAAGGCAGCAGGCCTGCTGTCGCAGACGATCCTCGAAGAAGAGTCAGAAGGATCCAGGTGACCTTGTCTCTGACTGTTATCAATTCTTGTCTTTAGTCTGTCATATCAGTCTCGCTATCTCGCTTAGCCTCTTTTTTAAACCTGTACAAAAAAACAGCGAAGCTCCAGTTGCGCTCGGGTATGACCTATTTTATCAACCTATCCATCCTATGGGGAATCATCCCGAAGCCAAGAGCAGCAGTGTTCTCTCTCTCAAAGTCGCTCGCGCTGCCTGGCGGGTCTGCCGGGTCTGCCGTTGCCCCAGCCCATGTCGTAAGAAACGCCTGAAAACGCCCCCGCTTGATACAAGCCCTTGTCCCTGATCGCGACTCCGCCGCGCCGCTCGTGCGGATACTTCTAATATCGTCGCATGTCCCGTTCCCTCTCCCGCATCGGCGACCGGCTCCTCGTCCTGCTCGACCGCTCCCGCTCGTCGTACCCGCCACGCTCCCGCGGGTGTTCGCGCCCGTGCCACGGGTCGTCCCGGTTGTCGCGGCGCCGGCGATCATCCCGAGGTGGCGGCGGGGGCCTCTCTCGGCCTGGCTCGCCACGGTAACTGGGTATGTAGGTGTCGACATCTACCCTGCTGGCACCGCCAGGGCCTCCCGGCCGGCCCCTTGGCGGCCTATCTCTATCTCTAAAGGAGTCGGGGTGGTCCGCATCCCAACCGTTGGGATAGGGATCAGCCGGCGGTGGTGGTCTGGGAGGTAGGCCGTGGGGTGCTCGGTCCCTAGCCCAGGCAGGCCGCCGCTCATCGGTTCCATAAGTGCCGTTCCTAGGGGCGCGCTCAGGAGGAGGATGTCCACCGTGATGATGTCGGCCGCTGTGTATGCCGTTTCGACCGAAGCCATCATCGGCAAAGCCGGGGTTAGCACCTCCAGCCCCTTCGAGATGACCTCTACCAACAGTACCGCCCCTAGGTGCTGGAGGAAGATTCGCTCGCCGATCATGGAACTTTCTACGATCCAGCTCGTGGGAGTCTTCGAAAGTTGGGATGTCTCCTGGATTTGCCGGGAGCGGCGGTGTGCGGAAATAAGGATGTTGCAGAGCGTCCATGGCATTGACCCGAGACTTCCAATCCAGTTTCAGCAACTCCTTCATCAACGAGACTGCTTGTGGACCGTAGCTATAAGACGTCAGTATGGTATTCAGTGAAAGCGGGGTTTGATGAGGTCCAACTGACTCTCGATATTTCTCAGAAAGGTTACCAGACCGCCGCCGCGGGGTCATGCCTTCGCCTCCAGGAAGCTGCTTCCAGCCGGGCATGTTCTCATCAGTTGGACTACCGCACAGGTCCCAGATGAGTTCGAGTTGGTGACCGTCACTCTCGCCAGTCAGGATGGGCCTTCCTCGGAGCATTTCGCCAAAGACACAGCTGGATATTCTTATCAGCATCGCGGCTCCAACACAAGTACTGCGGCGGTAACATACCCGACACCCCAGACGTCAATTGCTGTGGTGTACTTCTTAAGGAACAAGAGCAGCTCGGGAGGCCTGTACCAGCGTGTCACAACCAGGCTCGTGTAGTCTCGCTTGCCCTCACCCCCTCCGTGGCCTGGTACCGGAACAGGGCCATCGTAGTGCCTGGCCAGTCCAAAATCCGCAATTTGCAGTATGCCCTTGTTGTTGATCAACAGGTTCGCCGCCTTCATATCGCGATGTAATATGTGATTTTCGTGAAGATACTTGAGGCCCTCTAAAAGCTGCATCATGTAACACTTGATCTGTGGCTCGGTGAACTTGACGGAGGGGTTGTCGAGGAGACCAGAAAGATCATGGTCCATGTACGGCATCACCATGTACATAACAGGGCGCTTTTTCTTATCCGCTGTAGAACAACTCGTGTCAGCCACAGAAGAAGAAAAAAGGCAGTTTACAGCTATTCAGACATACTGCGACTGGGAGGATGATCGACAGCCATATCCTCGAGACTCAAGACATTGCGATGGGAGAGGAGCTTCAGGAGCTTGATTTCTCGTAGAGCAGTGATAGGGAACTAGCAATGCTGTTAGAAGCCCGCACGGAAAGTCATGCGACGGAGCACACCTACACCGTCCTTCTCATTGTGCATGATGATCTTTTTGAGCGCAACATGTCCGCCGGTCCGCCTTGACTTTGCGCGATGAACCTCACTGCAGGAGACTTCGTGTTAGCAACACACACACGTCGAGGCCACACGCGCGCCATCCTGGATGGAGTATGATCATACCCGAATGTGCCTTCTCCAAGCTTGCCAAGAAGCTCGTAGTCCTGTAGCTTCGAACAACCCTGGTAACTGGATTTGGGTCGCTGGTGTTGCCGCGCAAAGGTGCGCGGCGATGTCGGCTGGGAGGGATCCATAGCGCTGCTGAGAGTGGGCAGTCCAGGGCCGAGGGCTGGGCCGCCACAACGTAGTCGCTCGTGGGGATGATTCCGCAGCCTCGCGGTCGATAACTTCTTTACGCAAGAAGCGCGTCGAGAGTGGGCACGAAGGGCGATGCGTGAAAAGACATCACTCGGGAGATGGCATCGGGGAGAGTACGTCGAGGGCTCGGGACTGTCGTTCCGAGGCGCACCGTTGCTCTAAACAAAGCAAACGAGGAGTTGCTTGGTCTGGTGATGGGAAAAGTGACGGGCAACTTCAGGGCAAGATGGAACAAAAACGACAAGCGGCCCAGGGACCGATCTAACATTGAACTTGCTCCACTTGGTTCTTGAAAGGCCGGACAAAAGATCCCGATTCAGGGACATTTAGAATGGTAGTAGTGGGGGGGGAGTGCCTCCAACGTTGGCACTCTCGAGGCACTGCTATTCTTCCAGCAAACAGTCCCAACCTAGTGTGTCTGCCTGAGGCAACACGCATCACCACTCGCTCAATTGCAGAACTTCCGACTTCCTTGCCGGCCAAACACCTGGGAAGATTGTCACTCAGTGCCTCAATTGCCCGCCCCATTGAACCGCCAATTCCACACCCGGCGATTCAAAGGTCAGTGGCAGATACCGCTGACACGTCGAGTGTACATTTCACAGCTGACAATTACGACCAGAGCCCGCCAAAATGCAAAAGCCTCCCGTTCCCCATGTGCCCGGCATCTACCGGTTCGCAGGCACCGCCCTGGGCGCCAGCATGTGGTTCTTCGTATGACCCCGTCCCCCCTTATCGGCTTCCCTGCATCTATGGATACGGAGCTAACATTTGAGCAGTTGATGTACAGGGCGAAGAAAGACGGTACAGTTCTCGATCACTCCGCGCTCGGCCCGGATCGATCATGCTAACACGAACACCTGCAGGCGCCGTGCTGATGGGATGGAAGCACCCTTGGGACCACTGAAGGAGTAGTGGCACCGTGGAGGAGGAGGGTCACGAAAGGACCGGACACGAACGCGCGGCACGAATACCATGAAGGACGGAGCCATGTCGACGTTTGGTCGAATGGTGCGAGCATCCGGCCAGCAGACCAGGAGGTCCCGAGTCGGCCTTGTACATATATGTATCGGGGACGAAAATTAACTAGAATCGATTCTATCGAGCTCTGTGAAACAGCACTCGGCCTCTATCTACACTTGCACGCTTGGCTTCTCGAACAGATAATGCGACACCCCCCATGTGTCCCCGCCCTCGTACGCGAACAGTTCCGAACAGGCCATGTAGAATATCTGCCAGCGATTGTACCAAGTGGCAGCGTTCTCCTCACCATATGTTTCGACAAGATGAGGCCACAGCGCCTTCTTCTGGGCGATCATCTTGGACAGCCAATGCTACGACTCGCCGACGGGTGTCAGTATGCGCGGCTGCAGTGCGGGAGTGCAGGTGAACTAACCTCGCAGGTCTTGGAATAATGCTGTCCGTTGACCCACCACTGATCCTCGAGCTTGAGGTCTCGTTGGAAGTAGAGCAGCAGATCCGCGGACGGCATTGTGCCCCCAGTGAAGAAGTGCTCCGTCATCCAGCCCTCCTCGTAGTTGTAAGGATCAGACTTGTGGGAGAAGATGTGCACAAACAGCTTCCCGCCGGGCTTCAGAGCCCTGGACACCTTGGCCATGAGCAGTTCGTAATTCTTCATGTGCTCGAACAGCTGATTGGTCATAGAGATACACTGTTAGATCTGAAGATGAAATGACAAAGAGGAGTCAGTCTACGCACCTCGATCGATACGACGCGGTCGAAGCGGCCCTTTTCAAACTCATAGTCGACTACGTTGCCGGTGATGACGGTCAGGTTGGTGAGGCCCTTCTTTTTGGCCTGCTCATCGATATACAGCTTTTGGGTCCTCGAGTTGGAAAAGGCTGTAACCTTGGCCCCAGGTAGCACCTCGGCGAAATAGAGCGCTCCTGAACCCCAGCCACAACTATGAGACACACACACACAACCTTCATATCAGCTGTCTCGCACTCACTCACTCAATGCAATTTCCCTCTTTTTGGGAGATGGATACGGAGTAAAAAAAACTCACCCCAGGTCCAAGATCTCCATGCCGTCCACGAGGCCCGCCTTGTCGACGTAGCTCTTGAGCATCGCCACCTCGGCCTGCTCCAGCGTCTCCCTGCCCGTGGGGTACAGGCAGGACGAGTACTTCATGCGCGGGCCCAGGCAGGCCTGCAGCACGCCCGTGCCGACCTCGTAGTGCTGCTTGTTGGCCGTCGCCGTCTCCACGGCGATGGGCCGCGACCGCAGGTCCCGCACGAACGAGAGCTTGCGCGCCAGCGCCTCGGCGTGCGAGCTCGACGCGATGGACCGCTGCCGGTCGGCGAGCTGCCGGCGGATGCCCACGCGGATGACGGCGTGGGGCAGGTAGCCGCCGTCCAAGAGCCAGTCTTAAGAGAGAGGATTCATTCATGTTAGCAAATTGTCTGTTTTTTTCTTGTGGGTATCGATAAGAGGAGAAAAGGTTGGGTCCATGATGGAAGGTGTTGCTTGGTCTTGCAAGCTATCGAAACTGTGCATATTGGGGAGCACGGTGGTGCGGCGGGCTTACCGATGTTCATCTTGTTAAATGCCAAATGTAGTTCGTTGTCTCGAAATGGAGAAATAGAGGTGTAAGTCGTCGTCGGTGTCACAATAGCCCAGACACACAGAAAGAAAATGACAGCAAGCAACTACCTAGGCAACCTGACCCGAGCTGCAACCTCCAAGGGACAATTCGATTGGACCTGCCTGCATTGTGCGGAATGACCGGGGGGGTTGCGATACCTGCTCAAAGTGATGCGTTCATCATCCTGGCTTCCGTTTCGGAAGTGGGCCGCCCCGTGTGTCTAAGCGCGCCTCCAAGACGCCCGACAGTGCTCCGCAGCTCTGCGACATTTCTAGCGTTCCGCTTTAGCTCCCCTCAGCCTTCGAACCACACAGGTTTGGTGCCGAGAACAGTCTCCTCTTCGTCTTCGGTGTTCACGAGTCTGGGTGAGAGGTCTATTGCGAGCAATCCGGGAACTGGGAAACACGACACCGCTTGATACCGACAGGCCCTGTCAAAAGTGATGTAGATACTGTGTTATTGTTTCCTTGTGTGTTTTGATACATTCGGATCTTGATTCCCATCAGCTAGGTCCTCATTCTCTCCTGAATGAGCTTGTACTCCTTTCTCTTCTTTGATTTTTGCGTGATTGCCTCCTTGACCTGCCCGATCAGCCTCGCCAGCTTCGGGAATAGGTAGTGCTCTGCCACCCAAGCAACAACAAGGAATATCACACCCAGACCGATGATGGTCCCCTTGAAACTCCAGCTGATCTTGGTCAGCTGCATCAACTTCTTGACCCAATGCGCTGGCCCAAGGATCATGTAGAGTGTTATCAGTACCGCGACCGCAATGGTTGCAACAAAGGGCAGATTCTTCCAAACGCCCTGTCGAAACGGTGGACCGGCATTAAGCACAACTCCTGCAAAGATGTATTCGAAACAAGACGTCAGGAAGAGGGCCGTATTGTCCGAGTTCTTAATGTTGGTCTTCTGGTGCTTGATGATAGGGGGGATGTACCTGGAAGAGAGGTTAATCAATTAGATTCGGATTCGGATCACCGCACTGCGAAGATAATGGTCTCTTACCAAGGCTGTCTCCGAACCAAAATGAAGGCAATCGTCTGTATCGCAATGCAGATGCACATCTGGCCAAGCAGCGGAGTCAAGACCTTGCGGGAGACGAGGTTCGCGGTTGGCCTCTTTCGACACAACTCAGGGAAGGGTCCCGACCAGCTCACTAGACAGGGTTAGCCTGAGACGATACAGCAAAGTACCTCTTTTGACATACTGAACACGGCAATGGGCAGGATCAACGCCAGGTCGATGAAGAGGAACTGTACTCGCTGTCAGCTAGTAGCTCAACCACCGTCGGGCCTGATACAGCAGAGTACTCGCCTGAAAGTCTCCCAAGTTCGACGCGGATGCGTACAAGAAGCTGACGGAGGTAAATTGAATAGCGGAGTACAGGCTCATGTACTTGAAACAGCTGAAGCTGGTGACAAGAGCTGCGCGTCCCTCCCTGTTGAAGCGTTAGCCGATGACAGGAGACCGAAGTTAATGGTCTTGACGCACCTAATGACCTGCGGCACACAGCGGATATCAAAGACCCGCGAGGTGAAGGGTGCCGCTACTGAAGCCTCTGCCTCAGATAGCGAGATACCCACGTCCGCAGCTTTGAGCGCACCACAGTCGTTGGCTCCATCGCCGCAGAAGCCGCAGCAGTAGTCAATGCTCTGGAGCTTCTCGACCAGTTCGTGTTTCTCGTCAGGAGACATACGGGCGAAGACCTTGCCGCAAACAAGCATCTGGAATGATCAGCATTGGTGCGACCTAGTCTCTCGAGGACCGAGACTTACACGCTGTAATAGCTCCGGCTTCGCAAAGTCTACAACCCATCGGAAAACATCCCCGCTGACTGCAATGGAATAGTTTCTCAAATTCGAGATGTCGTACGGCAACGAAGCATCGCCATTGACAGGGGGCGGCAAAGGCTGCAACAGTCCATCAGTGATGCACCATGCGAACTACTTCAACATGTGCTTACCATAAGCGTGTTCTCGTCTAGTTTATAGATATTGTCATCGATACTCTCCCACTGCAACCGCGAATTGGGATTTCTCGCGTCTCCTTGGAAGGACAAGAATATTAGCCCGCGACCTGGGACATCGATGGTAAGTACTGACCTTCTACGAAATGAGGAACAAAACAATGGGCTGTTTTGTTGATCATGTTGCACTCGCGGGCAACACTGATGGCTGTCAAAATGTTGTCGCCAGTGACCATCACGCATCCAATATTGGACCGCAAGAGCTCATCAATCACCGCCGTGGTAGTTGGCTTCAGCTTGTTCTCAAAGATGATGAAACCAACAAAGTCCAGTCCAGACTCCGCTTCGTGTCGCTTCATCTTCTGGGCCTTGACCCAGCTCAGCTTCTTGACATGTTTGGTGGCGCAACCGATCACTCGATATCCCTTGTGGGTATAATATGACAGGAGCTCTTCGTAGTCCGAGGGGAAGCTCTCTGGCTTGCAGATCTCACGCATGCACTCGGGAGCTCCCTTGACGTAGATATCTCCACTTTGTTCTCCGAAGACGCGAACAATGACGCTTGCGCGGCGGAGTTGCGAGACAAACTCGAAGGACTTGACAACACCAAGTTCAAAGGGCTGTTCAGAAGCACTCTGAGATCTGCTGTCTAGATCGTAGACCATGGCTGGGGGCGGCCTGGCAATAGAAGGCGACAGACCTCCTTGCTCTTCATCGTTCTGGTCCCCGGCACTCTGTTTGCCTTCTTCGAAAGACCAGCCGGTGAATTCAAACATTTTGAGATCTAGAGGGTCGCCGACCAGTGAGTCATCCACTGATCGCAGAGAATGACAGGTCGCCATTGTGTACAAGGCAGCCCGTTGCGCTGTTTCTAGAGGTTGTCCGGAATTATGAGGATCCCGGGCAGGGACCATTGCCGCAGGCTCAGTCACAACGTCGCTAAACTTGTTTGTCGCCTTTGAGACCACTCTCACGCCAAGTATATCCAGTCCTTCCTCGGTCAGGGTGCCTGTTTTGTCGAAACACATAATGTCCAGTTTGCCACCGACATTGACTCGCTGAGGGCTGATGCAGAAGATCTGCTTCGATCGGAGACGAGTGAGGGCAAAATTTATACCAATGGTCAGAGTGGCTGGAAGTGCAGGGGGAACGACGATTGTGATCAGATCAAGGGCGCGAACAATGATCAAATGCCAGGCAAGCTTGAGTCGGATAAAGTTGACGAAGGACGCGATGAAACCCAGCACGGCAACACAAGCCATGATTGAGATGTAGCGAAAAGAATCCCGGTAGAACTTGAACCCAGACGGTTTGGGGAACAACATTGAACGAACAAGAGCGCCCTTCGTGGTGTTGAATCCGGTCCGGACCACCATGGCCAGAGCCACGGCCTCTTCATCGCGGTCATCCTGGGGTCGCCGAGCTCGAATGATCTTTGTGCCGCAAAACAAGAAGTGTCTTGCCGTCTCGGGTGAGATTGAGGCCGCCGCAAGATCAAGATGGCGGAGGGTCTCGTCTGTGGCTGGCACTTTGGACACCGGAACCGATTCGCCTGTCAGCATGCTTTCATTGACGATGCAGTCACCGCTTAGCAAAAGGCTATCGCTCGGAAACTGCGTAAGACTGGGGTCGCTGATCTCGTAGACATCACCAGGTACAAGGTCACCCGATGCAATGTAACGCCAGAAGCCATTTCGAAGTACTCGTACGTCGCACTCGAATCGCGAGATCTCGCGGAGTCGTTTCATAGTCGATCGGGTCTCGATGAGTGTCGCGACTATACTTCCTACCGACATCAAGAAGATGGCGATAGCATAGTAATAATACTCATCCATGGACCAGAGTATTAGACTAGCGATCTGAAAGACGTAAAATGGATGGAAAACCTCATCGACGAGAAGGCGAAAGACGGACTTGTCTTCAATATCGATAAGATTAGGCCCAAATACGAGATCACGATGGCTTTTCTCCTCGCTGTCCATGCCTGCGCGGAGTTCGCGCACGTCGACCCACGCCGGGTCTTTCCAGCCGTTGCAGAGCAGAAACTTGTCTCGAAGAGGGTGGAAATAGAAGCGCACGTAGCGGTAACTGAGAGTGCGCAGTTCGTTGAGGATAGGATCCTGGTCTTCGTCAGGGATGTACCTAGCCTCCTTCCCCGGTGGGCCAAAAACGGAGGAAAGGGGACGGCCGTACGGCTTCGCGTCGATGTCGAGGATGGACATCTCTCCCCATTGATTCTCGACCACGGCCCAGGTGCTTTCTCCAAGGGCAGATGGCCGTCCGATGATTTTGATATGCCAACGGGGCACCCACCGAAACACGAGCCAGCCTATACCCAGGGTGACCAGACATATGGCTATGTATGCAGCCAGGCCGATCTGGCTGGTGCGGAACCCAGCGATAACGATGTAGAGATCCTCGTTGACCATGTAGATCTTCTGGCTGGAGCGACCGGTGCCGTAGCCACTCGCCTCAGTCATAGTACTATCCCTACGCAGCAGCCTGCTGTGCACAGAGCCTCTGGATTGGGTCGAGGACCGCCGGTGCAGGACGTAGTCGTTATCCGAAGCCGCACGTTGCTGGTCGGATGAGTCCTCCTCGTCCTCGAAATCTTCGACAAACGGGATCTCGTCGAGGTCCTCAAGATTGGCACTATCTACTTGGAGAAATGGCCCTGATTCTTCTTCCTCGTCCTGGTAGAAGGTGAAGCTGGCAGTCGAGTCTGCGCGGGCACGACGGTGGGAGAAAGCAGACACGCTGGTCGGGAGACTCTCGGCCATGGGCCCCGAGTATAGCTGCGGAAGTGAAAGAGGACGTGGTCAGCGGCCCAAGCATGCAAGAACAGTCCCGGCATGGGAAATCCGGAAACCAACCTCGTCATGCGCCATCTCAACATCCTCAAACACACTAGACCGACTCTGATTTGAGTCAAGTCGGTAGAGGGACGCATGGCCGTTGGCGCCCCGGCGGGCGTCCCCAACGGAGGAGTCGCCGTCGTCCTCCATGTCTGCTCTGGCTAGCAAGGTCGAGGTCGAGCTCTGTGCACATTGACCGGCGGCATGTGAGTGAAATGCAATTGGCTTGCGCTTTTCGATTGGAACTTCACTCTATCACGTCCTTGGAAAGGGGAGTCAGTAACCAGGCGCGTGCTGTAAGCTGTGAGCTGTGGGCAGCAGCTTGGACAATCTGGGGCTGTCAGATTTGCACTCTGGTTGGATGGAGGATCTGCAGTCAAGCTTTCAGAATGGTTCGTTCCTGCTCGGATGACGTCCATGCGTGGGCGCTGAACGTGGCGGGGACTGCCATTAGCGGTCAAGCGCCGCCGGCATGTGGACCACCTGAATCAATTGATTTGATCTCACCCGCTGGAGCTCACCAAAACCGAAGGGCGGCGCCCTTACTGCACTTGCACAGTCCAAGGTTCCTTGCGATACTGCCTAACTTCTGGCAGTGACTGTGAGTATTCCAAGTCGACATCTAATGGCTTTGAAGCAGTGCCAGTGTGCCCATGTCAAGGTCAGGTGTTTTGTATTGCATGGAATACCCAGGAGCCTTACGACCAGACCTGACTGAAGACCAGACTGATTCCCAGCATCGGATTTGTCCAGATGGGTGTATCGGCCTCAAAGCGAAACACAGTGATTCGATAGCATGTTACATGTAGGCTCTTTCTCAAGCTTGCTCGTTCCTTGCTTGACTAAGTATGGAATGCAAGGGAAAAGGAGAGCCTCTACCTTCAAGCCGCTTGGGACTTGTCTAGACTTGACAGGAAAAATGCACGACAATGTTAGTGACGGAAGCCTTCGACGCTTTCCCATCCACTCCTGCATGTTGTGTCGGGGAGAGGAGACAGGTATCTCGACACACTTACACCATTTGATTAGCGCCCGTGCAGTCAGTCCAGTCAGAGAGGAGTGTTCCAGTGTGGGCGAATAAGTGGCGACAGTCACAAACGCGTAAACCACCGGTGTAAACCCGAAGAACTTGGATACAGGCAAACACACGAGTCGTGTCGCTTGCAACCATGTGCTGGCAAGCGATGCATTGTGATCGCTTTTCAACAAGCGTTCTTGCTCACCGGTCGGCTCGACGGAAGCGATCAAAAATGCATGAACGGGCCTGGACCTGGTAGGAAAAATAAATGCGACCCGCCATGCAGTCTAGTTCACACTGCCTGAGGCCCGCCTTGTGCAGTTATTGAGGGCGAGAGAGAGAGAGATAAGGCGCACTTCAACGTTTTGGGACAGGACAACCTGTGTTGTGCTGCGTTGTGATCAGAAGCCTGTGCAAAGTACCTACCTACATACTGCAGGAGAAAGAGATTAGCCATACTAGGGACTTGACTCGAGTATAAGTACATTCATTATTCATTTGAGTTGCCCGGGCGAGGCTTCAATTAGAGTAGAGATACTTGTACGGTTCCAGACCTGCTTGCAACGAGTGCCTCGGACCAGACTGTAGAGGAGGAGGTCTGGGACGGATCATACAGGCAGTGCCGGGAGACGGACGGATATGGTGGTGATGGGCTCGACTGAGGCCTGCTATTGGCGGTCCGAGAGGCCAGGTTGGTGGTCCTGAACGAAACTGGACACACAAGGTCTGGTAGGTTAGGTAAACACGTACTCCGTAAACCTGAAAGTACATGCTCCGTAGGCTTGGATCCCAAGGGAGGCTAGAACCATTCCAGGCTGGGCCAAAAGCTGGGCCTGCTGCGACGATTCGATAAAAAAAAACGTGAAGGGGATGGATGGATGGAACCCGGAAAGTCAACTTTGTATGTACGTGTGCGGGGGCAGCTACCGACCAATCCACCCGTGTGCCGCCCAACAAGTCGCATTTTTTCAACCAAGCAAAAATTTACTATCATTTCAACCCCGCCACTCTGACCTAGACTCTCCGGCCACAACCACCAAACTTCCATCTCCTCCTCTGACAAAACGCACCGGGATTGCTCTTCTGCCTTCTCACGCGTCCTGCTTTCTTCGCCCTTTTCCATCCACCATCTCCCCTTCGATCGACCATCGCCCTCTTGATACCCCCATCACATCCTTCGCCATGGCTGAACCCATCAGGAACAAGCGGCCGGATCTCCCTGTCGCCCCGTAAGTTTCACCGTCATTTACTTCCCCAACGGGCTGATAAGGCGACTAACCACAGCTTCCCAACGCAGGACCCCCCAGAACACCCCGGCCACCAATGCCCCGATCTCATCCCACGCACAACAGCCTGGCTTTGACAGCATCAAGGAGGGTATGTATTTCGATTCCCGCTGTTTCTTTTCTTTATCTCCTCTCTATGTGTGTCGGTGAGTACTAACAGCAGTGTTTTGCTCAGAGGACCTGGACCGTGCGGCGGCCGCCTCCATCTTTGCTCAGAACCCCAAGCTTGTTCAGATGATCCAGGGCAGACTCGGCACCCTAGTTGGCCGGTCGTCTGGTTACATCGAGTCCCTTCCCACCCAGGTCAAGCGTCGTGTCGCTGGCCTGAAGGGTATCCAGAAGGAGCACTCCAAGCTCGAGGCCGAGTTCCAGGAGGAGGTCCTTCAGCTCGAGAAGAAGTACTTCGCCAAGTTCACCCCGCTCTACGAGAAGCGCTCTGCTATTGTCAATGGCGCCAACGAACCGACAGAGGACGAGGTTGCCGCTGGCGAGGAGGATGACGAGGAGCCCGAGGAGAAGGAGGAGAAGCCCGCCGAGTCCGCCGAGGCTGCTGCCGTCCGTGGTATCCCCGAGTTCTGGCTGTCCGCCATGAAGAACCAGATCTCTCTTGCCGAGATGATTACTGACCGCGATGAGGGTGCGCTCAAGCACCTGACCGACGTCCGCATGGAGTACCTCGACAAGCCCGGTTTCCGCCTCATCTTTGAGTTCTCCGAGAACGAGTTCTTCACCAACAAGACCATCTCCAAGACTTACTTCTACCAGAACGAGTCTGGCTACGGTGGTGACTTCATCTATGACCACGCCGAGGGTGACAAGATCAACTGGAAGGCCGACAAGGACCTCACGGTTCGCGTCGAGCAGAAGAAGCAGCGCAACAAGAGTAGGTCCAGTGTTCAAATGACATGGTCAAATGACAAGTTTTCACTAATACGTTTCCTCTCCAGACACCAAGCAGACTCGCATTGTCAAGAAGACCGTCCCCACCGAGTCCTTCTTCAACTTCTTCTCCCCGCCCAAGCCTCCTGCGGAGGACGACGAGGAGGACGCGGCCTCTGACATTGAGGACCGCCTCGAGCTAGACTACCAGCTCGGCGAGGACATCAAGGAGAAGCTCATCCCCCGAGCTATTGACTGGTTCACCGGTGAGGCTCTTGCCTTCGAGGAGATCGACGAGGAGGATCTTGAGGACGACTTTGATGAGGATGATGACGAGGACGATGACCTGAGCGAGGATCACGATGATGAGGAGGAGTCGGAGGAGGACGACGTAAGTTGACTTGGATTTCAACCTGCACAATATGCTTTAAACTCGAAGCCATGTGGCTAACACATCTCTAGGATGACGGAACCAAGCCGAAACAGGAGGCTGCCGAGTGCAAGCAGAGCTAAGCGTCTCGTGTCCTTCTTGAATCCGACCACTTGGTCTACGCGGAAGATCCCCTCGATAGGGAGCTCTCGACGCTGCATCGGACGGTGGTGCGGCTCGACACCATAATTCTTTATGCTGCATAGTCAATTTGGGGGTCTTTGATTGGGTTTTTATCGCACTACTACAGCATGGAATTTTTTATCCTCGATAGACCGTAATACCGCAAAACTCTGGTCACACACTACGAACGGGTGCTTCTGCTGCGTTTAGGTAGTCCTTGTCCTGCGAGCTCGGACTGCATGTATGTTTTGGACGAGGAAAAAGAGAGAGAAAAGAAGGGAGGGATCTGGCAATGCCATACGTTTGGTTCCATTTACCGTTTCATGTTTTCAACACTCGACATCAAAAAAGGGGGTTCACAGACAAGCAATCTCAAAAGAATGTTGTGGCTGCGGATGATGACGCTGGGTTTCCAGGAGGAGGGGTCAAAAAAGGGTTGCTGCGACTAGGGGTTCTCCTGCGTTTACAAAGTTATTAGGTAGCATGCATGACTGCATACAACACGACTCCTTTCTCACTAGATCCTGCAGGCAGATTGTTGAGCCTCCAGTTGACACGAGTTGTGGATATGTCATATGTAAGCATGCAGGCGCGTGCGTGTTGTCCTCGAGAAGATAGGTTAGGACCTAGATGCCTGGCCAACACACTCGAACTGGCTCTTGGAGCTGTCATGACGCATCCCTGGGTTCATGCGCTCTGGCATGCTTGCTTCATTCTTGGTCATCGAACTCATGTTTGCTAGAGTGAGTTGGTACCTACCTAGGTAATGTATCAATCGGACTTGATGGGAACGGGGCCGAACATCCCGCTCATGGTCATGGGCAGAACAGTCAAGTGGAACAGAACACATTTGCCATATCAGGCATCCCGGTGGAGGGTCAACACTTGTCGTGGCTTGTCCTGCACGGTAAAAAGGAAAATTTCTCCTGATTTCAATCACATCATCGAGCCTTGCACCTAAAAAGGCGGCAAGCGGTCCTCCGAAAGCCGGCAGCCGGGCGAGGACTAAGGCTGGCCGGGCTTTGGTGGGATCTGGTCCCTGAAAATTGAATGACTCAAACCCCCACCAAATGCCACCGATCTAGGGACCGCCTGGTCGAGGACGGCTAAAGACTAGACCACTCATTACCTTGAGTCCTACCAACTCACAGTGATTCAGGCCAGGCAGAATGATAGTGCATGAAGTGCAGACTTTGCCTTTACTTTTCGTACTCCCTCCCCCGGCCGTGCCACGCACCACACAAACAGCACGCCATAGACGGGAATTGCCCCACTACAGTTAACAACTTTCTATGTAAGCGTTACTTTTTTTCACGGCGACTTTCGATATATCGTACAATTGAGCAACGGTGAACTTTTGCTTGACTCATCATATCAATTTCACTGAAGATTAAATAGCCAGCTCATTGGGACCAAAAGCCCTGTTCTGGCTTCTTTAGAATCAAGGAAACACGGGTTCTCGCTTAGTCTCTCACACACACACCGTAAACTCTTCATCGAGGGGTAATAAAGCAGACTCACACAGCATGGCTCAAGCACAAAACATCCAGATCCCTTCCAGGGCAGCTCACCAGAGCTTGAGCGTCTCCGCCTCGCCCACGGCCACCTTCCACTCACCCCCGTCCAGCTTCGGCATCGGCCCTGACGGCATCTCTGCAAAGCTCAACACCAAGCCGCTAAAGCCCTTCAACACGACCGACATCAAGATCCTGCTGCTTGAGAATGTCAACAAGAGCGGCCAGGACATCCTCAAGGGCCAGGGCTACCAGGTCGAGTTCCTCAAGACCTCGCTGCCCGAGGACCAGCTGATTGAGAAGATCCGCGACGTTCACGTCATCGGCATCCGCTCCAAGACCAAGCTGACGGAGAAGGTCCTTCGCGAGGCCAAGAACCTCCTCGTCATTGGCTGCTTCTGCATTGGCACGAACCAGGTCGACCTGGAGTATGCCGCCAAGCACGGCATCGCCGTCTTCAACTCCCCCTTTGCCAACTCGCGCAGCGTGGCCGAGCTGGTCATCGCCGAGATCATCACGCTCGCCCGGCAGCTCGGCGACCGCTCCAACGAGATGCACCGCGGCACCTGGAACAAGGTCAGCGCCAAGTGCTGGGAGATCCGCGGCAAGACGCTGGGCATCGTCGGGTACGGCCACATCGGCTCGCAGCTGTCCGTCCTGGCCGAGGCCATGGGCATGTCGGTCATCTACTACGACATCGTCACCCTGATGGCCATGGGCAAGGCGCAGCAGGTGGCCAGCCTCGAGGAGCTGCTCAACGAGTCCGACTTTGTCACGCTGCACGTGCCGGCGACCCCGGAGACCAAGAACATGATCGGCGCCAAGGAGATCCAGCAGATGAAGAACGGCGCCTACCTGATCAACGCCAGCCGCGGCACCGTCGTCGACATCCCGGCCCTCATCAACGGCATGCGCAGCGGCAAGATCGCCGGCGCGGCCCTCGACGTCTACCCGCACGAGCCGGCGGCCAACGGCGACTACTTTGACGGCACCCTGAACTCCTGGGGCGAGGACCTCCGCAGCCTGAGCAACATCATCCTGACCCCTCATATCGGTGGTAGCACCGAGGAGGCCCAGCGGGCTATTGGTGTCGAAGGTATGTCAGCAAAGAAAAAACTGATTTGTGATGTATAGTATCATGTAAAAAAAGAGTTTTTTTTTGCTAATGGGGAGATGGCTTCCAGTTGCTGACGCCCTCGTCCGGTACATCAACTACGGCGTCACCCTGGGCAGCGTCAACATGCCCGAGGTCAACATGCGCGCGTGGAGCCTGGACGACCCCATGCACGCCCGCGTCATCTACATCCACAGGAACGTGCCCGGTGTCCTGCGCAAGGTCAACGAGGTCCTTGGCAACCACAACGTCGACAAGCAGATTAGTGACAGCAGGGGCGATGTGGCCTACCTGATGGCTGACATCAGCGACGTCAAGGACGGCGACCTGAAGGAGATCTCGGACAGCCTCGAGTCTTTGAGCTGTGAGTGCCCATTCTGGTAAATTCTGTCGAGCTCGCGTACTGACCTTATATGTAGCCCGCATCATGACGAGGGTGCTGTACTAGAGTAGGGTGCTGGGTGATCTTGGAGTAAGGGTGCATAACCGCGACGACATTCGACTACATCAATGAGTGATGAGGCTATCAACTGCCTGTCGGAATTCAGGTTGATCAAACACGGCTCTTTTCTTAGCTGGAAGGCTTCAACATGATCGAGGATAGAACGACGAGGGGGAAATCGAGTCATATGTTAAAAATGAGGCTTATCTACCTTCCCTTTTCAGGTGGAGCTACAAAACGGCTGGCGGGAAATGGTTCAACAAGGGGTCCAGCCCCATCTTGATTTATTTAAGATGAAGCGTTTGGTTTCTTCTCTATGCATAGAACTTCTTGGCAGGAAAGACGAAAGGAAAAAATACAAGGGCGATTTCAAGACGACGATTGACTGCTCCGCGGGCTCTTGAAGTATCAAAGAGCTGGAGAGTCTCGCTCGGATGCATGCCTGACCTTCGACAGGAGCGAAGTTTCGTTTCGAGCTGTCCTGCGGGTAGCCAAGGAATGTTGTCACATCAGGCGAAAATCCCCGGTTCGATCTCTTGGGGGATGGTCACAATTCGCGAAGCGCGTTCTGCCCGCGGACAAAACACGCGCTTGAGAAAAGCCTGGTGGTATGCATGCTTTACTTGTACTTGTAGACAATCCCGGTGCGGTTCACAAGGCCGATTCCTCCTGTGCCTCGTATGACAGCAACGAGCTTGTTCTATCGAAGCTGCTGGAAGACCCCAAGATGGTATCATGCCTCTTGTATGGTTATTTCGCCCCAATATGACAAGGAGTTTCCGGTATGTGGATCGACATGCGGTGATGTGAAGTGATTTGAACTGTGATCAGTGCCGAGGAAGACGGGGACTTCGCATTGACGCACGCCATCTGTTTTGTACTTGTACAAGTACGCCTGAAAAGGGAGGGAGGCATGGTTCAATGGTAGACGTACCTACCTAGGTAGCTAATGAATGAACCACGAGGTCAATCTCCGCGGGTGCCAACAGCTTGTCACAGTGCATCCCCGGGCCTCAACGGTTTTCGAGAAGGCATAATTTGAGTAGGTAGGGTACGTACTTGAACAATAAAGTGCAGGGCTCCAACTGCTGGAGGGGGACCGGCCCTCGATGATGAAACGGGAGCGAGCAGCGGTACCTGATCTTAGTGGATACAGCCCCAGCTCGAGAGCGCGCGGTCTCTGGAACAGGGGATCGAGGCCACTCCCGAGAAGGCTGGCGGGCGGAAGAGCGGTAGAGCGGTAGGTACCGTTGGTACCAGTCTTGACTTGCTAGCTCCATCCTCCGCGTGAACTGGCCCCTCTCTCCCCCCTGAGACTTGGAGGTTTGTGTGCGGTGTGGAAGAAACGCGACCAGGTCGGGCCTAGCAGGTGCGAAGTAATTGGGTTATTATGCTTGTTTCGTCGCACCTTTTGGCGCACTGTACTTGTATTGTAGGCCCATCCTGCGGCGGTGCATGTATGTTTCTTTGAGTGCTTGAATTGCGCCACGAATGCTCCCCCCCCCTTCTCTGATTCAACGCGGTCAATGTCTGAGAGGCTCGTGGGAAAAGGGAACGAATTAAAGTCTGCATGAATAAGAGAGAGAGTGTGTGTATGTGTGTGTGTGTGCGCGCGCATATGTGTGTGCTGTACCATAGTCAGCCATCTGAGCCAGCCAGCCAGCCAGCACTACATGCATCCCATCGAATTCCATATGCACCCCTGGTCACTCGAAGCAGCTACAAGCACGGGACACCAGCAGGCGCTGATGCAAGCCCACTGCATCTAATCCATCCCTTCCAATCCGCCCCCTATCAACCTCCCCTATCAGGGACCAGGGCCCGGATTTTTTTTCGCAAGCCATCTGCAAACCCCCTAAAAGCCAGAACAGCCACTTAGGTAGACTAAGCTTACCGTACACCTCTCCTTCACCAACACGATCCAACGACGACGACGGGCAACCTCTCGCGTCACGTCTCGAGATTCTTCTGCCATCTTGAAGAGAGCAAGTCGCCCCCCTCCGATCCTCTTGCACCGACTTCGGTTTCGACACTAGTCTGGCTGCGATCTCCTTTACACTCTTTTGTTTTCTCGTAGAGCCTCTTCTTTTAATGCTTTTATGAATGTCTTCTTTTCTTGAGATCCCATTCCAAACTTGCTACCGGTAGTCTGCTGGGTTTCTCCCTCTCACCCTTTGCCAATTCCTCGTGTATCCGAATCTCTTGACGAGAAACAAAGGTCTCCGCTTGTTTAACGGCATCATCCACGCCAAGCCTACCGCGTCCGAAGACTCCAATCCCGTCGCGGGAACTGTCTCTCAATGGCAGAAACATATGATGTCGGCACCCGGGCGTGGCAGCCCGACACGGCCGAGGGCTGGGTCGCTTCAGAGGTGGTCAAGAAGAGCATCGAGGGATCAAAGGTGATCCTCGAGTTCAAGCTCGAGAATGGAGAGGTACGTTCTTGACGCCCGCCTTTCCCCTGGCCCAAGGTGTTCCCCCCCTGTGGGCATGGATTCTGACAAAGAAGACAGTCAAAAACTGTCGAGGTCTCGGCAGATGCCCTGCAGAGCGGCAACGATGCCTCATTACCTCCGTTGATGAACCCGACCATGCTCGAAGCGAGCGACGACTTGACCAACCTGTCGCATCTAAACGAGCCAGCTGGTATGATTGACTCCCCCGATGCGAGGCGCGAGCTCTGACTGCAGCGTGCTAACGAGATCTCCGCGTCCAACAGTCTTGCAAGCTATTCGTCTTCGATATGCCCAGAAGGAAATCTACACATACTCCGGCATCGTGCTGATAGCAACCAACCCCTTCGCTCGCGTCGACTCCCTATACGTCCCCGGTATGGTGCAGGTCTATGCTGGCAAGCAGCGGGCGACGCAAGCCCCTCATCTGTTCGCTATTGCCGAGGAGGCCTTCATGGACATGCTTCGAGATGCAAAGAACCAAACGATCGTGGTGTCGGGAGAGTCTGGTGCTGGAAAGACCGTCAGTGCTAAGTACATCATGCGGTATTTTGCTACGAGAGAATCCCCCGACCACCCCGGCGATCGGTCAAAGAAGGGCGCCGAGGCCATGAGCGAGACGGAAAAGCAGATTCTGGCGACCAACCCTATCATGGAGGCCTTCGGAAACGCAAAGACAACTCGCAATGACAACTCGTCCCGATTCGGCAAGTACATCGAGATCATGTTCGACAAGCAGACCAACATCATTGGCGCCAAGATCAGGACCTACCTTCTCGAGCGATCCAGGCTTGTCTTCCAGCCCCTCAAGGAGCGCAACTACCACATCTTCTACCAGATGGTGGCCGGCCTCACAGAGAAGCAGCGACAAGAACTCAACATCCTCCCGATCGAGCAGTTCGAGTACCTTAACCAGGGCAACACTCCGACGATCGATGGAGTCGACGACAAGGCAGAGTTCCTAGCCACAAAGGCATCTCTGAAGACAATCGGCGTGGAGGATAGTGCGCAAGATGAGATCTTCAAGCTGCTCGCCGGTCTGCTACACCTTGGCAACGTCAAGATCGGTGCCTCGAGGACAGACAGTGTTCTTGCGCCTACGGAGCCGTCCTTGGAGAAGGCTTGCGAGATCCTGGGCATCAATGCTGCCGAATTCGCAAAGTGGATTGTCAAGAAACAGCTCGTTACCAGGGGCGAAAAGATCACCTCCAACTTGACCCAGGCACAGGCCATTGTCGTCAGAGATTCCGTCGCCAAGTTCATCTACTCGAGTCTGTTCGACTGGCTCGTTGACATCATCAACCGCAGCTTGGCGACGGAGGAAGTCATCAACCGTGTCAGCTCGTTCATTGGTGTTTTGGATATCTACGGTTTCGAGCACTTTGCCAAGAACTCATTCGAACAGTTCTGTATCAACTATGCCAACGAAAAGCTGCAGCAAGAGTTCAACCAGCATGTCTTCAAGCTCGAGCAGGAAGAGTATCTGAAGGAAAAGATCGACTGGACTTTCATCGACTTCTCCGACAATCAACCCTGTATCGACCTCATCGAAGGGAAGCTGGGTATCCTCTCCCTCTTGGACGAAGAGTCAAGGCTGCCTATGGGCTCTGACGAGCAATTTGTGACCAAGCTGCATCACAACTACGCTGCTGATAAGCACCAGTTCTACAAGAAACCAAGGTTTGGCAAGTCCGCTTTCACGGTGTGCCATTATGCCATCGACGTCACCTATGAATCGGAAGGCTTCATTGAGAAGAACAGAGATACTGTGCCGGACGAGCACATGGCTGTTCTCCGAGCTTCCAGCAACAAGTTCCTCGGTCAGGTCCTCGAGGCAGCGTCAGCCGTCCGCGAGAAGGACCTTGCTTCTGCGTCTACCGCTGTGAAACCTGCTGCTGGCCGAAAGATTGGTGTCGCAGTCAACCGAAAGCCTACGCTGGGTGGCATCTTCCGCTCGTCCCTGATCGAGCTGATGAACACCATTAACAACACTGATGTGCACTACATTCGTTGCATCAAGCCCAACGAGGCCAAGGAGGCCTGGAAGTTCGAGGGGCCCATGGTTCTCAGCCAGCTGAGAGCTTGTGGTGTCCTCGAGACTGTGCGGATCAGTTGTGCTGGTTACCCTACCAGGTGGACATATGAGGAGTTTGCGCTCCGCTACTACATGCTTGTCCCCTCTACCCAGTGGACTGCGGAGATCCGGCAGATGGCAGATGCTATCCTTACCAAGGCCCTTGGTGCTAGCACCGGCAAGGGTCTGGACAAGTATCAGCTGGGTCTGACGAAGATCTTCTTCCGGGCCGGTATGCTCGCCTTCCTCGAGAACCTGCGCACCAACAGGCTCAACGAGTGCGCCATCATGATCCAGAAGAACCTGCGAGCCAAGTTCTACCGCCGCAGGTATCTGCAGGCTCGCGAGTCGATTGTTGCTTGCCAGGCTATGACCAGAGGTCACCTGGCCAGGAAACGGGCTCAGGAGTTGCGCACTGTCAAGGCGGCCACGACTATCCAGCGAGTCTGGCGCGGTCAGAAGCAAAGGAAGCAGTTCCTGCGCATCAGGGCCGATCTGGTCCTGGCCCAGGCTGCCATCAAGGGTTATCTGCGGAGAAAGGAGATTATGGAGACCCGCGTCGGCAATGCCGCTCTACTCATCCAAAGAGTGTGGCGGTCTAGGCGCCAGCTTCGGTCGTGGAGGCAATACCGCAAGAAGGTCACCCTCATTCAGAGCTTGTGGCGTGGTAAGCGGGCCCGCCGCTCGTACAAGAAGGTTCGCGAGGAAGCTCGCGACCTCAAGCAGATTTCATACAAGCTTGAGAACAAGGTTGTCGAGCTTACGCAGTCCCTGGGCACCATGAAGACTCAGAACAAGGAGCTCAAGAGCCAAGTCGAGAACTACGAGGGCCAGATCAAGTCATGGAAGACCAGGCACAACGCCCTCGAGGTTCGGAACAAGGAGCTGCAGTCTGAGGCGAACCAAGCCGGTATCGCGGCCGCCCGCCTCTCGCAGATGGAGGACGAGATGAAGAAGCTCCAGCACAACTTCGAGGAGTCGGCGCTGAACGTCAAGCGAATGCAGCAGGAGGAGCAAGAACTCAAGGAGTCGCTCCGCGCCAGCGTCGGCGAACTGGAGGCTGCCAAGCAAGAGGTCACTCGCTCCGAAACCGAGAAGAACTCTCTGCGCCAGCAGATCCTCGAGCTCCAGGACGCTCTCGAACTTGCGAAGCGATCTGCGCCCGTCAATGGCGAGATGGTCAATGGTACGAACGGCGCCACCGGTCCCATTGGCGGCGGTCTCATCAACCTCGTCTCGTCGAAGAAGCCTAAGAGGAGGAGCGCCGGCGCAGAACCCCGCGAAATGGACCGCTACAGCATTGCCTACAACCCCAGGCCTGTTTCTATGGCTCCCGTCACTGGTCGCCAGAACATTGGTGGTGTTCCTGCATTCGTCCCTGGTGTTGACAACATTGAGCTCGAGCTCGAGTCGCTCCTTGCTGATGAGGATGGCTTGAACGAGGAGGTCACTCTGGGCCTCATCCGCAACCTTAAGATACCCTCTCCCGCTACCAACCCTCCTCCTTCGGACAAGGAGGTTCTCTTCCCCTCCTACCTTATCAACCTCGTCACCTCGGAGATGTGGAACAACGGCTTCGTCAAGGAGTCGGAGCGCTTCCTCGCCAATGTCATGCAGTCGATCCAGCAGGAGGTCATGCAACACGATGGCGACGATGCCATCAACCCCGGTGCTTTCTGGCTCTCCAATGTCCACGAGATGCTCTCGTTTGTTTTCCTTGCTGAGGACTGGTATGAGGCGCAGAAGACCGACAACTACGAGTACGATCGGCTCCTGGAGATTGTTAAGCATGATCTCGAGAGTCTGGAGTTTAACATCTACCACACCTGGATGAAGGTGCTCAAGAAGAAGCTCCAGAAGATGATCATCCCGGCCATTATTGAGTCGCAGTCCCTGCCCGGTTTCGTTACTAACGAGAACAACCGGTTCCTCGGCAAGCTCCTGCAGTCCAATTCGGCCCCGGCCTACAGCATGGACAACCTGCTGAGCCTGCTCAACAGCGTGTTCCGCGCCATGAAGGCGTACTACCTGGAGGACTCGATCATCAACCAGACGGTCACCGAGCTGCTCAAGCTTGTCGGCGTGACGGCCTTTAATGATTTGTTGATGCGCCGCAACTTCCTCTCGTGGAAGCGAGGTCTCCAGATCAACTACAACATCACCCGTATTGAGGAGTGGTGCAAGAGCCACGATATGCCCGAGGGCACGCTCCAGCTCGAGCATCTTATGGTGAGTAGTAGCTGGATGAGGTGTATTTCCACCATAGACGCGCATGCTAACAACCCATCTAGCAAGCAACCAAGCTACTGCAGCTCAAGAAGGCGACCCTGAATGATATCGAGATCATTCAGGATATCTGCTGGATGTAAGTAGTCACGTTTCTAGTCTGTCCCCGTCCAAGCGCACCATGCTGACATTTCTGTGTAGGCTCTCCCCCAACCAGATTCAGAAGCTTCTGAACCAGTACCTGGTTGCCGACTACGAGCAGCCCATCAACGGCGAGATCATGAAGGCCGTCGCCTCGAGGGTCACCGAGAAGAGCGATGTGCTCCTTTTGCAAGCTGTCGATATGGACGACAGTGGGCCATACGAGATCGCCGAGCCAAGACAAATCACGGCTCTTGAAACTTACACACCGTCTTGTAAGTACATTTGACTGCCTAAGACGACATCCGATATTCAAGGATCAGGCTGACTAACATGGGGAAAATCAGGGCTCCAAACTCCTCGATTGAAGCGTCTGGCCGAGATTGTCTCGGCTCAGGCCATCGCTCAGCAAGAGAAGTTTGACATGTCGAGCTACGACGGCAACGACGACCTGGGTGATGTCGAGGAGGCCCCCGAGGGCATGGAGTCTGCCCAGGCTGTCGAGGCCAGCGCTTAGTGGGCTAGCCGACCTCCTGGGCTCAGACCGAGATCCGTAGGGCCTCCCACAGTGGCATCGCCGACTTCCTTCTTGCTCTCTGCCTGGAGGAGGAAAGACGACGGCCAGAGTACCGGCGATGAGGTTCCTTGCCACAATAGCCAGGGTGGCAAAGAGACGACGGAGCGAGGGCCAGCGTCTGGAGACGCTGCTTAGAGAATAGAAAGAGAGAGTGGTACTGACTGAGAGTGAAAGAGATGGTGGACTGTGTACATTTCCCCCGGTGTGTATGTGTGTATGTGGACGATTGTACTATGAGGGCGGGTACATATACGAGAGCAAGACTTGTTCAGGTTACCTACTTTACCAACCCTCGATAAAGGAGGATTTTCAACGGAGCTTTTGTTGACTTCTCTTTTTTTTATGATGATCTAGATTCCTCATGAAATCTTTATGCACTTGTGTGCGTAAGTGTATGTCTCTGAGTGTGCCACCGCTACGGATTGAACAATTCGAGATGATATCCGTGGATGAGAGATTCATTCACCGAGAAATTCTTCAACTTGCTCCTCGGTTGTAGTCTGTAGTACGTATCAATCTGCCTTCTTGTTGTAGAGGGCCTCATCAACAATGCTTTTTCAGTGGGGCACGTGATGCATGCCGGTTAGAGAGGGCGGCCTCGAAGTTTTTTGGACTACTTTTTCCGGTCCCCTCAGTCTCACTAACACGAACATAGGAAACGAGAAAAAAGAAAGTCGATTCACAGCATCTTATACAACAAGAGGATCTCGGGAGCCTAGTAAACGGAATTTGTATTCTCCCTGATACCTTGTTCCGCTTTTCCTCATTTCGATTTCTTTTAGTCTCTTATCGAGCCTCCCGGGTCTCACATATCGAGTATCCCATCTTGAGAAGCGCAACCACCACTGGGAGGAATCTTGGGAACGAACAAGAACGGCAAGGACCGCATCGTTCGGGCGTCTATTTTCTACGAGGGGCGCCAGAGGGAAAACGTTACCACGAGTGGCACAGCGAGCATGTCCAGGAAACTACCCAACATCATCGTCACGGGCACGCCGGGCGTGGGCAAGACGACGCACTGCGAGGCGCTGGCGCAGAGGACGGGGCTGCGCCACCTCTCCGTCAACCAGGTCGTCAAGGACAAGGGGTGCCACGAGGGCTACGACGACGAGTACCAGAGCTGGATCGTGGACGAGGACAAGGTTTGTTGTCCCCCGACGACATGCTGGAAAAGGGAAGAGAGAAGAGCGAGCGATACTAAAACCGCAAATCTTTTACGCAGCTCCTGGACGCGATAGAGGACGATGCCAAGGAGGGCGGGTGCATCATTGACTGGCACGCTTGCGATCTGTTCCCCAGGAGCTGGATCGACCTGGTCGTCGTCTTGAGGGTTGACTCGGAGACGCTCTACGACCGGCTTGCGGAGAGGTGAGTTTCTTGCCTCCTTCATGATGTCTTTGATATGCCACGAACAAACCCATCTTTTTTTCCTTTCTTACATTTGTCTTCCCTTCTGTTCCAACGCTGTTCGAAGGGGGCGGAGAGGGGAAATGGAGATCGTGTGCTGACGAGAACTGGTGGGGGGGAAAGGAAATACCCGGAAAAGAAGATGCAGGAGAACATCGACTCGGAGATCATGGAGGTGCTGCTGCAGGAGGCGCGGGAGTCGTACGACGAGGAGATTGTGGTCGAGCTGACCAGCAACACGTCGGACGAGATGGAGAGCAACGTGGACCGGATCGAGGCGTGGCTGAGGCAGTGGAAGGAGGACAACCAGGCGTCATGAGAAGATGGTACCCTGGTTCTTGGAGTCTACGGAACGAAAAGACTACACGGGAAAAGACATGCGGGCGGGAGCTTTGTGGACTCTTTCAAAAAGGAATTTTGATTTTGATACATGACATGGGCATGGAGCTCTGCTCTTGAAGCTTTTGTTGTATTTCGGGAAATCACCCAGACAGAAGTAAAAGGCTTCATTCCAACTTACAAGCTACTCGAACTTCAGTGTGAAAACGGCCACTACGTCCCTGTAAACTCGATGTATTTTTGTCCCTATCCAATACTCTGCTTTTCGTGGCTATCGCGACTCGGAATACTGGAGATACGCTAAGCGGGGCAAAGCGACGACTTGCGCCCGCGATCCAAAAATGCCGGTGTTAATTCCAAGTCCTTACTTACTCATTGAACATACCAAATAACCATTCTTCTTCTCCTTCTTCTTCTTCTTTCCAAGTACATACACACACACACACCGTTTTATACCAGAAGAAGAAAAAAAATGTCCAAGCCCGTCGTCAACTTCATCACGGGCAACAAGAACAAGCTCGCCGAGGTCAAGGCCATCCTCGAGCCCGCCGGCATCGAGGTCCGCAGCCAGGCCATCGACCTGGTCGAGGTCCAGGGCACTCTCGACGAGGTGACGCTCGACAAGTGCAGGCGGGCAGCCGAGCAGGTAAGCTGAAAGAACTGAAATAAGAGTGGACGGGAGGAGGGGGGCTGTCTTGGTCTTTTGTAGTCGTATCAACTCACACGGACGGCGTCAATTCGACCGGCACTTCCAGGTCCAAGGCCCCGTCCTCGTCGAGGACACATGCCTGTGCTTCGACGCGCTCAACGGCCTGCCGGGTCCTTACATGTAAGTCTCTCTCTCTCTCTCTCTCTCTCTCTCTCGCAGAGCAAAGAAAAAAGCCCCGAGGACGTTTCGGGAAAGAAAAACATTGTATCATTAATGCGTTATTCGCTTTTTGCGCCCTCTTCCCGCGAAATATAGCAAGTGGTTCCTGGGCTCCATCGGCCACGAAGGCCTGAACAACCTCCTCGCCGCCTACCCGGACAAGTCGGCCAAGGCCGTCTGCACGTTCGCCTACTCGGCCGGCGCCGGACAGGAGCCGCTCCTGTTCCGCGGCGTCACCGAGGGCAAGATCGTGCCGGCACGAGGTCCCCCGGACTTCGGTACGTGTGTTTTTTGGTCACCCGACTTGCAAACCCTTGAAGAAATCTCCCATATTGCTTTGAAAAACAGCATGACGAGATGTGATGGCGTTTTGCTGACTCTGGTGGACCACACGAACAAGGCTGGGACCCCATCTTCGAGTATGAAGGCAAGACGTAAGTTGCATGCGGCTTGTCGCCCACCCACCCATCCTCACCCGATTGGGTCGTACACAGGAGAACAATTACCTGACACACGCATTCACAAATCACAGCTACGCAGAGATGGACAAGGTAGAGAAGAACAAGATCTCGCATCGCTTCAGGGCGCTAGAAGAGCTCCAGACGTGGTTCGCTAAGCAGACGGCCTCCGCTTGAGGGTATGCTACCAATGATGTAACAAGAAGTCAAACAAAAAAGTCCTATAGAGAGAGAGAGTATAGAGAGGGAGAGAGAAAAAAAAGATAGTCTGTGGGGGGGTATAGAAGATCATAAATTCGTCAATAATGCCACGAGTCCACCGACAGGCTCTCCTGAGTCGCCCACCACATGAATGGGGGGTGATGAATGCTCATCAACTGCCGCTGCTCTGGCCGCTTCTCCCCTTGCTCCGTCTTGGACTCTGCGCACTGATGTCTCCTCCCCCACCTGTGTGAGAACCGGGCGATGATGCGGCAGCCAAAGCAGAACCTCTAGTCCTTGCTGGATGCATCCGCTGCGTCTCCTCCGGCCTGCGGCCCCAGTGACGGTATCTCGGGCAGGTGGAGGCGCAGGACCTCGAACTCGTGATACTTGCCCAGGTATTTGTGTCCTCGCCGGTAGGGCTTGAGCATCACGTCGGGAGAAGCGTGCTCAAAGTACCTGCCCACAAGCCTGGTGATTCCGGGGGCATCGTGGAACATGGGGTCAAAGACGAGCAGGTTACCGAGCCCGTTCTTGAGTTTTTCGAATCCAACAATGGTCATCGAATGGCCTGCCACTAGCGGTTAGTTCGTCGCGTACCAGACAAAGAAAGACTCATGCTGGATTGCATACCTGCGTGCTGAAAATAGATTGGAGGAAGCATTGTGGCTCGGACCTTGTACGTAGGATCGAGCACGCCGGACTCAAAGTACCGCTCAATCTCCTGTAAAAGCCGCTCTTCTGACCTACCGGGCTCCTTGTTCCTGTAGCCTTGGGCCTCACACCTAGAGAAAGATCACTGTCAGTAATTGTACGACTTAGATACGCCCGCCGAGAGAGAGAGAGAAACGTACGGGACATCGAGTGAGCAAAAGACAGCCTGGGCCTCGGGCGTGCCGATGTACTTGCGCGTTCCTTTCACGCCGCCCGTCTCGACGCGCCCCTGGGCGTTGATGCCCTTGTCCCACGCCTCCTCGATGAGGTCCTGGATCCGGAAGATGGTCGGCAGCTTGCCCTCGGGGAAGTGCTCGAAGCCGAGGAACTGCGAGCCGACGATGTAGGACACCATCATCTGGATGTTGCGGTACCCGCAGAAGCCGCCCTCCTTCTTGAGCTTCGACACGTGCTGCACGCAAGGGTGGCACAGGTAGGCGTACGAGTTGGACGGGCTCTGCTCGAGCAGCTGCTCCAGCACCGGCAGGACGCCCTCCTGCCGGATGCCGAACCCCTTCTTGAGGTGCTCGACGAGCCAGTCGGGCATCCGCTTCTCGTGCGCGTACTTGCCCAGCTCGGCCTTACCGAGCCTCTTCCTCTTGGGGACAGCGTTCGCCGCCGAGGCATCGGCCGCGCTCCCAGCGGCAGAGTCTCCCGCAGCACCGGAGGCCTTTGCGTCGCTAGCTGGCGCGGGCGAAGGGCTCTTGGCCTGCGGCATGGCCAGGAGCTTGCGCCATGCCTGGATGGTGCTCGACTGCCGACTGGACTTGGAAGATTTGTCTCGGTGGTGGCGGTGTCGCCTCTTCTCTTCCCTCTCTCGGCGATGGCCCGAGTCGTCCCCGGCGCCGCCGCTCTGGTGACGGGATTTGGCAGCCAGAGAGCCGGCTTCTGCGGCGCTGTCCGATGTCGAATCGGGGCCGGAATCGCCTCCTTGTACTTCTCCGGCATGGAGTTCCAGGTGGTCCTCGACCTCCTTGGTTAGTAGAATCTCGCCGCAGCCCTCGACCGGACACTCCGTGTACTCTCCTTCCTCCTGGTCGGCGTCGGCATGCTGGTCGACCTTGTCGTCCTCAGCTCCACTAATTGGCTCAGTCTTGGCAACTGCAGCGTCTCTCACAACAAAAGGCGAGGAGCCTTCCGAGTGAGTTTCTTCCACATGCTAAAAGCCTTTGTCAGAATAAACCTTGTCCACAGGACTAATGCTCGTGAGATCATATACTCACGAGCAGCATTGCATATTCCACCGCTCGAAAGCCGCAGAACGGACAGCTCCGGATGGGACCGTCCATCTTTCTTATTGCCCCGAGCCCGGAGACAGAAAAGCGGCGTTGATCTCGCGGCAAGAACCAAAGAGATCCCTCACCACCTGGTCAGGGCAGGATCTTGAGGGGGACCTGTCAGCCAGCAGGCTCCGGGTTAGGGGTCCAGACCAAATGGCTCTCGAGGTTGGGTTGCGACGCTCAAGTGAGTGATGATGCTGCAAATCTAGCACGGCAAGTCTATGGAAATACAATGAGAAAAGGACATCGATGCAAAGGCAAAGCGAGAAGCGCCTAAGAAGGCGTATTTTAAAGTCGTGTGTCAGTATAGTACAAGCATCGTGGCCGACAAGTGGTGGCACGTTGTCATTGAGAGAGAGAATCGAGGTTGCAGTTTCGTGTTTGATGCCACCGCAGCGTACCCCTAGAGCTAAGGAGGTAGTTAGCTCGGCTTTGGATTCAATCGGACTGGTCCGGCGCTGTTGGGTGTGCTACAGTTTGCTGCAGGTGATTCTTCAGGGGTCCACTGGTATGATCTCGCGGCAGCTGAGCCCGCCATGCAGGGCCTCAGTGGGTAGCTGGGGGCACCGGCTCGGCATGCAGAACCCCCCTGGACCCCTGCCGCGTGTTGGCCATGCGCTAAAACCATCCGAAGATTACCTAGGTACGGTGGATTCGCGTTGGTGGGAAAACACCTGCAGCTAAAAATTGACGATGTGCCACAAAGACACAATATGGCTACCCATGAAACACGCACGTTACTCGGATGGCATATCCTTTCCGATTCCAGGCCCTTTCTTTTTCGTTGCTATCATCTCTATGAATGTCTATGGACAATCCTTCCTCAGAGTTGCTCAGCTCATGCTACCCCTTTTCTCCCCTCCCCAAGCAGCCAAGGGTACCTACCTCGGCATCATCCCCTTTTAGACTGTCGTCTGCTTCAGCTTCTCCGCGGCTTGCTCGACAGCAGACGCCGCTGCGTCCACGGCGGCAGCGACCTTGGGTTTGGCGCCCTTGTCCGCCTTGCCCTTGGCCTTCTGAGAGGTAGTGTTCTGGGGAAGCTCCTTGGTGAAGGGGATGAAGTCTGGTGCGCCGGGCAAGTACTTGCGTAGTGGCTCGGGAATGCGCAGACCCTCAGGAGTCTGGTAGTTCTCCATGATACAGCCTGCGATAAAGTCAGAATTGGTACATCACACAAGTCTATCCACGGACAACTCAGATGAGAGAGAACATACACATCGTTCGAGAAGTGGCAGTCAGCGTGCTGTTGAGACAGTGGACATACTTCTTCTTGACTGCAGAGGAATGTCTATTAGTGTCTGTCATAAAAGGAAGGGGGGGTGAGAAACTTGCCATCGGTCTGCGTCTTGACGCCACATCGGATCTCAAGCGCACGAGACTCTGTTTACGTGTTAGTCCAAGGTCATTTAGGAGACGTCACAGCACATGACGCTTTGGTGTCATTCACTTACGGAAGTCAGTGCAGTTGGAGCAGGAAACAAGCTCTTTCTGTTGAACGGTTAGGAAAGTCTGCCTCGACCGCTGTCTCAACATCATGAATATCTCAACTCACATATTCCCCCTGGAAGGGGAACCAAGCTAAACTGCGCATTAGTTTCGATACACTGACGCCTGCTGGAGATGCTTCAACTTACCCTCAAGATCATACTTCTTCGCCGCGGCCTGGTTGAAAGCCCCCGAGACAATTGCAACGATCCGGTAAGGCAGGCCCAGGGACTGGGCAAACTCCTCGGAGTGGGCGATCATCTACGACAGTGTGAGCTCTCAACCTCAAGCCTGGTCATCCAAGGGGTTTCTCATACCTCATCAAACATCTCCCAGCTCTTCTCGGGATCTGTGAGGACGAACTGCTCGACCTTCTCAAACTGGTGAACACGGAAGGTGCCCTGGATTCATTTCCTGTCAGTCTCTAGCCAGCGCTATCTTCAAGACACAGGGCTCCTTACCCAGGCATCCTTGCCGTGAGAACCAGCTTCTCTACGGAAGCAGGTCGAGAAGCCAGCGTACTTGATGGGGAGGTCCTTGGGCTGGAGCCATTCATCCGCGTGGTATGCGCTGATCGGCTGCTCAGAGGTGGCAATGAGGTACTTCTCGGAGTCGCCATCGATGACCTGCCGGCTTGTGAGTCCTGTCCACCTGCCCATGGATTCGACTGTTGGATTGCCCTACCTTGTACAGCTCGTCGTCGAAGGAATCGAGCTGAGCAGTGGCAGCCATGTACTCCTTGTTCATGAAGAACGGCGTCTGCAGCGCCGTGTAGCCATGCCGCATTGTCAAGAACTCTAGACCGTAGTTGATGATGGCCTGGTTCAGGAAAACACCCCACTGGCGCAGGAAATAGCCCCTGTGTCCGACGACCTTGACTCCGGCCTCGGGGCTGTAGCCATCGAGCCGGGTCAGGACCTCGTGGTGGCTCAGGCAATCCCTCTTCTCGACCGTCACGCCCTCGGGCGCCCACGTCCTCAGGGTCACGTTGTTGTCCTCGTTGTCGCTGACGGGTACGGAGTTGTGGATGATGTTGCCCACGGACTTGACCAGGGTCTTGAGCTTGGCCTCCTTCTCGTTGGCCGAGTCGAGAATCTCCTTCTTGGCCTTCTCGAGGGCAATCTTCTGCTGCAGGAGCTCGTCGGCATTCTCCTTGGCCTTCTTGCGGGCACCAATCTGCTTCTGCACGCCGTTGATCTCGGCGTTCATCTGAGTCGCGCTGTAGAGGGTCCTTCGGTGGTCGTCCCAGAGCGCGATGATCTCGTCGACGACCTCGACGTTGGCATAGCGGCGCTATAATGTGGAAGAGAGATACCAAGTCAGCCAATCAGTCACTCAGCGCCTCATCGCCCTGGCAATCTTCGTTGTGAAGCTCGCAGCTGGCGTAACAACACGAAGACAAAATCGCACAAGGTGGATATAGACGTACGCGCTGCGACTCCCTGATCGCCTCAGGGTTGCCGCCTCGCTCGGCAATGAAGTCGTTGACGTCGAGCATATCTGTAGCCCGCGGATGCTTCCTCTAGAACAGTCGTCGTCTGTGTTCTCGTAGCGTATTGCTTGAATTGATCAGAGGCTTTGGGGAAATTTTGGCGCTTCTCTGGAAGTTTTTGGAGGGGCTTTATCGATCATCAGAGATAGCGGGGTACCTGCGCTCCGTATCAATGGCGGCGGTCGTGTGTGACACATCTCGCCGACACGACAACACGGAAACTGCGCCGTGACTCAGTAATTTAATCACCAGATATTTGTGAATTACCACATTATATCACACTACCGAGTCTTTTCGATGCCCCCAAAATTTTGCTAGATAGCGCCCGGGAGCTTTGATGCCAGATCAAAGCGTGAGTGCCAGGCCTTCTCGTGTAAGTGGAATGAGCATTGTGAGCTCCTTGCCACCACCACCTTGGGCATCCTTTCCATACGATGCCAAACAGGCAGCGTTGACAATTTGGAATAACCATCGAAATACGAGGGATCGAGGGAATCGGTTTGATTAGAACTCGGTTCAAAAACAATGCGCAGATCCATGTGAAGCCTATCCTCTAGATGTATGCAAGGCATCAAAACACTTCGACAACGTACAACCACCGTGAATCCCAGGGACATCAAGACGTACAAATGTACAAACCCTCCCTGCGTCATCTACCTATTCAAATCCCAAGCGTCTAGTACGCTCCAGTGCGTAGCAGCACCACGGATCCGAAACCGTGAGCCACCAAGCCATGCGTAAGCTGTGAGACCTTCCTCTCAACCGTAGCAGGGAAGTCTAGACGCCACCACAAACCGGAACCCTAAACGTATAGAGCAGAATTGCTCTCAAAAAGTGCCACCGATCCAGCCATGGTCCTTGGCCGTGGCGCAGAACGCATCGATCTAGGCTTCCACCACCATGGCACTCCGGAGATCATACCCGCATGGACCTCTCACATGATGGCGCATTTGCCTCCACCCTCCGGCTCGTTGGGGTTCTGAGACTTCTCGATTTGCCCGATGAGGAGCTCGAAGGCCTTGGCGACATTCTCGTTATACCTGGCGCTGGCTTCGGTCCAGGCACAGTTGATCTTCTCGGCCAGCTTCTTGCCCTCCTCGGCGCTGACTTGGCGCTGCTCGGGTCGCAGATCGCTCTTGTTACCAACAATTACAATCGGTACCCACTCGACTCCCTAGCCAAGCATTGCATGTTAGTCATGGCCGTACTGATCACCGCAGAAGAAGAATTGACAGCACAGGGATGCAGAAGAATAGTAGGAGTGGTGGTGGTCAGTGGGCGTCCAGTTGAGCAAAACTCACCAGATGGTTAAGAATCTTCTCTCGGATAACTTGAATCATCTCGAATGACGACATGGATGAGACTGAGTAGACCAGCATGTATCCATGAATACCGATGAAGTGCTTCGAATTCAGAATACTGTACTCATCCTGGAAGACGTAACACAGCGGTTTCTTGTCAGCGAATGGCCTCACTTCAGAGAAAGACACAGGGCATCTGTTTGCCCAAGTCGAACACATTGCTCAAAAGAGAACTCTGTGCAAACTCTCTCGAAGGACTGCATCCGTTTGAAGGGAAGGACTGACTTGGCCAGCGGTGTCCACAATCTCGGTGCGGAACTCTTGGTTCTTGAACTTGATGTCCTTGCTGAACGTGTTCTCAATGGTCGGGTAGTAGCTTTCGACAAAGTGGCCATCGACGAATTGGACTGCGAGCGAGGACTTGCCTATCGAAGTGGGACAAGGTCAGTCGACTACTGGATTGTTTCGGGGGGGGTTGCGACTCGGGGAGAGAAGACGAACCGACTGAACGGCTGCCAACAATGGCAACTTTCCTCTGCTTCGACGGTGATGGCATTTACGTAGATTTTGGAAGTAGTATATCGAGGCTCTCGAGGCGGGTTTTCAAGAGGCCAGCAGAATCTATACCGCAACTGAGATCCCGGTGGTTCTGCTCTGGGCTGGCTCAAAGGATGCGCTGCGATGTTCCGGCGTGCTAAGATCTGACAGGCACCAGATGCGCTGCGAAGGGAGCTTTAGGTGCAGCGTGAATCGAAGACTCGAGTCGACAGGAAGCCGGGACGGGATCGGAATCCTCGTATGTCCTCCTTGAAAGATTGGAATAGAGGAAATCAAGGTCCAATGCGAACCTTGGGCAGAGAGAGTCAGGTAGGTTTTGAGGGCAAAGACAAGACCGGAGCAGCACCGAGCAGGGAGAAATAGCTTTCACGTTTCGTCGAACACCCCGCCTCCGCTTCCAGCCCAGGCCCTGCGAAGATCTGGGCCTGGCCTGTGACGGAAGGCATCTTGGTCAGTGGGGGGAGCGCCGCGCCTTAGGTCGTACAGGGCCTGTGCTAGCTGCAAGTAGGCTTTGGTCTGGGCGTGCCAGTCATGAACGGAGCTGGAATGCATCGAGCCAATCCGCTCTCGAGAACCAGGTTTATCAGGTAAAGAGATCCACTGCAACCCCATTGTCCCCAAAAGCCATGACTATGACTTAGACTTTACATCAGCTCCTTACATAACATGCTGACTGACGACTTACATCCATTGAAACAAATCACGTTGTATTTTCAGTCGCGGCAGACTTACCAGGGGTGGAACGAACGGTTGATGAAGTGTGAATTGCGTATACCTTCCCGTTTATCCTTGCTTCTGAACTCTGATGCTCGGCTTGTCAAGCCTCTCCATTCCTTACCCCGTCTTTTTAATCCGATGTGAAATCGGAAACATGGGGTAAAGAGCTGGAATGCTCAACCTGCCAGGCTGCGGCAACGCTGCAAGCCACAATTGCTTGCAACGCCTCATGCTCAGCTTCACTGGGATATGCTGTAGCTTCCTAAGGAAGGAGGCCTGAAGATGAGGCTCCGCATGTGAATGGCTGATGCATGATTGGCAAAGTGTTGCCGAAGAGCACTTAGCATCTTGCCTTCAGTTTTAATATAATCACCCCAAGGACAATTCAGCACGGCTTGATTAAACGGGCTAAGATGCCGACCTTGGGGAATATGAGTGTATTCTTATTACAAAATACAGATATGCCAGACCGCCCTTCTATCGTCGTGAAGTCCAAGGCCGTCCAATGCGAGAAATGCTTCAGGTATCATCAAATGTAAACAGTACATCTATCAGTAAAACTCATGCCTCGGTTCTCAAGGCGCTATGCCAAGGAGGCTGGAAAGGAATGGGGGGGGGGGGGGGGGGGCTCGTGCCGCAAGATAAAAAAAAAAGCAACGAGAATTCTGTCTGAGCGAATGGCTGACCAACGAGCCTCCCCGGGCAACCACCCTACCCTCCGTCATGATTCGTAAACATCGCCGTTCGATGTGTCCCACAATCCTATTCTTACGAATGTTCCAGCGTCTCGACTAGTGCTTGCAGCCGCCCAGTCGAGTTATCGTTCTCGGCGTGATCTACTACCTTGTTGTAGTAGGCAATAAACTCTTGGACGGAGCTTATGAGGGGCCGTAGGTTACCGCCTCGTTGGACGGCCCCGAACCTCTCCCTTACGGGCTTGTAGACTGACAAGTACCCGAGGAGAACGGATAGATAGCCAAACAGGACATTCAGCTGAGACGACTCCTCAGAGTCGGCCTTATAATTTGTCAGTAACATAGCAAGAAGTGCAAAGACAGAGCGGAGAAGAACATACCTCATGCGTCGTGGAGCAGTTGTCGAGGAATATTCTGATGAGATTATCTAGACTCTGCAAAGCCGATTGCGACTCGAGCAGTGTGCGCCCTGCTGTGGGTTCATGTTCGGCAAAGTTGATCATCACTCCAAGCATCAGCACAAGAGAATCGAAAGTAGCTGGCTTGAAACCCTCGCCTGCCGTGGGGTGGAGGACTTCTCCGAAGGTTCTGCAGACAACGCCGGCCAGCTCCCGAAGCACACCCCTTTTCAAGAAGATGCTAGGGGCTTTGGGGTTGTTGTTGGCGGTATTCATGGTGAGTTTCAGAGCCCGGACGTCGAGTTCTCCCAACTTGTCGGCCTTGCGGAGAAGGGATGCCTCGAGGATGTCCGCGACCGTGGGCAGATGGCGGCTGGTCCAATCCGGTCCTAGGCTCGACTGCATCACAGGCACCGAATGCTTGACAAGCAGGTTGAGTGCCAGGTACAGGTTGATGGACTCCGTGCTGTGTGGGAAATCCCACGACTCCGACTCTGCGTCACCGGCAGCAGATGAGAGGATCTCAAACAGCTGATCCACGATAGCCGAGGTCGCGATCTCATGTTCAACCGTCATGGTGGACGAATGAGCCGGAATTATCAGATCCAGGCACTTCAAAGCCAGGGTGCGAGGGGGGAGCTGAGGCGGTGGATGGCTCCAAAGGTTTGGCAAGTTCAGTATGGTAGTTTTCAAATTCGCCACCGTTGTTTGCGTATGTTTAGAGAGGTTGCTCTTGCGATCCCTGGCCACACTCGAGATGTCCCGTTCTTCAGCGATGAGGGTTGCAAACAGGTTTGCAATGCCCTGGGTTTGCAACTGCTGGAGCAGCAATGGGTCCGGCACAGGCGGAGAGGCCAAGATTGTGGTGAGAATCGAGATGATGGTATAGCCAGCGATAAGATCGACCTCCTTCCCAATTCTGTTGAAGACGTTGGGCTCTCCGCCATGGTCTCGGAATTGACGGCGGAAGGCCTTGTCCTGGATCTTCTCTGAGAGCTCCAGTAGCGCTGTACGCCTTGCGGACGAGGGTTTACCCTGACTCGGAATTCCTATCCGGTCCAAGAGGTCGTCCATCTCATCAGCGCAGCGATTGTTTGCCCCTGCTTGTCGAAGCTCGTGTAAGCTGCGAACAGCGCCAGAGTTATCTTCGAGGTCTTCATCGATGGACATTTGTGAGGCCTTTGGCTGACTGTCTGGCAACAGGCTTTGAGACCAGAGATCGAGTCCAGACCCGGCCGAATCCAGCAGAGGGTTTTCTGCCAGCACAGTCCTCTCCTGGCTATAGGTGAACTTCACGCCTGATTTCTTAGATAAGAGAGAGGTCTCCCGGGCGACCATGGACCTCGTCTGTGACGGCGTCGCCAAAGATTGACTATTGCTGTCTGGAGCCGTGTCGGCATGTTGACTGCTAGGTAGTGTACGCTTCAAGCCAAGGGCGGCAAAATCCGCATCGTCCTCGCTGTCATCCATCGAGTCGGAGCTTTCTGCCTGAGCAGCAAGGGCGTCGATCAGCCGCGTCCTAGGTCGCGCGTCTCCTTGAGCGGGTAGAGATTGAGGTTCTGGTTCTGTCGCCTTTTCTTTCGAGGGTTTCGCTAGCGGGGGGCCAAAATCCACAGGGGCCTTCCGAGGCGGTCGAATCGGTATTTGCTGTTGAGCGGACTGAGTGGACGCTGTGTTTCGGGAGCTCACACTGAGAGAGCTCAGGGTCTTGGATGTTGCTGGGGAGAACGGTGACATGATGGCAGCATTCTTCATAGCAGTATCCTTCGGCGGTGTAACTCTGTTGCGCGCTCGCGGTGGGTTGGCCTTCGCGGGCACTGGCTTGCTACGAGGCGCTTGTTTCGGCGAGGAAGGGATATCGTCGTAGATATCATACACCGCCGAATCCGGACTCGAAGATCTCTGCTTCTTCACCTGGCGGTTTGTAGCCTGACCCTGCGACTGCTTCCTCTTCACCACCCTGGTGCCATCTTTGCCATTTTCACTTCTCTCTCGGGATGGCAAGACGTTTGCACTTTGACTGCTTGACGGTTCTACAGGAGCCAAACGCTTTACTGGGCTTGTAGATCGCGACGATGAGCGCGTCGCTTGGGGTGTCGGTCGTGCCAAGCTCGGTGACGGCTTCCTGGATGAATCTTGCGACCCAAGCGCTGGAGACGCGCCGGTGCGCTTCCTGCCATACGTCGTGATTCTCTTCTTGGAGGGAAGCAACGAATCACTAGTGGTAGACATCATGATTGCTACTGCTTTTGCGATGTTGTAGATCGGAGATTGTGAGGCAAGCGTGAGCCGATGGAAGCGGCAGAGTGACTGAGCGATGAGAAGGGCGATCAGCTGATAGACCCAGCGCGGTGCGTGTCGCGTATTTCAAAAATGTATGCGTGCTCGATGCTACTGGTCTCGGCGCGATGAGGAAAGCGTGGCAGCGACCTCCATCACCATGGGATCGTTCGTTGTGGCGTGCGCGTTGGGGAGAAAGGTTTGTCAACAAACCAAAAGGTGCTGTTGACGCCAGGGTCGCATGCGATTCGGGGACCGGAGGATTGAGTCGCCCACGACTGTGTTTCTTTGCTTCTTTGCCGACTAGTTCGCTGCAACATCCAAGTCAATAGAGAAAGGGTCTTCAACAAGATCAAAAAGCGCAGGCCGGCCTTGTTGACTTTCTGTTGATAAATTCAAAATTGCGATGGCACTTCCGCTAGATGTCGGTCGGGACGGAATAGGTGATAAACAAGTCTGACAAGACAACAGAGAAGGACCCTGTCACTAACCCCACCATTCTCGTAGAGTGGCAGACTGGTGGTCAAGAGCGTTGGTGATTGGCCGAAGCCATCCAATCCTCATCGTCATTTACGGGGAAACCTCTAGCGGGAGTTGGGTACCTTCCAGCGCCCGCCTCCCTAGAACTCTAGAACTCTATCGCTAGACATGGGAGTTCAGTGAGATATCCATAAGGTGTTGGACCGAACGATACCCGCGGACATACATAGGGCTACCATTAACCTTATTCATACAGTGTTCTTATGTAGACCAATATTTCATTTTCATGCTCAACAGCTAACTCCAAGTATCTACTTAATGTGTAGAGCACCGACTACCGTGTGGAATAGTAGCAGTGTCCAATTCCCATTCTTAGCAGGAACTTGGTCTGCCAAGTCGTTGGAAGTAAACAAACTATCTCTTATCTTTTTGGGTACGGCGTGAGGCGTTTACCAGACCCATGGCGCAGGGTGGAGCTATCGCAAACCTCCGGCGGTAGGGTTGAGGTTATACCAACTTGGTGAAGTTTGCTCTGAATTTAGTTACTTTCGTGCCAATGGGAGACTACGCCTCTCTCTTCGTACTTGACGAGGACCTCGATCCAGTGACGTCTGAATAGTCTTGCTCTCCCTCTTGCCTTTTTGACGTTTCCCCGGAACAAACAAAAGACACGCACGAAGATAAGCGACACTGACGACCCATCGAGTGCCTCACCTCTAAACATCTCCAACCCCGCTTCATTATTATGCCCCCTTCTACTACTAAGCAGGAGACCTCTGCTCCTACGCAGTGCGTAGGGCCAGACTACAAGCCGGACCGGCACAAGCCCACGGCCACGGTCTCGACAGACGTCGATTTCGAGACTGTCACCGTCCTGCCTCAGACCCCTCAGCTCATTGCTCTGCTCACGTGCGTCATTCCCTCTTTCATCGCAAGGGTTCGTCTCAAGGGGTAACTTCTTTGGCTGACACTTGAGCAGCAAGATTCGCGATGTGCAAACGGAGAGGGGTGATTTCATATTCTACTCGAACCGTATCATCAGGCTGCTCGTCGAAGAAGGGCTGAACCACCTCCCCACGGTCGAGCACACCGTCACCACTCCCGTGGGCCGGCCCTATGCCGGCCTCATGTTCCAGGGCAAGATCTGCGGCGTGTCCATCATGAGAGCTGGCGAGGCCATGGAGCAGGGCCTGCGGGACTGCTGTCGCTCCGTCCGGATCGGCAAGATCCTGATCCAGAGAGACGAGGAGTCTGCGCAGCCGAAGCTCTTCTACGACAAGCTCCCCGAGGACATTGCTGAGCGCTGGGTGCTGCTCCTGGATCCCATGTTTGCCACTGGCGGTTCGGCCATCATGGCCGTCGAGGTGCTCAAGTCGCGCGGGGTGCCAGAGGAGCGCATCCTGTTTTTGAACCTCATCGCCAGCCCCCAGGGAATCAAGAACTTCGCGACAAAGTTCCCCAGGCTTCGTGTGGTGACGGCATTTGTCGACCAGGGCCTGGACGAGAAGAAGTAAGTACATCGCTGTCGCTCTGTACTGTCCCGCACTAACTGTCGTCCAGCTACATCATTCCTGGGCTTGGAGACTTTGGAGACAGATATTACACGATCTAGGTGTTGGTGTTTGCTGGCTTAATTTTGGACTTGCGGTCTGGTGTGCGTTTCCCCCCCCGGTTGTTACGCATTATGCATTTCCTGTTTGCGAGGTACGGGTCACGCAGCGCATATCGAAATCAAGGGTATATATTTTTTGAAAGCGTTCGCCGTCCATTCCCATATAAATATACCGAACCCTGCATCAGTCGAACTCGTCATCGCCAACAATGCCATCGCCCTCGTAACGCCTGTCATCTTCATCATCGCCGCCTCTCCTGTCTCCCTCGCCCGCCCGTTCAAGCATACGACCCGAGCTTCTCGCCGATGCTCGTGGCTCGTCATCTTTGGCAACGGCCTCTGTAGCGTGTGTTAGCGAGCCGTTCGGCTCTGAAAGATCGCGGTAACAAGCAAGGGAACGTACCTGCTGCATCTACCCATTCTCCGTACACATCGACGGCCGCGGAAAGATCTAGATAAGAGTCGGCATGAGTGGTTGCGTTCTATCGGTGCGTGGGAAAGAGACGCCTGGGGCGCTTACAATTGATGCCACACTGGAACTTTTGGCCGCAGACCTTGCACTCGAGCTCGCCTACGCCAGCCTTCTTGTCCAGCTTGACTGCGACCGACTTCTCGTGGTTGCAGAACAAGCATGTGAATGTCGTTGGCAATGGTTCGTTCTGTTTGATGGTGATGATCAGTTGCTTTGCTCCCCGATATTGCTCCTCCAGACACTCTCGGATGTTGTTCTCGGGCGGCGCACCTTCTTCGGGCCTTGAGGCTTGCGCGAACTCTTCTTGCGCTTACCCATGGCGAGACTGGGATCTGGTGCAGGGCGTGTGCGACGCGCACTGAAAAACAAAGTCGAACTGGCGAGAAACCGGTTGAGAAAGTTGGTTGCAACGATGGCGAAGGGGCTTCTGCCGGAGAGGTTGCGCTGCGATAGCGATAGGGTGACGAAGCCTTTGTGGCGTTGAAGCAGTAACCTGAAGTGATAGAGACCATGTACTTGAGATTTCCATGCCTCACGGCGCAATTGGCATGACTGCGCCCCGCGGACTGCTGTGCGGCGTACAAGTACAGTGACCGAGTCAATGCTCCACTGTTCGCGCACGGCGGCCGGTAGTTTCGCGGCTGACGGCTGGCATGCAGTAGGTAATTAGGCCTAAAAGCCAGGTCTTGTTACTGAATGACCTTGCCCTAGGTACTTCCATCTTCTGGTCTGTGCACAACCAGCACTGGAACGATGGATACTTGGATCCCAGGCTCCGTTTACTGACTGACAGTTACTTGTTTTTAGCGTACCCCAGCTTCCAGGCTTGCCAGGAGCCAGGTCATCTGAGCTTGAATTGGAGCTAGCTACCCCTCACACTCCGTCCTTATCAGGCCGTTTTACGGAGGGAGCCATTTCCAATGGGTGAACAACAAACTCCATAGGATGTCCCACATCCAACGCTTTGGTGTTAAGAGCGATGAATGTTTCGATCATGTTTGAAGTCAGCTTCCCGTGAGGCACGATGGCTGGCCTCCTGGCGTCGCAGATACAAAGCATCCCCGGCCAGATCTCCGAATGACGGTGACGAGCAGTTCCCACATACAACTGCCTACCCTCATTCAAGTGTTAATAAGTCTCCTTGGCGCGGATGGCGGAGCGGTTCCGGACGTGCCTCTGCGGGGCACGACCCAGATACCTGGTGATCTACACCCCAAGCTACAGAAGGTTCAGGTTTGTCATTGATACCGGTCCCAGCCAGTCCCGGGCCCTATCAACCCGTCCCTCCCCCAGACATCTAGCCTCCGGCCTGCTCCTTTCCTTCTTTCTTCTCCTCTCCTCGATCTAATAGATTCCAATCGCTCCAACATGCCCAAGTGACAACGCCCGTCGGACCTCTGTCTACTTGTATGTGCTTGATGATAAGCTTGGTAGCAAGCCTGGATAGCTACTGATCACCCGGACTAAGTTGGCCGTGGACTGCATGGATGTGTCACCACGCGTCTCTCCCCTGCATGCATTAGTGACCGCTCTTTCTGTGCAAACATCCATCCACTGCGCGCTCAGCTTCCATCATCGAAACCGCGAATATCCCGGCTGGCAGGAATCCTTAAAGCTGCTTGCTGTCTTTCCTCCGAAGCCTGCATTTCCTAAACAAGTGTAGCTAGAGTGTGCTTCCGCACGACCTGGCTCCTGAACAACATCAAAGTCGCAACAATGGCTACCAACAACGTCAGCAAGAGCGACACTGTCGGTCGAGAGGAGTTGATGGATGCCATGCACCAGCTCCGGCAGGTTCAGACACAGCTTCTCGCCGGCCTCGAGGCTCTTGAGCAAGACCGACCTGGCACAGGCATGGGTGCCCCTTCGATTCCCGGCGGGAGCAGCACGACGCCGAATGCTTCCACCCAAAGCCCCCAACTGTTGCCCGCTGACTCGGCATCAGAGCAGCAGACGGAGAGCTCCTCTCCTCCTGCTCAGAAGTCGGGATTCACTTCCCGCATCATCCTGACGTGGGTTGATTTCGCGCCAGTCACCAGCATCGTTGCCGCTGATACTGACCCTTGGTGCAGGACTTATCCAAAGCAAATCGGCATCAACCCGTTGCCTATGAACTGGGGGGCAGGCGACCCTCAGGCACGCGGGCCAATCGTTGTGAGCAGGTCATCGTCGACGATCCGTAGGCGTAATGGTAAGTCCGAAAGGCGATGCACCTGGCTACAGTACCACTCACTGACCACTTCCCCTAGCTATTGGAGGTAAGCAGAGATAATAACACTTGAGCTTCATTTGCAACCTTGTTAATAGCGGCTTTTAAAGCACATGGCGGTTCCTACTCCATCTATTATGCCCTTGCTCTGGCCAGCAAGGAGCTCGACGCCGACCATAGGTAAGGATATGCTACTGTATCACACCAGACGCCCAACAGACGACTCATTCATGGGATTATCTTAGACCGGACTTCACCAACACGGAGCCGATTGTGGACATCGGCCCCTTTCCTACTTGGCACGACAAGAAGAAGATCGTGGCCATGGATCCTTATGGCCATCTTGCGCCGTGGCTGTTCAAGGATATAATCAACAAAGAGAACGGTAAGTAAGAGATTGATGGTTTCGTCTAGTCAGTGGATTAATATGTCGAAAGTTGATATTCGCCCTACCATTGCCATTACCAAAGCACACATGAAGGTTTGTTCATAGAAATCTTTCGTCAATACGAGCGATAAGACTGACCGGTTTCTAGCTGCCTGAGCTTGAGGAGAGTGTCCGAAGTGGAAGACTGTTCGTTGTATCTTCCTTCCCTATCTGCATGCGTCTGTTTACTCACACAGGTCTAGTAAGCCGGACGGTAAAATATGCCTGAACAACCAAGGCGAGCTCGCTGTCACCAAGTTCGCAGTCGAACCAGTGTGTACTCTCCCACTTCGAATGTTGTGGGACATCTCCCTAACTTTACTTGTAGGTCTGGTATCTGCCAGGTGTTGCAGAGAGGTTCGGTATTGGTAAGTGGAACCAACACCCGCGACAAAGAATTGAGATTGACCTCGAGAAGACGAAGGAACACTGCGGCGATCGCTCTTCGAACACACTGGAGGAAGTTACCCTGAGGTATGAATACCACTCATCTTAATTGTCTGCAGGGTGGGTTGAAACTAGCCTATGATAATGCAGCTCATCACTCGTGGTGATATCAAGCTCTTCCTTCCACCCATTGGTAAGTTGCATCCTCCTGGGGACTAAAACAGAGCCCAGATCTAAAGAGCTAAACCTCTTCCTATCTCAGGAGGATTGACCGTGTACTGTTTCGGTGATCCGGCAAAGATGTCGGACCCAAGCTCCAAACTTGCACTCCGTATTCACGACGAGGTTGGTCACAAAAGTCTAATCGTGTGTGACTGGAACCTGTGTTGCTGACTCGGCCAAGTGTAATGGCAGCGACGTCTTTGGCTCCGATATTTGCACTTGCCGGCCATATCTAATCTTCGGCATCGAAGAAGCCGTGAAAGAAGCCCAGAATGGGGGCAGTGGTGTGGTCATCTACTTCCGCAAGGAAGGTCGGGCTCTCGGCGAGGTTACCAAGGTACGTATGAGCCATCAGTGCTTGAGCCCATTGGATAAGCTAACTTTGAGATAGTACCGTATGTTCCATTGACTCTATCTTTGATTCCGGTCCAGGCCCTCCGAGTACTCCCGGCTAACCATCTTCTAGTTGTCTACAACGCAAGAAAGAGGGGTGAGGATCGCGCCTCGGACTACTTCAAGCGAACAGAGAACATTGCAGGCGTCAAAGATATGCGTTTCCAGGCCCTTATGCCGGACATCCTACACTGGCTGGGTATTACCAAGATTGACAGGATGCTCAGCATGAGCAAGTGAGTCTTGGGACCCTTGACCCTCGTGTGCAACAAATTACTAAATCTTACACCCGCAGCATGAAACACGACGCCATTGTCGGACAAGGGTGAGTACAGCATTTGGCTGTCGGTACCGACAGCTCAGGAGTTGTCACATATCGCTTACACTCTATCTAGTATCCCTATCCACGAGCGTGTCGAGCTCCCCGAGTCCTGGATCCCCGCAGACTCGAGGGTCGAGATTGACGCCAAGATCACTGCCGGTAAGCTTGCAACCCCCCCTTTTTCACATCACACTACTTCTTCGATTGGCAGAGCTGATGCCGCTCGCTAGGATACTTCACCACCGGTCATCGAATGACAACCGAAGAGCTCGCAGCTGTTCAGGGGAGACTTTGGGAAGAGTAAGCTGCAGCCCATAACTAAGCCGAACAAATGAGGACTCTTGAAACTGACGTAACGCCAGCGTCGACCACTGAGGGCCGTCCCGTTATACCTAGGCCAGGAAGGCCAACTGCCAGGTGCATGTCACATGGCTCACCCTCCTCCTACATTAGGCACTGTCATCCCACTCATGCATGCACCACCACTCTCCTGACGGGCTGGCATTGGCCCTGTCATGGCGTACTTTTCGGTAATATTTTGGTCTAAGAAGTGTTTTCGCCAGCGTTTGTCTTATCTCGGAGCATAGAATCGAAACGGCGGCAACTCTAGGCGTGCTTGTCAACGTCGAAGCTGCAGCCGCCGACCTATGCAAACCCCACATTCGAGATAGATGATCATCCTCGAGCAAGTAGCATGAGGTCATAGGCAAATAATCTCTCAATCCCAGTTTGATTCTTGCGCATATATCGCGAGTACAGAAAAGTTGTGTTGAGTGTTTGAAATTACTAACTATCCGCCCGTTGCGTGACGGCGCCTGGGAGTTCGTATCCAGAGTCGAGGACGAGTCTTCTGGGTGGGAACGTTGCACCCCAGATCATCCAGAAGATCGACAGCAACCCACTGTTTACCGCCACCTTCTGATGCTTCTAGACTTCCAACTCGACCTGGTTCCAGCGTCGACATAGGAAAATTTGTCGCATGTCAAAACACCTGATGTGATCAGATTGATCATACATTCACCCGCACATCTCCGGACTCAAGCAGTTATGGTCTCGCTTTTCCCCTTCAGATACCTTTTTTTTTCTTCTCTCTGATGTGATTTGAACGGGTTATCGGCAGGAAATCTTGCCTCTTGAACTTTCAGTGGACCGGATCACTTGTCCGCATAACATGAGCGAGAGCAAGAGATCTCTGGAGGGTGTCGGCTTGGAGTGGCCGATCACAGGACCTAGAGCGCTGCAGTGAGTGTGCCTAGAATACATAGGCAAAGATGGTGGTGGGCAGCCATCCACATCCGGAAGAAGTCGCCTCAGGGGCCGCCGAGGGCCGCGACGTACCCGCCCCCTCCGTTGTGTCCTTCATGTCTTTCATCCGCGGGATGGAGGGCGACACGAACCAACGGCTGGATGGCCGACTGCTGGCTAGCCCAAATCCTTACATGTCGCCTTGGCCGCTGCTGCAGGAGGCGTGGTGTCTTGTGTGGGTTGGGGGCCCGTTCGGGTTGGTAAGAGAGCAGCTGTTTAGTGACCGAGTGGATAAGCTTCTCCCTGCTCTCCTCCCACCCTTCAACGCTCTCCGATTCACACGAGGACAACGGTAGTGCAGGGAGGGACGGTCTCAGATATCCTGTGCAGCCCCATGTGCAGCAGAGTGAGTTCGAGAACGGCTTGGCTGAGAGCTGGTGGTGCCCTCCCTCCGTTTCTCCACTCCCATCACCCATCTATCTTTTTCATCTCGTTAAACGCGTGGTGACGGCCATTTTCAATCTCGCCCAAAAGACCTGCTAGCTAGGTACTGTTATTGAGCGTGGGGACTGGGCCAAAGAGGGGCGTGGCCTGCATGCGGGAGCCAAGTTGGACTGGCGTGCATGGTGCGTGGTGCCCAACGCTCACCAGGCACCACACAGTCAGTCTGCCTCTCTCTCGCCCGTTTCTGCAACACCCACCACCATCATCGCCCACCCCCCTGGTTCAATAATGGCGGTAAGGTGCCTCCCCTTGGGCCTTGACTCTTTGGTTTGCTTGCGTTAGTCGTGGCACCGTCTGGCGAACGAGCTGCTGCTGCTGTCAACCCCCAAACCATCGACTGACAAGTGGCAAGCCTCACTCCGCAACACCCCGAAAGTGCCGGGTTGGCAAGAGTCCACGACACATGCGGCAGACCCGCCTCGCTGCTCTCTCCACACCCCTGCAAGCTGGGCCAGCGGGTCCATTTTCCCTTTGGGATTGATTACTTGTGGATGGATGGGGTAATAGTTGGACGGGGAAGAGAGAGAGAGTATCCGTAGACAGAGGAACGCTCAGTTTGCCGTCATCCAACCCAGGACCGGTGGGAATCTTGTTATATTATCCCTTCATCAAGCCACCCTGCTCTCTCGCTCTCTCTCGATTCCAGTTCGCGAACCAACTTATCTCTTTCTTTGATGCCTACCTATATTTCTTGCACATTCTCAACTCTACGCTTTTCTAATCGGCCATAAGCCCTGTTCGACCAAGTGCTCTCAGCCTTGACTTCTTAAAACACACCGGACGTATCTACTGCAGCCACCTGCATAACCAGGCAGACACACGCAATGGCGTCATTATCCCCCGAGTCCAGGCGAGGCATGCAGAGGAGGGAATCCTCTCGGTCCAGCAGCAAGAGGCGGCCTCGTCTCCTGCGTGCAGCAGCCACGGAGCCTTCCATCACGACGTCCAATGCCAGCAGAGGCGCCATGGCCAGCCCCCAGTCCGCCCGGAGGGCGACCGACCTGCTCAACCAGATGGCCTACGTCTCGACGTCCACTCCCGAGTCTCCTTTCCGGGGATCATCGCCGCCCTCGGCGCAGAGTCCGATCTATGAGCGGGCCAATGTCCTCGGGTCTTCCCCAACGAGCCGGAGTGAAACTATGGACGACCTCCGCCCTCACCCTTGTAAGCTACTGCTCTGCCTTTGTATCTCATCAGCCGTCCATATCGCCTCTGATTGCTGACATGCTGCCCCTAGACTCGGGTCGCTATTACAGCTTCCCTAGCTTCGACACCTGGGATCCTGATCAGCAGGAGAAGGAGGGAGACGACATCAAGGTCGCGTGAAGCACGACCTTGTCGACGAGCAGGCTTATCACATAGCCCTCACGTCTGTCGGCATCACTCCGCCATGGGACACTCGATCTGGCACGATTCAGAGTGCTGAACCTTCGCCTCCAATCGCGTCAGAGACCGAGCCGCGAGTGGCTGTCGGCATCGCACGGCAGGTCCAGGCCTTGTGCCTGTCTCTCTGCCCGTGCAACATCACCTAGTAATACGGCCTGGATCAGTGATTCCGGGCCTGTCACGACGTTATGCCTCTGATGAACTTGGGTACACTTCGGCTCTCGAAAGTCGAGAGATCATACCCCAGAGTTGAATGGGGGATTCAATATTGGCGTATACGGCGGTTTTTCTTTTATTTTTTATACCAGATGCATACAGCAGCTATACACAGCAGCAGCAACAGCGGACAGCATATTTTGAGTAACAGACCTCTTTTGGGCTAGAACAGACAGACACGGCAAAGGATCGGGTTCTGGGGCCTTGGATCATATTGCACACTCCGGGCTCGGGTTCTCCGACAGCGTCGGACAGGAAATGCATCAAGTAGCGAAATATACGATGAGAGACTCGACGATGAACGGGGAGTACAGATCGTGATCAGGTCAGGACAATCGGACGCACGACCCATGCCATGTGACTGCACTTTCTCTTCCAAGAAGGTACAGGTATGCCGGGATGTCTCCAAAGACTGGGTCTTGCAAGCTTTGCTGAAGCCAGCTGGCCCTGATGAAAACACCCGGTCTCTGGCCGTTTCGCCGGCGGATCGATCAGACGGAGCATGCGTGGTGATGACGGATTGAATGCAGAGCCAGTGGGGAAGTTCAAGGTTGAGGCATATGCGACTAGAGTTAGGTTATCCTTGGAGACAAAAGGCGGTCAGGAGAACCTGCTGCGACAGATATCAGAGCGTCAAGTAGACTTGATAGAGTAGTGCCTACAAGTATGGAGACAGTGTCAAATTTAAAGTGGCTCTCGGAAGGAGACGAGACTGAAGCACTGCACAGCGAAAGGCAAGTTGACATTGAATTCTGTGAGCACGCGCGTGCCTGTCCCGAGCCTGCGCCAACTCGGTCGCGTTAGGCTGATTGGTGGCGGCCAGAGGCAGGCCTTCAAGGTGGGGTCTCAAATTTCGAGGTGGCCCAGGCGTCGACTGGTCCGTTTGGCAAGCCCTAATTCCGATGAGCCAATGAGCAGCGCCAAATATTCGCAGACCCACAGCTGAGGATTTTCCGATGCACACTCGCTAACTCTGAATGCTGCCCACAAAGATTTTTGCTCGGACCAAAAATTACACACCTCGAATTCTGCCTCAACAACCACCTTTCCATCATCACCAGGCACAATTGTCCATTCCTGAGACAGGTGCTCCGCAAAGATGGCTGTTGGAAAGTACGACACCCCTCTCCCCACGCGATTCTCGAGTTTCTGGATATTGTCGCGGGCTGGAAATTGGTTGCATATTCGGGAAACAATCGAAGGCTGACTTGGGACTCCCCGCAGGAACAAGCGTTTGTCAAAGGGCAAGAAGGGTCTTAAGAAGAAGACCCAGGACCCCTTCGCCCGCAAGGACTGGTACGGCATCAAGGTTAGTGGACAATGGATGCGAACTCGCCGATAGGGTGGATTGGGCCTTGCTAACTCGTTTCCCTCACAGGCCCCCGCGCCGTTCAACATCCGAGAGTAAGAGTCCTTGCGAAGCACGAGAGTAGGATTGGAGCGAGGATCACAGGTCTAACATGTCTGTCTTCAGTGTCGGCAAGACCCTCGTCAACCGGACCACCGGTCTCAAGAACGCCAACGACGCCCTGAAGGGTCGCATCTTCGAGGTCTCCCTGGCCGACCTCCAGAAGGACGAGGAGCACGCTTTCCGCAAGGTCAAGCTCCGTGTCGACGAGGTCCAGGGCAAGAACTGCCTGACCAACTTCCACGGTCTGGACTTCACCTCCGACAAGCTGAGGTCTCTTGTCCGCAAGTGGCAAACCCTGATCGAGGCCAACGTCACGGTCAAGACCACCGACGACTACCTCCTCCGTCTCTTCGCCATCGGCTTCACCAAGCGCCGACCCAACCAGGTCAAGAAGACCACCTACGCCCAGTCCTCCCAGATTCGCGCCATCCGACGGAAGATGACCGAGATCATCCAGCGCGAGGCTTCCAGCGGCACCCTTACCCAGCTCACCTCCAAGCTGATCCCCGAGGTTATCGGCCGCGAGATCGAGAAGGCCACCCAGGGCATCTACCCTCTCCAGAACGTACGCGAAGCCCTTTTTTATTTTACTCGCGCCCTCTCGAGATGACTAGTCCGGGAGGGCCTGTGGTGAACCGTTTTTTCTTCTTGGAATTTTCGACGCTGACTGAGTTTCCAGGTCCACATCCGCAAGGTTAAGCTGCTGAAGGCCCCCAAGTTCGACCTTGGTAGCCTGATGGCTCTGCACGGCGAGTCGACCACGGACGAGCAAGGACAGAAGGTCGAGCGGGAGTTCAAGGAGCGTGTTCTGGAGGAGGTTTAAACGGTGTTGGTAAAGGAACGGCATGGGCACGGTTTTTTATCAAGCAATACCTCATACTAGGGCATGGGTCTTGCTTTCTCGTTGCATTTGGCGCGGCAGTCATGGTACAGTAGTGGTATTATGTGCCGGCCTTGAGGCGGGCATTCACGAATGAAAAAAGGGAATTCCAAAAGTCAAATGCAACGGTCTCGGCGTTTTATCATATTACCACGGTTCCAGTATCATGTTCCAATTCCTCGGTGTGCTTAGTGCATTCTTCTCTTGCTATTGGAGTGCTTCGTGTTCCAATATGATATGACAGGTAACCGGACAGCTGCGGAGCCGAATTGATCTCGTCACTGAGCCATGCTGTTGAGACGAGAATGTTATCGAATAAAGCCACAGGAATGATGAGTGAGTTACTTACATTCGGTGTTATTGGCCCAGCCCCTCTCTTCGACGAGCGACTGTGGTCATGGCTGTGGTCACAAGCTGAACACAGTGCTTGCATCAATTACCAGGATTACGGGTCCATTTCCGCCACCTTGTAAGTCTGGCACGCACCACAAAGGGAAATGCCTAGGCAAGGGGATCTCCGAGAGTACCGTAACTCGACATCGACATCAATTCCTTTTGCTCTCTTGATGTCATACCTGCCTTGATTCGATTAATCTCTACACTCCGAGACTCACTCGCTTTATTGGCATTTTCATCAAGACTTTGCTTCGTTCGTTTCATGTCGCTAGGTCAGGAGCATTCAACGAGGTCCCGTACAGCGATCAGCTTGTTGAGCGGACGCAATGGTCCTCCCTCCGGAGGAATTTCTGCCCTCGCTCAAGATACTCATCATCGGCCCGTCGAATGTGGGCAAATCTGCTTGTAAGTAGCGCTGGTTTTGCCAAGCTCGGGACTCGCATGGTTTTCTTCCCCTCTCATAATATATGACGTGAATGAAATGCTTACGCCGGCTTCTGGCTAGTATTGACGAGGTATTGCGATGACCAGTTTGATTCCGAGGCGGCGACTGCCACTATCGGCATTGACTCAAAGGTTCGCTACATATATCCATCCGCCTCTCTTGTGCGGGCGACACCAGAAAAGGGTCTTCGGAAATGCTAACTGATGTCATCTATCTGTGTGGGATGCAGGTCAAGAAGCTGTCCGTTCATGGCAAGCACTTTCGGGTGAACATCTTTGATACTGTACGTCTGCTCTGCTCTGTCTATCTGGCAAAACCCTTTGTTTCTCTCCAGATTTACCTTTCTCTCTGCCATACAAGGACAACTGATACGACGACGGGCTAACCAAAACACACCCCCAGGCTGGCCAAGAACGCTTCCGCACCCTGTCGACGAGCTACTACCGCGGCGCCCACGGCGTCATGCTCGTCTACGACGCCGCGAGCCGCGCCAGCTTCGACGCCATGGGCCGCTGGTTCGGCGAGGCCGAGGCCAACACGGCGCCGGGCACGGTGCTGTCCCTCGTCGGCAGCAAGCTCGACCGGGCCGAGGCGGGCCACCGCGCCGTGAGCGCGGACGAGGGCGCGGCGCTGGCGCGGGAGCACGGCGCGCTCTTCTGCGAGGCGAGCGCCAAGACGCGCGACAACGTGCGCCGGGCGTTTGTCGAGCTCGTCGACGCCGTGGCGCGCCGGCTGGAGCAGCAGCTGGTCTCGGGCGGCGGCGGCGGCGGCGGCGGCGCGGCTGGGACGGTGCTGCTGCTGCGTAGTGGCGACGGGGAGGAGGAGGAGCAGCGGCCGGCGGGCTGGTGCTCCTGTTGATGCGTTTTTTGTTTTTTGTCTTTTGTCTTTTTTTTTTTTTTTTTTTTTGGATGCGTGAATAGACGTCAGTGAACGGATGCTATGGTCCTTTTTGATACCCTGTTGTATAAAGTAGATTGGATGGTTTGAAATGCGAGTACATGATATTACAGTGTCTATCTATTCTATTGGTTTTTTGCTGTGTATAATACAACACGGGGGCTTTCATGATATTATGTTCTTCGGGTTTGGCTGCGCTGTGGCTTGCCCCGGTCTTTCTCACTCCTTCGGTGTCAGGAATCGCATGACGGCTAATGCAGTAAGGCAATGTCAGTTATTCAGCTACTCTCGGCTGCTTGGTCGTAGTACCACCAGAAAGAGAAGTTTACAGGTGGAAGGGAGAATCGAAACGAACCTTGTCTGAACTCCTCCGGCTTCTCCGAGATGACCCAGTGGCCGGCCTCGATATCGGCGAGCTCGAAGCGCGGAAAGAACTGGCCGATGATGGGCAGGACCTCGTCCGGCACGTACTTGCTCTCGGTGCCGCGGACGAAGAGCGCCGGGCCCTCGAACCGCACCTCGCCGGGGTTCTTGTAGGGGAAGTCGCCGAGGTGGTCCAGCGCCTTGGCCAGGATGCTGAGTGGCACGCGGAACTTGCGAGTATCCTGTCCGTCAGGCTTGTATAGGTTGGTGAGGAGGAATTGGCGGATAGGCAGGGACTTTGAATGGTTAGCTTTGCAGGGGAAAGGGGTTTCCTCATGTACGGGTTTGTGACTGAGCCTGGAAAGAATAATGCATGGTCACGCGTCGGACTCTGAGGGCTTACCTTCTCATACTCCTGCAGGATCTTGTCGGCGTCGGATTGCTTCGTGATGCCGGCCTCTTCGATGCGTTTCATGCCTTGGATATAGGTGCCGAAGCGGCCGATGAGGGCGGCATCGATGGGCGCATTGTCAACCGGAATGAGGTCCTTGACAAGCTCGGGTGACTTCAAGGCCAGGGTCATTGCTGTCTTGGCACCCCTATAAGAGAGAGATATCCATGTGATCAGAATACTTGTATCTGCTGCGAGGAGCTCCTTGAAATGGTGATATGCAAGGGCCTTTGACCCATGCGCCAAAAAAAAAAAAGCAAGGTGCGGCGAGTCCTGGCACATATCCTGACTTACATAGAATGGCCGATGATGGTGGGCGCCTGAAGGCCGTTCTCATGAATGAAATTGGCGACATCTTCAGCCATGGACACATAGTCGTGCCGAGGGACATGTGGCGAGTCTCCATGATTCCGGAGATCCTATGTCATGGAGGGCCCAGTCCTTTGTCAGTGGACGAGTTCCGTGATATTGCCATGACCGAAAAGCATGTGAAGAAGAGGCGCGACAAAGGGCCAGCACTACTTACAAGGGCATACACATGTCTTCCTAGGTCTCGCGCGATCATCCTGTTAAAGTTCAAGTCCACCAGTCAGTACGTCAAACAATGCACATCTTTTTCCCTTCTTGAGTCTCATCGGTTCACACAATAGCACACTGGTGAAAGTCCTGCTGCATCCAGGGGATGGCTCACTTGCTTATCGTCCGGTTGTTCTTCTTGGAACCGAACAAGCCATGGAGGAAAAGGATTGGATTGGTCTTGCTGTCATATAACGGCTTTGGCGGCTCGTGAAGATCGTATGAGAGCGCGACTGGGCTGGCACTGTCACCAGAATAATGTCTGATGGAGGATGTGATAGGACTCGAGGCACGTATCCGCATGGGTCTGGCAAAGGTGAAGACGCCTCCCCTCCTCAGGGCTGCGGCGGATGACCGCGACAGGGTAGCTGATGCCATCACTAGACTATCGAAGGCTGGCCTTTATGATGAGATTCCGCCAGCCAGTTCCGATCCACGATCCAAGAGACGATATGTGGAAAGTGAATGGGTGAGTGAGCATCTCAAGAAATTGGCGCGCAAGCCACACATCAAAATAACGGACTTGGGGTGTGGTGTGGCTGGAGCGTGTACCTATGTGGGTCGCTTGTATTCAACCCTTTCGAGGCTTTTCTCCTGCCAAAAGGAGGGATGAGAAAACTAGGAGGGCAAGAATGTAGTAGTATCGAGTTTCATAGTTAATATTCAGTTCTCAATTACAATCTCCTCTTGCAAGAGAGTTTGGCAGTCTAAGAATTATAGACGAGAAAAAAGCCTAGGTACGCCGCGGGCTTGCAAATGATAATAAACGCCAATGCCAATCACACCTGAGCCGCCGTTTTGAATACTTCCATAGTCATCCATGGCTCCGTCCAGCCCCCCGTCCAAATGCAAAGATACTAAGGGAAACCATCGCCTGGTATTAAAACACCGCCACCCAGAGCAAGTTGGTGGCTCATCTCCTGCGTCTCCGCCGCTTCAGCTCAACCCAACTCTCGTCCTCGGGCTCATCGAGAGGCTCCTGCTGGAGAACGGGTGCCTCAGCCTCCGCACCCATGGACTTCTCGATTCCGTTGTTACCGAGCAAGAAGTCGCCGAAATACTTCACGGCGTCAAACATCTCCTCCCCAGTCGGAACGATCTCTTCGCTGGGCAGCAGGAAGCCGTAGCTCCCCGTGTCCCGCAGCTTGATCTGGTAGCTGTACTTGGCCCTAATCTCGTGATAGAACCAGTCAATGGCGGAACCACCGCTTGGCTCGGCGCGCGCGTAGGCCTCGTTCTCTCCTGTGGCCGTGACAATGCCCTCGCAGGCAGAGGTCACGCCGTAGTTCTCGCCTGAGGACAGTCGGATGGCCTTCGCGATCCCGACAGCCAGTTCCTGCAAGTTTTCGAGATTATTTGGGTGTTTGTGGCATGAATATGCGTAAGGAAAAAGGACTTGTTGCGAGTAGGAATGTAGATCAAGATAGCCGACAAACTTGGCATTGTTATGCTTCGTCTGGTTCCTGGTCCAGTCTGCTAGAGCCTGGGCCTCAGTGGCTTGGAAGGGGGCCTCGCCTCCGTAGCTCTCGGAGCAGGGCTCACCACTGGTGTTATTCCAGCCGACCCCAAAGGCGTGGTCAAGGTCGAAACCGCGGCAGAATCTCATAGTGGTATTCTGCCTTGATTTCCTCCAGAGCCTGTCGGTCTGCCATGTGTATTCATAGCCGTCCGGATTGAGGACCGGGACAAGGACAACATCGAAATGCTGCAGGAGTTTCGTGATCATCTTCTCCTTGCCATAAGCAGAGACCAGAGACCACGTTAGGTAGTTGACAGTACTGGTCGAGATCCACTCGCGGGCGTGGAAGCCACCCGTGATGAGAATTGTCTTTCTTGCTTGTTTCTTACCACGATCAACGCCAAGAGTCTCGCCAAGGCGGATGCCGTAGATTTCTCGCCCTTCGAAGGACTGGCCGATAGAAATCGTCTCAATCAAACTGGGGAACATGGACTCCAACAATTTCATCCACCGATTGATGACAGCCAAAGGCTGGTAGTCTTGGAAGAAGATATTCTCGATACCGTCGTGGAGAATGGTAGACATGCCCGACTCGTCAAGTGTAGGTTTGGAACGGACTGCAGACGGATACGTCGCCCATACCGCAGACGAAAGGTCTGGGATCAGTGTCGAGAACGATCTCTGCAAACTGTTCGGCAGGAGGCTGAGGAGGTTGGAGACGTCGTCTTTGTGTAGCCGGATATCGACAAAGTTGTGCGTGAGAGCCCAGACATCCAAGAAGAGGCGCTCAGCGGCCTCGGACAATGCCGTCTCTTCCTCGGGTGCCGTGACATTGAACCGCAAGACGGTTTCGTGGGCATAACGGGACTGTTGGGAGGGACCGTGTCCCGCGTGAGTAGGAGTTGGCTTGGAAGGCCGGCCAAAGATGAACTCAATCGTGCTGTCGCGCAGCCAGGTTATGAAGGGGAACACGCCGTTGTGCCGGGCGCCGTGTTCATGCGAAAGCCGAACGCCGGAGGAGGCCTCAACCGCGGCTGGCGCGAAGGCGACAAACGGCAGGAGAGCCGCAAGCAGCCACGCGAGGGACGGCCGATGCATTGTGTGCAGTAAGGCTGCCACTGGTTATGAATGTCTCTGTGAGTGTCGAAGCGTTACGAGGTCCATCTGAAGTCGGCAATGTGGAATGACGAGATACGTTGAGCTAGGTTAGTTATGTTTGGGTGGGAGGGGCAGCTGATGCGATGCGAGGTGGTTCTGGACTAGCTTGGATAAGAAAAGTAGGTGCCTGGCGTGGAGCATTGTTACAGGAGGAACCATTTACTTGTACTTACCGAGTACTGTCTGTACAAGTAAAGCGGGACGAGCCCAGCCCGGCCGGCATATTCCTGCCCCTCTACTTGGTAACTTGGATTGTAATCATGTTAGCTCTTGGGATTGAGCTGGAAGCTAGACCGAGATGGGTCTGGATGCATCGGAAGTGATGGTCCTCTCACAATAGCTCTTGATGATTTGCTGACACGTATAATGTGTCTCTTGTGCTTCTCTGCCCAAGACCTCGTTTGACTCTGCAGGTAAGGAAAGTCCATCAGGCAGATGAGGAATGCCAAAATACAAGTTGATTTCACCCTTGCCAGACTGGATTGATAAGACTTGTGGTTTGAATCTAGTAGATCGACATAACTAGTGGTGACCTTGGGTCAAGTACTTGGTAAAATCAGGTCTGTATCAAAGTTAGGACATCCTTTGCATCCGTCAACTTACGAGGTAGTACAGCCAAGGATATCATCTCTTGCATATGGGGTCTCACTGTCTCAGTAATGACCCTCTGGTCGGGTCCTGTGTCCCAAATGCATCTGTCCACGAACACTGAATCTGAATCGAAGACTGAGCTTCCACTGGCCTGGTCATGTCTAATCTCAAGATCCCAGCTCGCTCAAAAGGATAGGTCCCCAGGACCCTTTCTGACTGGTCCGAGCCCCAAATCCCCAGCATCCTGATCCTGGCTCACCCATGAAGAAATGGATGGTAGCTGACTCTTGGGAGACGATAAGCCCGACCGCCCACAAATCCGCTGGAGCGCATTTGTTTTGCTGAGCGCTCCCTCCTTACTTCGTACTCCGTACACACGGACATCATGGATGGCATGGCCCCATGTCTCCACCTGAACTCGTCATCTTCCAACTCTTCAACAGGTGGGAACAAGGAGAAACCTGCACAGAGCATGATGCCTTTACACCTTGATGGAGCATCGGTAACAGACGCGTTCCTTTTTTTAGAAGATCAATTCTCTGAGCTATCAGGAAAACCTGTCGTTGCCGCCTAGATGGAAGGTTTAGTATTTCTAGAACCTCGTACCAGCCTCCACTTTGCCAGCCATTGCGGTTTAGTGAGGCATGGGTACACCCTTCTCCCCTGTTCCCGGCCTCCCCGCCCCCCTTTTACAGCGTTCCATGGCAAGTTAGCAGCGCCTCCGGAATATTTCTAGCACCTAAACGTGCACTACCACAGCACCTCGGGGCTACACGGCGGCACGCACAGTGGCCCTAACCACCAGCCCAACTCTCCCTCCAGGGCTGCCCGTTGACCCCCATCCATCAATTGATTGACGGTACCCGCACCCTGCAGTAGTTAATCGCTGTCCGCCCTCCGCCATACTTTTCTGCCATCCTCTCGCGATTCAGACAATCCAATCGTCCCTGAATACCCATTCTCTACAGCTTCTGACTTTTGTGTGTTTTGTGATCTGCGATTTGTACATCTCTCGTTTCGTCTCGGCATATGGAGCACTGAAGCAGCATCACTGTAGAGCTGGTAGGGGAGAACGCATCCAGACGCGGCTGCCATGCTCGTTTCACACCTTCTCTCCGCTTCGTAGGATGATCGCCAGCATCCGCGCCCAACCACTTCATCATGCCGTTTCTTCGCAGACGCGGTGTCATGGCCAGCGAGTCTGATATGCGCCGACACACATTGTTCCCTGCCGCTCATTCAACCTCGAAACAGGCTCCCAGGGCCGATCCCGTCCTCGCCGAAGACGACCCACGAGCAGACTCTCTCGACGAAGCTCCCGCTCCTCAGGTCCCCGCGCCTCCCGTCACACCTCCCAATGACAGCCCATCCTCTAGCCATGTCGCCATGTCTATGGACGACCCCATCAGCCGGCCCGAGTCGCCGCCAATACAGGAGGAAACACCCAAACATCGCCGCTTCTCCATGCTGAGGTTTCGCAACGCATCGGATTCGCAATTAGCTACCAGGGCCAAGCAGCTGGCTCAAGCTGAAAAGCCTCCGCCACTTCCCCAGCGTATGTTCCCTGTCCTATGGCACAACCTGTATATTCCGCTAACGATTCTGACCCTCTCCCTAGCTCCCGAGATCATTACCACGGCCCCAACCTTGGACTTCATGCCTCAGAAGAAGCAGTCCTTCCTTAAACTATCCACGCGAATGCGAAAGTCTGGCGAGTTACCCAGGGACGAGAGCGAGGGGTACAGCAGCCTGAGGCTGTCGAAGAAGGATAGGAGGAGGACATTGGCAAACCAGCCCGGTTTGTTCAATGGGAAGCAGTCAGTCTCGTTCGAGGAGCCCGATCGTGGTGAGCATGGCGAAGGAAGTGTTCCAACCTTGGCCGTACCGAATCATCGACTGTCTGAGTCTTCCCGGTCAGAGGCAAGTTGGGGCGACCATAGCACGCACAGCGGTCTGACCTCAGCTGCATCATCCTTCTTTCGACTCCCGCGACGGAAACAGAAGCACGAGCCGTTGTTCCCGATATCTCATTTGCAAAAGGAGAAGAGCATAGCATCCGCAGACCCTGCTGCTTCCACCCCATCTCTGGCCCCTGAAAGCCCACACTCGGTTAGGGCCAGTACGTCATCCAGGATATCGGGCTTCGGAAACCATGAAACGCCAACTCAGGCACGCCCATCTACAGGCAAGGATCGACCGCACCCGTCGCCCGCTCGAGCACTCTTCCAAAAGTCCAATGCCTCACCAGCTACAGCCTTGTTCCGACCAAGCTCGAGAAACTCGGGCACATCTTCCCCGACACGAGCACCCCCTCATCTCCGAGGGAGGTCGTCGACAATGAGCTCGCTCGGACGTGAGTCCCTCGACGACCGCTTGGCTCCCCCCACCACTCGCACATCCTCCTCGACTGGCAGGAAGAGCTTTGGTGATTTACTAGGTTTGAGCAGGTTGAGACAAAACTCGGATCTGGGCTCGGGTCGGCATGGATCCTTGACGCCAGCCACGCCGGGATCAAACACTTCCAAGAACAATTCATTGCAGCTCCCCAGGGATTCGGTCGTACTCCCCGAGCGCAGGGACGACGACACTCCTGCCAAGTATCTAGCTCGGCTTGAGGAAGTCATCAGCAGAAGTCTGATAGCCAGTGTTCTGTCAAAAGCAACTGATACCTTCTCCCAGTCGGTACTTCGAAGCTACATGAGGACATTCAGTTTCTTCGGAGACCCTATGGATATGGCAATCCGGAAGCTTCTCATGGAAGCGGAACTACCCAAAGAAACCCAGCAGATTGACCGTTGTCTACAGTCTTTTGCAAACCGTTACCACGAATGCAACCCTGGCATCTACTCATCGCCAGACCAAGCGTATTTCATTGCATTTTCCCTCCTCATCCTGCACACCGATGTTTTCAACAAGAACAACAAGTACAAGATGCAAAAGGCGGACTATCTCAAGAACACCCGTGGCGAAGGAATATTTGATGAGATCCTTGAGGTCTTCTATGACAATATCACTTATACCCCATTCATCCACGTCGAGGACGATATCGACATCACTGGTGAACGGTCTGGGGCGAACAAGTCCAAAAAGAAGTCGATCTTTCAGAACGGCACACCCGACGTCAAGAAGGCCGCGAAGGAACCAATAGATCCTTACACATTGATTATCGACAACAAGCTCGATATTCTGCGGCCCAACCTCAAGGAGGTCATGTATCTCGACGACCCTTACGGCTATCTAGGCACGGCCAAAAGCTTGAACCTCAAGGAACTGCAAAAGACTTTCTTCAGAACTGGTGTTCTCCAGATCGTCTCGGCCCGGTCTCGACCAGACGCCTTCATGACAGAAAAAACAGTGACCAACCCAGAGGAAGCACATCCTGGCATAGTTGACATCAAAGTCACAAAGGTCGGCCTTCTCTGGCGGAAGGATGCTAAGAAGAAGAAGACCAGGTCGCCCTGGCAAGAATGGGGCGCGGTTCTCACTGGAGCGCAGCTCTACTTCTTCCGCAACACGGCCTGGATCAAGAATCTCATGCACCAGTACGATCAACACATCAAGCATGAAAACGATGGAGTTCCTGTCATATTCAAGCCGCCGCTGGACAACTTCAAGCCAGATGCGCTCATGTCGACAGATGGCGCAGTTGCTCTGATGGATTCAACGTACAAGAAGCACAAAAACGCCTTTTTGTATGTCAGGCATGGCGGCTTCGAGGAGGTGTTGCTCGCAGACAATGAGGAGGAGATGAACGACTGGCTTGCCAAGCTCAATTATGCTGCTGCCTTCAGGACGTCCGGCGTCCGGATGCGAGGTGTAGTTGGCGGCAACTACGAAGGCCAAAACCGTAGGGCTTTGAGACGACTCGATGCCGACGCTAACACCCAGTCGGTCCAGACACCGACGGGCGAAGTCACCATCACAAGAAGTCGGATTGATCAAAAGATGGCTCAGGACATCCTGACAGCTCGCCGAGATGCCATGGTGCAGAAAGTCACCGAGGCAAATGAGAAACTGGTTCAAGAGGAGAAGAAATTGGAAGAACAGCTTAGGAATGCACGACACCTGCAGATCCTCGCACCAGTTCAGCCCAAGACCCGGGAGCAGATGCTACTCTCAGCCGCTCGTATGGCGACGCAGTTGAAGTGGACCCGGATGGAGAGCTGGAAGATCAAGTGCCACCGAGATATCCTGATCTTGGATCTGGAGGAGGAACAGCAGCTGATGGGTCTACCGCCGCTGAATATCCTCGGCAGTACGTCGCCGGAGAAGGCGCCAGCCATGCCGCGGGATGATTCAAAGACCAGCACCATCGAGCAACCAGCCGCCCAGTCTCCCCCAAGCACCGCTCTGCAGCGCACTTCCACGGCTGGGGCCCAGTCGGAGAACGACTCTCCGCTCTCGGATGTGTTCCAGACGCCACCTACAAGTGCGACTGCGCAGGCTTTTCACCGCCACAAGCCATCCTGGGAGTCGACTTCGATGGGATTGCCTCAGGAGAGCATCAGAAAGTCCTCAGTCTCGAGTGTTGTTTCCTCTGCCGGGCGATCGATTACTGCCACACCCCCGCGCAAGATTGCAAGTGCCGGATCAGCGTCGGACAAAGCTCGCCTTGAGAAGCAGAGAGCGGATGATGAAGAGGACGCAGATGAGCGTGATTTCCTGGCGCAGGCAGGACTTCTTGAAGCATCGCCGTCTCGGAGGAGAGTCAAGAAGATGTCGTCATCGATCATTGAAGATGGCGACGCGCCCGAATCCCATGCAAGTGGTGGATCAGCAGAGAAGCTTGATCGCAGCAAGATCCGCCGTAGCCTTCAGCGTACGCTGCGGGAGGGTGCCGGCCATCTGTCCCACCATAGAAGTCGCAGGAACCGAGACAGCGCCACAGCTGGTGCTTCTGAGGAATCTGCCCCCGAGACCAGCATGCTCACTCGCGGTTCTGGCTCGTTCGTCGTCCACGGCAAGAAGGCATCCGTTATCAACTTTGGTGGCGATCTACATGGAGGCCTGTCCCCGGACGAGCGCCTGAGGCAGCGAAAGTCTCAACAGGGAGTTCCGCAAGCGCAAGATGCAACTGCCACTACAGCCACTGCGGCTTCGACATCACCAGCCCTGACAGAGAGCAGCACGATGGGCGACTTCCACGCAGCCCTGAAGTCTCATCGGGACCGCCCACGGCGCGAGTCCGCAGCGAGCGCCAGCACAGCCACGGCGCGCAGCTTCCAGGAGCTACATAGGAAGTACTCGTCGGCGCAACAGGCGGCCAAGGCCGGCAGCTCGAGCGGGGGCCTCGTGGTGCCGTCAGACGACGATAGCGACGCCGCCATCAGCTTTTCCGACGGGCGGAGGACGCCGCTGCCGCCGATCGAGCCCGCCGAGGAGGGGGAACTGCGGCTGCCGACCATCATTGCCGAGAGACGGCTGGACGACAATGACGACGAAGACACAAATGATGACGACGACGACGATGACGATAACAGCAGCGACGACGACAGCGACGACGACTTCCGTAGCCCGCTCGCCAGCGCGGGCCTGCGGGCCCAATTCTTCACGCCGGAACCGCCCGCGACGCCGGAGCCTGTCACGGCGAAGAAGGTCCGGGACGGCGACAGCGATAGCGATGACGGCGGCGCGGACGAAGACGACCCGCGAGCTGATGGTGCCGGCCGAGAAAGAGGGAAGCAGCTGGCCAACCCGCCGCCGCAGCTTGCTGTCAGCTGAATGACAAACCAGGCAAAAGAAGGAAAAAAAGGCCTCGTCGTCCTCTCGGCTGCTGTTTTTTCTACTGCTGCTGCTGCTGATGTTTTCCCATCCATTTATTGTTTTTTTTCCCCTACATATTCTCTTGCGATTGATGGAAATTAGCGACTTCGAGGGTTTGGTCCAAAAAAAGCACGAAAGAGCCAACATCGTCCACTGTCCTTTGATTTGTTGTTGTTTTTACCCTCTCCTTTTTCTGTTTCTTGTGTACCAATAGAGAAAAAAAAGATCGACAACCCGAAAGAAACGAACAACGAGAAGCACACAGAGAGGTGGACACGCTGGAGGCGCTTCAGCGAGCAGACCCTTGGCAGACTGCTTGCGACGTAGAAGCTCCGTGGGGCGAAGAAAAACCTGAAGACGGGGCAGGGAGGAATCGAGTCTTTTTGCCTTGCCTTTCTGGTAAGGTGGGAGGAGACATATCAGGAGGGCGAAAACCAGTTGTACATAGCATAACCACACACCACATGGCTCAAAAAAGGGCGCTGATTACGGAGTTGAATGGATGAAGTTTACACCACGCATGCATCTAAACTTTGGGACACGGACCATGAATGCCCTGGCAGGAGTAGCTGTTCAGAATCTTCAACTCTTTTTCGCGATATGCAGCTTCTCACCCCCCGTTGTTCTATGACTGACATCCATAGGACGTATACCTAGCTACGATATTCTCTCTCTCCAGCCGTGCCAGTCAGCCCATCCACCTCCAACTCCCCTCTCCCCTCTCTTTACCTTTTCTCTTCTACAAGGTGCATTCATTCCCGTTCCATTCATTTCCTTTATTTCTTTCCCTTCTTCTTCTTCTTGCCCCCGCTCGCGCCCCCCTGCGGCGCCTTCTCGACCCGGACGGACCCGGCGCCGCCCGCCAGCTCGAGCGTCTCCTCGGCGGCACCGGCGCCGCCGACGGGCATGCCGCCCTGCGTCGCCTCGGCCGCGCGCTTCTTGCCCTTGCGGCCCTTGGGCCGGTACGAGCTGCGGTCGCGCAGCGGCAGCCACCGCTCCGGGTCCATCTTGCGGTTGGGGTCGTAGTCTTTGGGCAGCTTGCGCGTCCGCCTGCGCTTCTTCCTGCCGCCGGCGGCCGGCTCGGCGTCCGCGTCCGCGTCCGCGGCGGGGCGCTTCTGGCCAGTCGAGGAGGAGGGAGCAGGAGGAGGGGCCAGGGAGGCGACGCCCTTGGTGAGCAGGGCGCCGACGTCGACGTCCTTGGTGAGCTTCTCGACGGGCATGAGGCTCTCGAGGTGCGGCTCGACCTTGGCGTAGTCGGAGGCGGCGAAGGAGGCGACGAGGCCGGCGTGGGCGACCCTGTCGGACGGGTTCGACGACGAGAGCCGCTCAAAGGCGGCGCCGGCCGTGGCGAGGTCCGACGGGTTGTGAGAGCGCAGGAGCTCGACGCCCGCCTCGCGCAGCAGCGAGGCGCCCGAGTTATGAGAGCCCGCCTTGTCCTGCCAGTGGGCGACGGCGCGCGAGAGCTCGCTCCGCACGGCGTTGTGGCGGCCCTGGAGCTTGTACAGGCCGACGGCCAGGGCCACCAGGCCCGGCGCGAAGCGGACGTCGGCGTGGTCCGGAGTCGTCGCGGCCTCTAGCCGCTTGAAGAAGGCCTCCAGGAGGCTGATGGCCGGCCCGGGGTTCTTGGTCTGGATGTAGAGCTGGATGATGGTAAGGAGGAGTCCGACGTCATCGGGGCGGGTTTCGAGCAGCGGCAGGATGCGTGCCAGGGCACCCTTTCCGGTCTCGAGGTTTGCATGTGCGGCAGCATTGAGGACACCGAGGCCGGTGGTGCCCGCCAGAGTACTCCGCCCGGCTTCCTTGTCTGCCGCGATTCGCTTCGCAGTATTCTTCGCGACACCCTTGAATTTGTGGCACTGGAGCTCGATGATGTATCTGTTCCTCTGCATGATATCGGCTTGGTGCTGAAAGAGGCGATCGCTGCCGGATGACGGCGTTTTTATCGACTCGGCCAGTCGCTGTACCATGTATGGGTTGGTTTCATCACCGAGGACCAGTGAGTTGTACTCGGCGACCGCTTTTGTTGAGCCTTCCGGAATCCTGCATGGCGGGGGCCAGTTAGTTAGCAAGCGATTCTCTCGGTCGGGCGCACGAATGCGCAGACTCCAGGCAGCGATGACAATGGGTGCGGCTTCCCAGCTACTTACTCGGAGATGTCGATCGACTTTTGTATCTCGGCCGCCTCGCTCAGCTTGCCCTGGCGGGCGAGCACGAGCATCTGCTGAACCTTGATGGGCAGCAGCTCGGCCTTTTTGTCCTCATCGCTCAGCTCCTCCGAAGACTCGCAGAGATGCCGGGCCCTCATGAGGAGTATGTCTGCCTGCCTGTACTCGCCCCTGCCCAGGTGCACGCACGCATAGTTGTAGGTCGTCTCAAACGCCAGCATGTCCTCGCGCGACGAGGCGAGCGCCGCCGGGTCCGAGAGCCCGGACCAGCCGAGCTGCGCCTGCACGGCCAGCTCGTTGACGCGCAGGTCCGCCGACTCGTCCATCGCCATGACCGCCTTGGTATCGGCCGTCAGGGCGCCGTACAGCTCCTCGGCGTCGAGGAAGTCGTCGGCCCGGTACGCCGCCTGGGCGGCCACGTGCCGCAGGCCGCGGCTGCTCTCGGCGGCCCTGCGGCAGAGGGCCCGCGCCTCGCCGAGCTGGCCGGTCTTGTAGAGGGCGTAGGCGCGCTCGAGGAGGCAGAAGTCGCCCTGGTCCGGGTGGTCGGCGAGCACGCGCAGGGCGTCGTCGAAGCGGTCGAGCTTGAGCAGGGCGACGGCCTTGGCGTGGCGCGCCGTGGCGATGTCCTCATCTGCGCGCGCCGCAGAGAGAGCGGCGTCGGCTACGCGGAGGGCTTCGTCATGGTCGTCGACTGAGGAGCGGCCCAGGAGGGAATGGAGCGAGGCTACAGCGGCAGCCATGGTGAGAGGAAGGGCCTTTTGCTGGGGCGGGGAGGTGTAGAGAGGTGTGGAAGAGAAAGTTCACTGCGCGGACACCATGCCCCCCTCGAAAATTCTTAAAATTAATACAGCACCAGGAGTCGGCAGAATGGAACGAGAGAGAGGCAATTGGGGCTCCTGCCAGGCTGCTCTCGTGCTTCGAGAGTGGTGAGCTGGACAAGTGACGTTGCGAAAAGTAGAGGGGTCGTTCCTTGCCTGGCGGGGCATGCAATTTTCCTTCAAATCGTTTTGTGGGGATTTGGCGATGGGGAAAAAGAAAGGAAAGCCACAGGTTGGTCAAGTCAACCATGGTCATCGCCTGCACGGAAATTGACTCCATCGCCACAATCGAACATTAGTAGGAATTACTTGAAGAAAGAAAAAAACAAAACAATAATTACATAGAATTCGTGATTGGCCAAGCACTGACTGACCTGGCAAAACCATTGCTACCATTACCCGAAACATGCAGTCATTTCTCGTTATCGTTGCTCGTGAAAGCCATCATAGTACACATAGACCTGCGTCCTGACACCCCCTAGCGCTTAAACAGTCCGAAAAACCCCTTCCGCTTCGGCTCAGGTTGCTGGTACGGCTTCAATGGGTAGATAGGCCTGACGTTGTATTCGTCGGAGCTCGTGTCGTGCTCCAGCCTTCTCCTCCACTTCCTCTCGGGAATCTCTCCCAGTTTCGTGCTATCAGTCGCAATAGACACGATGGAGATCCTGTGGTAGGTCTCGCGTGACGGCGATGACCTGTGAGCTTCCTGTGATTTACCGTGGCTCTTGGGAGTCGGCGTTGTTTGTCTCGCTTTTGAAACGTCTATAGGAGCCTTCGAGCTCGTCACCGAGTCCTTCTTCAGATGCTCCAATGACTTGGATTTTCTTTTGAGTACGCCTGCACCTTCCTTGGAAGGGCGTGCCTTGGTGAGTGACGAGCTGGACTTCGAGCTCGAACGGCTATGCCTCTTCTGGCTGGTGCTCTTGGAGGGTCTTCTCGACGACGATGATGCTACTGAGCTGCTCCGCTTTGATGCCGTGCTGCTCAGCCTATACGAGAACTGATCCATGGCACGGACGGCCTCGGCACGCGATGAATTGGATAGAGACATCAGTGATCTGTAGTCCAGCGTGGCGACAGGGCCATGACCCTTGCGGGAGCTCAAGAAGTTGGCGATAGCGGCCTTGAGCTTCTCGAGTATCCGGCGCAGCGCCGACCTTGAACGGCCTATCGCCTCTTTTGTCAGCCAATTGCCCGGGGGAGTCTGGTGTAAGCTTGCTTACCATCACCCTTCTCGAATCGGCTGCCGGCCTCGCTGAGTCGCGACGAGTACGTCTTGTGAATCTGGCCGCGATCGGATCTGATCGACCTGCGCAGTCGTGAGTGATCGCTGCGGCCGTCGCCACTGCCTACCCCGCCGCCGCTTTTCGTCACGGAGGACTTTAGGAGCTCCAGGCATCTCGAGTAAGTATCGAGCAGCGCAGCGACGCTGTCGCCAAGACCCATGATGGCAGCTGGACCCGGCCTACATACATGCAAACCACAACGCCAGGCGACGTTGAAAACGATTGTCCTTGCAACTCGAGACTCGGCCTTCGGCGTCCAGCCTTGCAATTCCGTGGAGGGGGGCGGTTCCGGCTTCGCCCATGCTACCTACCTACAAGTAGATGCACAGCTATCCGCAGAAGCGCCGACTGTCTGCAAAGCTAGGGTCTAGTCTACCTAGCTCAGAAGACATGCTTTAACTTTTTTGCCGCCCGGCTCTGAGGACCGCCAAACTTTCGACCCTCTCCTCTCGCTGTGCCTTGGACTGCCTCCTGCTGTGCTTGCAGGGCCCCGGACCCCCTGGACCTGCAGCGCCCAATCGGTGTGCGTTCCTTGCCTGCCGTGAACGCCATTTGCTGCCCCCCTGGCCCATGGGCTCCTGGAATCTACAGCCAATCGTGGCCGCTGGACAGAGCACACCTGCTCGTCGCGATTCCTGACGTGCTTGACGCACCAAGACGCAGATGGGCTTGCCTGCCTGTCTGTCTGTGTGGGCACTTTCACCGCTGTTGCATCCTAAACTTGCTCAGACACATGCATATGCTTGAAGGCGAGAAGATGCCACACACACAACACACACAGGCGGCCTCTCTCTCGGAGATCATCGGCTCCCTTACCGAAGACAGACGGCGCTCTACAAGTAGATACCGAAGTTCTTCGTGCCTCTACAAGTACATGGGGCAGAAACCTCGAAATACCCTCGGCAGACGACAAAGTCCCGGCCCCATAGCCTGCGTGCTGCGCGGCAGAGTGTACTTGTACCAGCAGCGCCTGTCGATGTGGACGTCGTGCACTCCACTGTGACCCTCTCCATCTCAGCCTGGAGGCAAATACGACATGATGGGCATAACTACCTAGGTGTCCCACGATCAGGCCGATCAGGATGAGTCCAAGTTTTGACAGATCACTTTCTCCCTGGGCCCTCCCAGGCTCCGCCCCCGAGCGCATGATCGTCCCCATCCAATACCCAACAGCCTCTGAGAGGGCGCGCTGTAAATTGCTGCGTGGGCAGTTGCACAACCCCAAGTGTGGGGGGGCTACGGCAGACCAGCGTAGCGCAAACGGCGTTTGACAGCGGGCGCTACTTTTTAGCCTCGAGGTCGGGGGAGAACCTGCTCCAGCTGCGTCCTCTGCTCGCTGCTCGTCCTCCGCCCCCCTCTCCATCACCAACACCACCACACCTCCCTGACACAATAATTGGAGGTACTCAGGAAGAGCGCCTCCCCCCCAATGGGATGGTTGGATGGAGAGACAGGTGGCCAAGGGTTTGACGGTCAGCCGCCGTTTCATTATGTAATGGGACCCTGGGTCGCGATGAAGACAACGATCCTCGTCCCGCGATCCGGCCCGCCGCGAGCCACTGCCTTGGCGGGATTTTATTCATCGGTTCCAGTCAGAAGAACAGCCCGGCTTTTGGCGATGTGTCAAATCTTGGATAAATACGTACGTACCCATTACACTCTGAAGCCCCCAGGGTCATGCCGGGTGCGTCGGGTTTGCACGTGAAGGCTGCTGGCCCTGAACCCTGGAGGGAGAAGAGCGAGAGAAAAGATTGTGTGCGACCGAGCTTATCTGGGATGACCTGTCCGGTCCCGAGCCTATCGTATCCAAGCTCGATGAGATAATGACAAGGGGCCAATACCGAATTCAGAAGCAAAAGAAAAACCGTTGGCACGGGACGGGGACGTGCATGATCATCAAACGGCCAGGGCCAGCAGGGGGGGCCAGGATCGGCCATGATAAGTTGATTTGCCCAGGATGGCCCAGGATGGTTGCGCCCTTCTTGCCCACGTCCAGAGCCTTTTCCAGATCACCCTGCCTAACTATGTGTAGTTGGCGATAGGTAGGATAAGTGCCCATGCGCGGCCGTCCTTGGTCGCCTGAACCCAATCTGTCCGGACGATGGCGGTGAGGGAGTGGGCGCCCACGCACGCCTGGGAAGGGTGTCTTGAAAGTTGCACGATTGCCGCGACGCACGATCAACAGGGTTGGGGTTCCGGTGGCATTCCGCGTGGCATTTGCATATGCGAGAGTCTCATTCGCCTTGTCTGCCTACCTGATCCATGTCTGAGCCATCGTCCATGTTATCTGGCCATGTGCGACCGGATGATCTAAGCGACGGCGTGGCCGCAGCACGCAAGGCGAGCTGACAATGGCGACGCATTGCTTTTGTCGCAGAGGGCCCAGCGAGAGATAAGGACGGTGTCAGTGGTACGAAGTAAGATGCTACGGCAGCGTTGCTGGCCAATGTGCCTGACCAGAAGGCGACGAGATCCGAGACCCAATCTGCGCTATTGGGACGACAAGCCGTGCCCGGCTGGTCAGGGTGCGACATGCGCAAGGAGCATCTTCAATGGTGATGACCGTGGGGATGGGGCCTTTGTGCTACTTCGTTAGAAGAAACGCGATGTTCGACGGGCTCTTCATGCCGCGCTGCGTTCTTCTTCGAAGCTGGAGGCACTGCGTCCTTGTCGTTATGTCCTTGGCCGTGCTGTGTTGTACAGCACAGCAGAGTAGGTACACAGACTCTCCCGCCTTCGAGGGACCATCAGAGGGAGTGGGGGCTCACAAGGGAAGCTGGCGGGATGGCCGTGACAAGGCCTTGGCCTTTCTATTTCTGTGCAGCCGCTTGATGAGGATTGTAATAGGAGCAATCACGTCGAGAGATGGTCGAGGAACGATGCCAACGAGTCACTAGGTCCAAGGCAGGTAGCTGGATGTACAATAGATATGGAATCTGACGCTTGTGACCTTGACATCCCAGCGCTTCTCGCCTCATGTCTCTCGCAACAGACAGCAGGGGTGACCAAGGATGCGTGACAGCGTCAATGGGAGGCCTAAGGCCTGGCGTGGCTTGTCTACTTGTCGCAGATGTGCGTCCTGTTCCAATGCGCCGCTGCTCCCATCGCTCTTGGTCATCGTCACGTAAGATGGTGACATGAGTGTGTACTTGTATGCGTGCGTGTGCCGTTTCAAGGAAAGGTACGTCTCTCTTTTTGCCGTCCGTTGTCGCAACGCCCTCGTCAACTGGAGGGACGCATCCACGCATCCTGCCCTGCAAGTGATTCAGGAAACGGGGGGTTAACTGCAGGCAGGCGAATCACATGAAGCCATGCCAATCCATCCGGGTATCTGTTATCTCTGGCACCCCCACAAGCAGACTGGCTTGGCCCCCCGTCATCCATGTGGCTCGCCATGTCGATGCCCACTCTTTTCGGTCTTGCCCCTGTCTCTGCCGTCCAGCCTGTTGTCCGCGTACGGAGGAGGGCTTGGGTTCTTGGTTGTACAGGCTCGATAAAGAAAAAGGCTCGAGCGAGTAAAGGCAGAGGACCTCCCTCTGCTCTTATCCTGCGTCTGGACTCCCTTCCTGTTCGATGGGACGTGGCCAGAGGGGCCAGGGCCATGGCCGTGCCACTGAGGGTCCCTGTTTGTGACAGCATTTGCTGAAGCTGACACCAGTGAGGCCGAGGGTGTCCTGACATGCCCTCCCTTGAATGGCGTCGCCCATATGGAGGAAACGGAGCTGCAATACGGCTTGTTCTTCCCTGTCCAAGAAAGAAGACGGCCACCCACGGCCACCAACAAAAATGGCCAACCCACGACTGCCCACGATTCCCACTTCTTGCTCCACTCCTCCCCCAGTCCGCTGTGCTCCCTTCTCACAAGTACTTGTAGTCTTCTTGGTGGAGGGAGTGTCCGGAAGGAAATATGTCTTTTGCCGACGCAGCCCCAGAATTCGCATTCCTGCGCCACTGGGTTGGTGTCGAGGAGCACGAGAATGGCGGAAAGAGGGAAATATCGACGCTGCTCTGCGAGTTGCTGCAGAGGCACCACCACCACACCCTGAAGGGTAGTCGAGCTATCATCACGACGATCGTTTTTTTTTTCTCTCTCTTGTTGCTCATGCGGGAACTTCCTCATCCCGCGGTGGGTCTTTAAGCGGTCCGCTCCTCCCTGCTCTTTAAGTACTTGTAGGTAGGTACCTAAGTTAGCTCTTCCGTCTCCCGTGTCGAAGTGACAAGTCCAAAATGGCATCCCCCCGTCCGTTTGCTCCTGCCGCCGCCCGCTATCTCTCGCACGCCCAAGCAGGGGTAGGAATTTGAGCCGTATATCCATCCATAGAAACCGCTTCCCTGCCTGTGCGTTCCTTATCTTGGATCTGCCTTATTACCTCAACTAGGCCTACATGACCTTCAGGGCTACCTGGCTCAAGGATCAGAAGTAAGGAATCACTAACTACCTTACTACTCCGTACTCCCTGCGGTACTTTCTTTTTCCTCTCCTCTCCTCTCCTCTCATCCGTATTCGATCCAATCTTATACCACCTTCTCCGTCAAGCAACCTCTGTTTCTTCACACTTCGATCTCCGTCGGTTGGGTCATCCTTATTCGACGACCATCAACAGCCAACTGGACCTCAATCCCTTGTCTGTGTCCATCGTAGCGCCGGCAGTGAGCTTGGACTTATCTTGCGCCGCAACGTGGGAATCAGAACTGTGTCTCTATAGATCCCCTACCCATCTGCATCCGACCTACCAACTTCTTCTGTTCCTGGACCGCCAAGAAGTCTGATTCGGACATCTACATCATAAGATACCACCAGGGTACTCTCGCCGTATCTGCCCTTTGAGTACACGGTACACCAGACAGAGCCCAGCACGCCGTGGCCCTGCCATCTGTGCTGATCGGGCCTGAAGGCTGCTATCTATCTGACCGAGACTAGGCCGCCTCCGTTCTGCCTCGTCCAACACTTATACCCTTTGTGCCGTCCGTGAGCACCCGCCTCAGCACACGGACATCCAGGGCTATCCTTTCTCTCGCTCGCAGTGTCCACCACTACCCAGTCTCCTCGCAGACATCCCATTCTCTCCAATTTTTTGTTTATTGAGACTGTTCCATGGACGACTTCCAAGCGATCTCTGCGCGGATCCACTGTGCACTGTGCCGTGTTCGATAGGGCTGGCTGTGTCGCTTGTTTGAGTCAGAGATATCATCAAACCCCGCCGACCCATATGCCGTCGGCCGCCCACACCTGATAACCCCTACCCAGAACGACAGAGAACTAAGGAGGGCCCGGAGCAACTCAGCAGGAACTGCGGCAGGAAGCACGCCGCCTGCCGTACCCTGATGTCCGTTTATTCCACACCATCTCCGAGGCAAAGCCCACTTGACAGGGCAGAGTCTCCGTTGCCTGAAGGCCAATGTCGATTCATCCTGCTCGTCCCGGAAATTAGAGGTCAACGATGTGCTTGTGTCAGCTTTCACCTCAACAAGAGCACACCTAGTGCCACTTGTGACTGTGGCCACTTGGCCTGCTACCACGTCATGAGCGCTGATTGTCCTTCCGACAAACAGGAGATTGAATCGTTGAGACAGAGAATCCAGGTCCTGGAGGACGAGAAATACGAGCGTGACCTCATAAAGGAGCGACTTCAAGTGCTGGAAGAACAACGGCATGGAAATCTCAACCTCCTTGTGCGTGTGAGCGAGCTGGAAGAAGCTATGGAGAGAAGCAAGGAAGAGTTCGGTCAGGAGATCAAGGCCAGCTATCGCAACTTGACCCGCGCTTGGCACTCGATTGGCGAGCTGACCCAGCGGAATGAGCACCTGGAGAAACGCATCCAAGCGAGCGAGGAAGAGCAGCGAAGGCTAGCTCAGAGGCAGCTGGAGCTCGTCGATGTTGACATATCCCTGGAAGAGCGGGTGGAAGAGCTGGAGGGAATCCTCGACGAGGAGGCCGGGAAAAAGAAAACTCACCGAGAGCGTGGACGTAGCAAGTCGGCAATCAACTCGATCCCGACAAGTGCATCACTGATGCCAGAGAGACGCGCAGAGGCGTCCACAAGCCTGGCTTGGCCAGCAAACCACGACCCCTTGTCCAATTCGACCATCATACCTCTGAGACCCGCACCCACTTCAGCCAGCATTCATGCTGGGTCTTTCTCATGGACCGTCCATGTGTCCCTGATGCCGACAGCCACCCGGCCATTTCCATTCGAAAGAGACACGGTTGCGTACAAGCGATGCCTCTCCCGTGGACTGCATCAGATGGTTGCCATCACCGGATATGACGACGAATCATTCGTAACCGCCGTGTCCAAGGCTTTCAAGAATTTGCTGCTGGACCGACCCTGGGCGCCGTTGCAGGCCGAGCTGTGCAATGCAGAGTCGTTGCAGGGTCTGCCGATGCTCCGTCAACTGGACGCAACCCTTGTGGGCCGCAAATATGACTTTGAATTTCTACGCCGATATTGCGCCGTCCATGACGCCAGAGGAAGGATCGACTCACTCTATATAGCTCTCCGAGACGACTCCCTGTCCTGGAACTTCTTGCGGCACGCACCAGTCTTTGTGACCGGCCTCGAGGCCTGCTGGGAATACACGCCTCTGCTTGATGGGAACGACCTTTTTGATGACGATGACGAGCCCGGTAATCCTTCCCGTCCATCTGCCGGTGAGATTATTCAGGTACTCCCTCCGTCACTCAAGCGTGCCGCCTCGGAGATGTCTCGCTCATCCAGCTTTGGATCCACAGTCACCAGCAAGCTGACCGACGGCGAGGGTCCTTCCGCGAAGGCGCCCTGCCTCATCAATGTTGCTGAGGTCAGTAGCAGAAGAGCCGAAACTGTGTGAAGGAGGACATCTGCTCTACGATTTGTTGATGAGATTTTGGTTTCATTGTTGATTATCTCTGTTGATTGGTTTTGCGTTATGGTGATGGCGTTTGGCGGCGTAGATAGACTTGGATACAGGATGAGGATACATGGCGTTTTGGGAGAAAAGAGGGGAGCAAGTCAGAGAGGTCTAGCATAGCTGCTTCTGCAGAGACAGTAGACCGCTACTTCTCCAGGTCTTTATTGATATGTCTGCCAGCTTTTCTTGCTGCTTCTCAGCGTCGCTCGTCGGGCCTCGTCGCGGTGAGATGAGGGGCCAGGGAAGGAAGAACCATAATGGGCCTATGGGCCTCTGTTGAGGAAGAAGCAATGGTCCTCCCTGTAGGGTAGTCAGAGTGAATAGCAACAAGCTTTCATAAGTAGCCGAGCTGGAGCATTATGTCCTGGCCATAAATCTAGATCAGTCGCGAAATGTGTGATATGGATGTGAGGGAGGTTGCTTGGTGAGTGGGAGGCTGATAGATTGCCGGGACGGGGAAGGATGCCCGCAGCAAGCTAGAATAGATCGGCCAATCGCTTTGGAGAGTTGACTCCTCGAAGGCCAAGGGCGCTCTTTTTAGGCGCGACGTCCCCGCTAAAGACCGGAAAGATACAGAGATTGGTTCCAGCAACAACGGCACGCCGCATTTGCTTTGACCCATTGGACCTTGGATTCGACCCAAGCCTTGCGGTCCCTCACTTTCTGATAAACGGCCATCGCTTGCGACAAGTATTCTTCCACATGCAGCCTTGTTGCTTGACATAATCTTGATCTTTCTCTCACATCTACGTCGGCAATCACCCACTTCCAGACTACAAAATCCACTGCTCGATCTTTTCTTTCGCCGCGGAACAGACTTCACGCGAATCCGACAAGGTCCAACAGTCGCATAGAAGCGCGCTCGCAGCTTCGGCTCTGCTGCCAAAATGGACTTCGATATCGAAATGGGGGATGGCATTGGGGGCGAGGCTTATCCGATAGAGGAGCAGGGCATACAGGACGATATCCTGCCAGTAGACGACGCGCAGGTTAGTAGTGAATGGGGTGGTTTCGATACCAAGAGGTGGACCTTTTCTCATTTTGTGAACGTCGCGCAATACAGGAACCAGGCGAGGTGGAAGAAGACGTCTCCGGCGCGGGCGCACAATCCGGCGACCAGACCCTCGTCTTGAACAAGATACACCTGCGCGGGCTCGACGCCTTCAACCCCGACGACCTCAGGGCATACGTCAAGGAGCACTACAGCGCGGGCACCTTTGACCGCATCGAGTGGATCGACGACACCTCGGCCAACCTCCTGTTCAAGACCGAGGCCTCCGCGTCCGAGGCGCTCATCGCCCTGTGCGCCGTCGAGATCACGGAGCCCGCGCACCTCCCGCCGGGAGAGCTGCTGCCCGCCAAGCCGTACGCGTCCAAGCCAGATAACACCTTGCAGGTGCGCTTCGCGCTGGCCTCGGACCGGAAGGAGGCGGGTGCCGCGGCGCGCAGCCGGTTCTACCTGCTGAACCCAGAGTACGACCCGGAGGAGAGGCGCCGGCGGGGCGAGTTTGACCGGAGCAGGGGCAAGTATCGCGATAGGGACGGCGATCGGTACCGCCGGGGCGGCGGCGGCGGCGACAGGCGGCGGAGGAACTACGAGGACGACGAGCCGGAGACGTTCGACGTCAACCTATACGACGACGACGAGGCGGCGTTGGCGAAGCGGGAGTCGCGCCCCTCGGGTAGGAGGCGTCGCCGGTACAGCTCTCGGTCGAGGTCGCGATCTAGCGGGTCGGACGCGGGCCGGTATGCACGACAGAACCAGAGTAAGGAGCTCTTCCCGGACCGGCGGCCGCGGGAAAGGAACGGCCTGTCCTCTCGGAATCGATCGGCGTCCCCGGCGAGGAGTGCGGGTGGAGGAGACATGGACGTGGATAGCGATCGGAGGGCAGGGTCGAGGAACCGAGACAAGGCTCGCTCCATCAAGGACCGGCTGTCGCGGGACAACAGCACCAAGGAGCTGTTCCCGACCAAGGTGTCGGCGCCCGGCTCACGGGCCCAGATGGACCGGGTCGATCCGACCGACAGCATGACTACGCGCCTGAGTGGTATGTCCGTCCTCAGTTACGACGGTGCCTGTGACACCGTCTTCTCCGTCCTTTTGCACCAGCACCAGCACCAGCACCAGCACCAACATCACCTCCACCCTTCTGGCAAGACAAGCAGCAACAGCATGGTGATGTGCAGATCAGTGATAACCAACAATAACCCCACAGATCGGATCACGAGGCCGTCGTCGGACAGCGCGTTCAACATCCGCGGCCTGGCGGCCAAGAAGGGCGACGAGCAAGGGTTCGCCATCAAGGGGAGCGCCAAGGAGCTGTTCCCGGACAAGCTGAACAACGCTGGCAAGGAGCTATTCGCGGACAAGCTGCACGGTAGGGGTCGGCCGCGGCAGAGGGCCGAGGACCATTTCAAATGAGGGATCTCTCGGGAGGGGGAAGGGATGACGAAGGAGTAAACTCACTGGGCAGGTTGCAAACGATAGCACAATACGTTCGAGTATTGTGCCCCGTTCCGCTTTATGCACATCTTTCTCGCGAGCCCGCAAGTTACCCCTGCGGCCTCAACCATGATGTTCGAGGAAGAGTCTGCTTTGGGGGAGGGAGGTTCGGGAAGATGAACGAGCGGGCCGGGCGGGCTGTTGAGAACAGAGAGGCCTTTACATCCGAGGCGGTGCACTTCCGAGGACTATTGCTTGAGCTCTTGTAGTTGTAGTACCTACCTAGCCTTGTATACCATCCAGGGCATCCCTGAAAGCTTCACGCACCCAATCCGTCCATCATCAAGTCTCGAAATCCATAGAAAGAGAATTGAGACGAGCGACGCTTCCTTGGCGGGCAACCGAATCTGGACTGTGGACGGTACAAAACCGCAATAGTATCTACCTGTGTAATGGCAGATCATGACGATACTTGCGGTCCGAACGTTGGCAACTTCAAGGTGCTTGCTTCCACCCAGCTACCCCCAGAATCATTTCTTCGGCTCATCGATGCGGGAAATTTGACAACACCCTTTGTCAGTGCAAAAGAGGCAAGTGGCTTAGGTTCCCTCTACGCCTACCAGCAGGCAGGTGCCAGCCAGAACCTGAGTCACTCACAATTCAGCAAACACTCACTCTGACATCAGGTCTCCTTCATTTTCTTTTGTACTTCGGGGGTTACACGTCCCAGGGGCGCCATCTCATTCCTTTACAAAAAGAAGAAAAAGGCAGCAGAGTTAACTGGAATACAGCAGCACCTTACCGGCTCACTTCGTGTCAGTACTACTACTACTGGCTGAAGAACCTTTAGCGTTACAGAAATATCTGATGAACTCTCGAATTTGATCAAGACCACTCCTCCCTGGTATCACTATGTCGGATCTGACCCGTTTACTCGGGCTCGGAGCTCGGTCTCTGACGCCCACCTCGATGAGCAGAACCCCAGCCGAGGAGCCCAAAGTGTCGAAATCGGCTGATAGGAAGGAATCGCATCACAACCGACCAACCCCCCTCTCGCGTGTCTCGAGCTACTTCAATCTCGGAGGTCACAAGGACGACCACAATGACGAGGAAAGGCCATTGCTTCAGGACACTCGCAGGCAAGCGAGGACTCCTCAGCCATCCAAGACTCCCGCGATCACCCAACAGCTCTCACTTACAGGAGACGGCCCTGGCGATGACCGGTCTGGGAGGGCTTCCAAGGCCAAGGGGCCAGCTGAGGAGTCACGCACCTGGCACACACCGACCTTGATGCAGATGGCGGAGGAGCTCCAGGCGGAAATCATGTCGAGCCGCGATTCTATGACGCCTCTGCCGCCGCGTTTCAACGCCCACATCCTACACCTCGTCGAGGGCGTGTACAAGTTTGAGGACAAGTTGGACAAGGCCAGGGAGAGGAGAAAGGAGGCCAAGCGCGAGCGCCTGCGAGACCTGGTCCAGTTCGGGGAGATGAGCAAGGAGTGGATCGAGAGGGAGCACCAGTACAAGGCCGAGATCAGGAGACTGGAGAAGCTCCTCGCCCAGCATTCAGACAAAGGGATGGAGACGGTTGCTCTGGCGAGGGCTAATTCTGTGGTCAACAGGAGCGACACTCGAAGGTTCACCGCCAAAGTCCATCGAGTCAGCGCGGGAGAGGGCCAAATACAGCTTGGAGCTCACCAAGAGCAGGGAGGTGGCACCGTAGCTGACCTCGCCGATGCAACTACAGACGAGAGTTCTGGGGGGAAACACTTCAGTGATGACCAACTCGTTACGAGGCCAAAGAGGTCGCTTGACCAGCTCACTAAAGTCAAGGAAAAGAAAAGGGGACAGGGAAAGGGGAAACAGAAAGCAGAACCGAAACTGCGTAAGTTCATCGTACGCACTCACACAACATATGGAACGGACTTTGAGCTGACAGCATATAGCTCCCCTGGTTCTCGATCCGGACCACGACGTTAAGGTCAGTGAGTATTTTAGAAGACTGAGAACGATCACCGAAGGCTCTCACCAGGCGGCCAGAAGGAGGAGACACGAGTTCATCTCCTCTCCTAGTTTGTCAACGGCGGTCAGCCAAAACGAGCCCAGGCCACCAACGGATGTGAAACTTGAATCCCAAACTTCGAGACCTAACAGAGCTTCACCATCACCACCTTGCCCTCCACCGGAGGCTTCTCGGATGACAAGAAACGAAGAGGCGTGTGCACCCCTGGAGTGCACCGAAAATCGGTCGACTTCGTCGACCTCAAGCAGCAGCTGCTCGGATAGCGAGAGCAGAAGAGCAGACTTGTTCAACACCGGTATAGGACAGCATGTACAGTCTACTTCACAAGGTCTTGGCGAGACAAACTCTTTGCTCGAGGAGGCCGAACCAACAGAAGGCTTCCAAAGGGACAAGACCTTGACCCAGGCAGACTACGAGGCGTTCATGGCGCAAGCTCAGCCGAGTCCCCGTCGAAGCCGACGTTTCTCCTTCACTTTCGGTGACGATACAGATTATGACGTGGCGCCGCGACCGCCACTGGTGTCCCATACAACCGATTCTCAGGTTCGAGTATCAGTCTCGGACCCCGCAGGTGACAGGACCCCGAAACCCGTTGTGCCTGCGCCTGGCCCTGCGAACCAGAGTTTGGAAGAGACGGTGCGCGGCTTGCCGGTCATATCTGTGACCAACACCGAGCCGGCACCGAACCAAGCACAGCCCGAAGACCCAGCCTCGCGTGGAACTTTAAGCAGGGCGGGAGCGGCCAAAGTCAAAACTGCAAAGAGGGACAGCAGCGCGACGGCGCCGCCTGGAACCAAGGATGGATCGACGTCAAGTCTGCAGGCCGGTGCAACCACGGCGACCGGAGACACGGTTGCCACGGACGTTTCTCGCAGCCGGGCAACGGGCCCACAGTCAGAGTTGGCGGCGAGCCGGGACCGAGCAGGAGGGGGAGGGAGGGTGCCTACGTCGGCCACGACAAGCCCAACCCCTTTACCATCATCTCCTTGGACCACTACTCCACCATCTGGGGCCAGAGGCTCGTCCGAGACCGCAGCGACGCCTCTCACGACGCCAGACCAGGGCGCTCGCATCGCGGCCACGAGGGCTGTCGAGCGAATGAACCGAAGCGAACAGACGACGACGACGACGACAACAGGCAAGGGGGTATCTCGAACGACGTCTGCAGGCGGGTCCAGGAGTTGAGCTTCTGCCGAGCTTCTGCCATCCCGTTAGGCTACGTTGGCTTCATGCTTCTGATCTGTTCACATGGCTGTTTTGGACCCCCCCTTTCGATGCCATTTGTCCTGGAGGAGAAGACAGTCCGGTTTTGGTCCCCTTGATGGGTTCAGCATCTTTCATGTCGGAGGAGCTAGAGGCTCTTAGGATCCTTGGTTCACACGTGGTCCGGCTCGGGGGGGACGAAGGGGCTAGAACGTCGGGGGTATTTCTACTATCCTTGCGCCCCGTTCGGACGTGCATTAGGGAAATTGATAGATACCTGTTGATGGAGTGGGAGGGACGTGGTGATAGGATGGCTTTGCACACGAACCCCCCCCCTAATTTGTTGTGTGGGTGAGTGTTGTGTGTGAGTGGGCGGGTGAAGCGTCGTCTCCTGGCTTTCTCTGTTCCGAGCTACGACGGATCGGGAAAATCACCGCGTCCTTGGAGAGCGAGAAAGGAGCGCTTGGGTGTGTGTCCTTTTGTGATGAAATGGTTCGCGTGAGAAGCATAGCGTACGTAGGGTTGCAATGGCCATGCAGGAGGACCTCCGAATATTCTCTCGTCCGTCTCGGGCTCTCTCAAATTTGCGCTGCTGTTTGTTGTTGTTTCTCTCTGCTAGGCCAGGAGGCGGGCAGGCGGGCACCCGTCCGTGTTAGTGCGAGCCAGACCCAAGAAGCAATTATATCCCAATCTAGGCCAGCCAGCCCAGCCAGCCCAGCACAGTTTTAGTACTTTTCCTGGCCGAGCAGGTAGGTACCTGGGAAGTACAAACCTGCCAAAAAACAAGGGAGAACCCCGAATCAAACCATCCCTTCTTCTCGCTACATGGACGGAGTAGGTAACTAGGTGATGTCTGAGGTGGTGGTTGGGTGGGATCGTTGCGCTACCGAGTTAGGTACATATCACGCCTCCCCCCTCCGTGTGAAAGGCCCTTCAGCAGCTTGCAATTGAGTTTCAACCCTGGGGACGTTTCCGTCAGACTTGGACGACAATGACGAAACGGGGCACCAGCACTAATGCAACGCTCAGCCCATCTGTCCGTCGTTCCGTCGTATTCGCGAAAAAAAACGGGAAACGGAAAACGCAAGTTGACCAGAACCGGAAACCCTTTGGAGATTTTCTTTTGACAGCACACCTCCTTTGGTTTGGCCTGGAGGGAGGGGGGGAGGGAGGGAGAGGGGAACGGCCCTTGGAGACCGATGCTGGATGGAATGGGACACCGAGGGTCGGTTTATGGTACAAGTACTTGGGGAGCATTCATCTCTGCTAGATGCACGCCCCCAAAATGTCACTGATAAAAGGCGGATAGGGCACCGTCGCTACAGCACAAGAACGAGTGAAGGACTCTGGCTGGAAGGACTTCCTTCCCCGGCGAAACGTCGTGTTCTGGTTGAGCACACGGATGGAAGAGACATGTGCCGTTCCAAGTAGCGTTTCGAATTCCACATGTCAATCACGCCTCCCTCTCACAAGCAAAGTAGAGAGAGAGTATGAGAGGATAGGTGTGTTCACCGCAAGCTGGCCCCAACGCAAACAAACACCAGCCCGACCTCTATTCAGCCAACTTGCAGGGGAAGTGCCGCTTAATTGCAGCTCTTAAGAGCAGGGATTCAGCTGAGCAGAGCCCCCCCGGCTGATGATCCTTTGGTTCGCTCGATAGCCGAGGAACGGTTGGCCCAGATCGCTGGGTCGCGTGCACCTAAAAACACGCGCAAAACACACACACCGATGTTGGTAACCCTGCCCTTCGTGGGATCTGTCCCAACCTCGGGGAAATTCTCCTTATCTCCCCTTGACTTCTTCTTCTCCTTCTTCGACGCACAAGGAGGTAAAATGGGCACCTAGATAGCATTGGGTCTCGTTGTCCACGTAAGCGTTGCACCTTGCGAACCTGTCTAAAACGCGTTTTGCTACTGCGGAATGTCAGTTGGCGTCAAAGTAGTTAGGGCACTACTAACCTACTAGGTACTGCCCTTCGCCAGAGTGCATCGCGCGCCGTTAGAGCATCCAGAGATTCTAGCCAGTCATTTTTGCCAGTTTGCGGCGCCCGGCCAGCGATACTTACCTGCCTAGTACTCTCGCTGATCTGGCGATCACATGGCCTAATCAGACCTCGTGCGTCCCAATCTCGCGATCAACTGCGCGATTTCATGACCTCACCATTCCATCCCCTACACACATGTCTCTGATCGCAGGTCTCATCTCGCAACAGAACCTCACCATCTGTTCCTGTGTTACAGAAGAAGGAGGGGGGGAGGCATAAAAATCGTGGCTGCGGAGACTTGGCTCTGCCTCTTTGTGCCTCGTACCCGGGCGGCGTCCCACACCGCCCCGTAGCCCGGCCGCCGGTGCATGTCTCAGCTGCGGCCTTGAGCGAATGGCAACGCTGAGGATGTCATCACACCTCTCGGACCTGAAACGGTGGCGGGATAGTCTCGCGATAGTCTTGTTCCTCAAGGCCCAGCCCATCGCCAAGTCCACATGTCACCGACAATTGAGTTGGGAGAAACCACTTACCACACTGATCCCAGCTATTCCAAATACACACTCACTCCCTTGGTGGCGAACATGCCCTGGACGGTAAGCGCTCATGCTGTCTTCACCGATGTCGCTCACGACAGGTCCGCCACGCGGCCTCGACTTCTTCAAGTCTGATCTTTGTGCGTGTTCCCGGAAACAACCCTCTCCGCGCCATGGTTTCACCCGGTAAGCAAAAGGAAAGAGCTGACGAACTGGTGTGGATGGGATCTGGGAGCCGGAAACGGCAACATGCCCGTGGCTGCAAGAGATGAACTGGCTAGCCCCGTCCGCTGGCTGCAGGCTGCGGTGTCACGTCGTACGATCTGAACAAGACGATCTTGCATCACCGGCCACTTACCGTCATCCCTTCTGCCGCTTCCTTGACTTCAGAGGAAGCGGACCAAAGGTGGCGGCACCCCTTTCACAAGCGTCTAAAAAGCATAGGAGAAGTGAAGACTTGCTCGTACAATGCCTAGAATCCCGCCAGACTCCGTGCTGTTCATGCAAGCGATATCAAACACGCAACCAGTTCACCTGCTCTGTGAGTCTGTGTGACGGTCTCACTCGGGACACATCGTGGCGGGAAAGTTTAGGTTGTTTAAGGTTCGGGAAGGTGCTGTAGACATGAACTACACCGCCGTCCCGGGACAAGATCGCGCACGTTGTGTCCTTTGCCTAGGGAGTTTGGCGATCCTGTAGACCGCCTTCCGGTCCGCGGAGCAGAGACGGCCCGTTAGCTTGTTGAATCGTGAAGCAGGTAGAATTTGCTGAGGAGGTGAGACCTGGCCACGCATATTCCATTCAGTTAGTAGAGTTGCACCACAGTGGCTCGGGCTACACATGGAACATACTCGTGCAACCAACCGTTGTGATTCAAAGACTAGCACCGTGGTGACTAGAACTCGGTCCCGACAGGCTCCATGTATCATATCTAGCGTACTAGCGCTTTCGTCGGTTGGCTGCTCCCGCACTGGACGGCCGTTTAGGTATGCTTTGCGTCGTGGGTATACGCTGGTGCCCTGCGATGAAAGATGCATGGGTTGGGAGAGATGACGGGTTGCTAAGTACCAGCCACAGTCCAGGCTAGTGAACCGGGAGGTGGGAGCTATTGAGAGACGGCGCTTGTGAATTGGCAGAAACGGGCACGGGGAACGTACGATGTTGGCCCAAGCGGGGAAGTAGAGTAATAGAACGGGAAAGGTTTGCGAAAGGAGCCTCAAAAGAATAGCTGAAAACGTCCATCTTGCGCAGGGGGAAATAGATCCATCAAAAGCATCCAAATGAGGCGTCATGCAGGAAGCGCATTCGCCAGGAGAGTAATGTCCGGATGGTCAAATGAGAGGACATAGGCACAGATATTCAAGGGGGATTGCCCAAGAAGACTGAACTCGGCGGGGATTGATGATCATAGCGTCATGCAGCTCTTCCAAGATCTCATTGACGTCTCTGCCATGCCCATAGCAGTCGGGCATTCTCCCTGGAGCCAAGAAGCCCCCGAGCCCAGGGAGGACACGCTGTGACTGGCGGATGCACTGTCCCCGTCAATTGGCGTTTCGTGGGCGCCGGTGAGGAGCATTAGTGGACCGTCCTGCTGGTACGGCGAGCTACCACTGTAGATCACCGTTTGTCTGTGATGAAAGCTCAGATGTCGGTGGGTCGAACGGAGGGGTGTGGGTGGGTGTTTTGTTCAACCAGACCAGCTCAGCAAGCCGATCGAACGAAGTGGGAAGAATGTCTGAGATCTTACAAAGTTAGTGGGCGCATTTCGGAAGCAGAAGGGATATCAAAACCATTTCTGCGGGCGGCAGGGCCCTCTTCGGTTGACCACCCTTCACAATGTGATCCGTGCAAGTCTTGAGGGTCGTGGAGATCATCGCAATACATAGAGACACCCATGTTGCGATCGGTCAAGCTGGGATTGGTATCTGGTTAGCTCCGGTGATTGTCACCTCGAGAAATTAAAGAGTAAATCTCACGCTTTGCAACTGTTGCTCCCCGAACGAGCCCTTGACTCAAGTCTCTTAGAAAACCAACCTTAGAGTAGGTACCTGGCGAGACTATCTGGTCCGCTGCCGCCCTAGTGGAGCTGTCCCCGCACGAGGGCCGTTGCAACGGGGCTGCCGTCGCTGGAGACGCGGTTAGTCCGGCAGGTCTAACGTGGTTGTGGGAATGGCAAGAGACCAGTCGGAAGCAAATTAGGCCGAAGCAATCCCACAGCATATTGCTGATGAAGTTACGACCTTGTCGCTGGGCGGCGTCGTCGTTATTTCGGCGCAAATTCCACTGTCATGTCAATCAATGCCTTTTGCGCCTGTGTTGGCAGATAGCGGGAGGCCCGGGCAGATTGGCTGCAAGGACCAGGGCTGCCCTGGCCGAGATCCATTGATCTGCGCGTTCCCCCAATTGCGGACATGACACAGATCGGCAGCAATCAGAGAGCGACGTGTGTGTGATCGAATATGACAGTGATTCGAGCTGGCAGACGCCCGATGTCACCCCGCCGTCGTGTTCTGTGATCCCATCTGCACGGCAAGCACATCTCCCGACGACGACTACTTGGCAGGATCAATAGATCATTGCCAGTACTTCGTAATACCGGTGATTCTGAGTTATCCGCCGCTTTTTGCCAGGCTGCACCAGCCACTCCCCACCACACAAACGAGGCTTCAGCTGGGCCGGGGTCCCTGAGATTCACCCAACCCACTTTCAGCAGGGGCCTCGTCAGCGACAAAGGTGCGCACACGCCTACTCCGTAGAGAGGGTGCGTCTCATAGGTGAGAACTCGGTGCAAGAAAGGGGAGCCACTTGACTCCGAAACATTTGGCCGGGGTTTTTCGAACACGAGATACATCGCGAGCACTTTTCCGCCCTGCCAATGGACCATGTTGAGCAGCAGCCGTGCCAAGATCGACAGTCTCGAAAAAATTGTTTTCTTTCTTTTGTCCTGTGCGCGATGGGTCGGCTGTGGGCTCGAGGCCCAGCCAGCAGCAAGGAGTGGACTGAACTGTCTTATGGGAAAGTCAAATTGGGGGGGAATTCGTCGAGAGTGTCCTTTTTAGTCTCCCAAATAGCCATGCACGATTTCACTAGACGTGCTCTTTCTCGGCAAGCTATCCGGAACGGGAAAGGGGGCGTCCACTTGTCTCTGGAGGCACCGGCGAATCTGACTGATCGGCTGTGGCCGGCGCCGCTGGGCGTTGTTGGATGTCGTTTGCTGAATAACTGCAATTGAAGCACGATGCTTGAGAGGGAGGGAGGGAGTGGTGCGTTACCTACGTGTCGTTGCAGTGCAGATGCTGGTGGGTGACTTCCATGCTCTGTTCTTTTGCACCGTTGCACCGGTAGGTACCTACTTGTAAATACTGCCCGCCTGCGCCTTCCTGCGCTTTGCGACCAAGTCCCTACCAACTCTGAACAACGACTGGTGGGCAGGTACCTACAAAAGATCCACTGCCCGTTGGGGAATGCGCCAAGCTGATTGGGAAGTTGCGTAGCTGCCGATCCCAGCTGATCCCGCCGTTCCGGGCCTGGCCAAGTGACAGGGGCTCATTCCCTTTTCGGAAGAATCCTGGTGTTAGTCGCCGTTCTATTAGGCCTGCACGACTTCAGCTCCAGAGTGCGGTTGCCTTTCACGGCAATAATCGGTGCAGGGCGCACTCTCGTTGACTCCAGTCGCAAAACGTCTCCAGCTGCTTGACATCATCATGTCCATCCCAGATGCGCCTCCAGGCCCGTCCCTCCACCGCGCGATCTGCTGGTGGAGACAGACCGTTGCGGCCTGCTATCCAAGACAATGGGATTGTCGATATCGTGATAGTCGAAGCCGCATCGAAGGCACATATCTCCATAAAACCGTTTCGATGTATCTGATACCTCGGGCATTCCCACCCCCAAGCCAAACATCTGTGCGTCGCACAGCCTGATCTCCTGTCGCCGGTCTCTCTCTCGGCATCTGGCTAGGCCAAGAGGATGGAAGAAGGACCTTGACCACGCGCCTCATCTACAAGCAGCAAAGGATCATCTATCTTTCTACCAACAACCGTTGCTGTTCAGCTCGCTCCATCCCTGGAGAGGCCGTCCAACATGGTCTGACCCAGCTCCATCCAATATAACGTCGCGTACCAATCAGCTCCTCGATTTGCCCTTCCAGACAGCACTCTTCATCGCATAACGGCCCCTAAAGGGCTGCCTATCATTGGGGTCCTGCTCCGCTCGGAGAGTCCACTCAGAACCTTCTTTCAGCTGCTGCAGCACTGCTTCGCACAGCATGGAGCACCATCGACTCCATCGTGCCCAGATATTCTTCAACCACCGCCATCGTCCATCTGACCGGCTCCCCGTCCTTTCACTCGTACATCTGCCTCTGTTCTCCACCACCGAGACCACCGGTGATGCTTCTCTTGCGCTGAATAGATGTACAGCGGGTGGGGGAGAGGCAGCCTTGTGCGCATCATGGAGCTGCTGGACAGGCACGGCATCCCCACACCTGTCACCACACAACCCGAGAACCCGCGTAATGCACCATTTTCCTGCCGACCGCATCTACTCTCTCCCCCTCTCAGTGCCGCCGTCCGTATTGGACTGCTTCCTGTTTATCGCAAGTCACGCTAATCCTGCAGCACCGCTGGCTGGGCGATTCGCCTGTCCTGCCCAGCCCCCTTGGCTCTCACACCTTGCTTCCAACTGCCATTCAGCGCTCAAAACGTGCTCGTTGACATGGTGGAGGCGCGGGATGGAGACAGGAGGGAATATGTCTTGTCCACACACTCTCGACTCGCCCACGGACAGACCGGTCTAGCTGGCCATATTCTTCACCAGCGAAAAGGACAATTGGGGCGGAGGGGGGTGGGTTAGATTGCTCACTCGGCCGAAACCTTCTCATTAGATAGGCCTTTGCTTCGCAAGGACAGCAAAAACTTTCAGTACTCAGGGCAGGGGGGAGAGGGAGGGCTGCTGATCAGTGACTGACGTGGCTACCCAGGTCGCCGTTCCCATCGGAGTGTCAATGGCAGCGGGACGAACGGGCGCGCGATCGCGGTTCGTGGTCAAGCCCATTCTTTTTTAGTTCCGCGCTCATCCTACCGCTGGTATTCTGTGAAACCTTGTCGGTCCCCCGTGGTCCCTCTATCCGTCTCTGCTGCGTACCATGGCACAGTGTGACAGAAAAAAAAGGGCAGTTGATAACAGCTGTACCTGTGCCTGTGCATATAACGCTCTACGGTACGAGCCAAGACAGGAGTACAACCGGAGTATCACGAGAGGAACTTTCTCTCGACGACCAGAGTAACACCGAGAGACAACGTTTCCAGGGAACGAAAGGGGGAGAAAAATACACTCAGAGACAAAAATAAGGATAGCCATTCCGATTTCCCTCTACCGATAAACCCCCTCCCTCCTCTCCGTATGTGTCATCAGTGTGCCGCTTGCGCGTAGGCTTTCCGTAGATCACCACGGAACGGTGGGAGGAGGGAGAGAGGGTGGGAGGGCGTTTTCGCTGCACAACACCGGTTGGCCCATCCCATCATGTTAGTCTTCTTGCCCAGGGGTTCTTCGGTCTATTTGCTTTTTTTTTTTCCCCTTGTGTTTTGCTCGTTTCGCCGGCCGGGCTATGGCTCACCTCTTTTTTTTTTTTTTTTTTTCTTTTTCCGGTGCTCCATCCACTCACTCGGGACCCGGCAAGCACACCTACAAAAGGTGAAAAAAAGAGGCCGGTGAAAAATGTCTCGCCCATCCACCGCCCACACCCCCCCAAATTCACCGGGGTTGCGGAGCAAGTTTTCAGTGAGAAGGGTGTGCACCGAAGCGAGACTCGGAAGCTGAACTGGTGGTAGAGAGAGCGGAGGTGCTTGAGCATGATATGATGAAGCTGGTCACAATGGCAGGCAGCAGAGTCCTATGGGACCATTTTCTGGTTCGTATTTCTTGGCAGGATTTGTTTCAGCTGGTGTATTCGTAGTTGTGGTAAAGGTGGTAGGTAGGTAGATGAGTAATTATACAGGCGTCGCTTGGTTCTCGTAACTTGGGTGAACAAAGGTACTGCGCTCCTTTGCGGTGCTTTTGAAACACAAAAGCTCAACAGGAAACAGAAAAATCATTATTGGTATCGCCCGCCCAAAAGTAAAGTAGTTGAGAAAAAAAAACCAGTTAAACGCATAAAACGGCCTTCCACCAGTCATACCGCTTTTAACACCTTTAAGCCAGACAGAGTCAAGTACAAACAAGTAATCTGCACAGACTGGAAAAAAAGAACTAGAAGCCCACCCGCCCGGTAAAAGACCGTCCCTTGAATTGCTCCCATTATCATAATACATCAGAATAGTGTCGATGTGGTGTAGTAGTCGGGTTGAGGTTGTTTAAGAAGCGTTCATGTCGTGAAATGTCTCAAAGAAACTGGCCAGGGGCCAGGTCTACCTCTGTTTGAGGTCTTCTTGCTCTACTCGTGGTTGAGCAGCTTCGACAGCTGGCTGTTCCTAGGAACGGGCTGGCCGTTCTCGGAAGTCGTGTCTCGAAGAGGAGGGAGGTTGTTTTGGCCGACGGGTGAGTTGGGCGCCGTAGGGAGCTGTGAGAGAGGGCGGGACATGGGCGATGGCAACTCGTCGTGGTAAGACTGGTAAGACTGCCTGACCTCTTGCTTCACCAGAGGCGGCAGGATCCTTGAGCTAGTGTCCAGGACAGTGCGAGCCATGGTGTCCGGGTGGTGGGAGTAGTAGGGGTAGTGGCCGTTCTGGCTGTCGTAGTTCTTTATGGGCGGCAGTTCAAGGGGAGAAGCGGGATGGGAGTAAGCTTCCCGTGGCGAGGTCGTGTAGCAAGAGCCGTGGTCGGAGACCAGGGAAGGAGCGTCGACGGAGTCGGCGCCTGGAGAGAGGGCAGAGGGGGAAGGAAGAGGTGTCTCGACGCCGAAGCCGCGGTTGAATCCGGGAGTCAGAGGAGGCGGCGCCTGCTGCCTGAAGGGCATGGGCAGCGATCTAGGGATGTCCAGTGTCGGCCTGGAGTAGCGGTGGTGGTGGTGGTGGTGCGTCGTCTCAGGGCGGTACTCCTCGTGGCGGTAGATGGGGGAGCTGCTGGGATGGCTGCCAGACCTGCTGCCCTTGCTGGAGCGCTTTCTCCTGTTTTGGCTGCCGTTCCACCAGTTCTTGACAGCGTTGTCGCTCCTGCCGTTGAGCCTCCTGGCGATCTCGGCCCAGCGCTTTCCAAGGTCGCCGACCAGTCTCTCGATCTCCTCGCCCTCTTCGGCCGAGATGGGCTCGTGGTTCAGAGTAGGCTTCAGGTTCTGGTGGTACCTTTCTCGGCACTGCTTTGGCGTTCGGCTTTGGAGTTGCTGTGCGATGCGGACCCAGTTCAGAGGCCCTTGCTGTTGGACGAGGTTCATGAGAATGCGATCCTCCAACTGCGACCACGGCCCTCTCCTTGCGCTTGCCGTAGACATGATTTCTGGCTGGGTGGCCACTAAACCTGGGCCTTGGTGTTGGGGGTAGTGGGAGAGTATGGTTGGAAGGAGGGGGAAGAGGTGGTGTGTGTTTCTCCAGCAAGGGAAGAGAACAGAGATAGGGAGTGGAAGACGACGATGAGGTTGAGTGAGGTTGATGTCTGCGAGAAGAAGAATGAAGAAGAACAAGAAGAACAAGAAACCCAAAACGTGTTTCAAGTCTATCTAGTACAGACAGGAAAGAAGTGATGGACGTGGTAAAGGTAAGGGTAAGTAAGGCGGGCTGAGGGGCTGATGATATATAAGTGTGCGATCTTAGCTCGCAGGAAAGCATGGGCAGTACCGACGGGGTGTTATATGGTGGGCTGTGCGACGTAAGGTATCCAGCAAGAGCGGCAAGCCATGAATCAAACCGCTTTGGTGCAAGCCCTTGACAGGGTAGAGGCAGATCATGTCGAGTCCGGGGTATGCGAATTTGAGGGAATGAATCTGCGGTTGACCTTGGGCTGGCACTTGCTGGGTCTGGGTACCTCTCGAGGTCCTCACCCCCCGAGCGAGTGGGCGTGCGAGTGGATTTTCGGCTTGGCCTTTTTGCAAGGTACCTCACGGAGTACCTGGGACTGTCGACCACGCACGCTAGGGAAACTCGATGCGTTTACCAACTACAAGTACGGACGAGGGACGAGACTAGCCTGGGTTGCATGTAGCGAGGTACCTGCTCTGCGACGGAGCAGCAGCAGGCTGTGAGGTATGATGTGCCAATACGGGTGTGGGTGTAGGTGCAGCAGGTGTGTGGTTTCTTGGGTTATGATGGACATGGGGGGTGGTTGTGGGCGTGTGGTGTGTGGACAGGGGACGTGGAACCGACAAGGGAGGTTCCAACAATGGGCAATGGGGCCAGACAAGGGCCCCAGGGGCCCAGGAGGCGGGCTGGCTAGAGCGCCTATCCCCTGTCTGTGGGTCTGTAGCCCACCCCCTGCTAGCGGGCGACCTGCCCAACTAGGCTTCTCCCACCAAAACTCCCACCAAAATCACTTTTTGATCAAGTATCTTCCCAGAATCGACCCAATTTTCCCCTCAAGTACCACTGCCCTCAATAGCTTGACACGCCTGGCACGCCCTGAGATCTTGCTTCTGATAGCGATTCTGATAGCAATCTGAGGGTGATTTAAGACCTATTAGATAGCGATCTGAAGTCTCTAATAGTAAAGAGCCAGTAATTAAGGTGTCTAAGTTAGATTTGACGATATTTTGATGTTATATCGATGTCTTGTACCACCAGCCTCAATGCAGTATCGTGTTTCTGGCATTGCTGGCCACTAAAAATTAAGTGTGCGGTGATGATGGGGCATATTTGACGGTCTTTTCCCGACTAGGAAGCACTAGCAGGGGGTGGGATACGGACCCACCGACAGGGGATAGGCTCTCTAGCCAGCCCGCCCAGGAGGCTCCCCCCCGGTACCTGTCGACATCCATGCAGGCCTGATGTGAGGCCGGGGTCCCGCCCGTCCTGGTCAAGTCCGGGCAGGCCAAAGTAGCGCGGTACCTACCCTACCTGAAGTTCCATGATCCCCCTCTAGTGAAATGGGTCTCTCACTCGCTCACACTCCGCTCGCTTTCCCATGTCTCTTGTCGTCCAAGTCTGTCTGTCTGTCTCCTCTCCTTCTCGGACGCTGCAGACACACCCACAGACATGCTGCTCCAGGTTGTTACTGCTCGCACGCATCTGGACCGATCTCCTCGAGATGGGGCCCACTCCCTGCCAAGTACCCTAGGCAAGCCTCCGAAGAAAGAGGTAGGTACTTTTAAACTCAGCTCTATATTCCACAAAGCCCACAACCTGACAACTTCCCACGAGGGCCAGGGGGCTAGCCTCGATCTAAGCGATTCCATCAGCATGGCAGAATACGTACAACTACGTTGGGAGTTAGTTTTCCTGGCCAGGGAAACGAGACGAGACGAGACGAGCACGCCTGGCTGGCTGGCTGGTTGGTTGGCCTGTCCGATGAAACCCTGACACTTGCCTCCTCTACTTCGTACCTACTTTACCTAATCTTACCTTGACTTACTTTACATACCTTGCCCATACCACGCAATGGAGAAGGACACACACTTACACTGCCTAACAGGCGCCCACAGCGAGTCTAAAAGGGACTATCTCAATAGACAAGATTTGTGTGAAATTGAGATCGGTGGCACCTCTGACGCCACATGTGCTGAACCCGCCTGAATGTTTAGCCCTTGTCAGAAAAGGGCAGGGATCCCTGCAATCGAGGCAAGATGGTGATTACGTGAACAGTCAACGGGTTCAAGTACACTAAAGTGTGTCGAATTGACTAGAGCCGCCGACCCTACCTTCGTTCGATAGAGAGAGAGAGAGAGAGAGAGAGAGAGAGGCCCACGATGCGAGGTGGCTCTCTAACAAAGAAACGAAGCGAATCCATGGTAGCCCATAAGGTAGGTAGGCAAGATAACTTAAGGTTAGTACTGTGTCTCAGCACTCGGCGCAATTGTGCCGTGACAGTCTTCCCTCGACTGATGCCCAGAGAAGCCCGTCAAAGAAAACTGCTTCGTTCGTGTCTCGAGTCCCCACTCCTTTAGCAAGAGCGATACCTGCCTCCTGTCGCTGGGCTACCTGACCTCGATGCGTGAAGCTAGGCGCGAGACCACGTATAGTTTGGAGCGTAGGGCCGTCTCTTAGTTTCCCAAAGGGAGTCCAGAGGCCCTGGGCCTAGAACCACGGGCGTAAAGAGGAGCCTCCCCGCGAACGATCGAAAAGCGTAAACCAGGAACGGACGGGCCAGCAACGATTCACGTTGGGCCCGCCGTCCGCCGGCGCTTGCGACGGTCTACCATTTTCCATTGGCGAGAGGAGGAGCAGCAGAGAACAGACAGAGAGCACTTGAGAGATAGTGCCCGTCGCGCGGCCGGTTGACTGGCGCACTCTGGAGAGGTCCTTCTAACCCTTTTGAGTAAACGCCCTGTCAAACACAACTCCGCCAAGACACGGGCAGACACGTCCTCAACGTTAAAGCTAGGCCACTGGTGCTTCAACCGCCCACTAAGAAGAAGGCGGCGACGAACAAGGTTCGCTGGAACGTCTGCTCCGTTCTGTAGTCTTGCTGCCTCTTGTTCGTAAGTGGCTTGTGCTGGGGTCAACTGTCACGACAGATCGCGATGATGCCTTAGATAGTCCCGTGGGACCAGCTCCAAACGCCCTCCGAGTCTGCTGAAGGCGAGAAACTCTTCGGCCCTGTTCGGGTCGTGAGACCGTTTGAGCAAGAAGAAGAAGAGAATCTTGTCAACTCCGTTTTTCGCCCCGGCTGCAGATTTCCCTGGGTACTGAGAACGTATGTCCGGAGCTGTGGGGCTGCTCAAGATCGGTCCGTACATGATTTTCATACCCAATCCATTTCTTCCAAGACACCATTGGCTTTTTTAATTGATTATTTTTGGGCCGTTCAATGTTGATGGGAGAAGCGGTGCGGAGAGACACAGAGGCCGCAGGAGAGAAACGAGTCAAGACAAGCGAATACAGGGGTTCGAATCATTGGATCGATCGGATGAGATGAGCGGCAAGATGGGATGGCCAGGGCCAGGGTGGTTGATGGTGTGGTTGGCCGGTTGGCTGCCTGGTGGTGTTGACCACACGCAAGACGCTGGGAGCAAGGCAGGGGTGGGGGTGCATAGGTACCCATCTGTGTAAGTGGCCTCGTTTCTTTGCTTTTTTGGAAGGGCATCTAGAAGGCAAGGAGAAGCAGAGTCAGAGGCGGGAATTCTCAATTACGGGGAGACCATCCACCATCCCCGAGGCAAATATAGAAACGGCATCAAGTTGCGGTGCGAAGCTCACCCAAAAGTCGGCAAACCAGCTTTTCTTTCCAGCCCTTCGCGGCTTAGGAAATGGGGTATCACCGAAAGGGTAGCACTCGCGAGGCTTTACCCGCGTGTGGTCAATTTGGAGATATGCAGCGGCTGAGAAAAGCACAGGCACGCCGTATGTTACCCTGAGAGTTCCAGGTTCTGCATCCCCGGTCGGCGTTTCGAATCCGCGGGACGAATGGCACCAAACCCTGGCAGCCAGTAAGAATGGATGGATGGTGCGATGCTGTAGAAGCACAAAAACACTCGCTCATTCTCAGGGACGACAGGGTCCAGGGACAACCGTCCGTCCGGTAGCAAGGCGTGCAGGATCCCTGCCCGTATTTGCTTTTACCGTTTGATTGCTCACGGACATGCCGACGAGATTCGGTGTGTGCTCTGTACGCAAGACACAATCCACAGGGCTGCTGGGTCCTGAGAGCTCCCCTGCCATCGACAGGGTCAACCTGGCGGCTGTCTCGATAAGGTGGCTTAAAGTTCAGACGGGCGGGAGAAAAGCCACGAGTTGTGCTTGAGTCGCGGACAGCTCCGCACAAGGGCCAGCGATCTCCAGTCGCAATATGAACGCGCCGTTGACAAATTCGAGGATGGATTCACTATAGTCCGTACTGCGCCGCGCCGTACCTACCTACTTAGGTAGTTCACTGTCTGGAAAGGAAAAAGGAAAGTGCTCCGTCAGTGAGCAGGTCATGCCTTCCTACCCTAAAAGAACGCTACTAGGCAAAATCGCCAAACCCTTCTAGGTGCAGCCCTCCGCTAGGTTGATTCACACATCCCACTACAAGCTCTCGTCACCCTCGCTGGCAAGTCCAGCGCAACGCCGCAATGCTGAATTCATTTCAAACCAGGGGGCCTAGAACCAAAGAGCCGCTAGGTTGTCTTGCGGCCGTAAAGGATCCCCCCACTGTCTCGTCTTTGCACTCGCCGCTCTGGGCGCTCACTGCAGGGGACCACGTCTCAGTCACATTAGACTAAAGAACCGACCCTGCCGGACTGGGCGCCGAAGAAAGAAAGGGACGATTCCATTTTCGCACAGAAATGACGGCCATTAGGATGGTGTCGAGCGTTCCATATCCGACTGGGGTGTTACGCAAAGGCCGCCTCGCCCGGGTACGTAG